AATCAGTTCATATTTCAATTCTTCAGAATAAATATACTACAAGGATAAATAATTAAATAAAAATAGTTTAAGAATATTCTAATTTTAAGGTGACTTGCTCAATTGATTATCAATAGGGATCTAATAAAATTGCTGAAAGTCATGGACTTAAAAGATGGTTAATTGACTAATTTACTTTATAAATTTGGACCCTTTGAAAAGTAAAATTCTATTTCATAGAAAGGTTATTCTTTTTAAAGATCAAAATTAAGAAATTGTCCTTAAATATGAATGAATCATCATAATCTAAAAGACTTGATTAAACTCATATAAAGATCTGTGCATTGAAATGATATTCTTAATCATTTGTGATATTGGAAATAAAAGGTTTAACTGATTTACTAATGAAAAATGATGATTTTATTATGTGGAGAACTTTGTTATAGTATCATTTGCTATATTATATAAATTTCGTTTATGATTAAGTATTATTTCATTATTCCTATTGGTTATTATGAATGATTAATTTAGTTATTTAACCAATATTTGACATGATTAAATTTGATTTCAACATTAATAACTGTAATAATACAATATTATATTTGTTTATTCAAAGACATATGAATAACTTTTATTGAATTATAATAACTTAGTGTGATTATATACATATTTGTATAATATATATTAATTTTATTAACTGTCATGAACTAACTTCAAATTGAAGAACTTTAAAGAAAATTATAGCAATTATAACTTGAACGTATGAATGAGGATTCATCAGATGAAGAGCCAACTTTTTAATCTGTTTAAGGAAAACAAAATGATAAATAGTTATTCTAAAATCTCTCGATTGATAGTTTTGAAGTTTACACAACTTTAGGTACTGGCACATTCGGACGTGTAAAATAGGTTCGAATAAAACGTGATGCTAGTCGTTAAGTTTATGCACTAAAAATTATGAAGAAACATGATATCATAAAATTAAAATAAGTCGATCACATCAAATCAGAAAAGAATATTTTGAATGAAATCTAACATCCTTTTTTAGTGTAATTGAAGGGCTCATTTCAAGACCAAAAATGCATATACATGCTGTTTGAATTTGTCTCAGGTGGTGAATTATTTTCGAGATTAAGAAAGGATGGTAGATTTAGTTAAGACATCACATTATTTTATGTGTCTGAAATACTGCTAGCAATTCAACATTTGCATAGAAAAGATATAGTATATAGAGATTTAAAGCCAGAAAATTTATTAATAGATCGTGAAGGACATATCAAAATAGCTGATTTTGGATTTGCCAAAAAAATTACAAATAATCACACTTAAACCTTGTGTGGAACACCAGAATACTTGGCACCTGAGTTAATTTAAGGAGCTAAAACTGGATATGGAAAATCAATAGATTGGTGGGCTTTGGGAGTACTAATATTTGAAATGTTGGCAGGGTATAACATATATTAGATTATTTTAGTCACCCTCCATTTTATGATATAGAACCAACTAATATATACAAGAAAATATTAAATGGAGTAATAGAGTTCCCCAAATTTTTGCATGTAAGAGCAAAGGATGTAATAAGAAAATTATTAAATTCTGATATTAATAAAAGATTAGGAGTGGAAGATGTAATGTCACTATTTAAAATAGGAAGGGGCAGCATTAATGAACCATAAATTCTTTCGGGGAGTTCCTTGGTAAAAGGTTTTTGAAAAAAGGATTTCACCTCCATGGATTCCGTATCTGAGAAATGAAACTGATTCACAATGGTTTGATAAATATCCAGAAGAAAGAGATGATATACCACCTGTGGATGATGAAAAATAGCATATGTTTGATGACTTTTGATTAGTTAAATAAGTTGAATTAAATAGACACTAATGATTAATATTTAATGAATTAGTAATATGTCAAATATTAAATCTTAACTTGAAATCGTTAATAAATAATTTAGTGAGACAGTATTCCCTATTATTATTGTATTAAAATGGCTATTTCAAAATAAAATGAGAAGAAACTTTGGGATCTAGTTTTTATCAAATTATAATTTTAAAATACATTAATACATATTTATAAAAACCTGATTATATTATTGGTTCCTTCAACAATCGATCTACTAGTAGAATTGGTATGAATATAAAATATTTGTCTAATAGATTAAAGGATTTTTTAATTTTACCAAACCATTAAGATCATCTAAAACTCTTCAGGTGTGCATGAACATTAGAAGGTAAGCTTTAGAGTAAAGAGTTATCATGGTTAAAATGACTGCAGGGACTCTTGGATACAACATCAAATGAGATTGTAAAATTATTCTTAAAATAAAGAATTTAAGATAGAAAAATATACTATTCCCATAATAGTACAATGTTAAACTGCATTTTTTCCCGCTAATTTCAGAAATAAAATTAAAAAAAATGCAAACTGAAGTTCCTCCCTGCTCAGAAGGTAAAATCTTGAATTGAATGTAGATCAAAATTAAAAGGATACTCCTGTAATGATAGATAAATAAACAAATGATGAAGCCAATTAGAACCAAACTGAAGCCATGGATATTGAGGATAATAATTCCAATTAATAAAATTAGAGTAAGAATTACAAATATTTAATCTAGGAAAAAGAAAACAAAATAACACCCAAACGTAACCACCAATAATTCTTACTGAAAAGAGATAGAGAAAACCACCTTAATAAGGATACGTATATCGTGATCCATCTCCTTAAAAAATTGTCGAAAAAAAAAAACCTAAAAAATACAAAATAAGTTAAGAAATGGAGGAAATCTGTACAAAAATAGCAAAATGGGAGTAGTTTCAGATTGACTTGAGTTAATTGGGGTATCCAAGTTTAGTATTAGATGAATAAAAGATTTTTGATCTATTAAAGGATTATGATTAAAAGGATGAGGCAGGTAAGGAATATTATCTGAAAATGCTTGTGAGACTTATTGGAGAGGCTATGTGTTGCAAGAATAGAACTGACATTAATCTACAGATTAAAAATAAAATTGAGGAGTTAACATAATAAAAGAACATTATTATAAATTGGACATTAGAAAAATGGGATGAACAAATTAAATCTTTTTTAGAAATAAAAGCTGAATTAAACGAATAAATCCAACATGCCTCACAGTTTGATTTTTAAGCCTTGCAAACTCTTATTGCCAATAATCTGCCAAATTATATTGAGGAATCCAAATTCAATGTAACATTAGTAGTATTGAAAACAAAACAAATTGATGACTTAAAAAAAGTATGCGATTTGAATGAGTTAAAAAATGTAAGATTAATAAGAGAGTATTTGGCTACATTAAATAGCAAAGTAGATTAACTAAAGAAACTTAAAGAGAAAATAAATGTACTTAAAAAAAAAGAGGATGAGGATGACATTATAAAATAATACAATTAATAAGATTCAAAGATTTTAGAATTCAAAAATACACCTATTAAATTTTTGTAGAAAACAGAAATTAAGGTGAAAGCTCCAGCAACTTAATAAAAATAAAAGTAAAAACCATAAAATCTTGAGTAAATTGAAAATAATTAAAGTAATGAAAATGACTAAATTAATTAATAAATAAATTTTTAAGCTGAATCAAATGAAGCAACAGAAAAAAAATTGAGTGAAAGTAAATCAAATAAAAAGAAAGATAAAGAATAATAAAAGTAAGAGAAGGTTATCAAAGGAACACTTGACAAATTTAAATTTAAAAAACCAGAAATGCCAGAAATTACAAATTAAGCTATAAAAACAGAAATATCAACTTAATTTGAAACTCTCTCTACTCCAAGAGAGAACAATTGTTAAGGAGGAGAATTGGATACTTAATAATAATAAGAATCAATTGAACCTTAGTAAATTCGTTAATCTTCGCAATAGTAATAATAATAATAACCTTAAACAATAGCAAAAAATCTTAAGCATTTCTTTCCAGAGAAGAAATAATAATAAGTCCAAAAATAAGATGAATATTAACCAAAATAATTAACACCTTACAAAATGGAGCAATTTGAAGCTTTGATTGAAAAAATGAGCAATATGTAGTTACAAAAAGAAAAGATATCAGTATCTTTAAATGATTATAACACTGATGAGATTGAAATATAAGAGACTAAACCATTGTAATAAGTTAAAATTAGAAAAATACATATTTTTATTGCAGATTCAGAAAAAGAATTCAATGGACATTAATTTGTTCAATTAAGCCAAGTTATAAGATCAAGGGCTCCTTTTTAATTAGGTATATTTAAATAATGAGTATTTAGATGATTAAATCGATTATGACAAGGACTCTTTGGATGAAGTTGAGGAAATACTAGCAGAAAACCTTTCAGATATGAATGACTCTGATGAAGATCAAAGTGAGGAGAGTGAATAGAAGGATAGTTTTCTAGTAGATGACAATCATCTATCACAAGATGAGGTTGAAGATCCTGAAGAATTGCTAAATAATAAGTGTATTGCAAATAACACATAGATTCAAAATGGAATAGTATACATTAAATACTCCTCAGTTGACCCATTATTCTTTGAAAATTACAAAGCCTAATATATTCCTTAATTTTTTAATGTTTAACAATTAAAAGAGTAAAATCATGGAACCATCCTACAAACTCTTGCACCCTAATAAGTAAATAGCACTAAGACTATGTAAATTCCAAAAGCTAAGATGAATTTTAGCAATAATACTTAAAAAAAATAAAACAAACCAAAAAAGCCAAAAGCAAACCCTTCTATCGATTTATAAAGTAATCAAAGTACTTCTCTATTCCCTTTGAAATCCCAATAAAATAGTAAATAATCCTTGGAATAAACAACAACCAAATAGTAAAAGCAACAATCAAAGACTGTATCAAAGATAGATAATAAAATTGATGAAGAGAAAATAAATCCAGATATTGAAGGGAATGGTAGAAACGAAGAAAAATAAAATGGGTTGGAAAATGAGCAGAATCAATAAATTATTATAAAACTATAATAATGAAAACTTATAATGATTATTCTATGAACATTTATATTGTATAACAATTTCAATTATGTGAAATGTAGCTTAAATAAATATTCCAAAAGAATCCGACAAAGTTGACCCATAAGACTTGGTAATGTCTGGGGATCAACCAAAAATTAATAATCTAAGCAGCAGGCCAAATTTACCAATTGGTTATCATGGCCTTTACAAAATTATTTTTGATTGCATCTACTCCTTTCTACACAGAACCACTTTCTAATAAATTAATTATCATCAAGTAATGGCACAATATGTAGCATGCCCACACTGATTAATCAATAAGAACAGATCCCACTGCTGCTCTGAAAGGTGTTGAAGTATCGAAAGGCAATCTACAATATATTATATCCATATGTTCTACCTTTTCACTAACCATGGCAAAGCATAAGTGAAATTATAGTGGAATAGAGGCATCATGAATACATTTCCCATAAGCCAAGCTATTCCTAACCTTCTAAAGTCATATGAATGGGCCTATTAATTCTTCTTAGCAATTTATGCTTCCATAGCCTATACTACTGCATCTCCTGCAAAAAACATAAAGCCTATGGTATTTGATTGATATGACATACCTCCAGTCACTGATTTTGTCAATAGAGGGGATTACTGAAGAAGGGTGTTGTATTTTGCAAGGAATTACATTATTTATTAAAATAATTAACTGCTAAAATGAATTATATCAGAATGTTCTTTTGACCATAATGTTATAGAAGTCCTCTCTTGAGATCTCTCTTCCATTTGAGGCTGCTCTCTCTAACATTTCTCCCAGTTCTTCAGCTGTCATAGTTTCTCCCAATTCTTTGGCTACCTAATTTTTGTATTAATTTAAAATGATACTCTTTTCAAGTTATTCAAATTAATTGAGTTACTACCATCATCATCAAACAAATCAAATATTTTATTGATACCATCTCTAGATTCTCTATTTCCTAATTTTGAAGTTATGGCATCCAAAAATTAATCAAAATCAATATCAGTTCCTTCATTTTCTAATTCAGCAATCATATTGAAGATGGTTGGATTCTTCTAATCGAATCCCAAGCTCTACATGGCAGCTTTTAACTCTCTGGGATCAACTCTTCCTGTACCTTCTGTATCAAATAAGTTGAAGGCTTCTTTTATTTCCTCAATTTCGTCTTCTGTCAATCCTGGTCTATCAATAGCTAATAAAGTATACCTGTCTTAAGGCTTTCTATTGACTTGCTATTATTTGCCGACTGGTTTCTATGCTACTGGGGCTTGTTGTTTTTTGTTCATTAAATTTTGAAATTTGAAAAATAATTAATATATAAAAGCTTGCAAGAATATCATTTATATAATAGCCTAGTCCCCGTATACACTATTAATATACAATCAATATTTATAGGAACAAAGAAAAAATGTGATTTTTTTGAATTGCACTTTATATAATATGATGAATACTCTAGAAAAACATCTAATCAATCCCATATTTTGTTGGCTAATCGATGTTTAATTGTAATTCATTAACTTTCACTAAAAAAGGAATTTATTCTAAATGAAAATATCTAATTGGATTATCAATTGATTTAGTTATCAAAGATGTATTTTTTCATTTGACAAATAAACCTTTATTAAGAAAGAGGAGTAAGCACATTCTCTTTTATTAAATTTTGAATTGGAATTTATGGAAAATAAATTAATAGTTAAGAATTATAAATAAAAGTATGAAATATAGAATTATATATTCTCTTAGGAATGAATTATCTACAAAATAGATTATATTAATCGTTTTTTTTATAATTTTATATAATCATGCTGCTTTTCCTCGTTTTAGTATTCTTTGGAAATACACGAGAGTATTCAATCGAACTCAAAAGTCAATAGACTTAATAGCATTTGATAGAGCTAGTTAATTTATTGCAACATACACATGCATAATTGCTAGAATTGTAACACTATGAGAGGATTGGATAAGATTTATAGGGATTGTTGAAATTTGAAACTGTGTTTTTGGAAAAGCAAATTAAAAAGAAGCCATTGAAACATCAGAAGCACCATAATAAGAAGGAAGGGAAACATAAAAAAAGATAACATAAGTACATGGTTGTGGATGAGGCATTAATGGATGTTATTCCATTAACTCATGAAGAGATGGATGTCTTTCAAAATTCAGGTACTCTAATTCCTATTGATTTTGCGATCGAATAATAAATGGAGCATTAAGGTCAGAAATTAGTATCCACTGAAAGAATGTAAGGCGGTGCTTATGTAGCTGATGTACCTTTGACAAATATTGCTAATACTATGTTCATAGGTGAATTACAAGTAGGAAGTGCAAAAGGTAAGAATACGTTTGATGTAATTTTTGATACTGGATCAGCTCTTACTTGCATTGCTTCAGAATAGTGTAAAGATATCGGATGTTAGAAAAGCAAAAGATATAATAGAGCTTAAAGTAAATCATTTAATGAGATTGGAAAACAAGTGGAAATTGTCTTTGGAAGTGGTACATTAAAGGGATTAATTAATCGAGAGTAAATTAGTGTAGATGGATTAAATTTAAAAGATGCCTTGTTTATTGAGGTAACTTAATAAATTGGTGATGCCTTTCATGAAGGTGAGTTTGATGGCATAGTTGGATTGGGGTATCCACATATGACAGGAGTACCAACTTTATTTGATTATATGATGAAATAACACAAACTACATTAGAATGTCTTTACATTTCATTTAAATAGAGCAACAGGTAATTCAGGATCCAAACTCATTTTTGGAGGAAGTGATGATTCCTAGATCAAAGGATAATGGATCTATCATAATGTTCACGAATAATTCTATTGGTCTATTATGGCAGAAGAAATCAGAGTTGGCAACAAAAATACTGGTATTTGTTCTCATTAGCGCAAATGTAAAATGGTAGTAGATACAGGAACTACCCTATTGACAGGTCCAACTAAAGATGTCAGAACATTATTATCAATGATTAGAGTGGAACCCAAATGCTAGAATTTCCCTACTATGCCAGATATAACTTTTGTTATTGATGGAAGAAACTATGTTTTATAACCCAAAGAATATATCTTGACAATTACTTGTAAATTACTTAATTCAATAATATAGAGGCTGGAGTTGAAGCTCCTTATCAACATTCTTCCATGGATTAGATTGTTGGATGTGCAGGCACTATCTTCCCATTAGATTTACCTCCCAAATAGTATTAGATTGTTTTATCATTTTATAGAGGTCCTTTATGGATATTAGGGGATGTATTTATTACAAAATACTCTGCTAAATTTGATAGAGAAAAGAACAGAGTTGGGCTAGCATTAAATAAAAATGTATGAAAGTGATATTCAAAATATATAATATTTCATTATTTAAAAAGTCATTTATATATAAAATAATACAGATTTAAATGATTCTATCCATATTTATTTGGAAGTATCCTTATCAAACACAGTAACCATTTGATTTTCCCTTTAATTTATATATACGAATCAAATTGTAGGTTTAAGGTTAAATAAATAAATGTAAAGATAAAGATAAAGAATCATAAAATAAAGATAGATCCTATTAAGTTCGAATTTATTAATTATACAAATTACAAGATGTATATAATAAATATTTTTATATAAAATAGATGGATGAATATAAAATAAAACAATATTTCAAAAAAGAACATTAAAAGAATTATAAATTATTCGTATTTTATTCTCAGAATTTGATCTTCCAATATTTATTACTTTAGATACTTTTGCTGATCAATATTTAGAACAAATAGTTTTACTAGCTTTTGAGGGATTTAGAAATAATATTTCAACAATTCTTTAGGATTAATCGTTGATTCTTAATTAATTCAATAATAGTTCAATTTTACTGTCTGAAATATAGATGCGTCCAATTATGACATATTACGAAAAATATATCTGATCAACACTCATACTCAGTTTATAGATTAAATTTTAACAAGATTTGCAGTTCTTCTATATAATGGAAAATACAAGAATGTAAATTTATTATTCATTAATCTTATGATTTTATAAATATAGAACATACATAATGCAAACTCAATGTATAAATAGTAATTAAAAATCAAAACAATTACTTCAGGTACTCATACATCATGTAGACTAAACCAGAATGCATCGTAACTTTAGCAATTCTTGGTTGATATCCCTTAAACAATCCTTTAAAGCCTTCTTCATTATAGATGTTCTACAAAATCTCCATCGAAGCCAACTCTCGACCCGATCCAAAATCACTTCTTGTGCTAACTTGTTTTCTTGTCTTTACTACGTCTAAAGGAAGCGTCATTGTAGCTGTAACACTACTGGCTAACATTGCTGAAAGGAGATTCACAGCATTTGGCTAATCTATTAAGACCTTTCCTATTTCTATTTTTAAATTTTCTAGAAGACTCCAATAGATGCAGGAAAATAAAATATCTCTTTAAATGGTTATGAGATAAGCTGAGTGAAGTTGAGTCCCTAATTGAATGTTCTTCAATTTTGAATACCCTACTGTGGATGACTATAATACCTTCCAATACTCTAATGGAAATGTTACTAAAAATATATTTCAAATATCTTACTTGTCGTTGTTAATGCTCTACTAAACGAACTGGCCAATAGAGGAACGACCAATCGGCTTGAAGGCAATTCCAATTATTGTAAGAATTTCCTTGTTCTCTCATAAAACATGAAGTAGCATATATTTGATGCTCCTGCTTATAATACTGCATATCTCCATCCATTGAAGAATGTGGAGGCTCCCTCATGAACGTAGATGTGTTAAAAGGCCTAAACCAGAGAGTTTGTAGTAATGCAAGTACAATTCTAATAAATTTTAATTAAGGGGTTTGTGGCCTAAGATTTTCCGATAACATTAATCATTCTATGGGGTTTCCATAGTTTCAATGATTTCGAGAGCATCCCATAATGATTTAACTAAGATCTTGTAGGTTGTCCTGTTAATGCTATTTCATGAATATATTTAAATTTTGGTTTGCTTCTTTGGGGATTACGGTGGTGTTAATGCTCATGGCAATGCATCTTGTCTACTTGCAATCTTATTTTTAAGACTTCAAAAGGATTACTAATGATTGTGCTAATCACGCTAGCCAATCCTGAAGAAACAATAATTGTAGTGGAACTTAAATGATCCCCCTATTTCATTAAATAAATAATATTGATTATTATGTCATATTATTAATCATATTTAAATTAGATTCATTATAAAATTATTAAGATACTTTCATTTAATTATATTAATTATTTGATGATTTCGAATACACAATTAAAAAATTTATATTTTTATTGTCAAAATTACTTCATCAAAAAATAGCTTTTAGTAAATGATTAAAAATATGATACTTATATAGAACGACCCATTTTGATACTATAATCAAATTATCTTAACCCAATCCTTTATAGGCTACATCATTACTCATAATATCCAAATAGAGTGATAATCATCAACAGAAAAATATTTTTTTTTACAATATGCATGAATTGATATCTCAGTTCCCATACACAAAGAGAAGCAAACTTAAATCTATTGAATATTTTCACTTTCAAATTTTAATTTTAAAATACTATTCATTGATTCTCAAAATTGGTGTTTGCTTAAATAATTCTACTAAAAGTATAAGTTTCAATATTGTACATCTGACAACATGGCATATTTTAAATTGTTACTATAAGATTTTACATTAAACCAATTAAATTCTTTTATTCTATTTAATTTTATATCACTATTTTATCTTATTATTTAATATTAATTCTACATTTTTAATCCATTTTACATTTACAATTGTTATTTACTGAATGCTTTTAAACTAAATTTCTATTAGAATTGTAATTAGATCAATTATTATAAATATAATTATTTATATAAAAGAGTTGAATAGCTTATTTTCTTTTATAATCATTTTATATAGTAATTAATTTTAGTATTTTTTTTTTATTGATAGTTTCTCCATTCTACAGGCTATTCCTTTTACTTTTTCAGTTGTTAAATATGTATTATTTTCAAATTATTATGAGATAATTATGTCTTTAATTTCTGATTATTTCTTCGAATCTCTTGAAAAATTGATTTTCTTTATTCTAAAGTATTTTCTTATGTTTTGGCTTATACTATCGAAACATATTCTTTTTTCTGAAATCCAGGTGCAACTCTACTACGAGTCAGTTTATTTTGAGTTTCCAGCATGATTGAATAGATTTTTCATAGCTGATTCAATTGTAACAAGGGGTTGGCATTTTCTAAGAAACAGCTGCTTCTGAAAATAAATTTCTCTCCCAAAATCAGCAACCAATAATGAAAGCTGCTATCTTGTACTCCTTCAACAAGAATACTTGTTCTTGGAAGTAGAAAGTTCTGAAATTTGAGGTGTAATTTTTTACTTATATCTAATTTTTATATATAAATTTAAACATCCTAAGCATTATTAATTTTATCAGATTCAAATGTCACAATACGGTAAAGCAGAATATTGGGAGGAACGATACACCAGGTAATAAGTTAGTTACTCTAAAATAGAGATCCTGAGCCTTTCGATTGGTATTAAAGATTTGCAGGGATCAAGGATTTAGTCTAAGCCTGTTTCACTCCTGAAAGCAAAATTCTTAATATAGGGGCAGGGAATTCAAGTATAGAAATGTTTTAGAGTTATTTAGGATTGAGTGAGGAGATGTTCGATGAAGGATATTAGAACATTACAAATATTGATATTTCACATGTTGTTACAAAAGCAATGTAGGAGAAGTACAAGGATAAAGGTCCAAATTTCAAATGTAAAAATTGTTGAAATGCAGATCTTCATATGGATGCCAGAGCTATGGAATTTGAGGATGGATCATTCGATGGAGCAATTGATAAAGGAACCCTTGATGCCATATTAGTAAGACTTGTAATATCCTTAAGTGTGGAGAGTCATCATCATCTAACGCTTAAAAAGTGATTCAAGAGGTTCACAGAGTACTAGGGCCAAAAGGAGTGTATTTTGCAATTTCTTATGGTCTACCGGAACATCGACTTTAATATTTTGAAAAGCCTGAATACGATTGGTATTTAAGATGACTATTTTCATTTGTTTAGGAATGTAATAGTTAAATAGGTTCACAAACCAACAATTTCAACCTCTATCGCAATAACAAATGAAGATAAGGATGCGCCCAATGTCCATTACATATATATATGCACTAAAGTAGATTTAAATTGCTTAGATTTTAGGGATAACAAAAAGCAGCTAAATAATGAATTTGAATTATATTTAACCAATTACGAATAATCATTAATTATTCTAAATTCAAAATAAATTAAAATTATAAAAAGTGTTCAAATTTTCCTAACATTCTAGTAATTCTTACACATACTCAAGTTAATAGAATGATGAATATTGATCTTCCTTTAGTAATGTCTCCAGGTTTGAGAAGTAAATAGTAAGAGGGTATATGAACTATTTTAAGATTCTTTGAAGAGATAACTATCGGTATCAAAGTAGAATTAAAATCATTCTTCTTAATTCATTAAGAAATTCCATTTAACTTAAACCTTACACACATCCATTTAAAGATAAACAAATTTTAGAACCCCTTAATATTATTGAGTTCAATTAGATTCCATTCCTTATGATTAAAGTTGCTTCATTAATAAATTATTCAATCTCTTTATAAATAACCTATAATAATTGCAATCCTGAAAACTAGAGTATTATTTAAAGATAAGAATTCTACAGATCTATGCATCAAATTCTATAAAAAAGATATATATTTGAAAACAATTTAGCACAGACTCAAAAAGAAATTTTATATCATTGCAACTGCAAAATATTGGGAGAAATCATACAAAAAGAAGTTATTGTTTTGAATTGAATTTAAGGACTTTGGGGATTCTAATTTATGAAATCGTTGTTGCCAAAACTCCAATCAGGAATTATTAATAGAGAATATTATTTAATCTTTAGATTCTAATATTTTAACTAATCTAGATCATTGATTTAGATTTAATATGTGATTTATATAATATCATAATGAATTTGATTCTAATGAGTTTGCAAACTATTCTCCAAACTTAAACTACTCTTATTATTTGTTCCATTCTTCAATTTTTCTTTAATCACTCATCTCAATATTTTTTATTTAACTTTAGACTTCTTCTTATGTAGAATAGTCAACATAGTCAATATCTTTGGAAATTCTCAGAGATTGCTGATCTTCAGGATTTTATGCCTATCAATTAACAATGTGATTACTTTTCTATATTTGAATGATCTAAATAAGTCTTTACATAAAGACTTCAAAAATGTGATTGAACATACACTGATAAGACCGAATATGAAGATAAATAGAATGGCATTAAACAATGGCCATTCATATTGATTTGGATTGTCAGGATAGTACATATGAGTAGCTGCTTAGAACACTCCAATTTTCCTTGTGTTATTGCCTGGTGTATTTTCAAATACAATATAATGATTTTTCATAAAGGGTTCACCCAATATCACATATTCAGATTGCGAAAACTTGATATTGAAAAGGCAATCCCAAATCCGGTTATCTTCACTAGAAGAGTTGCATTCTCTATATAGATGATTAGAATTGTTAATGGAAATTTAGTTGTTGCCAAAAGTGAAGGTCAAGATATAATCAGTTTAGATTGACTTGGGGAGATTCTTACAATATAATATATACATCTAAAGGTATATTGATGAAATACATCTGAATCTACTAAATCACAGGCTGTATTAGAGTGGAACTACTATAAGTTTAGAGTCAAGGCTTTCATCATATCATACGGCAACTCTATAAATTGGGAATTCAAAGTGAAGAAGGCTTTCTTAATAGGTAATTCAGTATTAATAATATCTCTTCCTTCTGAGTTCTACGATTTAAATAATGAGAATGTACTTTTAATTCAATTTTGTTAATTTCTACCATCCAATAATATCCTGATTTCTCTAAACGATCGATCCAAGTTCCATTTGATTTTTATTTACGAATATATTTTTCATCTATTCCACCAACTTGTACAACCATGTCAGAAAAGTTCACCGCACTCTCATAAGTGTATAAGGCAAATAGCTATTTAGTTAAATTGAGTTTTGTCTTTTCTTGAACTAGTTTTTCGACGAAATCTGCATCACTTTTTGCTTTTTCATCATCTGTTTCTGTATATCCAAATCCAAATCCTATTACTCCATCTGCAAGAATAGGCAATTCATTATTTATATATTGAACCTAGAGCATCTGTAATCCTGTTATGCTCACAAGTGATGGAGGAGTGGAGTTTCCCCATTCATAAGCAATATATTGGGAGATTGTCATTTTTGAGGATGAGTTATATGCTAGCATTTAAATAGTATCTGTTTGAAAGGTTCCTTGAATTAATGAATTTTAGGAGTATATTTAGCCATGCACTTTGATATCATTCCATTTTGCAGCATTAAATGATTTATTAAATTATTCATTAAAACAATTATTATTCTTGCTATTACGTTTGCATTCATCATCAATTTCATATTCTAAAGGTTTAATTTTTTTGCAACTAATACAGTCTTTTTATTTGTACCAAGTCCATGGAGATGTTAGATCTAACTAAAATTATTTTTTCAAAATACCGCTAATTAAAATGTATTGTTCCTTGTAATATTGTCTCCCAAGATAACCTCAACGTTATAATAAACATTTTTATTAAAACAAATTTGACTGACGTACGTGTCACTATGTGTGTAGTTGAGGAGATCCGATGGACATTTTTTAGGTGCTACAGCAGTCACCTTTTCGTTGATTTTGAATTGTTGATACTGGTAGACATTTCTGGTGAGTTTTTGCTCGAAATAGGCATTGATGATTGGAAAAAGTAGCACTAGCGGGATTATCATTAATTTAATATTTGATAGTGAGTTTATGTATAAACAGAACTTTGAAAACAAATTTTTAAATTAAGATTTTTATTTTAATGGCTGAATAAGAGCAATAATAAGCACCAGCAGCAGAATAATAATAAGCCGCCCCAGTTGAGAAGAAGGGTTTCGGAAGAGGAGGAAGAGGATAAAGAGAAAGAAGAGAAGGAGGAGCCCCAAGATAAAATAGAGGTCCAAGAAGATTCGGAGGAGAATAAGAATGGACTCCATTGACCAAGTTGGGCAGATTGGTAAAGGCAGGCAAAATCAAGAGTCTTGAAACAATCTTCCAATTCTCAATCCCCATCAAAGGTAATTCTTAATTATTTACAAAATTTAGAATATCAAATCGTTGATCACTTCCTTAAGAACTTGAAGGAAGAACCACTTGCCATTGGTCCAGTCTAGAAGCAAACATGCGCAGGTTAAAGAACAAGATTCAAGGCATATGTCGTAGTTGGAGATTCCCATTAACACATTGGTTTGGGATGGAAATCAGCAAAGGAAGTTTAAGGAGCCATCAAAGGTGCAGTCATCAATGCTAAACTCAATTTGATTCCAGTTAGAAAGGGATATTGGGGAAACAAGATTGCTTAACCACACACAGTCCCATGCAAAGTGACAGGAAAGGAAGGATCAGTCAGAGTCAGATTGGTTCCAGCTCCCAGAGGTACTGGTATTGTTGCTGCCATCACATCAAAGAAAGTCTTATAAATGGCAGGAATTTAAGATTGCTACACTTAATCAAAGGGAAGCACAAGAACTAGATCAAACTTCTTGAAGGCAACCTTCCATGCCCTTAAAGAAACCTACAATTTCCTTACACCAGATCTTTGGGGACACACAAAATTAGAATCAACTCCATTCTAAGAACACAGCGAATACTTGGCTGCCTTAAAATGAGATCAATTTATCATAAGTATATTAAAATATAAAATAAATGCTCAACAAATTATTGATTGTTTTGTTGACTTCCTTATTCTTCACGGTGGAAGCTGAAAATCAATTGACTATAGCATTTGGATCATGCTTCAAATTTTACAGAACTCATGATACAGATGTCTTCAAAAGGATTTAGTCATTTAATCCTAAATATTTTTTATGGTTGGGAGATGCAGCTTATATTGATTATATGCCTATTTTAGGTATTTGGAGAGCTGAATAGAATGAGACCAGAGTCAAGGAGAAATTTGATATCACCAATGATGATAAATATTATGCTCAATTCAAGAAGAATGTAATCATCAAAGGAGTCTATGATGATCATGATAGCAATGAAAATAATGGAGGCAAATTCAATCCTCTTAAAGAAAGCGCCAAATAATTGTATTTGGATTTTATTGGTGAACCCAAAGATTCTCCACTCAGAAAATAGGATGGCATTTACTAATCTTTTTATGCTGATTAACATAATAAGGTTCTGGTTGTTATGACTGATGCAAGATACAATTCAGACAAATTCACAGGCGATTCCCTCGGAGAAAATCAATGGAAATGGTTAGAAGAATAATTTTAAACTGAAAGCTAATTGATCATCATGACTTCTGGAGTCTAAGTTTTGCATGACGATAGAGATGGACCAGAAACCTGGTTTGGATGGTCCAAGCAAAAATTATACGCTTTAATCAAAAAGTACAATAAGCCTATCATTTTCTTATCTGGAGATGTTCATTATTCCGAAATTCTGAAGCATCCTTGTCCTCATCGATTGGGTTAGAATCTCTATGAGTTCACCTCAAGTGGAATGACATTTGCTAACTACGATCATATTCCCTTTGTGGATATTATTTTCTAATTCCTATTTCCAACTACCTTTAGTAGTTATTAGGATCACTATTACAAATCTAATTTTGGAATCTTAAAGATAATAACCAATGATCAAAATTCGCCTATAAGGATTGAATTTGAGACTCATTCAAGCCAAGATTCAAGTGTTGTGTTATCAAAGACCATCTTGATTGAAGAACTTCAAAAATAAAAATTTGATGAAACCTAATCCTGCATATTAGATGTACCAATAACAGAGAGACAATGGTAGAATTATAAGTTGAGATTTAATGAAAACATTGTAGTAGTGATTGGTTCACTATTTTTAGGATTGTTATTCATTATCTTTTTAATTTATAATATTATATCATATGTTTCCAAATTTTTAGAGTTATACAAATAGATATAAAAGAATAAATAAAAACTTAAATAAGAGTGATATTATAAATGAGTTGTTTAGAAACAATACATATATTATTTACAGAGTCTTCTTATCAAAAGGAATTGGGGATATTTTAAGTTTAATCTGTATAATCATGAGATATCTATATATCTACTCTCTTGAAACCTTATTATTATTAAAAACACATTCTGTTATAGATTTGCTTGAGGATCACTTGATTAAACTTTTTAGTTATAGAATACAATTTAATTAATATGGCATATTTCATTTGATTCTTGGAAATTACAATTTTTATTATTTAGTATCAGGTTCAATTCTTAATCTTGATAAAGCCGAATTCTAATAGGTTGGTGCACTGGTTCTGCTTTGATTTGTTTTTGAATATTTGGGATTTGTAGTTGTTTTAGTCAATCTTTCAATGATTTTGCCCATCTTTTACTAATTTTATTAAGAAAATTTGGAAATTCTATTTTTGAGTTCCAAAGTCCTTAAATATATTGTTATTGTTACTTCTTATAGTCCTTTAGTAGAGTTTCCTTGTTTCTAAAGGATGATGGAGTTCTTTATAACCGCTATATTAATTTTTCATTTTCTCCCACGATTTTTTTTGCCTCTTGTTTTCTATAAGACAAATTAAGAGATTTGATAGAGTTGGCTGAACTTTGACGAGTAACAGATCTTTTTGGCATTGATGAATATGTTTTTTAATTTCCAATATCCACAATGCGATTGAGAATCTTTGCATTCTCCTTATAGAGCCGTTGTTCTTTCTATAGATCTACCTAAAGTTTAGTATAAAATTTATTCGCCCTTATTTATTAATACTTATCATTATCTGATAACACATGCTAAATTATGGGGATGATTTACTTTTTTAGAGAGATGGGGATCTGATTTGGTATTCAACAGTTTGAATTTGTGTTATTGGAACTATTCAGCATAGCATACTCTTTTTATGATATCCTATTCTACGTATTTTGGACCTCTCATATATTATTTTATAATATAAATAAATGTTTATTCGGAGAAGCTATAAATTGCTTAGTTTTGAAGATGGACAGTGCTGAGCTACTCTTGATTAAGATACAATATCATAGAATCCAGAATGGATGATACTATATTACTGAAGACATATGAGGATTTGTTTGAATAACTTGATTATATAATAATAAATTAAAGAAATAGAATTTGTATCTTGGTTCTAGTCAATTTGGTTATTGTCTAAGTATTTTGTGATGAGAATATCATTTTGTAAATTTATTTAAATTAAAGTTTGAGAAGGAAACATATTATAAAAAGAAAATATAAAGAGAGAGTCTTAGAAGAAAGGCTATTGGCGCTAAAGAACTTACTGCGACTAATACAGATTTAGAAAAATTGGGTTATTGCAAAAAATATATTTGGTTACTTATAAATAGTAAATTAAGTAATATCAATGATAATATTTTGAATTAAATTTCTACTTAGATATCTAAGAAATAGACTAGATATTTTAGAGCAAGGATTAATACAGATGATGTAAATCCTTTCCTTAATAGGATCATTTTTAGATAAAGTAAATAGAAATAATTAATTTATCCTATAATTGTAAATTAATTTTAAGAAAATGTGAGTAATAAGATCATTTTTATTGTCAATATAATCTGAGAGTTCTTATTCTTCTTATCATTGTCGAGGAAACTCTCTTTATTCTAATGTTTTCTTCTTAGTAAGGGGCAATAGAAATGAGTGGAGGAAGTTAATTAGAGTCTTTGATACTTGCCCATCCATTTTTAGAGAGATCAAGAGTCTGATCACATAACTTAGATGTCCCAAGTCTTTTTATTCTTGAGTCATGGCATCGAAATTCCTTAATGATAACTGATTTTGAACATAATTCTCTTTTCTATTTCTCACTCTCATACATTGCTTTAATGTAATCTCCAAAACCATTGAGTTAATTCTTTCCATCTCCCTGAGTTCTACTTCTGAATTTCCTTTTTGGAGGACTTGAAGGATAATTGAGACTTTTAAGACTGTTTCTTTTGGGAGGAATATGAGGACATGACGCAGTCTTAGATATTAATTATTCCTTCTGAAGTTTACCGTAATATAGGATAACTTGCACTCCCAATATCAGTCGTTTCCACATCATCCTACATGAAGTGTATCTCTTTTGAGCAGGACAGTGATATGGCAATAGTAAAAATATTTGAGAGGCTTTTGTCGTATTTTGTCCTTCTATTGAACCTTTGGAACTCTTAGCTCTGGTATAATATTTAAGCCTAGATACTCGTATTAATTTAACTACTTTATGTGATTTTATTTTTATTCATTCAACTCTGATAATTGTTTCAACTTCTCATTTATTTGATATCTCGGTTATTTTTATTTAAATAATTGCACTCTGGTGGTCTGACTGGATTTCAAACTTAAACTTAAGTAGGATCTTTCAAATTTCCGAATGAAACTATTTTCTAAGTCATTCCTATAAACCTTTGATAATTATTTGGGATTCATAAATAATATAAATTATATTTTTAAAGTGATAATTTTACAAGATTTGAGATTGCTAAACATTATGCTATCTTAAATTGACAATATTTATAAGTATTAAGTAACACTTATTTTTATTAATCATTTTTATTTCGTTAATAATTTTATTGATAGTTAATATAATTAGATCTTGAAATTGATATTAGGTAGATTATTTATGAATTCTGAGTTAATGGTCATTTCCTTAATAATATCAATCATTTAGTTTATTTTAATATTAAATTAGACGGTATTAACAAACTTATGAACTCGATTAAGATTGCTATTTTTTTATTTAAAAGTTAAATAAATATAAAATTATTGATGCAACTAATTGATCAATAAGAATAGAAATCAATGATGATTATTCTAATTTTCATGATGATGATTATTCTTAGGACTTTCTTCCTCTTATTCTGCATCACTATCCAACTCCAAGTTTGTTAGTTTACTCTTTTAATTCATCTTCTTCATTTCTTGTTTTTCTCTTCTTTCTCTAACACTCTCCTCATACATATGCATTTCTTCTTCTAGTTATTTCTCCATAGCATGCTTATTCTTTTTTAATTTCTTAGCTGTTAATATATCCTGTTTCCTTTCTAGATAATTATAAATCAAAAATGGTTTAATGTAGTTCTCATCGAATTTCTTAAACCTGCTTTATGTATTTTAAGTTGCATTCTCATAGGCTTAAATATCTTCTCGAATGAAGGTTTGTTTTAAATTGCTTTTGATTCCAGAATTGTCTGATGATTCCATTAGATGTTGTAAATCCATTTGACTATATGCCCACTCTGCTACATATTTCAATGATCCTCCAACAAATAAAGTAGTTCCAATAATTAAATACAAGGTTGCGTAATTGATGAATGGATAATAGTGAGTCTTCTTAACAAATTCAGTGTCCACTTCGCAGATCAAAGCATATGCTATGACCCCTTTTATTAATCCTGAATACAATAATATTAAGAATTCATATTTGTTGATTTTCAAGGGACTCTTAGAATCTTTTTAAATTCTCAGTATAATCATGAAATAATTACAGCATAGCCAACCCTTGTGATAGTAACATGGATAACAATCTTGCCATAGGTTGAATGGCGAAGAATTAAATTAAAACAAAAGGGTAGATTGTGATTCCTTTCAAGTACTCCTTATTATTAATTTCAGTTCCTGTCACAGCAAATCCGATATAAAAATAAATAAAGGTTTCACTTGCATAAGCAAGAGCTTTGACAGTAATTCTAATTAATCTATAGATATTTTTACTTCGATGAATTTGCAGATAACTTAGGTAAATTATAGGTTTAATAATGGGACATCATAATTCCACAAATGAGGACTGCCATAACTCCGCAAAAATCAAATGCTTCACAAAAACTAAAGGCAAAATATGCACAATAAATAGTAAAGATAGTTAATACTGAGGAATGCTCAGATATGCATCTAGCTGTTTTTGTAATCCAAGTTGAAACAACACCTAAAATCTATATAATTAAATTACCAGTAATCAAACCGACAACCAATCCAACGAGCAATTAAGCTAATGTCAATGCAATGAAAATCAAAAAATTGTACCAATTATCTCGTTCAAAGCGAACATTTTCATTATTATATCTTTGGGTCGTGGAGGAAAGTGCAAATACTATCACATCATTTATGATTTATTCCCCGAATATAATGCTATGCAGTTTGGGAGCATGTTCAAATTCAAGGACACTGAGGCTGACAGCACTATCCTTTGAAGTAATACATGCTGAGAAGAACATTGTTGCAAAGAAGGAATAGTTGTCCTAAGTTTAATCCGACGGAGGAGACCAAAAAATACCTAAATTTATTATTAAGATACTTGAACTAACTAATGATTACGTCAAACCAAATGAGATGAGAAATTGAACAATTGTGCCGAATATACCATAGATCAATACATAAAAGTAGTTTTTCATAAAATGCTATTTGTTTAGGCAATAGCCTTCTTTAAAAACAATTATCGGCAACAAAGCAAAAGAGAATATCCTCGAATCAAAATATTTTCCTGAAGAAAAATATCCCATGAATGTTATTAGACCAAAAAATAGTCCAAAAAGGATTGGCACAGACGCTTCCCTCATTACTGATATATGATGATGTTCACAATATGTTTATAATATGGCTATTGTGCCAAATATTAACGCAAAGGCCATAACGATTCCCCCAGTAACAAGGGCTTCTTCATTTATCTCTTGAAAATTCACTGGAGATCCAAATACCATGTAATCTTGATGATGTAATTATAATATTAAATTATATTCATTAAAATATGATGATGTATTAGGTGATTCATGAGTCTACATCATGCTTGAAATTAGAATTGCCACTCAAGAACTCTATGTACAAATCCTTGTCTCAGCAAAGTAATTTTATTATAATTCTCCAATTTAGCATATTATAGAATGAAATATAAATTTTAAATCTAAAACTTAATTATTAAATTTAGAAGTTTTTATTATTTTATTTGCTATTATTGTTGATTTGAACAAAATATTAGTGAGGATGATGAATTGTATTTATGATTTAACAAAAATTAAAATCTTATTTTTTGAGAGAAAGTCTACATAAAGAGTGCAAACCTGCCTTTGTAGTGGAGTCAACATAAATAATTTGAAATATATAAATTATAATTCAATCATTAAACATTTTCAATAGGAAGGAAAAAACAGAAGTTTTTGGAAGACTGTTTATTATACCTTTGATTGTAAGTTGATGGCAGTATAAGTACATAATAACTATATTTAAAATGATTTTTTTTTAAAAGAAATAATAAGATATACTGCAAAGAACAGAAACTGAGATGCTATCTTAGAACTTAAAGATAACTCTCATTAGTTCTTGTTCAAGATTGTTTATGAAGAACTTAAAAAAATAGCAGTCTAATGTTGATATAAATATCGATCTCAAAACAATTTGAATTTATAAAATTCATGATATTTTCTGTTCTTTTTATTCGAATGTTATTCATCATGACTTCGGATTCCCATGTTAATTGGATTCTATAAGGAAATAATTTATTAAATTATAAAGATATTTTTGAATATCATTCATTTTTTTTATGATAATGTCTTAAATGGCCTCCTAATTTGGAACTATTTTTTAATATCTTCCCACAGATCCGACATACATACCTTTTGCCGTTTTCATCTTCCAATATTATGTTCTTAATTTTTTTTTCTTTTCTTTTCTTCATAGAAGTCCTCTACATCATCAATACATTTTGGAAATTTTAGGAATTTTATACCTCCTTTTATTCAGATTAGATCTTAATGTTTGGAATAAATTCAATTTTGTTTAGAAGCCCCTTGTATTATGACACCATTCTTCTAGATATATCTAATACCGCTTGCCTGAGTTGATTTATGTCTAATTTTTCATGATTTTCTTCATTCGAATTTTATTTTTCCATTAATATTATTATATGGGATTATTAAATTCAAAAAAATCTTATATAATATATTTTATTAGTATTATTTATTTTAAATTAAAATTTTCTTGATTAAATTAGGCTGTTAAAAATCAATATCAATTCAATCCAAAGGCACTTTCAAGAATTGCAATAATCACTAGTGATGATAAACGTAGAAAAAAGTCATCAAATTCTTAGCATAATGCCATTTTAGTCCTTTTAAACAGTTCCAATATAATTTGAACCATCTCTTTCATTTTCCACAATTACGAATGGATTATACTGAGAATTCAAACTTGATTTCTTATATATATAATAATCATTATCAATTAATAGATCACAATCTCATCTTTTATTTATATCTCTAGAACTAATCGAGACAAGCCTTATATAAAATATTGTATTCATATTCTTAATTGTTAAATATCATTTAAAGATTGACTACTCATCAGCCTATTACTAGTTTTACATAATTTTATAAGAATATAATTACTCTCTTGCATTCCTCTGTCTACTAATACATCAGTAGGTTTATTTTTACAATTTCAATTATCGTCCTTCTTCAGAGGCAACTAAAATATAAGAAACTAATATCAGTTTCTGAATGTTGTAATACACAGAACTAATCTAGGAATTTTCCATCTCTATTTGTGTATTCCTTTTTAAAACAATATTGTTATTTTTTACTATATTAGGGTATTTTAATTTGATCAATTCATAATCCATAGTTCTATTTAATAATAAGTAGATAATGATTTTTAAGAATTAAGATATTAATTTAGTCTTAAAGAGCCCTAATACAACAATTTAATATAATTCGATGAGGAATAACTCTAGATATAAAACCGATACTATTTTGACATCTCAAACCTGAGATAATCCAAATAAAAGCAGGTTTATTTTAGATTAAAATTAAAACAGCATATAAATATATATACTATATGAATGGTATCAATAGAATCACTTATTTCCACTCTCAAGATATTATTACTTTTCAATTTTTTGACTAAAATTTCTACTATGTTTAGATGATGAACTTGAGGATTAATCAGTAGTAGATGAAATCTTATTCTAATTTTGATTTGCATTAAATTCATAACCCTAAAATAAATCTTAATGTTTGATATCATGATACCTTGAGTGGCTGGATCTTTTAATACCAACAGATTTTGTTAAATGAGTTCATTATTTTCTTCATCTTCTATGAGGATTTACTTTTAATCAAAATTATCTTCAGTCCTCTAATTTAATGATTCCTGCTTACATTTGGTTAAAAGGGTGGAACTAGCTCGAAGTTCTTAAGCTTCTGCCATGGAAAATTTAAAAACCAAGGATGCTGACGGATCTCTTGACTCTCATTAAACCCTAATCGTTATTAAGGCTTTCTTTATAAAAGCTGAATAGGATTTGAAATTAAAATACTCTATTGATGAAATCGGCACCTTCCATAGACCAATTATTAGGGATTTCAGATTTCTTTATTTGAACTTACTTAGCCAAGATTTAATCTCTAATTTCTTGCCTCGACCTCCCTACATAGGGTCTCTAACAATTGAGTTTATTAATACCCTGCCTAACATAAATTCATATGCAATCACTCCCAAGGCATAATAATCTGCAGCATATGTATGATTTTGTCTACACATCACTTCAGGAGCTATATGTTTATAAACATCAGATACCCATGTAACCAGGTGTGCCACTAGTGTCACTTGAGTTTTCAGTTTTCATAACTCTTGCTATGCCAAAATCAGTTAAATGAACATAGCCTTTGCTATCCAAAACCAAGTTTTCAGGTTTAAGGTCTCTGTGAATTATGTTGCATTCATGAACATATTCTAAACTTAAAAATATGCAGGCTACAAAGAACCCTCAAAAAATATAGATAATATTCCTTACTAGTTTATTCTTCATTAAATCTTCTCATTCTTCCAATATGATATCTGAGATCACCTCCAGACATATAATCCATAATTAAATACAGTGTTTCTCTGTCCTGATATGCAAAATTCATGTTAACTAAAAAAGGATGCTTCAATTAACTCAGCAATACTCTTTCATTCATAACTGAATTCACACTTTTTTTTGTTATAATTCTATATAAAGATGAATAACCATACAGAGCCTTCGACATTTCTTTCATAGCATATACTTAAGCTGTCTTCTTATGTTCTACTTTCCAAACCTTTCCAAATCCACCAATTCCAACAACAAAATGAAAATAAAATGTGTTTCTACAATAGATATAATTATCAAATAGTTCCTTCAATTGGTTAATTGATTATGTTTGGATTGGTTGAACTTATTATTTTACAATTTAAGGTTTTTATTTATTCGAAGTTATATCTCTAGCTTTTGCAAACAATGCTTATAATTATTATTGGCTTGAATTCTAGTTATTTTATGTATCAAATGCTTCAATAGTAGGAGACTTATTGTGTTTAATTAATTTTGTTAAATTAGTTACATCCACTTATGATCCTTTATGTGAATGCAATGGTTTTAGGAGATTTTGTTCAGAATTTTAAGGTGATACTTATGAACTGTTTGGAACATTTATTGGAGCTTTACAATTAAATAATAATGAGGATATGATTGGCTTTTTAATAGAACTTGGACTATTCACTTAGCTTGGTTTTCTCAAACCTTACACATTCAAGCTCATATATTTATAATAAAAAAATTATAATCAAATTATAGGAAATAATTTGATCATTTCTGAAATTTATCAAGAAATCTTTGGACAAATGATACTACTAAATTTTAGGTATCAAGTTTATTCAAAATAATAGTACCTAAGTTGAATTAGCAGAATTATTTCTCTCTTTAAATTATTGCCATTTATTTTTATAAAGTGTTGTCATTTTTTGATGTCTTTAAGGAAAGGCCTTGGTAATTACAAGTATATATTTATAGGTATAGTTACTTAAAAGATATAAGAAATTAAGACTTAGTTTCTATTAGATGAGAATCTTTTGATGCTTTTTCAATTTATTAAAAATTCTATTAAGTTTCAGGCCATTCTCAACAATTTCAGTGCAATATCTTATGGTTGATCAAGCAAATCTTGCTCCTTTCAATATAATTCTTCATATCTATGGGACTTGGTCTTTCTTTATTCGTATATGAACTTCACTCTCTAATCCAAATAATAGAATATAAGCTTGGGTCTACTACTTTATTCTCTAATTTGTCAATATTGCCAATCTAGTAAGTTTCTTTTCAATTCAATATTACCCTATTTTTATAGGAATCTAAAATTTATTAATAGACTTTAGCTGTTGAATTTAATAGTTTTTGTTTTTTTTCTAAATTAATCAAATATAATTCATCTCTTTCACTATTAATAAATATTCAATCAATTTAGTATCTATTATAATTTTGATATATAATTTTGATATATAATCTTATTTTATAATCAATTATCTGATTTAGAAGGAAGATTAACTTCACTAAATTTTATGGGAATATAGTGAGTCCAAAAATACTAAGAAATGAATACTTGATGGACAAATTTGTTAAATGTGGAATTTTATAAAAATGTTTATGTGTGCTTATAATTTCATAATAGAATATATAAGTTTGACTGACTAATATCAAATTAATTTAACATATCAATAGACCTAATAATACAATAAAATAATGCATTTATAATGTGTATCTAATGTTGGATGTTAATTAGATTCGAAATACTAATTAGGCTTTTTATATCTCAACATCTAGAAAAAATAAGGTTTCATTGAAATACTTTGCTAGATTAATTACCTAATTAATTGTAGTAAGGTTTTCTTTAAAAACCAGAAATTATAATTTTCAGTTGAAAAATATGAAAATTAATTTAGAATATGTAATTAAATTAGTTTAAACTCACAACCTACAGTGATTTATAAAAAAGAAAGAAAATGGTCATTGGAATGCATATGGTTGATCCCTCAGATAGATACCATTATTTTAACTAAGTCGGAGGAAATAATTAATTGATGTAGAAAACAAGTTCCATCACCTAATTACAAAAATAAGAGCATCTTACTACGAGATAAATTATGACACTTCCAGTTACACCTAATAACAAATACCCTTCCTTTTTAGAATAGGCCTAATCATTAGTCTCAAAATAAGTTAGCATAACCCCAAGACTAAAATTAGTGAAATAACAAACAAAGCCATTACTGAAATAATTTTAAGGACAACTAATCGATAAAAAACGGAACGAATCATTCAAAGCCAAAGCAACAATCCAAAATCCAAGTCAGAAAAAGATAATTGGTTTCAAAAAACAAATCCTATTCGAATTAGCATAACCTTCAGAGTTTGATGATTTTGTTGATTATGTATGTAATAAGAAATTAATATGAATACTTGTTTTTGATAAAGTATGAGTGAGAATAAATATGACATTTTTGACATAAGTGAGTAATATAATTTTAGTAATCATATAAATTAATAAAACCTAATTCAAAAAATTAAGGAGTAAACAATGGTCTGTAAGGTTTCTGGCTAAAGATTTAAAATGGTTCTTTATATATTCTGGGGCGATACTTTCATAATCTTAGATGCAAGAGCTTGATTTTCATCATTTAAAAGCATCATAAATAATCGAAAATCAGAGACTCCCCAAACTCGATCTATGTAATACTATTTAAATCTTAGGAAATCATTCCAGAATAATCTATTTTGTCTATCATATTCCAAACCTTATTTTAGAAATCTTAGTAGACATCTTGTTAAAGTTGGGTTCAATTACTGCAACTTGATATTCATAGATTTAAGGATTTTATAATCAAAAAACAGTTATTTTAAAAGTACATCTAATCTCTTACTCTCTTCAATTTTATGGATTGAAACTTGAAGCAATTTGTTTTTAGTATACAAAATAGTCATTTCGCATAACAATAGGAATTATGAAAATAAGTCTCTATCCAGTTGAACATCCTTAATTCCAAAAATTAACTGAAATCGTATCAATACCTACTCACAAATTTGAGGTAATTCAGTCTACTATTTTTAGGGCTCGATCTTTTCAGTTTACATAATTTTTTTAATCATCAATTAATCCTTGTTTTTTGTTTCTTGTTTCAACTTATTTTATTCCTTCAGGTATTGTTTAATTTCTTTGTTTCTTTTATTAGATGCCAATTATTGATACTTGTTCTCAGTGTCCAAGATTTCTGATTGTTCCTTTGATGTTTGATTGACACTTTGATGAGAGAAGGTTCTTACTCTGGTTATTTTTTATGGTTGGAAGTATTCAATTATTTATAAATCTATTCTTGTGTCACTCAAAAACAATATATTTTTAAATTTACTTTTATGTATCATATTAAAGTCAACTCCAAAAGCATAGTTAAATTACTTTTCTTTATTTATCCTTTCAGCAAATTCAAACAAAACTTCATAAGTCTCTCTACTTGATGTGTTCAATAAATCGATTTTTTTTTATTATTATGAAAATGTACAATAATGATAAGTATATGCCTTACTTTATGATTAGATCAACTATTCCTGTAAATATACGATAAATTATTTGATTTGCATTTCATTAAGAAACTCCTTATATTTGAGAAACTAAAGGTATCGAGGATTTTGAATAAACTCAGCAACAAAATCTTCATTATTCAAAATCAATATGATTAATATCCCTCTTCCTTCCCCAAGTGGAGACACGTCAGCATGGATTGAGTTTCTCTCCGTTGGTTTTCTAATATTGAATGAATTCGATCTCTCCTTTTATAAAAAGGGCAACATTATTAATAATAATTAATAAGTAAATTAAACAATTTATATTCAAATTTTAACACTCTTAGAAAATACATAATGATATTCAAACATAAAAAGTTAAACTATTTGTTAATAAACCCTTAAAGAAATTAAGAAAAAACAATGTAAAATTTGTTAAGGTATTATTTGATAATATTATTATTTGGAGATAGAATAAAGAATAAATGATTATATTAGAAATAATGTAGATTCTATATAGTAATGGATTGAAAAAAAATCTGAAGTTATAATCAATGGGATATGAAAGAATTCGATCTACTAAATCTGTTAATTTCGTCTGCTGCCTCAAATTACAAATGAATAATTGCGATTTGGATAGCATTTAATCCATCATTCTATTTTTTAAATAGATATCTTACGTTTTTAATAGTAATCTCTGCGCCTTTGCGAAGTAAGTATTGAATTATTTCAAAGGCTCCTGTCCGTGCTGCTTGTATCAAAAAAGTATTCCCATTTTAATCTTAAGTATTTAAATTGATGTTCTAATCATGATTGAGTAGGTCTTTAAGATCTTGCAATCGATGATCTTCTATTAAGGAGAACGCTCTTTCAATGTTGGATTTATCATTTTATTGGCTTTCTTGCAACAGCATACTTCTGAATAGCAAAGATGAGGGATCCATTGATTGTTGAGTGATTAAATTGGATTTGATTGAAATGTGTCTTTGAGAACTTTTGGATTTGGTTTATTATTCTGATTCTTTTTATTAGGTTCGAACTTAATGAGAGCTCTAAAATTATTAGATATTATGATTTGAATTTGTGTTTGCATGCAATAAGGCTTATAAATTACGAGAACTTTTGTATATAATATTTTGAGAAGAAGCAAATTTCTGAGTAGCCAATAAATTCTTTGATTTCTAATTCTTTTTTAGCATCATTTCTTTGGCTAATAATGGATTGATCTCTTTTCTAGTCAATTTTGATTCGTTCTGATATAAAAAATATATGATACAGATCCTATTGGAGAAGCAAGTCTGCTTCTTGAATTTTAAGGAATGTTTAAATTTGTAAATTATCTATCAATGATTTTTGCTGAATCTAGATCATTTTGAGTTTTACAATATTCAACATAAATTTTTTCCATTTGAGTCACTTGATGATGTAGAAAATCTTCAAATTACCCTGTTAAGATGTGATTGTATTTAATGGAAAACTAGGTTGACAAAATTGTTAAATCTGTTTTTAATAATTCTATCTCTAAATTATTAAGAATTTATAACTCTCTATTTAATTATAAATAAAATACAATTATTTTCTGGATCATTTTTGATTTTGTTTTCCAAAGTCTTGATTTATGGGAATCTCAATAGCTCCTAATGTAGAAGTTAATTTTTGGTTTCATCATCCACTGTGTTAACAATAACTCTCAATTTCTGTTGCTTTATATCATTTGGTGATATTAAATTTAACATGTAATATATGTAATTGATTTTGAATTGCGTTTGCATTTCTATATCACTCATGTCTAATTGAGAAACATTTGGACTTAAAATACTATTATCACTTAGATGTCCTTCCAAATGCTATCCAATAGTGTAAAATAAAGTCTCGACTTCCCATTATGATTTATATTAATCTTTCTTAAATTGTACAAATAGTTACATGATATTAAGGGATTTACAACATAGTTTTGCTTTGGATCTCTTGCATAGTTTCAGAATAATAATTTTTATTCAAGAAACTCTATTTCTGACAAGTTGAAATTTCCTCATTCTCTTACTGAGGCTCATATTTAATTTCTAAACACTTTTAGGCATGGTTCTGTAAATAATATCTGGTAAATTAAGAAGCCTTGAATGAGTTGAAATTTTCAATTGCATCATTATCCTTTTAAGTTTTTATGACTTTGTCTCCGAATTTCTTAACTAATCTCAAAGCAAATTTGCTACATATATTTTAAGATATTTACTTCTATAACATAGATTTGCTGACCAATGAATAGATATTTGATTGTTTATTCTCCTTTATTTCTGTAGATTAAATTTGACTTTACTGAACATCACCCATATAATCTGGCATTTAAAATTCGATTTCCTTTTCATTTTCTTCAAAAGCAACGGTTACTTTGATGTTTTTTTTTTAAATTGGTTAGATTATTTATACTTTCTCTTTTTTATCATCTTTCTTCTCTTTCAAAGCATCAATGATGGTTTTTATTGGAAGCATTGATTCAGTATCCTAAATACTATAATTAGGATGAATTTTGGTTTGCTTTTTGGTAATCGTACTTAATTTGAAATTGAATTTAGATTCAATGGCTTTGGGGGTTTTTTCATCTGGCATATTACTTAGTGTTTTTGAAAATTATCTATCAATTAAAGATTCCTTCTTCTTTTTAATTTCCAACTCCAATAATTTCTCTTTCTCTCTATGAGTGTGCAACAATTATCTCAATTTCCTCATTAGATGACAACTTTTTTCATTTAAAGATTCAATCTCTGTAATTTACTATTTAATCTAGGTTCTTTTTATCTTATAGCTTATTTTTGGAATCTTTGAGAATTCATATGCTTCTCCCAATACTTAAACGGGATTAACTTTTGGCTATGCTTATTTCGTGATTATTTCACTTCTGCTTGAGGTCAAAGCTGATTACTGAATCTCAACAGCATGGGCTATTTATGTTGGAATTGTGGCTGTATGTTAAATATTTTGTTATACATATAGTTACTCTACTTCTTCAAAGTTTTCTTTAGGAGAGTCCAATTTAGAGATATTTATGTTATTAGAAAGGGTGAGAGTCTCAGTTTTATTTCTTTAATGTTAATGTATAATGCGAAAGTCTCCTGAATTTCCACTTGCCTTCCTCATTTTATTGGTTGCAGTTTTTGGAGTATCCTGGGTTTCTGTCTTCATAACAGTAGTTAAAACAGGGAGCCTTTTGGTTGACTCTAAATGGAGACGAGATGTACGTTTGGAGTAAACCAAATATTTATTTCCATTAGAAATTGTGGAGCTTGCGTTTTTATTGTGTTTACTGGGGGCAGTGGTTGTTGGAGATCCCACATTAGAAATTAATTGGCATCCTGCTAAATTTGTGAAAAATTTGTTAACTTAGGATTATTTCATTAATTTTAAAATTAATTGCTAAAAACAATAATCAGACAAAATAAAAATGGCTTTACTTTTCTAAAATCCCCACTAATTACAGTCCCAAATTAAATTGATTACTCATAAATCATGACATTGATTATTTAGAATTCTAGGTTCAAACAGCGAATTTTTAAATTATGAAGTGCACACATCTCAAAATTTAAGCTCCTCCAATATTAAATACCTATAGTAAGTATTATTTAAATTGATTTTATAATATAATACGTATTTTTTCAATATTATAATGTGTTAACTCAAATTCCATAAAAGAGTAATTAAATAATCGAAGAATTCACTAGAAATATGGGAAATATTGAAATGAAAGAAGAAGCCATCACAACTTAGTAGGAATGTTATCATTGTAAAGGGGCTGGGTATGTTGTACCCAAATTCTCAAGAAAATATTTAGATCAAGATTTATCACCAACCCAAAAAAGAGAAAGGGATTAGTGTTTGGATTGTCTAGGAAAAGGACATATCACATTGGAACACTACGAAGAGAGAAACTTTACTTTATGATCGTATCTATGATTCTATATATATTATATAAAACCATTAATAAACTAAAGATTTCGAAGATTTAATAATATAATAAATCATTATTTATTCATAATGAAAAGTAATGACTTATATTAATGTTAATCTAAGATACTACCAACCTACTGCCTAAATTCATAAATGAGTTGCCGCAATATAATATTGCCAATTACTTTCTTTAAATTTTGTAAAGTAAAGAATTGTTCATCAATTACAGATTTTTATGATGATGTAATAATATTATAATTATGATTTTTATAATCATATTTAATTTAAATTCTCTAAAGGTAATCTAGAACCATAATTTACAATTAGAATTTATTGAGATAGTGTGATGTAAGATAAAATAATATCATAATAGAATTAATGAGGAACTAAATACTGAGTCATTCAATTCATATTAAATTAATATACACACTAAAAATTCTTGTAAAGTAGAGATTGATTTATTCAACTAAAATAAAAGCTTTAATCTTATTAGCCTTATATTATCTATTTTGGTTCTATTTTGTTAATTCTACTCGTTTTCAAAACAAAGGAACTAGTACATTTTTTTATAAGTCTAATTTCAAGAAAAAGCATTTGCAGGAATATAAAACCATATATTTTATGAAAATATACCAATCTCTAAATGAGTTCTATTTTTTAAAGACATATAAATAATTAAAATAGATTTATATAATATTATTTTAAATTATCAAATCAAGAAGTTACTCCTGCTACTTAGGAAATCTCTAATTTATATTGTGAACCTTAAATCACTTGGCTAAACGATTAATATCTTTAAATTACTTCATTATTGATAAATTCAACTTCAGAGTCACAATCTATTGTAAGTGCCTTCATTCCTCCTATTACTAAGCCTTAAACAAAGCTTGCCCAGAGTGATAAATACTCATCTTATTAACTAAATTGAATGACATATTACATTTTATCGTTTAATCTGATTCTCCGAGTCATCTAAAAACCAAGCTTTGTAATTGTGTTATTTCCTTTCTTCTATTCTTCATACCTATCTTCAATATCATAATGTGAGCCTGCTTTATTAATTTAAACTTTAGAAACTGGTTATCCAAACATATATGACCAAAAGTCTTTACCAAAGAATTTGACATAATCTGTATATTTTCCTTAATCTGGATTAAGCTTGATTTTTTCAAATTGGGTTGATGCTAATGATTCCATTACATTCTACCCTAATTTCTTGCCCATTTCAACTAATCTAATCTATTTCTCATTTTTGTCTACATCAATAATTGATAATACTAAGTTTTTTATTCTGCTAAACTGTCAACATATATGTGCTTAATAAATGATAGACGATTGGATATTCAATTGTGGATTGACGCTTATATTGATTTGATTTTGGTAATTAGATTTTTTGATTTTGCGATTAATCCATGTATGTAGTTATATAAATATAATAAATAAATTGAAATCATTATTGCTTTTTTCTTGTTAAAATATCAGACAAATTGAATGGTTTGTTTTCAGAAATGCTGCGAAACAATAACTCATTATTTCGATTAGAGTTTTGAACACCAAGTCCAAAGCCTTGGTTCATTTCATTAATCATCTCAACCACAGAAACTGAAGACAAAGACAGATTATTTTACTATGTCTATGAAGTATCCAATATTTGTTCTATATTCCGAAGTGTAGATGCTAATACAGGAAGCTGTCCCTTTAATTTTTGAAATTATTAATCTACCATGTACAATCTTTTAATTTCGAGATTATCACAATATCTAGGTTTATCTTATTGATATTTATCTAATTCTTCTTGTTACTTTTGAATTATCTATTCTAATTCTTGATGTTTTTAATCCATTTAATAAATCACTTGATCCTTCTCTGCAATTATAGATTGTAATTGTTCGATGTATTAATTTGTTTATTCATCAGAGTGCATCCTGTCGATCTTTCTATTCTTTTCCATATCCTCAAGTTCATTTTCTAATTATTGAATGCGTTGGCATAAACTCTGTTATAAGTCCTCATACTTTGATTTCCAGTCTTCATGATATTGAACAGAAGCATTTCTGGATTTCTGATTTTTGGCAAATCTACCCATACTTCTCTTATGACTACTATCATTAACTTTCATTAATTTCTGATCCTAAAAAGGTAACATTAATTGAGTTACTGATTTAAATTCGGTAATGCTGATTCCCTCTTTGGGATTGAGATTCTCTTTCAGATACTTTTAGCTGCAAAGTAGTTGTTTGACCAATACAGGACTGTTATCTGAGATGCTATTTGTAATGATTTATCTAGGAGATAAAGATGCAGAGGATCTCTAAACACTTTTTGGAGCAAAATAGGTTATCTACTTCATCTCATCTTTTTTATTAAAGTACTTGCATAAGCCATTTAAGGATTGAATCAAATTTTGGGGTTTGTTTATTTGCAAAGGCGTATATGTTATAAGAGGCTTTGATTTAATAACATGGCATGATTATTATGAAGAGCGAGGTTCTGTTAGGAAATTATCTGAAACATTAGATATGATTTGTTTCATTTTCAATTTGGAAACTGTTATAAATAAAATAATATTTGAATTTTGTATTTGGGCATAAGGATGGATATAGTTAGAATAGCATATTATTTATTTTAATGTATATCAAATATTCATCAATAAAAACTCTATCTAATTGTCTAATTTTGGATTAAAACTAACATAATATGATTAAATTTCAATTAACGAATAGTTATTGTATATTCATCATCAGAAACACCTTTGATTAAACCTAAAATCCCTTGCGCATGATTCTTACAATACACTTAATAGAATTATATTTAAAAATTTAGATATTATCTAATGATCTACTTATGAAATCAAAGTTTAAAGAAGATCTATTATGCAAAAAATGGAATTTTACCAATAAAGTATTATGGATGATTAATTAAAGGATGATGATTTTAAGCAAAATTCACATTTTATTCTTAAAGGTTCCTTGTTGATGAATTTGCAGAGTAGGTAAAGTGAAGATAAGGATATAATTTTCTGTTATGAATAATAGAATATTATGTAATTCATAAAATCCCGTGTCCAAACCATTCATATTATAAAAGATAAAATGGAAACTGATCCTAACATAAATTGACATTAAATACAATCTATTTGAAATAGTCATTTCGAGATCATCATAATAAGCACCTTGCACAAGTTAAGCTAATTTGAAGTTGACTAACTGTAATATGTTGTTGCTTTGCATAGACTCTAAGGAAATTTAATTAAATGTCCTCCGAGAATGAAGATAATTTTACCAAAATTATAAATTAGAAAAGGACAAAAAACAATTGTAAAAGTAAAATTTTCATTCCTTTTCTCTAGATAATAAAAAGATGGGTCTTTTTTTAAGTATAAATTTGAACTATCATTAAACTATTAATGAAACAAAATTTTAAATATTTGCAGAGAAGCTAAGTAAAATTTTATGTAAGTACTTAAGAATGTAAACTTAAATATAATAGATAACACAGTTGTGAAGGCTGATAGAACAGTTCTAGCTATAATAGTATAAATCTCTTTAAAAATGTGAAAGAAAGGTAGAAATTTGAAATAGTATTTTAAGATTTATAAGTAACTATAGATAAACAATTGCTTATATTGGAAAAAAGTGGGAACATTTAACGGAGACTTAATTTGATCAATATCAACATCTATGTCATCAGTCCTTGTTGTAAGTGAAGAGCAGGAGTTAAATTGAATCTCGAACAGTTCTAAATCGTAATTAAATTTTCATAATTATTTAATAGATAGTGAAAAACAATATCTTCGTTGGCTTTATTTTGAGAAGGAGACATTTAAGACTTCATATAATCTATCGATAATACCATCTAAATACGATAAAGTTTAGAAGAATGACGAAGCGATCACTAATATAGATATAGGTTATGAATCCATATCTCTTATCCTGGAGATGGGTTGTTCATAAATATATCACAGATTTTGAATAACTATTATTCCCTGATTTCGGTTGCTTTTGTAAACTTGGGAAAGAAGGAGCTCAAATGTATAACAAGTGATTTATATATCTATATTATAATTAAAATGAATTAGAAATAAGAGAAGAAAATAGACGATATCACTCTATAATGTAATTATTATTCTGATTTTAGAACTCAGAAGCATGGCCGAAAATGGTGCTGGAGAATCACTTGCAGCTAGTCTAAATTTAGATTAAGAAGATCTAATTAGTAAAGATGTAATTGAGTTGTAGTTTGGCCTTTGGAGCAGGTGCAAAGAAACTTTAAGGAATTTATGAGATCGACTTCATAAATAGAAATTGAGGCGGACAATGCTAAGGAAAGAATTGACTTTCCAGCTGATATGGAGTGGCCAACTGAGGATGATTTGGAATAGATGTTTCAAAAGTCTATGAGCAAGTAATCTTCATTGTACTATTTTTGCAGAATCCAAGGTCGTCAGAACAAAAAGAAGTGGAAAGATAATGAGAAATAATTTTTAACATGGATTATTATTAGATATTGTCTATGGAAAACCAAAGTTTGTAAGGAGCTTGTAAGTCTTCAACTTAAATATAGAATGACTAAGATTGGAGATACATTGCATAATTGATAGTAGGGAGAAATGCAACCTAATGTAAATATAAATGGTTGGCTCGATCTAAATTTAAACTAGTTCAAGTCCCATGGAGCAAAGAAGAGGATGAGGCATTGGCTCAAATTTACATGGAGTATCAAAAACAAGGTAAACACAGTAAATGGAGTGAAATTGCTAAAGAAATTGCTTTGAGATGCAAAACCCAAATTGTTAGATAAGGCAAGCAGTGCAGAGAAAGATGGATTAATAAATTGGATCCACAAATATCTAAGTAATATTAAACTTATACATTTTAGAGGACCATGGACTAAGGAGGAAGAGTTAACTTTATTGTAATTGATTTTAAAAAAAGGAAAAAAGTGGTCAGAAATATCAAAAATTATGAAAAATACAAGAACTGAGAATTCTTTAAAAAATAGATATCACACTATTATGAAAAAAGAGAGAAATAAATAACCTGAAATCAAAGAAGAAATACAATAAGAAATTGTAGATTTATTATAATAGCATAATCATAACTATTAAGCTGATAACTTGGTTCATTTGTATGAAGATATAGATCCAAAGGAATTAAAGATAATACTTTAAGTTATTGATAGATTAAGTGAGAGTACTGGGAAATAAATTAGAGTAAGCACTTTGATAACTGATTAATAAATGTAATAAGAATAATTATATGAAAAACAATAAAAAGTCAAGCAAGAAAGCTAAATTGATTAAATTCAATAAAAAAACGAAGAGGCAAACAATAAATAAAGATTTCTCGATACTATGGAGAAAATCAAAATTGATTTGGATCAATAAATAAAGAAATTAGTGAATAAGTAGGAATTGGATTAGAATTGCACCATCAATCTACTCAAATAAATTTTAAAGCCATAGGGTATCAATCATAACTTATCATTTAGAAAACGAAACAAATTAATTGTAATTTGATTAATATTACGATCAAATGATTCTCAACTTCCAAGCGAATTAAGTAGAATTTGAAGTTGAAGCCATAACAAATCTAACAGCTTAAGATGTTGAAGATTGTTAATTTGGCATTGTAGATTTTGAACAATCCAACATTTTTATGATCCCTTAGTAGTATTTGTAAGAAGTTATAAATAAAGTTCATGGGTCTTCAACTTAAGCTTAAGTTCAACAACAATAATAAATGTTGTAACATTAATAACAATAATAGCAATAATAGTAATAATAACAATAATAATAATAAGCACAATAGGCTTAATAAGTATAACAATCATAAATTTAGTAATAGTAATAATAACAATAAAGATTAAACATTTCATCATCGCTTAGATAATCAATACCTTAATCATAATAAGCTCAACCTCTTTAAACATCTTAACTATTTTTAGGTGATTAATTTAATCTTGTAAATAGCCAATATGATTTTGAAAATCAATAATAATACTAATAATAAATTCCTGTTCAAATTCTCTATCCATAGATTATTTATTAACCTATAGGCTAATCTATAAATCTATCGCAAGGTCTATAGTAAAACTATTGGATGCAACAATCTTATTATCAACCTTAATATTACATGAAGGCATAAGAATAGTAATTCAATAAATCCAATCAAGAAGAACCTAAATGAAATTTAATTAATTTTTATATCTATATATATATTCACGTAGAATTAAAATAAATAAAAGTTTTCTAATTATTATTAAAGTTACAACGAGATTCCAATATAAATAATGAGATTCTATTTGAAAAAAAGGGTATGTAAGAAGAAGTGATTGAATATTATCATTTTATAGACTTGATTTTACTCAGTAAATTTGAGATCAGTAATGTGAAATAGAATCCTTACTGTCTGGTTGTTAAAATATAATAAGGGTATTCAAAAAACCCCCCAATAGCTCAAATTGTGGTGGTAGTTCGTATAGATCTTGAATCTAATAATAAAATTCTTACAATCTTAAATAAATCTTATTATTCAAATTATATTTAATAAACTCCTTAATTTTGACATGTATGTTGAATCTAAATATATCATTTTTTGCTTTCCAACATATCAAATAATAGTATTTATATTTTTGATAAGTATTATTTATTTGTAATATTATTTTTGTATTAGCTTTGAGTAATTGATTGGTTTTTATACTCAAGAAATATTTTTAAATAACAGTTAATGAGCAATAAATAACAATAAGCTAAAGATTATCTCACTGCCTGTTTTCAATGTAAAGGATTTGAACCGTTCTTTATTGTCACAAAAACATCTCTTTTACGTATTTTAGATAATATGGCCTAACAATAATTTGATAGAGAATTGGCAGATGAATTATTTCAACGTTGTCCAACCAATTACAAAGGACTGGTTAAGATTGAAGATTTCATTGAAATTGTTATATAAGCAGACATAGTATTGAATGAAAAAATCAACAAAGCTAATCAATTTATTGTGAAGCAAACAGAAGAATTGGCAAAATTAACAAATAAGAATCGTTCTCAAATTTTATAGATCCGTGTAATAGGAGCTAAGAATCTACATTAGGGATTGATTAATGCCACAAACAAACCTTATGTTGTTGTACATTTCAATTAAGAGAAAAAGAGTTCTCGTTTAGCACACAATGACATTCTTAATCCAATTTGGGATGAGACCTTTGTATTGTAAGAATTCTGTTAATATTTAAAGTCCCATTAAGACTGGAAATGAACAAACTTACATATCGATATTAACATTGGATAACACAAATAATAAAAGCAATTTAATAGGAGAGGTTCATTTTGGGTTAAGAGAATTGGAAGATCAAATGAAACATAATCAATGGTTCAATATTTATGATCGCCATGGATCTATGGGTAGTGGTAGTTTACAATTAGAACTCCAATTATTACTTGATGAAGTATTATCTTAAGGACTATAATTAGTCAATGTTCTACGAATAAGCACAATAAGTAATGCAGCAATAAATACTGAATCAACAGGAAGAGAAGGATCAATATGAAAATGATTTGAAGATCCTTTATTCTCCATTTTAGAATGGAATATTGCAACCAAAAAGACTAATCGTTCCTGATGCACCTCAATTAATGTTTGTTCATGAATTCTCTAAGCCAATAATCTATTAGGGAGATAAAAAAGTAGATTTGACAGTTTACAAAACTCCATAATTGAGTGATAGTAGGGTCCTACAAATATTGAATCAACCACCTGAAAGTGTGACTACAGTACATCCAGAGATTGATTATCCAGCAAGACACGATCTCAAGTAAAAAGCCAATTATGGGTATGATCATGTTACCAAAGATATGAAATTAACAGCTATCTTTATTCTCTTATATGTCCTTAGTAGTATTTATCTATGTTGGGTGAAAACTGACTTTGTTAATATTACTATTGCTTTATGCACCTCATTGATTGTTGGTCTTAATTATTTTGAGAAGAACCATTTAAATATATTTGCAATTCTCATAATTTTGACATTGTTATATGATGTTTCTTGGTTGGCTGCCTATTCAGGAGTACTATTTATAGTTAATTTAATAGGTTTGGTGGAATCAAAGTAAATCGGAAAATCCTTAATCAGAATCTGAGTTAATAACATCTTAGAGAATAACAATTCTCATTAGCTACTTTGTGATTTTTCTGAAGATTGCATTGTCATGTTAATTGTGGAATTTAAAGAAAAACATAGAACCGTTAAACAATCATAAATAATTTGGAATAGGAACTCATTTGTATTAAGCAAATGGTGGACATATAAATCCATTTATTTAATGAAATAAATATTTTTGTTATTATCAATAACCATCGTTTCTTGTAATGACATTTTAATCTAAATAAGGGTAAACTGTTTTTATCGCATTTAAGGATATTTTATGATCACATTGTCCATATAACCAAGAGTATCCATATATTTCTATACTTTATTCAATAAATGAATGTTTGATTCTACCACCTCCTAAACATTTGAACTTGAACTTATGTCCATCTAATTGCAACTTGATTTTTCCTTCCTCTAAATCAAAATTGAAATCTGACCATTTCAAGTTATTTTTAACTTCGTTGCAAAAGTGTTCAAAGTTTTAAGCATGATATCCATATTTTTTGAAACCTCTTACAAAATAAAATTCTTGATTATTATTCCCTGTCAATTAAACTAAAATGTATTTAAATGTGCCTTCCTCATCAAGACCAACCTAACTAACATTTTTTGTGATTTTAATAAAAGCCTCTTATTCCGACTAACGAGTTTCTTCAGATTATTGAATTTCTTCAGACTATTGAATTTCTTCAGACTATTGAAATACTTCAGACTAATGAGTTTCTTAAATCTAATGATTTACTTCAGGCTAATGAGTTTCTTCAGACTATTGAGCTATATTCATTTATTAATTTATTAATCATATATTTCTGTACCTTTAAAAGCTAGAATAATTTCTTTTATATTTGATAATTATTTGAGATGATAGAATAAAATAAAGAAATTAACAATCAATCTATTAATCAAATTTTTATCACTGTTGAAAATTTTAAAATTATCAAGTGAAACTGAGGTAAGCCTTGATAATTTTGAAGTTTGATAAAACAAATCAAATAATTCTTTTAAGTAGATTTTGCTTATTAGTAAATACTCAATGACTTTGTTATTTATTAACTCAATTGATTAATTTTTATTGCTGAAAAACGCAAGAAACAATGAGTATATACTTAAAAATTAATAAGTTTTAAAATAAAGTATCGATTGGTAGATATTTAAGTTTATCTCTATTTCTTAATAATCTGATTAAATTGCAAGATATTAGTATTATAAATGTATTTTAATATCAAAATATTTCACATTTGGCACAACATCCTTTGTCATTATTCACAGGATCCAAGCGCTAAATATGTATATTTTCTGGATTATTTTCTTCGTTTATTTTATTTTCAGTAGAATTAAACCCTTGCTAATCACTAGGCTATAATTTATTTTATTCATTGTCATTTCCTTATTATTACTAATTTTTTTATCTTTCAGTTAAAATAACCTACTCAGTGCTTTCTTTGATTTCATAATTCTGAGGGATATTTTATTTCTTTTCCTCCTCCTGATTGAATGTTTGTTGCTATAATTCAGGTTATTCCGGTTCATCTAAAATAGGTTTTTAATAATTCTATTAAGCTTAATTATGTGGTTATTTAGAGTCTGATTATGGATTATCTTCTGATTAATCTTATCTTGGATTTTCAGGTTTATCTTCTTCTTGAATTTATTAGTTTGGCTTATTAGAAATGGAATAATAAATCTATTGTTACTATTTCATAAAATCATGGAGATTAAAGTCGACTTAATCATATGGATCATTGTCTTCCTCTTCTTCTATTTTCATATTTTGAATTTTCATATTCTATTTTTAATTATTTTTGTTATCCTTCTTTGTATATCCATCAGGCAAATCCAAATTGTAGGGTGGCCTTAATTAAAATAGAGGAATACCAAAACTTTGTTAAATTAGGGTGAGTGCCTCCGAATTTTTCTTCTAATTAATTTGGTTCGATAAATTCTTTTAATTGTTTAATTTCTTTCGATGAGAGGAAACTAATTTTATTAATAGTTTCTTCATCTAAAAATGCTTTAATTTATTGCCATAAAAAGTTGATTCCGCTTGAAGGATTTAAAACAAACATTCTTTCAAGGTAACCTGAAAAATTAGTACTCATATTGTCGATCAATACTTCTAAGACTTTTTATTACAAACCCTGGCCTCCCAGGTTATTGGTCTCTAATAGAAAGACCCAGGTTTCCACCTTCCCTGGAACAAACATATTTTTTTTTACTATTCCTAAGAGACATGACAAAGCTTAAAAGATCTATTCCTTATCATGCTAATCATATAGAGTGGAATTATATACTTTTTTTTAATCGATTTAATGGGCATTCAATATGACAATAGGTCTGTATTATTTATCTCTACCCAAAAGGTAACAGATTCCTTCCTTTAAAAATGATTCCGAATGAGAGTTGATTTCTTGATAAATCTTATTACATCTCCAAGCTATGTGTTATTGAAGTTTCTTGTTTATAAACAACAGTATACTTTAATCACTGTCTTTTTATCAAATCTTCCAGCATAGCTTATTCTTAAATAATCGCTTTCTTTCCAACTAAACTAATATAAAGATATTTCTACTCAGAAGAGAGTATTATTTTCTATTTCTTAATCTCCTCCTTAAGTTCCTTTACCTTCTCCATTTCAAACTAATCATAAACAACTGTTTCGTAGATTTTCCTAACTCCCTTCTCCTACTCTTGATGCTTGATATAATGGTCTAAAATTAAAATCTGATTTATATACTAGAGTGAACAACATCATTAGCCTCTTTTGGCGGAGCTAGGTACGAATAATCAATCATTCGATTAAATTAATAATCAAAAATAAACTCTCTGATAAAAAATAAGGGTAATCAATGATGCATATGTAATAGTATAATCAAAGATAGGTCTTCTTTTTCTAAATCCTTCTCAGGTTGATAATTAATTCCTAATTTTCCCAGTTGACGAATGAGAATTTTGGTAAGTCATAAACGAGTTCTCTTGCATTCAACGAACCAGTTTTCATTTCATTTATTAATCCTTTTAATTCGTTATGATTGCTCTTTAATATGAGAATAAATTTATACTCTAATTGCATCGTTGAGGAAATTTCTTATTGGAATCTCTGATTTCTTGATAAAATCTTTTATTATGTTCTAAGATAAGAAAAATTTGATGAACAAATCCACTAGAGCATCCCCACTAATATATTTCAGGACACTGCTATTAATATATTTTTGTAGGATATTCCCATCCAAATATTTTGTTATGAACTACTCATCCAATAAACTTTTTAAGACTTTTAAGTCCAAAGAAACTGACGTATAATCGATCAAAACCTTTTCACAACTGAACCAATTTGAACTAAAATTGAAGTTCATCGACACAAACACACTTAATTATTCATACATAAATACTCTTCTAGTTTTAAAGGGATCACAAATTTATTCTCTATCACCACTAGATAAATGTTTAAAGTAGGTGCTTTAAATTTTAAAATGTCATTATTCAAGTCAAAATCCACCTTATTATATTATTTAATAATTTACTTTTAATTCAGCAAAATTGTGAAAATTTACCTTTGATCTCAAACTGTCAAAAAGGAGCCCAGCAATTCCCAGATCAAAATCCATACCCTTAGCTGAAATAGCTGTATATTAATTTAAGAATTCCTGTGTAAAATTCTAAATAAATGTTCTAGTTTGCTCTCTGTGTTGTCTATTTTCTAATTAAGCCTATGAGGAGACAAGCAATAATGATAATATGAGTGTTATGATATTATGTTTCATTTAAATTATTTAAGACTTTTTCATTTTTGCGGTTATCAAAGAGGGGTTAATAGAATTATCTAATAGAATAAATGCTTTAATTATTTTGATAAGTTCCGATTTATGAAATCCAAAGCAGAACGAATAATAATTTTAAAAAAATAAAACAATTGTCTGAGCTTTTAAATCCGATTTTTTATATTTTTTCATTTCTCAAATGTAATATTTACTTTTTTAAACATTTTCAAGTGTCAAAGACGAAATAGATTGGCATATTCACGGTTTATAATGCAATAACACATACCATTATAATAAACTCTTGAAATTATTGTTGTTAAATTATTCTTGATATATGCAAATATATATGGATGATGAAACCAATAAATATAGTTATTGCTCCTTAAGTTGGAGAATTGCAATGAACTAAATACTGTAGATCAGTGATAAAATAAATTATAAATATAGCATCCGGTTTGAATCTACACTTCACTTGAATTCGACTTATTTTTATGTCTTTCACCTTTAGAGGTAAAACACTTAAGATGATTTAATTTGTGCAGAGGCTCATACTAAAAATAATAAACATTTAAATTGTTAGACGTAAAATAATTCAAATTCTATTATTTCTATTTTTAAAATTATTTAAAAATTAAAATGTTTTTAATAATAAGATTAATTATATTATAATTAGGATTATTTTATTATTTTTATTTTATGAATATCTCAATTTTAGAATAACTTTTATACGTTTAAAAATAATTCTTTGGTTGTTTCGATATTGTCTAAGTGATGCTCAACTTAGGATTCAATAATTCCGGCAAATGTAGGTTCATATTCCTTAAGGTTAACTTGTCCATCTTCTAAAACTAAGTTTGGTTGAATTTCTAATCTTCTTGGGAACTTATTTTAGATTACAATATTTCTATAATTTAAGAATTATTCACTAACAGCAGCCAAATTACTAAAGAACTCAACACCTTAATTTCCTGCTCCTATGGACTTGAAGACTTACAAATGTAAAATTAAATTAGAAATGGCTTTCTTACCTGTTGTGTATAATTTGGATTAATCAAATTTAAAGTGAATATATGGTTTACCATTTAATTGTGTTTCTGTGATCTTGATAATGTCTGGATCTTCTCTAATTAAAGATTGCAAGATGACATTTCTAGCTAAGACGTGTGCTTAACCCCATTTCTTTTACTCTGGATTATAGAATTCCAATCCTTAGACAGCTCGATGAACAACAAATAGCCAGCCTGCAAAAACAGTGTTTCTCCTTTCTTCATCTGATTGATTTGGTAATAGCAATTTAACGACATCATCAAATGTAGATAAATACAAAGCAGTAGCATCAGCTTTACATTCTTCCATGGCTCCTGAGAATTCGCCAAACTTGGAATGCCATTATTCACCATGATTATAGAATGAATCAACCTTTTGATTAGTTAATGGATTAATGGTGTTTTCAAGATTGAAGTTTAAATTGCCATCCTTATCTTTCATGAACACTTTACCAGCACCATGACCAATCAACTCATGAAGAGCAACAACCAAAAAAACAGCTTCAGATTAATATTTAAAAAATATCTCCTGATCTGTTTCATCTAAGAATTTAATAGCATCCTTTGATAACTTTCCGATTGTATTTCCTAAATTAACATTCTTAAATCCTTCAGTTTGTCTGATATCATCATAATTAGGAATGTTGATACCTAAAGGTGTACCTGAACTTGCAAAAGCCAAAACTTCTAGTGATGTGAAATCAGGTCTCTTATATACATCAACTTCAAATTCTTTGGGCCATGGTAAATACTTAATGATATCTTCAGCTTTATTGACCAATTCATTTAAGAGAGCACTTTCTTCTTTATTAACTACTGCCACAAAGCCTTCCCATTCAGCACGAACCTTAAGTGGGTCCAAATAGGTTTCAATAAATCCAATGTTCGTTTCAATAACAGGTCCCTTATCCTTAATCCAATGTCTTTATGATGTTTTATGTAATTCCACCTCTCCAGTCTAGAAATGTTCAATGTATGCTTATATCATATTCTTTTGATTATCATTTGCAGCATATTGTAGTGCTGCTGTAAGATGAGCCACTACACTATTAAGGAAAGGAGAGAAATCACCATAAACAAGTTTAACTTTGTGGTTGTGTACTTCTCCTAGATCCTTCTCGCCTTTGTTCACCGAGGCCACTAACACATGAATTTCATCATCAACTTTAACAACTCTAGTATTCAATTCAGAAACACCTTGGACAATCAAGAATTTATCAACAGCTTCCAACAATTCCCCTTTCAAATTATTGCTATAATAGGAATTTGAACCATTCTTTTCCTGTAAATCAATCAAACCATAAGGTTTATCATAATTATAGACATATTTACGGACACTCTCCCAAACTTGATCAACTTAATATCCTGGTGATGTTGTAATGAATTGTTCAAACTTATCCTAGCTAATCTCAGGAATGAATTTCGAATCTCCAAAGCTTTTGAAGTTGCCAGAATTTTAGAATACAGCTGCAACATATGCAAATAACTATTGAACTTCTTCTTCACTCCATCCGCCCTATTATAAACGCTATTTCACAGCTTATGGTTTTTCAGTCGAAAAGATCTTATGGAAAATGTAAAACAAGCCTGGTGATTCGTAGGATCTCTGGAAATAGCAGATTCTTGCTCCTTCCCAAGAGGCTCTAGCGAAATGATAGGCGTATTGTTTTTCGTTTTAATTTAACACCTAATAAGATTTCTTTATATTCTTACTTTGAAACCTGGACTAGCAAAGGATGTGACTGGGGAATTCACTTAAATCACTGGTGCTTGATTCATAATTTAATTTTTTTATTTTGGATTCACTAGTAATGATATAAATAAATACAACAAAAAAATCTGAAGATATAAATGTCAGATGAATAATCATCTTATTTTATTATAATAGTTTTTTACCTACAGCAGATTAGTTGATGACATAGCCTACATACTTTACGATATTTGGCATAATCTCCTTCCCTTTTATTGCATTGACTATTTAGCAATAATTATATTATAGTGATCTATGAAAGAGTTATTCATTTTTGGATCTTGACTTTTCTTGATGCAGGATTGTTATTTAAATTGCTTTATTTGAAAGGACAACTCAGTTAAAAAGAGAGGAAGAAGAATGAGTTGAAAGGACAGAGTTGATTAAAATGCTAAAAGGAATTATAAAAGCATAATTAAAAAATTATTATAAAGCAGAAGGAAAATTTAAATCATTACAATTAAGAAAATGAGTTTGCTATTGTAAATACAATTATAATAAAATCAATTAGGATGTACAATTTTTTCAATGATTTATGATTCTTCTATCTTAAAACAGTCGACTTCTTCTTCTATTCTAGTTTCACTTTCATTTGAATTGTCCCTATAAGCATTATAAAGATTGGTACTTCTCATCTAAATTATCTAATTCTGGCATCAATCTATTTTTCTTGCATTTTAATTCATCAGGTACACTTCCTGTATGAAGCACAGTGACATCAAAAGTTCTATTAGCAATTAATTGATCATATGATTAAACTTCATAGATTTCATCATAAAATTAGTTTGCTTCCAAAACTATTGGTTGAACCAAGAATATGTGGTCAGTGATATTTTGGGAATTCAAATACGAGAGCAGACCTTGAGACTTGTCCTTAAACCCAACATAGGTTTTATTGATAGATATGCCATCGAGTAAGGTCTTCTCAATAAAGTTTTAAAACNTGGTGATGTTGTAATGAATTGTTCAAACTTATCCTAGCTAATCTCAGGAATGAATTTCGAATCTCCAAAGCTTTTGAAGTTGCCAGAATTTTAGAATACAGCTGCAACATATGCAAATAACTATTGAACTTCTTCTTCACTCCATCCGCCCTATTATAAACGCTATTTCACAGCTTATGGTTTTTCAGTCGAAAAGATCTTATGGAAAATGTAAAACAAGCCTGGTGATTCGTAGGATCTCTGGAAATAGCAGATTCTTGCTCCTTCCCAAGAGGCTCTAGCGAAATGATAGGCGTATTGTTTTTCGTTTTAATTTAACACCTAATAAGATTTCTTTATATTCTTACTTTGAAACCTGGACTAGCAAAGGATGTGACTGGGGAATTCACTTAAATCACTGGTGCTTGATTCATAATTTAATTTTTTTATTTTGGATTCACTAGTAATGATATAAATAAATACAACAAAAAAATCTGAAGATATAAATGTCAGATGAATAATCATCTTATTTTATTATAATAGTTTTTTACCTACAGCAGATTAGTTGATGACATAGCCTACATACTTTACGATATTTGGCATAATCTCCTTCCCTTTTATTGCATTGACTATTTAGCAATAATTATATTATAGTGATCTATGAAAGAGTTATTCATTTTTGGATCTTGACTTTTCTTGATGCAGGATTGTTATTTAAATTGCTTTATTTGAAAGGACAACTCAGTTAAAAAGAGAGGAAGAAGAATGAGTTGAAAGGACAGAGTTGATTAAAATGCTAAAAGGAATTATAAAAGCATAATTAAAAAATTATTATAAAGCAGAAGGAAAATTTAAATCATTACAATTAAGAAAATGAGTTTGCTATTGTAAATACAATTATAATAAAATCAATTAGGATGTACAATTTTTTCAATGATTTATGATTCTTCTATCTTAAAACAGTCGACTTCTTCTTCTATTCTAGTTTCACTTTCATTTGAATTGTCCCTATAAGCATTATAAAGATTGGTACTTCTCATCTAAATTATCTAATTCTGGCATCAATCTATTTTTCTTGCATTTTAATTCATCAGGTACACTTCCTGTATGAAGCACAGTGACATCAAAAGTTCTATTAGCAATTAATTGATCATATGATTAAACTTCATAGATTTCATCATAAAATTAGTTTGCTTCCAAAACTATTGGTTGAACCAAGAATATGTGGTCAGTGATATTTTGGGAATTCAAATACGAGAGCAGACCTTGAGACTTGTCCTTAAACCCAACATAGGTTTTATTGATAGATATGCCATCGAGTAAGGTCTTCTCAATAAAGTTTTAAAACTCCTTAAAAGCTGGATGTAAATCCTCATTGTTTAATAAGAAGTAGTCTTCGAATTTGACAACTGTATAGTTAAGGGATAGGAATGGTTCTAATTGAAATAGTTCAACATCGGAGACATAAAGCAATCCAGCAGAATCTTAGTGATGAATCAAGATATAAGGTATTTCAAAGTAAGAATAAGAGTTGGTTTTTGGTTTATAGATGTTTGAGATCATGGTGTTGTTTTTGGATATACAAAATTAGCCATTTGATTCTTTACATTCCTCAATACAAATTCCTTTGAGGGAAAGATGATGAGTTGGCTCACAAACTACACAAGATGATGTTTGTTCAACACTTAAATTGCATCCAACAGGATTTAGTTCGCATCCTTATTTGGTCCAATGATATTGTCTATTACATCCAAATGTGCTTTTGGTAGCGAATTCAGTATGGAGGGTAATAGGTTATTCATATGTAAAGTAGAAGTACAATAAGCCTGCAAAGAAACAAATAATTGCAAATTATAGAGACCTTTTTGTTGGCTAATCTTTTTATTTACGATTTTATAATCCTGTTGTTTCTAAGCCTGGTCTCATATAGTTGTCATCATCATCTAGGTCATCTAATTATATGGAATGAATACCTGGTCCTTCCATTTCCAATGGACCACGAAATTAAATAGATTCTGTCATTAATTTATTTAATGTCAAATCAATAGCAACTGAAGGAAGAGTTACAGTTGTGTCGGTCCCAATTGAGCAAACTAAGTGTCGAGAGAGATTAGGTATAGATCATATTGTCTAAATAGACAGTGTTTGAACTAAATAAAGTGATTAGATTAGTGGAGAGATTGCAGATTCAAATAACTGAGAAGGATGCTGAGATACTTATGCTTCATACATAATTGGACGAGTAAGAAAAATATCATTAACAACAATTGGAATAAGTCAAGTAAGTAATCTTTAAGATGAAATACAAGATCACATTATGAGTATTTGAAGGAAAGTGCAATTGCTAGGCTCAAGTCTGAAATGAGTTTCGATTCTGACAGCATGATCAAGGAACTTCGAGAGACTAAGCAGATGTATCAAGAGATCTTAGAAATGGAGGCTAAAAGGAAATCCTCTTATTCTCAAGACGATACCCGTTCTCAATCAATCAATGATTACTAGAAACTCTATACAGAAAAGCAGGAACTCCAATAACTGGTTGACAAGTTGCAAAAGATGAAAGCTAGTTAGAAAAGCGATCAATCAGATGAACTTATGTAAGAGATACAATACTTACGTGATCAACTGTAAAAATTGTACAACTTTATCGTTTTTATATAGAACTGTCGAATTAGAAACAGCCAAATAGACCATAAATGTACTCCAAGTTCAAGTTCTTAAACAGTAAGATTTGTTGAAAGATTACTGCACTAACGACTTTCAGGGGTGATTCATCTGAAATAATTTTCCCATTTCTATAATAAATTTTCATTTGAGATTATGAGTCATAATAGATCTTATAAAGGAATGTCGTCTATTGATAAGTGAAGAATTGAAATCAACAAAAAGGTTAAAACACATAATTTAATCTTTTCACTTTGAATTCAATTCCAATCTTTAATTTCTTTTCTTATATTTCAAAGAGAAATGAAGCATTAATTAATTGAAAACTAAAATACTATCTCTAAAGGAAATATGAGAATTAGTTTACTTCCACTAGGCAGACTAGGTAAAAAAAAAATTTAATATTTATGCAAATATTAATTGCATTATTCATCAAAATCCTAATTTGTTGAGATCATCGTTTAAGGAATTCGAAGAGAAAGTTATTGAAAACAAATAGCAGTTAAGAGTGTAATTGAAATTAATTGATAACAATATACATTAATAAATACGTTAAAATGTAATAAATACAAGTAATCATTTGGTTCCATTAAACCAATACCCTATAACTTACTAGATTTTTTTCTATTTTTTATCATATATAAATTATCTTTGGCAAAACTTAAAATTGAAATGCCTTTCCATCATTTTTATTCAAAACATTCTATTGCTAAATACTTAGAAATAACTTATTATTCAATCTTTAAGATTTATCATAAAATTTATGTATTTGATAAATTTCTAAATAAGGCCAAACATAACAAATAAAAATTTAAAAGGAAAATAATTAGAAGAAAAATCAATAAATATTCATGATATCAGAAAATGAATAAATAAAATTATAAATTAAAAAATGAATCAAAAATTTGTTTCCGAAATATAAAAATCTGAAAGTTTGTATAATAAAATTATTATTCAGACTATGTATAAAATAATTTGATTTATATGTTATCAATTATAAATATCATCAATTACTTTGATTTCCTCCTATGATCTCTTTTGGAAGTACAAAATTCAGAAATTATTTCTTTTATGATCTCGTACTTAACTATCCTTACAGTTGTAAATTCTTTATTATTTTATGCTCATTTGATTTTGTCTAAATTTCAGTTAAATTGCGTTTTTAAGGCTAAAATGTGTTCTATACATTCCTGTATTAAGCTTGAATAACTTGCTATATTTCTCTGGCCTTCCTAGTTGGATTTTCAGCTTTGTATGCTTATTAATACATCAAAGATATGACCAAATTATCTTTTGGAACACGAGGCAATTTGCTTATGGATTCTAAAACAGAGTTTAATGATTAAGGTTCATGTCTAACAAAATGCAAGGATGGATGTAGAGAGGGAAGTGATATCTTTTACTAGCTCTCTCTTTTTATTACAACAGATGATCTATGGGAGTTTAACTTAAGATCAATACTATTTTCATTTAAAGGGTTTCTTGTGGAATTATCATCTTGGTTAATACTTATGTTAGTAGGTTATTTGTTTTGATTTTGGTTTCTTATGCATGATGAATCAGAATCACAAAATGCTAATTAAGGTTTCTTCAATAACTTAGCTTAGTATTGTTGCAGAGTATTGCTATACACTCTTTACAGAAGATACTGACTATCACTACTAAATTTTTTTAAATCCTTTATCTTTTAATCAGCCAAATTCTAAAATACTTTGATTTGACTTAGCTTTTAACCTTAGGATTCAATGACCTTCTTATTTAAAATAGAGCTTGCCAATAAGTTTGGTCTATTTTTATTGTCATTCTAAGCAGCTTCATAAACCTATTGAATATTAAGTTTTTTGTACCTCATCTCTTGGATTAATCTATTTTTACACACTATTACAGATCAATTACCAATGCTTATAAATAACGGATGAGTGTTTTTTCATATTTTCATAAGTTCCAAAACTCCCTAAATTATCAAAAAATCTTCTCTTTCTGATTTTATAACAATTAACCCTTGGGGAAATCACTTTTGCTTTTGTATATCTATTTATTTTCATCATTATCTCAACCTCCCCAAAACATTGAAATTCCCCATAAGAAGATAAAATTATGGATTTGCTTCCTACTTTCTTTAACAATTCTATTTCCCCATTGATTATAAAATAAATGTATTTAGTTTTCTCTCCTTCCTCATAAAATAGCTCTCCTGCCTTCATTGTGATCATCTTGCTTTCCAAAACTATACCCATATAGTCTTCTGTATTGATATTTTGAAACAGTGGAGTTGATCCAAAGTATTTAATTTTTTTATCCAAAGAAATACTTAAATAAGGATTAATATATTCGAGATAAGCTGTTTCATTTAAATAGATTAAGTGGGTGTCCTCTAAAGTAAAAACCGTAGATGATCTGGTGGTATCTAATTTAATGGCTGCCTCTCCAAAAGAGCTAAAAATAGAATTAAGATACACATACTCTCCTGGAAATAAAATTTTTAGTATAATGTAATCAGGAAAGAGAATTTTTAATCCAAATGGATCATCTTCATTTTTTCCTTGATTTTTTTATTTCAAGTTATCATCAAATTCTATTTTACTGGACCCCACCATCTTTAACTTTGGTTTCATCACCACCACCTTCCCTTCTAGCACTATATAAAATCTTTTATTCTAATCTCCCTAGCGATAAACAGGATTTAGGGCAGACACAAATTCATATCTTAATTAATTTTATGATAAATTACCTAAATTCAGAGTAAATTCTACCCATTAGTTCTGGAGGCACTTCATTTCGTATCTCTTTTATTTTATTCAAATTGCTTAATTGATCCATTAAAACTGGAGAAGTTGGCATTATGAGATCATTCAGCGAACGGACACTTTTTATTTTTGAAATTGATTTCTTTTAAAGCGAACTTAATTGCTTTTCAACATTGGGTCTGCTTTTCAATTCCTCTTTAACCAACTCTATATCAATCAATTTCTTAAATTTTTTGTGTTCCTTCTAATGATCATGAACTTATTATAATTTCTATTTCTATTCTTCATTATCTGAGTCAGTATCAACTTAATTCTATAAAAACTCATAGTTTGGCTTCGCAGATATTGTAAATGTTGATTATAAAAAAGTAGTCATATGCTAGACCTGTTATAATTATTTTTAGTATAATATTATTTATAGATTAAAATGATCTATTGCTCTGTTAAATAACCTAGAAAAATACGTATTTTTAATCAAAATGTCATAATTCTTAAGAGATATAATCTGTCATTTAAATTGATGTGGCTAATTATTTTTCTCTAATTTTACCCATTATTTATTAATAAATAACAACTATATTAAAAATATAAAAAANAGTTCCAAAACTCCCTAAATTATCAAAAAATCTTCTCTTTCTGATTTTATAACAATTAACCCTTGGGGAAATCACTTTTGCTTTTGTATATCTATTTATTTTCATCATTATCTCAACCTCCCCAAAACATTGAAATTCCCCATAAGAAGATAAAATTATGGATTTGCTTCCTACTTTCTTTAACAATTCTATTTCCCCATTGATTATAAAATAAATGTATTTAGTTTTCTCTCCTTCCTCATAAAATAGCTCTCCTGCCTTCATTGTGATCATCTTGCTTTCCAAAACTATACCCATATAGTCTTCTGTATTGATATTTTGAAACAGTGGAGTTGATCCAAAGTATTTAATTTTTTTATCCAAAGAAATACTTAAATAAGGATTAATATATTCGAGATAAGCTGTTTCATTTAAATAGATTAAGTGGGTGTCCTCTAAAGTAAAAACCGTAGATGATCTGGTGGTATCTAATTTAATGGCTGCCTCTCCAAAAGAGCTAAAAATAGAATTAAGATACACATACTCTCCTGGAAATAAAATTTTTAGTATAATGTAATCAGGAAAGAGAATTTTTAATCCAAATGGATCATCTTCATTTTTTCCTTGATTTTTTTATTTCAAGTTATCATCAAATTCTATTTTACTGGACCCCACCATCTTTAACTTTGGTTTCATCACCACCACCTTCCCTTCTAGCACTATATAAAATCTTTTATTCTAATCTCCCTAGCGATAAACAGGATTTAGGGCAGACACAAATTCATATCTTAATTAATTTTATGATAAATTACCTAAATTCAGAGTAAATTCTACCCATTAGTTCTGGAGGCACTTCATTTCGTATCTCTTTTATTTTATTCAAATTGCTTAATTGATCCATTAAAACTGGAGAAGTTGGCATTATGAGATCATTCAGCGAACGGACACTTTTTATTTTTGAAATTGATTTCTTTTAAAGCGAACTTAATTGCTTTTCAACATTGGGTCTGCTTTTCAATTCCTCTTTAACCAACTCTATATCAATCAATTTCTTAAATTTTTTGTGTTCCTTCTAATGATCATGAACTTATTATAATTTCTATTTCTATTCTTCATTATCTGAGTCAGTATCAACTTAATTCTATAAAAACTCATAGTTTGGCTTCGCAGATATTGTAAATGTTGATTATAAAAAAGTAGTCATATGCTAGACCTGTTATAATTATTTTTAGTATAATATTATTTATAGATTAAAATGATCTATTGCTCTGTTAAATAACCTAGAAAAATACGTATTTTTAATCAAAATGTCATAATTCTTAAGAGATATAATCTGTCATTTAAATTGATGTGGCTAATTATTTTTCTCTAATTTTACCCATTATTTATTAATAAATAACAACTATATTAAAAATATAAAAAAGGGTTGTCAACACGAGGACTTCCCAAGCGGTCCCCCACCTTAGTACTAACCTCGCCTTAAGCCGCTTAACTTCGGAGTTCGAATGGGATCCGGTGCTTTAGGCTTAGTATGGCCGACAACGATATTTACTATATGACTCCCCTTTTAAACCCAAGGGTTCTCTTTATAAAAGAATAAAATATTTATAATTTAAAATTTATTTTTACTCAAATTCTTCTAGATTTACTTCTTATTAAGGATCTGGTATAAGATCTTTAATTTACAATGGGCTCACATAATCTGTATTCTCAATTTATTCATTTGCTTTTTAAATTCTGTTAAAAAATTTTTAGCTTTTTTTTGTAGGCTTGAGTATTAAAAATATTCAAACTTTGGTTTAGGTTCAACATTTTGGGGATGCCATGCTCACTTTGGTTCATTGGGCTTCACATCTTAATATCTTTTGAACTAGATTATATGAAAAAATTAATTTACTAAATAAACAAATAGAAATCAAATGGAAAATAGAATTTTTTAATAAAAACGAAAAAACATTTTGCCTGCTGAAGTAATTGATTGTTTTATGTTAATGAATTGATCTCTACATCGAGAATGATTAAGAAAAGTGCAATATTAAATAAAATTTGAATTTAAAATATAGTAGCCAAAATGTCAATTCAAAATAAAGTGACAAAATTTACAAGACAAAAAAGCGAATAAGGAAAATTTTAAAATTTGTATTATGAAGTTCAATTGCCTTATTTCAATCCTTAATCGAGCTCCTAATTTGCAACAGCATTATTGAATAATGCTTCATTATTGAATATATATCAATAAACAATGAACAGTTATTTGCAAGGATATTACAAATAAGCAATATTTTTTGCAGAGAAATTATTATGTTTGAACTAAGATTCAGTTGCATAGCCATATTTCGTATTCTTGCTTGGAATGGTACATGATTGAAAAATATAACTTTAGAGTCATTTTGCAAATTAGGAGTATTCAGGAGTGTATAATCTCTTTTTAAAGCATAAATTGACACAGGGAGATTTTGCAGTATTGGGAGCTAGAGCTTTGTATTCAAATCGGCAATATGAAATGGGGATTGAAATGCTTCAAGAGGAGAGTAGTTCATAGAGTGATTGGGTAAGAGGATAATGTTATGAAGCCTTAGAGAACAAATAATCAGCAGTTTCTAATTATTTTGAATGCTTACAGAAAACACCAACGAATGTTAGAGTGTTTTAGTAATTAGTTGATTCGTATCTGATATCTTCAGATGAAAAGGAGAACTTAGTTTAACTAATCTAATTAAATGCAGATGAAGCTTGGTTGAAGGATTATTACATAAGCAAAACTATAAATTATGAGATTGCGAATTCAAAATTAGCTGATTAATTGTAGGAAGAAAAGAGAAAAATTGCTTAATAGTTATAAATTATTGATAAGGCAGAAACTTAATAACTGAAACCCTCTCCTGTACGTAGTCCGTATATACGTAAAGAGGAGATTCCAATTCAAAATGACCTAATTTATGTAACTTTGGAGAAGAAGAATAATATTGATATACTGAATGTTAAGGCAAAGAAAGCATATTATAATTATGACATTGCATCTGCCTATGATTGGTCATTGAAAGCAATCAAGTTGGATCCCTTGTATTTCGAAGTGATTCCAACTTATGTTTCGTGTTTATTGGAATTGGAATAGATTGCTGAACTCTATTATTGTGCTCACAATTTAATTGAGAATTATGCTCAAAATGCCCTCAGCTGGTTTGTGGTTGGAGTGTATTATTTTTCAGCTAAGAAGTACGAAGTAGCAAGAAAACAATTCTAAAAATCCATTTAATTAGATTCACATTTAATCTACAGTTGGATTGGATTAGCCCATTCTTATGCTATATAGGATGAGTCTGATTAAGCCATGTCGATATATAGATCGATAACAAGATAATTTCCAGGGTGCTATTAAGCTCATGTGTACATTGGCATGGAATACTTGAGAACAAACAATTTACAAACTGCTATTTTATCATTATAACAAGCCAAAGATATCAATCCAACAGACCCTATGATTTAGAATGAATTGGGAGTTATAGCTTACAAATAAAAGAAGTATAATGAAGCTAAAGATGTATGTTTTAAAATGTAATATGATAGTATTTCTTAAATGCATTAGTTTTTTGTTAAAATTCTAATCATAAAATCAGGGAATCTGCATTATAGAATCTTGGACATACTTTTAGAAAATAAAAAGATTACAAAAATGCAATTCAGATATTTGAAAAGTGCATACAAGTAATGATAATTTTTATCTATAGTTAAATTCTGTTTCTCCATAAATATTTTTTGCATTGGCTTTCTCCTATCACTTAAGTGAATTGCCAAACAGTTTAAGCAAAGCAATTCATCATTATCATAAGGCACTCTCATTAAAATCTGACTAAACTTTTGTTCAGGATATGTTAAGTAAAGCTTTATAGGAAGCAGCTGAAATGGGATTATCGGAATATATAAGTTGAATATATATATCTATTTAATATATACATATCTAATAAATCAAGAGGTTAAGTTAAAAGGATGATGAAAAATAAATGGTTTTAAAAATAGTTGAAACCAAAATAGGAGGAGTATTTTTTTATAAAATTTAGCAAATCCATTATGGACTCATAGACAATAATTCTTAATTAAATAGGTATTATATTTTATTTGAATATATTGCAGCTCAATGAGTAGCTGATTAATTGTTTGGAGCTGTAAATGGTCTTCTCTATTCTAAGAAATCATCAAATTCACCATCTGCACGTCTTATTACATTAATTATGTTAATTACCTATTGTTAAGATTTGGTCTTTATTAGGCAGCTCTTAATTATCTCATAACATTCATAACAATTTCCGCAGTTCTTTCAATGCTCAATTATTTGCCTGCACCCAACTTAGCTTTCTCATCCTTCACCAATTCACTTGAATTTAAATTCATTTTCATACCTGATGTGATCAATAACTTGATCTTCGATGGCTTAACCTCCATTCTTTCTTTATTCATAAGCCTCTTACTGATTTGCCAAATATTAATTCCAAACTGAGTAGGTGAACAATTAATAAGGATGCGAATTGTAGGATACTAATTCAAAGTCTCTGTCAATTTAATCGACCATTCTTCTTTCACCACCATGTTTGATTTAAGTGACTTGACATTCAGCAATATGAGGTACAATAAAAAATGTTCTCAAACCCATCTAAAATAATTCCTCCAACTCTTTGTTGCCAAAGAAATATTACTTGCAATGTCTTGATATCTTTCTGTATGAATGATAAGCTATTCAATAGACATTAAATTTCTAACCTCTCAAGAATGAATTGTGATCGTAACGACATCTAATACCTATAGTGAATTCTGAACTTGATGGTCTTGGAGCATTAAAATTTTTAGGATGCCAATTATTCTTCCAGCCAGCTCTAGTCCAGAAAAATGACTTATTTCTGATTTTGTATACCATAAATTAATATCTTTTATTATTCACAAATCAATGTCATTAAACACTTTCATCGTAAAACTCAAATTTCTATTCATGGTTTCTATGAACCGATCAATGCATTTATAAGACTATAATAAACTATAATTATATTGGGAGATTAATGTTTAGGTATTTGAATAAATAATTAACAGAAAATTAGTAAAAGGGATAAACACTTCCTAATTTCCTATCTTAAAAGAGATTACTTTCATAATAAATTGTTTTTATGTCATAAATAAATATAAGCTTGGGCTGTAGCCTATTTAATTTATTTATACTTACAATACTTGTCGATTTCTTCACTCATATTATATGAGAATCAAAAGGAAGTTTCTCAATTACGTATTCAACAAACTTTTATTTATATCCAATTTTCTTTTAATAGTTTATTTACATAGTCATCGAACACAGTTTATAAATTAAATTAAATTAGTTTAGAAGATCTATAAAATATTTGGTAATTTTTAATAGTTGAAGGAAGGCGATATCTTATTATTGTATTATTATAAGATAGAATTATTAAAATATATATTACTAAAAATAAGGAATCTAAGATTAATCTTTAAGCCAAACCGTTCATGATAATTAATATATTATTCATTATAATAAATTTATCGAAATAGGAAGGAGTTTTAGATAATTAAAACAAAAATCTATTAATTTCGAAAAATTATTAAAATAGTGTATTTTACAATAATAAATTTATTATAATAAATGAAAGCCTAAACATAAATTACATAAGCTCAATTAGAACAAGCAGAATAATATTTTTAATTGGCATAAGTAAAAATATAAAAATGATTAATTAAGGATTTTAAATCTAAAAATTATCTTCAAGAAGCACTTTAAGAGATCGATAAAAGTTTAAAATTGTAATAGAACAATGTTAATGCTTATCTTTTAAGAGGTAGGACTTGCTTTAATAATTTTAGGCGAAATATGGTCTGAGTTAGAAAACACCCCAATGGCCCTTTAGGATTGTGATTTAGCATTAAAAATTGATTCAAAATCAGCGAACGCATATTATCTTAGATGTAAGAGTATGTTTCATTATTAAGCAACAATTTAGTGGAAAAATAAATGTTTGTATCCAGCTTTAGACGATATTAATTAAGCAATTTCTCTCAATCCAAATTTTGAAATAGCCTATAGCCGTAAAGGTATTTTATTAAGCATTATTTAACAGGAACAATCCTCTGGGAACTAGGACTTAAATTAGAAGCATTTACTTGTTTTCTTAAGGCGACCCAATAAGTAAATTCTATTAATAACCGTTTTGCTTCATAAAGAAGTACCTTTTATACATAAATATTAAAGCAATTTCAAAATAATAGGATGATGAGCTTTATTAAATTAATAAAGTAATTGAATAAAATCCTAACGATTCTTAAGCTTATTTTAATAGAGGTATTAAGCTGTATCAATGAAATAGCAAAGATTTTTCTTCTTTAAAATAGAGTGTAAGAAGCCCTTGCAGATTATGCCGTAATAAAATAAATAAATCCATATTTTGTCCAACCATATATAAAAAGAGGTTTGTAATTGACATATAACATTTAGCTAAAATTCTCATAGACTTAAACTAAATTGAAGAAGCTCTTTAAGAAATTAGAAAGCCCTTAATTCATGAATAGAATAATGCTGAAATTCACTTTATTGAAGGTGATTTTGATAATTATTCTAGGGAACTGTCATCTAAAGATTGGTAACTTAGATAAGGCTCTTCATGCCTATGATAGAGCTATAGCTTTATGCCCTAAAGATGAATAGTACTTAAATCAAAGAAGTAATATATATGAAAAATTGTATGAGGTGAGCTTTACTTCAGATTGGAGAGGTTTGAGGAAGCCATCAGAGATCTTAATAAGACTATAAGTATCAATGCTAATTCCTAATTCGCATACTATAATAGAGGTTTAATATCATAGTATCTAACAAGCCTAATCCTATTTAAAGATAGGTTAGAAAGATTAAGCAAAGAAGGATTTAGAAAAACATATTGAGATAAATCCAAATCATCCAGATGCTTATTATCAATTAGGTTGTTATTTTAATTTATTCTAGGAGTTATATTAACAATGCTTGGAAATATTAATTAAGCATTTTTCTAATATTGTAAAGCTATTTCACTTAATCCTAATTTTTAAAAGGCATATGCAAATAGAGGTATTGATTAAATTGTAAAAATAGCTTCACTTGCTACTAGTTTGGGATTAAAATAATAAGCATTTGATGATTTAAATAAGGCCATTGAACTTGATCCAAACTGTTCAAATTCATATTTTAATAGAGGTTAGATTTTTTCTATTTTAGGAACATTATTTGTAAATTTAGGAAATTTTGAATTAGCCCTAAAAGATCTAAATCAAGCTATTAAAATTGATCCTAGTTATTAAGATGCACTTAATAATAGAGGTAAATGAATTTAAACAAATGTAGGTTTGGTTTATAATCATTTAGGCTAGAAAAAAGATGCTCTAAAAGACTTTTAACAGATAATTTCATTAAATCCAAAAAATGGAGCTGTTTTAAATAATATAGGTAATTAAAGAATTAAGTTTAAGGAACATTAAAATTTTATTAAGGCGATATACAAGATTCCTTAAAGTATTTTTTAGATGCTAGTCAATTTTGCTAGAATCCAGTCATTTTAGTTAATATAGGAAATATATATTTTGAAGATAGAAAGTATTAATAAGCAAGAAATTACTTTCTTTAGGCAAAATAGTTATTGGAAAGTCAAGGCAATAATTCAAAAAATTGTTGGAATCTTAGTCCTGCCAATATTTTTGTTTTATATGAAAAAGTGTCATTGTTATTGCTAATAGAAGAATAAATGGGTTCTCTGAGATCCTAAATTACTCAAAAATAATAGTTTCTTAAATTTAATGCATAACAACCTCAACTTCCATCAGTTGATGAATTAGAAAAGTAGATATTTAAAGATCCAAAAGGATAATCAATAATATAGCCAATAACCAATAATTAAGATACATTCTAAATTCAAAACGAAATATTATAACTTAAATAAAAAACTGAGTATTTATAAGGAGTTTTTGAAAAAATAAATTTATCAGACGCCTTCAAGATACAGAAGGAGATAGAAATTTTGAAACGACCAGAAAATTCTCATAAATTCTTGTATTTTAGATCATTAGTTTGGTACTTATCTACATATTTGAAATCAATTCAGCAAATCTCAACAGGATTCTATGAAATCAAAGAAGGTGCGTATAAATAAAGCAGATTTGAAAACTTCATATATTATTTTAAAGAAATGATAAAATTTATTCCTAGCTTTATGAAATATATATCTCTGCCTTCAACCGTTTTTGATTGTATAAACTAGGCATTAGGAATAGTAATGAAGAAAACTCTTGAGATTAGATTTAACAATCGAATTATACGAATAACAAATATTTTACAAAGATCTACTATAGGTTCATTAAGTATTCAACAATAAATTTAATTGGCTGCATTAGAATTAAGTTAAGAGATAAAACCAGAGTAATAAAAAATAGAATAATCCACATTCTAAAATTTTGTTGACAAAATAGCTAATTTATCCAGATAACAGGAAGAATTTAGCTAAGATATTTATTGGAAAAAAGGAATAAATGATTCATTAACCATACTCTCTTATATGAGCAGCTAAGTAATTCCTAACACAATAGAAAACTACAATTAGACTTTGAGTTAGATTATTATAGATGCTATTAGAAATAATCAGCCATAATAATTACAATCTAATTGAAATTATTGCATAATCATTATTATTTTATATCTTACATTTATCATAATCTTATTGTAATTAATACCTTAGTTTTATTAATTTGAAACATTAAAGTAAATTGAAAAATGCAAAATAGGTTTCAATTATCAAACAAAATTTATTAAATTATTCTGTTTAAAATAAACATTCAATATAATAAATATTTCAAAATAATAATCAAAGATTCATAGCCAAATGATATGAACAAAAGTAATTGTTAAGTTGGAGGACTTAATTTTCCTCTTTAATTGCTAATATTAATTTTAATTTTGAATATAGAAACAGCCCAGTTACAAACTTGAATTATCATATATTTTTTTCAAAATTTTAATTATATTGGAGCTAAAATAAATCAAATTTCTCAATTTCCAATGAATTGTGCCAAAAAATTTGCTATTTTTGAATTTATGATTTCCTTCTTAGAGATTCTGTTTTTCTTAAATGTAATATGCACTTACTACGAATTTTACACCATATAAATAATCTTTGAAACAAGTAGTTATTAATTAAAAAATTTTTGGAAATTAAAGTCCAAAACATTGAAAAAAAGAATACTACATTATTGATTTATAAGTATTATTATTATTCTTTGAATTTACTCTTTTAATTAAGAGTAAATTCCTTTTCATTATTAAATTCATAACTTTTGAAGGATCATGTTTTTTTATAATTTTTATAGACTCGGTAATTCTATATAATTTGAAGAGGTATAGAGAGGACTCTTATTAAATAAATATAAACAGTATTAAAAATTAAATATATATACGATAAATTAAATGAGTAGGATTATCAAAATCCGATGTAGAATTTAAATTTAAGAAATTCACTCTTTTATAATTACATGAATATATATTTAAATTAATGAGTTAAGAATCTTGGCATTATGACTTGAGTGCCTCTTGTTTTGATGTTCTTCATAAATAAGGATTTAATATTGAGACTAATATTACTTACGGTGAGGGAATGGACGATGGAGAGGCTAAAGTTTAAAACGAAACAAAAAACATTCCCAAAAATATAGGGGTGTTGTTAAAGAATTATTTAAGTAGACAATAGGATTTATATTTTTAGAAAAAAATCATCAAAAAGAATTGTAGTATAATTTGGCCCTAAAAAAGTTCATTCAAAAAGGGAATTCGAGGAAAAACTATACACGTAAGGATTTCAAGACTTTATTGCAAAATTCTGAAGCCAAGAAGATCTGCTAGGAATATTTTTGCAATTTCCAAATAATTGATGATTTGCTAAAGTCGAAAAAGATTGGGAATATGGAGATTGTGTTGAAATATATAAAGAGGTTATTTTTGGCCACGCATGATCCAGAAATATTGTCTTCACTTAAGTATCCAAAACATTGAAAATAAATTACTTTCTAAAAATCTAGAATTTGGATCTATTATAATGAGTGTTTATTGAATTATTTTTGATATAAAAATATTATATGTAACAAAAGTTAGAAACAATAAAAGGTTGGGATATTGACACATCGTTTGAATCGCAAGGAATTTTGAAACCCAAGAATAATTCGGTCATAGCAGAGGAACCTTGCTAAACGAAAACTCTCTCATCTGAAAGAAAACCATCTCCAAAGAAAATAAATAAGACACCGAAAACTCGAACTCCCATCAATTCAGTTCACTATGAATAAGGAAGCCTTAGCTCGAATTCTCTAGGCAAATTGTATGTTAAAAAGTAATTCAAACAGCCTCTCCCTCCTCCTCAACTCTTAACAGTGTCTAAATTAAAATTAAGATTGAATGCTCTTCCACAATAACCTACAATCCCTCAAAAAGCTTACTCAAGTGCTCAATTAAATACTATTCTGTAATTGAAACGAAAGAATATGTACTTACAGTCTATCCTGAAAAAAGTAATAATAAATTTGTCTAAAAATACTTAAGGTTAATAATAATGAGAGTGATGAACGATACAATAAATCATAATCCGATCAATTGATGGTTACTCATAACAGAGCTTCACAATCGATGTGGATGGAGAGCACTATGGCCATGCGCAGTTTCTTTAACACTCGAATAGGACATTTTAAAGCAAACGGCACCAAGCATAAGTTTGCAGTGTGATCGAATTACTTTTAAAAAATATTTTTAAAGATTTTTAATTTATGGGAAAGAAGGAAAAAGGAAAGCCTAATCCATTGGGCGAAGTAAGCAGAGATTACACCATCAATCTCCATAAGGCAGTTCACAAAGAAACATTTAAAAGAAAGGCACCTAGAGCAGTCAGTCACATTGTCAGATTTGGTATTAAATCATGCACTATCTAGCCTAAAAAAACATGTTAACTGAGGATGTCAGAATTGACCCACAATTAAATGAAGCAGTTTGGGCAAGAGGAATTCGTAACTTGCCAAGAAGAATAAGAGTAAGGTTATAAAGAAAGAAGAAGGAAGAAGATGATGGAAAAGGTAAGTACTATACACTTGCTCAATATGTCCCAGTCGAATCCTTTGATAACCTTAAGACTGAAATTACAAAATAATAATGATATATTATATGTACAATATATATAGATAGACAAATAATCAGCTCATTTGAAACTTAATTACCACAAGGAATCGCCTAGATGATGTAATAATTAAATTGCATGGCCTTTTGGATCTGCTTTAATCTGATCAGAACTTGCATTCATAATGCCTATTCCCATAGCATTTTCTTTGCCTTCTCCATATATGGCTACGACCTATCCTTTTTATGCCTAATTCTTAATTGGTGTGTCATACTTGATTTAGTTGCCCTCCTTAAGACAGCAATCCTGGAGCTAAAACATCGGAACCGCTTAAAATATGCTTAATTGCTCCTGCATCAACTTATTATTTGATTAAGAGATCTGGAAATTTGTGGACTAATTTCAAATGTGGAACGACTAAGTTTTCTTTAGTGAAGCAGACATAATCTTTATCAACTTGGACTATTTCAACTTTGTATTCGCTCCTCAACTTAAATGATTGGATATTGGCTTTTTTAGGGAAAATCTCATCCTCCACTTCCTTGAAGAAAGGGTATTATTCATTCATTGATTGCTTTAATTCCTTCACTCCAGTTTTGGATAGCAATGTTGGTTTGGCAAGATCCTCTAGTTTCTTGAACATAATTTAATTAAATATTCAAATAAATAAATATCATAATATGTAATCCTGGTAAACTTGTGCTCTATCTGGAGAGTTAATAGAGACTCCGGTAATATCCAAAGTGAGCGGACACATATATGAAAAGAGATTAATTGAAAAACACATTGAGAGCACAGGCACATGTCCAATAACAGGAAGACCATTGAATATAGAAGATCTGATCGAAGTATAGAAATGTATGACAATTATAGGTGAAAGTGTCAAGAGTGTAGAAACCAAGACCAGTAACAGCTACATCGATACCATCCTTATTGTCATTGTTATAAAATGAATGGGATGCATTATTATTGGAATAATTTTAATTAAAATAGCATTTAGAATAAGTCAGACATGAATTGACTCATGCTTTGTATTAACATGATGCTGCTTGTCGTGTGATTGCTAAATTAATTAAAGAAAGAGATCAAGCCAGAATAGAATTGGCATAATTATAGCACAAATTAAACCATAAAATTGAAGTAGAAGCAAATAATGCTCCTGAGAAGTTATCATCAAATTATGTTGCTGAAATTGAGGAAAATGCACTTAAATTAACAAACTAAAGAAAGGTTCAAAGAAAGTAGCAGTCTTATTTCGATTAATTCCCAGGTCCTGAAGTAAAAGATCCATATTATCTAGATTCTCTCAAATTATGATGTAAAACAATAGTACTAATAAACTTAAGGAGGCACTACATTGGATACATAAGGAAATTATGTAGTAGTAGGTGGATTGGCAGGATAGGTCTTGTTGTATTCTCAAGAAAAGCAGGTTTATTAGGCTTAAGAACACACTTAAAATATTACTTCAGTGAATTTCTTTACTTATGATGAACATGTTAGATTTGTTTCAGCTTCATAAGATGGAAACCTCAAAATTTACTAATTCAACTCTCAAACTCAGGAAGGCTAAGTTGCTCAGACAATTAACATTGGTTCAAGCATTGCTGGAGTTGCAATCCATCCCATAGGTTATATTGCCATTATAGTAACTAACAATGGATTATTGGCATATTATAATTTGAAAAGTGGATAACAACTGAGTAGAGTAACAGATTTTGAGGGGTAATGTCAATTCACTTGTGTATCTGTTCACCCTGATGGTTTGTTATTGGCTATTGGATAAGCAGATTCTTAAATAAAGGTTTGGAACATAGTAAAAAGTCAGTTGTTAGCCCAGTTTGTAGGACAAGATGTAATAGTTAGGAGTATCATTTTAGGGAGCTGTTACAAATGTATCATTCTCTGAAAGTGGAGCTAACTTAGCCTCTAGTAGTAGTACTGAAGTTAATGAATGGGATTTAAGAAAACCAGGCTAATTCTAAAAGATTTATCAAGACCAAAAGATAGGTTAGATAATTAAATTGAGTTTTAGGTGCAATATCATATGATCCATCAGGATAGTTTTTAGCTATTGGCAGTAACAAGACTATTCACTTCTTTGATGTCAAGAAAAAATAAGAATTCTACAAAATTGAGAGTCATAGGGATGTTGTCACTAGTATTAGGTATGTAATTGTATGAGTATTTAGATTTGGACAATTAAGCAAATATATCTATAGCTGCAGTGTTGATAAAATAGTAAATATCTATGGTAACTGAGTAGATTTTAATTATATAAATAATCAGTTAATTAAACATGTATTAAAGGATATCTATCTCTCATTGTCAGTTGTGTAAGATGTAAGCCATGAAGCCTATCTCCTTAATTTGCTCTCATACACTTTGTTTCAAATGCGGATAAAATATCTCCATTCAAGAAAATACAAGGTAAGTGAAAATTTGAATTTGTATTTTAGTTAAATACAGAATAAGTTTAGAATTTAATGTCCTTTATGTCGCAAAGTCACTCATACCTACGATATCAATAATCTCCTCATGGAAAACAACGAGTTGAATCTGATTACAGACTCGAGTGAAATGGATAAAGAAATTCTAAATGAGGTATCTGCTCATCTACATATAGAGTTAATTATAAAATGATTCAAAAAATGGCAGAAGGTATTCTAATTTTGATATTCCAAACAAAGTTCAGAGCACGGCTCAATAAAAAATGTCAGAATTATTGACTTAAACCAACAATGCTATGAAAATAATGAACGAAAAGCCTAAATAAAGTAATACAACTATTGGTCATATTCACAAGTAATCAGCCACAGTAGCTGTGATCTTTGATGACAGTATTTTCATATTTGAAATTATTAGATCGTTCCAAAGTTCAATTGAATTAGCAACCTTATGGATCTTAATTCTAATCTTAGATCTAAAAAACCTTAATCTAATATCAGTAACAATAATAGGAACTTCAATAACAAACTTAAACGATTAATAAAGACATCTTAAAACCGAATAATAATACTCCCAATGCCAGTCCTTATTCTACTCCCCTTGCATCCCAATTTCATATAAATTTCTAAAATACTGATAATAAAAAACAACTCCAGAATCCACTTCAATTTTAACAGCAAAAAGATAAACCATTTTATTTAGATGATAAAAAATACACTCAAGAAGTTAAAGAAAACTAATTTCAAAAGGAAATACAAAAAGAAATCACTGAACCATCTCGACACAAAAGAAGTGCAACTGGAGTACCAAATAAATAGTTAACTACTAATAATACATCTATTATTAATAACGTCAATCAAAATAGTAGTATCAATCAAAGTTCAGAATAAATTATTGCTTAATATTTCTAAATTATACAAAAAGGTTTATAAAAATTAGAGAAAGATACTTTAATGGTCATTAAAAATAAAAATGTTTAGCCGCAAGCACTCTATCAAAAAATGAAATAGTTAAATTAAACTAAGGATTAAGATGGAGAATTAATTTAATCAATCAAAATGGTGATTAAATTACAAACTGAATTAAATGGGTTATCAACTCCCTCATGCCATAGAAAAACCAGTTCTCATGCTAGTCATAGATATTCTAACAATACTACAAATACAAAGAGCGACCATAGTTCTACATCTATTTTGCAGTAAGAATTTAAAAACTTAAAGAAGTTGTTCTGATATTTATATGTCTATTTTTTTAATTAAGTTATTTCAATCCATTATAAAATTATATTCTATTAGAATATATTCAATACCTTTTAAATTTAGTTCAAATTCCAATTATTCAGAAAGACTTATGCTACTTTTAAACTAAGATTGAACTCCTATGAAATCCATTCATTATTCAATCTTACAAAACACTTTTTGAAAAAGAGAATTTTTATTGTGTTTGTAGATCTCCTAATTTGTATCTATTAATTTTAAGATTTCTTTCCTTTAGAGATAAGTTTAAAATTTGGAGATCATTTAATTAAGAAACTAAAATGTGATTATTTAGACACCATAATTTTTATAATCAAAATCAAAATTATTACTCCTCCCCACAATGAAGAAACATTCTTATTAAAAATTAAATACCTTAATATAATAGAATATTGGTTTCTATAAGGTTAATGACCGCTAGGAATAATTATTTACTCTATTTGCTAATATAATTAAATAGAAAACAAAGTTATTTAAAAGAACTCAAAAGAATTCAATCTTCAGAATTAAATTCTCTCACTAAATGTCATCTAGAATTTTTCAACTTAAAAATACTTTAAATTCTATTAATAAAGTTTAACAAAACTAAGTCATTAATTAAGTTCGAAAAAGCTTTTTCAGTGTCAACTTGAAATTATATATTAATTTGAAATTGATATTATATGTATTTGTTATACAAATAATTGTTTAATCATTGTTGAGTATTAAATTAAGAGAGAGAAAATTATTGATTATTGAATGTCATTAAGGATTCAGGTGATTCCATAATAAATTCCCTAATGAATAGATTCAATGAAATACTTATCAAATAAGTGTTTTTCTGAATCAGAAGAGATGCTACTCTTAATATCAGAACTACTCTCAGACAAATAATGTTCATTTTAAATTTCTATTACTGTATAATTAAGTATTACTTTCACATTCTATTATTGCTTTGGCAAAAATAATTGATCGAAGGCTATCGTAGCCAAATGAGGAATGAAGAGACATTTTTTTATGTTCAAATTGTTAGGGATTTATTTAATGTATTTTTTTTTTTAAATCTATAAAAATACAAAATTAATGCGAATCAAAATTACGTAAGTGAGAAAATAATTGCACAAAAGAAATTATTTTATTATATAAGCTTGATGATTATAGTAATCATTTATCAAGTGTATTTATCATCTAAAATTGCTCAACTATGGCAACATAGAAATTATGAACTTAAACTAAAAGTTAACTCATACCAATTTTACATATTGGAGAAAATTTTAATTAAATCAATACTGTTTGAAAAATTATTAATCTCGATTAAATCTTAAAATGCAATTAAAAGAACCCCATGATTAAACTTGCTTATTGTTAATGGATAAAATATTTTAATTTATCTTCAATTGAATATTAAATCAATGAATAATTCAAAATAAATTAGATGATATTTATAACAGTTTTGAATTTTCTTTAGAATTTAATATCCAACACATCCTTTCTTTTCTAATGCTCTTAACTAGGAAAAATAACTTTAGCTTCAGATACATTTTTAAATTCTTGCAGCCTCCTTTTATTTTTTATTCATTTTACTTAATCTATGTTAATCTATGCTGAAAACCAAATTTAGTTAACATCAAAATCAATAAATTGCTTTGTTAAGGCTGTAACTTGGAATTAAAATTTGAATATAAAAATTTAATCTCCTGTCTTATTGAAATGATGGACTAATGTTATTCAAAAATTTTTAATATAATAGTCATAGGATGCAGAAAAATGTTGCTATGAACTTATCTAAACTTTTCTTAAACCCAATAAAAAAGAAAATTTCTCATTCGCTCTGATTATCCATATTTTGGTAATTTCTCAAAAATCACTTAAAATGATGCAACATTTTTACTTTTTCAATTTTTTATCTGTTTTTAAAACTTTTCTCAGAATCAATTATTCTATTTATATTACTTTACTAAGTTCATCAAATTTTAAAATAGCAGCATTTTACTTGGTTGGAAGAACAACAATTAAGATGTTATATGTTTACTCTTGCTTATTGGGGTTTTTTCCATCTTTTTTGAGTTGAGCTATTAGATTGTTTGAATTAATTAAAAGATTTTTGAATAAATTTTCATTTATTGAATTCTCTTTTTGATTAATAAGAATAAAAATTGTACGATCAGTGAATTTCTCAAAACGTTCTTATGATTAATTAAAGATTATTCTTAATAATTGTAAAGTAAATTTAGAGCAAAAATTATATGAGAAAGAATTTATATGATTATGAAGTATAAACTTCTATGTTGCTTAGGTCTAACTAATTTAATTGTTGAAACATCAAATATTTATGAGATTATTTGAAATAAATGATTTCAATAGAACTTGAAAATTCTGCAGAATGCTAACTATGGATAAAATTAAAACTGTATTTTTACTTTATAAAGAATTAAAACTGCCAGGTTTAGGATAATAGAATTTTAACAAGGATGAAATTTTTATTTATTTTTAATTAAAGTTTAGATGAATCTATGGAATTAACCTTAGAATGATAGAATAAAATATGGAGGTCTTTCATGATTAAATTTATATCAAATTCGGTAATGATCTTGGTATTGTGACACTATTTCTACGTCTATCATTGAGTTGACTATCAGTCTTCCATCGATGGAAGTATTTCATAGCGGATTGAGTGATGATTTCAATAGGATTTACATGAATAGGTTTGGAAAATATTTCAGATACTTCGAGATTGAAAAAACCATCTACATCATTGAGATAAAGATTTAAATGGCTTCTTTAAGAATCTTCTATTTCTTCTATCATACTTAGAGTGGATTTGAAATTTTGGAGTCCTGCATCAAAGATATGCAATTCGCTTTTAATTCTATGGAGATGATCTTTGAATTGTTATTGTTGTTTTTGTTGATGTAAGTCGCAAAATTACTCTAGAATTTCATAAGTACAAAAATAGATAATGCTTTTATCTAAATTTATTAAACAAGGAGTCAGTCTTTAAATGTTTTATTCTTATTCAATATTTCCAATGGTATATTAAAATGTTGACTTTACATTTTGGTTTTATTAAATATCGACTGATTTTTTATGATTGTTTTTATTTTGAGTTTCTGAAATTCTCCACTTTAACTTAGCCAAGACAGCGTCTATCACCTGTTTTTGTAGATCTGTGATGTCAGGACCATTGCAGCCTGACAATAAATCGTCCAAGTTATTGGTTGATCTATTTTAAGTTTATCTAATTATAAAATATTAAATTCTTACAGAAAAGGTAAATCTTTTTCTCTTTTTATTAAACTATTGAACCTATTTTTTAAATTGTTCTCGCTTCTTCTTCCATCCATGACTTTAGAAATTTCTGCCCATCTTCTACCCAATTCTTTGACTGTCATTAATAATTAGATGTCTTCATCATCTGTCCATGGTTCTCTATATTTAGCATTAAATTAATGATACTTCAAAATTTTAGGGTTGAGAGTATTTAGCCATCTTTCACGACATTATTTGCTAGAGCGATAAACAGTTGAATTCTAATTAAATTCTTGTGAAATTTGACTCCACTTTTACCCCTAATCGATAGATTAATAGCGCATAATAATTTCATATAACTTTTTATCTTCTTCAGGTCTAAAAGGTTGTTATTGCAATGCAATCTTTTACATTTAAGCCCATTTTAATTTGCATTATTCCTTATCTCTACGACAGATCATTTTTGAAACTTCCTCAAAAAGTTCAGCAGATAAATCTCTCAAATCTTCATTTCTAAATTGACTAAGTTTCCCAATAAGCCATATGAGTACTTTCTTTTCATTTAGGGTCCAGTTTTTCTTTAGATTCGAATTCCATCCACTAGTTGTTAGAATCTCCAGTTATATTTAATTGATTTCCTCATCCGTCGGAAATTCGGTGAGACCTAGATTAAAAAACTCTTTCATGTATTCAAACTTAGTAAAGGCGTTGTTCTAAGCTTGGGAATAGAAAATTTGGAATTCAGAATAGAAATTATTCTCTTAAGAATCAGAATGTTTTCTTTACGATATTGCTGTCTTTAATTTGTCTTTAGATTTCTTTCTATCTGCAAGACTATTATTTCTTTTACTCATATAATAAATATTAATGAAAATAGCAAACTATAACATTTCATTTACTCTTCGGCATTAGTCTACTTAATTTCTTGTTCCCATTTTTATCGAATATATATAAACTGATGGCAATAATGCAATTAAAACAACTGACTCCAACAAAGAAATAGGACTGATAGACATACCTAAACAATAGAGATATGCATAGTATTTACCCTTGAAATGGATCGACTTGCCCTTCTTCATTAATTAAATGACTATTGTATAAACTTCCAGTAATGAGTGGAAACAAGGTCAATGCTATATTATACATCGCTCCCAACAAGCCAAAAGCAGTTCCTAATGATGTTTATTTGTAAGTACCTATCATTTGCGATTTGACTACCAAGGGGATGGATGGAATCAAAATGGCAGAGTAAAAAGAATAGCAAATTCCCAATGATAATAATGGTAAGGCTGACACTCCACAAGCAGACTATGCAATCGTTTTATAGGGTTACATCACAATAAATGAGGAGAAGAAACAGATGGGTGATGATAAATATGACTGTGGTGAGAATTATCAACAAGGAACGCTATCTGATTTTGTCACTATAGATGCCGACAAATGGAGTTACACAGGCTGCAAATAAGTAGGGGATTGATAATAAAACACCAGCTGATTGTTAACTAAAGCCGAATTTGACTTGAAAGAAGGCATTTCCATTATCCAAAAAGGCAACAAAGAGTGCTTCACTCAACATTATAATGCATGACAATATCCAATAGGAACCATCGAAATTTTTAAAATCTGATAGCTTAATCTCCTCTTTTGCCTCATGAGCTGCTTCTTCTTCTTTTTCATCGTTCTCATCTTCCAATAAAGATACTGATTGATCACTTTCAGTAGATTCGCTTTTTCTAATTTATAGACTCATTTCTTAAGCAGTAGGTTATGCTCCCTTATGTTCAGTATTATCTACTTCTAAATTGAGCTCTTTCCATTTTTCCATCAATACTTCATTTTTTTTGTCTAAATAGATTAAAGCCAATCCGCATCCCCAAGAAAATATGACTACAAAAAGTCCAACCAAAAAAGAGAATCCTAATTCTCCACGATTCGCCTAAATCTGAGGACTGACAAAACTGTTCAATGCACTTCCCAATTTGGGTATTGATATGCACAAGCCCAAGGCCAAACTGATTTGCCCTCCTTAAAACCATTATGTCATTATGGCTGCTTGTGCTGCATACAGACTTTCAGAGCCAATACCAAAAATGCCCCTGCCAGCCAACATCGTTCCGTATGATAATGTGTATCCACCAATAACTACTATACTCTAGCCCAAAATAAGAATAGACAAGAATATCAATATGCTTACTCTCACTCCTATTTTGTCTATAAGGATGCCTCCAAAAAAGGGCAATATAATATTGGGAGCAGAATGTATTGAATAAAGCATATTGAATTGAAAGTTGTTGAGGTTCATCTCGGTTTGGATAGTCAATTACAAAGCCATAGGATTGTCAAAAGCATAAGCATCTCCAAACAAAAGAAAGCAAGCTAGAGCAAGTGCCATCCATAACATCCATGTCTTTTGTAAAGGTAACTAGTATAGATAAGATTGCTTGATATCTTTTTCTAATTACATAATTAATAATCTTTATAATTCATTTATGAAAATTTGTACCACTTTTCCATTAAGTCTAAGATCTACTGTCACTTGCATCATCTAATTAAAATGGATCAGCCACGATGTGATGTGCATTAGTCTTATTCTTACCATTATAGTTATTGCCCAGATCAGGACTTGAGTTATCATCCTACAAATTGATATCTTCTAATTCCTCCTCTTCTTCTTCATCTTCATCTTCCTCTTCTTCTTGTTCTTCTGATTAATAACTTTGCTCATCCAATTCTTTATTGATATTCTCAGGTACAACTTGAGCATTGTACTTCCTCTGTGCATTACTCTTTATCTTTATTTAATCAGCTTCTTTTTTCCCATAGAATTCCATGAACTTTTGAATGAAATCTTCAACAAATCTTTACTCTCCATAAAACATTTCTCTATCCACTAGATATAATTGTATAACAGATTTAGTAGTGATATCGTAACTTACTTAAAAGACTGAGACATAAAAGAACCCAATTAAGAATACAAACAATGTAGGTATGAGGGGACTTTCAATGTCTGCTACTTTCACTCCCAGAAGAGTGGTATCACTTACAGAAAGGTAAATGTAAATGGGTAAACTGATAACAAGACTGTTTGACAATTTTAATAGAAAGAGGATAAACTCAATGAGGAAATCTAAATCATGAATCTTTTCTTTGTGTCTATCCAATAAAAAATACGCTTTTCTGGATGATGCACTGTAGCCTTCAGACCATATGGCCACTTGGACTAAGGCGTGTTTGCTCAAGTATCTTAAGCAATTTTGGTAACATGCTAAACAACAAAGACAGCATCCCTGAATGAATCTGACAATCATTGAGTCTTGTGGCAAACTGCTTAGAAAATAGTAGATGGTGTAGAAGATCCACTTAGGTATAAAGAAGAATATCTCCATGAAGACTGCATACACACAAGATCCAAGATGATGTAGGAGTAATTCTCTTAATACAACCAATAGTGGAATCTGGACCACATCCTTTCTTTTGGTGAAGAACCACACACTCAAAGCATAGGTATTGAACATTTCATTGACACTCATCACAAAGAGCAAAAAGAACAATATCATAAAGGCCTAAAATGGCAATGACAATTAGTAGATTTGAGTGGTTGTGAATATTTTGACAGCGTCTCCATTAATGTTGAGAGCCTGAACTGTCGATCGTTCTCCAATAGTCATACCATAGAAAATGACTATGCAGGAATATCCTAATTGAACAAATCCTATGAAAGCTACAAAGATGGCGAAGAAACGCAATTGTTTCAGAACAAGCACAATTTGAGCTGAAGTCTTAATCAAACTGATTCCCAAATTGATCTTGTTGAACAATTTCATGATGTTGAATAAAAAGAGCAATCCAATCCCAGCAGTTCCGATCCATGCTAAATAAAACAATGTGGCTCTGTCTCCTCCGCATTGATGCTTATCGATTTTATAGAGACATCTGGTGTCGATCACTCTCTCGTATTCTCTGTAAAACAGGTAGGAGAGTATTCCAAAGCATATGATGCTCAACCAAATTTGTCCCCAAACTTGGAATTTTACTATGGATGGGAAACTCAACAGGTATGTTAAAAAGTAGGCTGATGCTCCCAATAAGACGATGGATGCTATTATCAAATCAAGACTCAAGAGGATATCAGACATCGTACGCTTGATGTAAGGTTCAGTTTGACTCAAATAATCGTCGACTATTTTTCTGCTCACAGGTTCTTTGGGGATGCAATATCTGGCCATCTTGGTCGAACTCATTTGGACATAGCAGAAGTTGGTGGTTGTGAAATGATCGATCGAATACAGACAAGTGTATTTACCTGTTGATGAAGGACACTCATCCACACACATGGCTACGTTCATATCCACTGAAGGCTGCAAGTAATACAGATAAGGCAGATTAATCAAACCATTTATCCCACAGATCTCGTCTCGAAAATCATAACCATTCGATATTCTATTTATGTTCCCATAACTAATTAGTACTATTCCGTGGAACACTGTCGCACAAAAGAATACTAACAAGAAAACCAAACACAATCTATCAGTCATCGATCTCTCCTCTTAATTTAGTTAATCACAGTACTTTTGGGTCCATTAAAACCCTCATAAGGTCGCATTCCTTGATTCAAAGGGTTATTCTGATCAAGTCTCTTATACAGTTCTATTCGTGACAATTAGTCAGCACTGTCAAATTCAGGTTTCACCTTTTTCATTATCTCCTTCTTATTCCTTTTTACCTAGATTTTCTTTTTCATCTCTTTTTTTAATTTCAATAATATATACAATTTACAACTTAATACATAAATCATACATTCGATACTCTCTAATTTATCAAAAATCATAACATTTCATTTAGTCTGAACACAATATCCTAAACAACATCCTAAAGTATTTCCTCATCCCAATACAATCTCCAGTTTCATAATTCAGAATAATAAATTTCGCAGAAGCTAAAGCCAAGTACTTATAAAATTGTTACAAATTGTAAGATTGAAAATAAGCATACATAAGTGGATATATTAAAATAGTGAGCATCCATTTATTATTGAGGTATATCTTAAATGAGATATATAACTTTGTAGAGAAGTGATTCTAAGGGTTGGGCATATCGAAGATACCTGTAAACTTGGCCATCTATTATCATCACTTCAAAATAGAGTTATGGGCAATAAATAGGGAAATGAAAATGAAAGGGATATGAGTAAAAATTAAAGAAATTTAGATGATAATGTTTGGGGAGGGAGTTAATGAGGCAACTTGATGTTGGGAGGAAAAGAGAGGGTGATGAAAAGTGGAAGGTGTTATTTAAGAAATAGGAGATATTTGATATTTGATTAATAAAATAATAAAAATTAAATGTCTGAGGGGCAATAAGAATTCGAAGGTTAAGAAGGATAAGAAGGCATGCACGAGGGATAATAAGAGCAATAATAGCAATAATAACAACAATAATAATAATAAAATCAGACATAACAAAAATAAAAGCCTGTTGTTCCAAAAAGCGATCCTCCTCCAGAAGGCGCAATTGTATTTGATTTTGAAGTTTGTGTCGATTGCGCTTCTCATGCTTGGTGTACTCATCATGATGAAAGCAAATATACATAATTGTATTTGGATTGCAAAGCAGGTATTCAATACGACTTTACTCTTAGAGATTGAAGCCTAAATTCCCTAAGCTTATTGCACATATAATTATAAGAAAAAACCCTCAACTGGAGCGTTTGAAATTTCTCACAAAGGTAAACAGTTATATAAAATATTAGGAAACATTATCTTTTCAAAGAGAAACTCTTAAGTATTCCCACAACCTAAGCTTTTACCTGAAAGAATCAGGCATTTCTTAGATGACGTGGAAAATAAAAGAGATCTGGCTAAGTGGGCTACAAAAAAAGAAGTAAAATAAGAACAACCCAGACAAATCAAAGAAAGACCAACCTTTTAAACCTATATGAAGCAAAGAGAAGAATAAGAGAGATTAGCCAAAGAACAGAAATTAAAATAATAGGAGGAAGAAAGATTGAAATAGGAATAGGAGGAGAGAGACAGAAAGGAAAAAGAAAGGTAAGAGGAGGAACAAAGAAAAATAGAGGAAGAAAAAAGAAAGCAAGAAGAATAAAGATTGGCTGAAGAAAAAGCTGCTGCTGAAGAAAAGGCAAGACAAGAATAAGAATAAAAGATTCTTGAGTAATAATAAGAAGAATCAAATAAAGAATATCAGGAATAAGAATAACAATAAGAGGGCGAGAAATAACCAGAATGAAATATTCAAAGTAAGTAGAATGAGATTATAACATTAAAATAACTTATTTGTTATTGTTATTATATTAACATAGAATTCTATAAACAAATGATATTTTATTTGAAGAAGTTCTTAAAAGATACCTCTTTTGAATCTGATTATTAGTTTATAATTAAATAACTGACATATCAATTTTGGTTTTTAAATTAATCGACTAGAAAGTAGCCATCAGTCTTGTTTAATTATCAAAGTGTATTGTTTTTAAAGAATTATTCCTCAAATTTATGAATATCTTCATCAATTATTAGTATTTATATATATTTTTTGCTATCAAAGCGTTATTCAAAAAGAAGTCACTCTAGTGTGACAACTATCAAAGGAAAGTGAGGAACCTTAATATTGATATGTGAAAATCTTTTTTATGCATTAATGAAGCTCTATGTTTTACGAGAAAAAAATTAAATCCTTCGTTAAAAATTAATATTCTTTTTAAAGGAATAGAAGAATCAAATTATAAAGGCTTAGATAAAATCTTCAAGAATATAAGAATATATATTACGTAGGAAGATAATTGTTTTTCAGTGGATTTAATTTACCATATGCCCCACAAATTTATATAATCCTCTCCAACAGCAAGAGGAAGCGTTTTAATTATTATTGAATGATCACTATTAGATAGAATAGTTTACAATCTTGTATCAAAGTTGTATCGACTGCAACAATCTATTAATTAAGAATGATACACATTTGTGTGAATCTTATAGAGCATTATTATTATTATTCATTGATTTAAAATAATATAATATATATTGAAAACAGCATCTATAATAGGAATTAATTCTTATCAGATCAAAATTATATTTTTATACTAAGGCTAATTTAACATTTTTGATATGTAAATTACCGCAAAAGAATATTGAAAAGTAAACTTCTATAAAAAGGTTCTATAAGTTTGTTTTAATTTCTATATTAATAATTTACAATGTGAAGTCTTAGTTTATTCAGTTATTTAGAAATTATTATTATAAGAGTTATAATGAAATTTTTGGTATGGGTGGAAACTGTATTCCTTCGGTTTAATTATTTTATGTATTAAATGTGTTATCTGATAAATGATATCATGGGTTGGTTGTCATAATTTATATATTTGATGCGTAATCATTATTATTATTAAATCAAATATTTTAAGATAACAGCAAAGAAAATGGGAAATTGTTGTAATGGTGGAGGATCAGTTTTGGAAAAAAATGTGCAGGTAGATTTAGGTTAAATAATGTCGGAGAAGTCGGCAAATTCAGATATTCTTAATAAAAAGGCTACAATAATATAAGGTATTTCTATATCTGAAAAGTAAGCTCATTGTAGAGGTCATATTGCTAGAAAGAAAGTGAAAACAATATAGGAATAAGATAAAAGTGGTAAGAGGGAACCGTAAAATGATTCAAGTTAGCCGAAGAAATAGAATTAATAAGCGAATCCTTAGAATAAAAAAGGTGCTTAAGAACCTAAGGAGGAAAGCTATTAAAATAGAGTCGAATCTAGTAGGGCTCACGCTCCAAGTGAAAAATATAAAAAACTAGATAGAATGCCCGATTATTTGACTGCTAAAACTAAATAAGTATTTAAAAGTATTTAGGTTAGGTTTTAAGTCAAATCGAAGCCTTTGTTTATGATTAGGACAAGGATGAATTTAAAGAATTACCATTTTTGGAACCATATGAGTTGGACGGAGGAAGTGTTTATAAAGGATAATGGAAGAGTGGGTAAGTTCTCAATTTATGTTAGACTCCGACATGGAAGGGGAACATAAATTTGGTAGGACGGCTCAATATATGAAGGGTATTGGTACTAGAATGTTGCTTGTGGGAAGGGAAGGTTGATTCATGCTGATGGAGACAAGTACGAGGGAGAATGGAGAAATGACAAAGCTCACGGATATGTAACTATGTATATCAATATTGTAGGGAAAATATGTGCATATGGATGGAGCGTAATATGTGGGCTATTGGGAGGATGATAAATAAAATGGGAATGGTAAAGAAATATGGCCAGATGGGGCTTGTTATGAAGGGTAGTATAAAAATGGGAAGAAACACGGGAAAGGAACATTCAAATGGGCTGATGGATCTATATATATTGGAGAATTCGATTAGAATAACATACAAGGTTAAGGGGAATATCAATGGGAAGATGGCAGAAAATACGTTGGAGAGTGGAAGAATAATAAAATGGATGGAAAAGGAGTAAGCATTTAGATTGTGATGTAGGTTTTTACTTGGTTGGATGGTAGAAAATATGAAGGGGAGTACAAGGATGACAAGAAGCATGGTTATGGAGAGTTTAAATGGCCGGATGGAAGAGTAATAGAATTTTAATTAAGTTTAGATGTATAAAGGATAATGGGCTAATGGGAAGCAACATGGTATTGGAATTTATATTGGTTCTTCAAAAGTTGAAAAGGAAGGAGAATGGTAAGAAGGGAAGAGAATACGTTGGCTGAAGAAAGGAGGCTAACAGACTAGGGAAGATGGAAATTGAAATTCACAAAGTTTATTATCATTTTTTATTGTTCTATCAACTTATATAAATGTAAATTTACAAATGCATGATTTATTATTATTCAATATTATATTTTGAAAAAGAAATTAACTAAAAAAATATTAGTAATAAATAATTTTTAATGAAATCTTTTTACCCCCATTTTACATTCTTCTTTTCAATTACATGAACTAATCTCTTTTGTGTAAATTATTTAATAATACAATATGAAAACAAATGAAAAAGATGAAATACTGTTGTGTAAATTATAAACTGATATTGTTCATAAAGAAAAGCTGATTCAATAAAATCAAGTACCAATCATCATTAATCATAGGAAAATCATGTTATCACAAGCATCTACCTCAGTGAACAACAAACACAAATCCCTTCATTTTAAGCATCTCAAAATGACTTCCAAATCACATGTATGAAATTGTTAATATATTCTATAGTAAGTTAATAAGAAAAAATTGATGCTTAATTAGAAAATAATAAGAAGTTCTAAGAACAATCTTTGTCGAATATTGATGATCTATTATCAAAATCTAATTAGGTAAAAAGCAATACGAAATTGCATAAATCGTCGTCGTTCTCTCAAATATATCCTTTCATGGATGATAATTTGACTTGCACTTCTCAAAACTCATCTTTGTATATGAATATAATAATTTTCAGTATATCATTAGAAAAACAAAAATGGTCAATTCAAACAAGTAAAAAAATCAAGAAGCGAAAGAGCAGTAATATTAGAGGTGCTAAAACTCAGGTCAGTAAAAAATAGATTACTGAAAAATGCAAAACTTAGAGAAGAACAGACAATTTAGTAGCGCAACACTAATCTATTTAAAATGACCAACAAGAATTAGTTTAGGTTCCATCAATCGGAGCCATCATTCACCAAGAGGCTATTTTGAATGAAGCTAGTAATTATTAATTATATTAACTTTCTAGCACTCTAATTATAAAATTAATATTATATGTACAACTTAATTGGATATTTGAAGGGAACAATGAAAGATCCTTTTATGGCATAAATGTACTTAAACCATTTCTCTCAATTATTTGACAATCTGTAAAAATCAAAATTAATTGTATGCCCGACAGAATATACTTTGTCCGGCTAAATTTAAGCTTAAAAAAGTATTAAAGTTTAATTAAATCAAGAAATTAAGAAGACTTTGATTATCGATTTAGATGAAACTCTAGTTCATTGTAATGAGTTTAGTTGTTTGAAGAGTGATTTTTTCATTCCAGTAATATTTAATGAGCAAATCTATTAAGTATGGATAATTTGTAATTTAGGTTGGTATAAGCATAAGGCCTTATGCATAATAATTCTTAAGGAATATGGCAAAGGATTACGAAATTATAGTTTTTACAGCTTCAAATCCAGATTATGCGAACAAGATTATTGACTATTTAGATCCACAACATAATCTTGTATCCTATAGATTGTTTCGTGATGATTGTATTCAAATATCAAATAGTTGCCATATCAAAGACTTAAGAATCCTGAACAGAAACATGAAAGATATTGTGTTGGTGGACAACTCAGCATACTCATTTGCTTTTTAAGTTGAAAATGGAATACCAATCATTCCCTACCTAGATGATAAGAATGACAAAGTATAAATAAGCTTTATTCTTCAATAGGAATTACTACATTTATAACATTATCTCCAGTATTTAAATCAATTTGATGATGTTCGTAGTTAAAACAATAAGATATTTAATTTGAAAACAGTTCAAAATTGTGTTTCAATTGTCGAGGCTATCAAAGGGTTATCAGCCTCATTCTCTTAGTGACCGATTTTGTGAATAATAGCTATTATAATTAATTAGTATTAAATATGCAAATGGAGGGATTCTTTTAATATAAATATCAATAAAATGAAAAAAAATCAAATATTTTCTAAAAGTATCAACATCATAAGAGATCATCAATAAGAATATAAGCCTTCTTAACAGTCAGCCTCGAAATCAAAATAGGAATCTGATGAGGAGAATGGAAATATGTACGCATCCAAAATAATGAAGAAGGATATAAGGAAGCAAATAATCAAGATTAAGAATCATTCCCACTAAGGAAATATGTAAATTCATCAATAATAGCCAAAAAAGCATGGGATTTTGAATATCACAAAAGGAGGTAAATACAAATCTTCATCCTATCTTAGAATCAAAAAAACAAATTTAATAGAAGCCTACTGGATCATTTCCAATATTTATTAGGAATATAAAGGAGGGATCGACGTCTAGTGAATTAAAATAGTTAATAAATGACGATTCGAGCATATTAGGAATATAAGTAAGAGATGGTAGTTATCTTAGATTAATAACAAATAAGGCACGATTACATTTTCAAATTAATAATCAGCTGATTAAGCAATTGGTTTATAATTAAATATATTTTATTAGAACTTATAAACAACTACAAAGAAAATGGTCATTAAATGAGTGCTGTACCAAATTATCAGCAATCCAACAAAGTCATCGTATTGGGTTAATTTTAATCAGGCAGAGGATTCAAAGAGGATGGGAGACTGAGAATGGATGCAAAAGAATCGATTTTTGATAGAATACAAACCAAAAAATAATGATGCAATCAGTCTAGTTTAATTTATTTCTATTATTAATGTTATTATCTGATGATCTAGTTATTCAATTGCAACTAGGTCAAACTCTAATTTTAGAATAATGAGTATTAAGTACATCTAAATATAAACAATACCATTTTACATATATTTACATATATTTTAATTATGATATAATAGTAAAGATAGGTGTTGAATGATAATGATTTGCATTCACTAATATACAAAGGCGAAATTGGTATCAATCAATTACTCATTTCTAGATTGTCAGGTATGCATTTATTGGATGTACTATCGATTGCCAATTTCTACACTCCTGATAACTCGATTAAGGAACATTTGTTTAAAACGGCCAAATAAAATTACAAATCAGATTAAGAATTCCCAAAATTAATTTAGAGATATGAATTAACACTAGCTATAATAGAAAGCGAATCGCTTAATGAAAAAGTATTTTTCATCACAAATTAATTTTTAGTAATATATTTCCCTGTATGCAACCATCATGAAAACTAAGATTAAGGAATTCTTCACAAATCAAAAGAACCAACTATTTTGCAATGTCTATATACCTCCTTAATACACCAAAACTTTAACGATATTTTGTTATAGTCCCAATTTAACAGGATATTTAGCCTTAGTTACAACAGATCAAATGAATAAATTAATAGCCATGGAAGAGATGATACCCTAAATAGACAATTAAGAATATGTGAAATCATACGCATTTGATTAGATATTCTAAGATGTAAATATTAGTATAACCCATAGAATATTGTACTACCTTAAATAAACAATACTCCAGAAAAAGATTAGTAGAAATTGGTAAGAAGACACAAGAAGTCATTATCAGAACACTAAATTTTTGATTTTTAGTGGGAATAAAAAGAATAATAGATGATCACTTAAATGTAGACTCTCCCACAAGATAGAGCATGTAATTCTTTTGATTTACTTTAGTATTTTTTTCATAAACAAAATAGCAGGCTTTTGTTTAGGATGATTATCAATTTCCATCATTAGATTAGATAAATTCATTTAAACAATTTTCATCAATTTAGGAAGAAAAGAAAAAAACTGAACCATCTTCATTATAATAACAATCTGCATTTAGATATGACGAAGGAATCCCAAATATTGATGATTTAGAGTTCTTTCCTCCTTTGGAATTAGTATCAACTGCTAGTTGTCCTCCATTGAATAACAAATTACAGATGACAGATTAAAAGAAACAATTATCTAATCCAATTTATACTGGAAGACTTAAATTTTTCGATGAGTAAAAGAATTATGGATTCATTGTTATGGATGAAGATAAATCAGATATATTTGTTCACTTAGATGATTTATAAAAGGCGGGTGTAACTAAAGAAGTTTTGAAGACTTCAAAGCAAGGATCGATGTTAAGGTATGATAATCATAACAAGTAGATTCTAATTTAATTGTATGGTGTATGTTGGGAAATATAAAAAGTCGAGAAAAGCTGTTGAATTGAAATTACTAGCGAACTAATAAGTGAATAACTTTAAGGGGATTGCCTGATTGAATAATCAAAAATATAGGCATAACAATAAAATTATTTATTTTTTTAAGTATCTATTCATAGTTCTACATATATTAATATAAGTAATCATTACTTCAGAATTCCTTCTCTGGATAATCTTCAAATATTCTATTGACTTCAATATCAAAGAGAGATAGAACCAGTATGAAAATCATGCAGAATATGACAATACTTTAGATAATAATAATTTATGGATTGATTTAAGAAAATTGAAAATAAAACCTAATGCAATTTAATCTATTCTAAATGTACATATGTATTTTATTATAATACTGTAATTATCTCATTTAGCATTCTTCTTGGCTTCTTATTACTTTTTGAGCTAATTAGCATCAACAAAGACTATAGTCTTGCATCTCTTAATAACTTTCAACCACTTTAATTTACACTTGACGCATTCAAGCCTATTCTCCAAAAATATCTATACTTTAAAGCCACTTTTTTAGTTGTCTTTGCCTTCTTTCTGAAAATTGGCTTTGTTTATCCACCATACCCAGCCTGTTTCATGTCGTACCTTCTTCTGCCTTAAGCAAATGGACTTTCCTTGCTCTTTTTGTATTGAGACACTTTGCAACTTTAATGGCTTCCACATTTTCTGCAATATGTTTTCCTGTTTTTAGGTACGTTCACCATTTAATTTTTTTTAAATAAAATTTAATCATTTTTTAAATTACTTTAGAATAATTAGTTAATGCCAAGCCAATACTCAATAATAAGGTGCTGTTTCTATAATTATTGTGAATAAATATTGTTAAGTTCATCAATTAATATCCTTCAATAAATTGTGTATTTCTTCAGCCGAGTAATCTGGATGTTATTGTTTCAGAAAAGGCTAAGAATTGGATCTCCTCATAATGGGAATTTGCTCCTTATTTTTGAGATCATCAGCTGATTTATTTCTAAAAAGCTAAAACATATAAAAACACATGTTCTTCTTAATTAATTGATCCAAAAATGGTAGAAATCAATGGTTAATTTGTTTATTCTTTTTCGAATAATGAATCTGTCAATATAACGATATTGTGTTCTTAAAACTGCCTTTTTATCATTCTCTTTGGATTCTACTCTTTCTTCCTAATATTTTGATCTTCTAATTTTATCATCAAATAAAAGGCAAAACAAATTAAACACACTAAGAAAACTCCAATTTGCTGTTATTTGGATAACAAAATCTCAAAATAATTTTGAAACTAAGAGAGCCGCTCTAGTAAAGTACTCATATTAGCAGTCTAATCAGTATTTTTTTATTTAAATTCATTCATCTATCCATCTTGTTGATCATCAGTTTATTATTAAAGTACTTATTCTACATCACTTGATTTAGTTTGTTCAGCAATGACTGGTTCATCCTATTTTGTTCCAAGTAATATTTGTTTCTTGGGAATAGCAATTACAGTTGTAAATAGGAGTAAAACGCAAACAATTAATCTCATATTAAGCAGAATATCAATTTAATATTATAAAAATTCTGAGTTCTCTCTATATATGAAAGTTTAATTTAATCATTTGGAATTTGATTACCAACTCTATTGTTGTAATTGCTGGGAAATTTTATGAAAAGATCATTCTAATTTATTAATTGAAAATGTTAATATTAGCATTATTCTTCATTTCAGTTGAACTAGCAGTAGGAAAACTGAAGGTTATTGGTCCAGAAGAATTGAAATAGTAATTAGCCTAAAACAATGCGGAAATTGTATTCAGCATAGCAAACTTTGGGTAAAATTGTGAATTTATAGACCAATATAGAAATGTTCCTTGGGGTCGTAGATTAAGTGGGACTCTTGATATTTCAGACCCGATCGAAGCTTGCACCGAGATTAATTAAACTGTGAAAAGCAACTTCGTACTAATTAAAAGAGGAGCCTGTTCTTTTGTTACTAAAGTTAGACATGCATAGAAAGCAGGATATCAATTGGCGATAATCGAAGATGATAAGGCTGAGATCATAGAGAACATAACTATGTCTGATGACGGGACAGGATATGGAGTATTTGATATAATATCACATAGCTATAAATCCCTAGCATTTTTATATCTAAATCAGATGGGGAGATTTTGACTAAGTACTTGAGGATTCCAAAAGTCAATTCAGAAGCAGATCAAGTACAATTGCTTATCAAATTCGATGTTCGCTAATAGGAAAATGTGGATGCCCTATTTGCCTTTTCAATTACATCTGGAGAAACATATAAATTTTTAAGAGAATTTCAACCTTATTATGAAAAATTGAAAAATGAAAAATGTACATGTTCTTGTCCATATTCTTAGTTAACTTCACCCTCTTGTACCCATTGTATCAAATTATTGGCACTCCAGATAGACCGATAGATTATAAGAATTGTATATCATATGGCAAATACTGTTCGCCTGATCCTGATGGAAGAGGTGTTGGAACTGGAAGAATGATTGTCCAAGAGACACTTAGATAGTTATGTATCTTTAATCAAAGCAAAGACTTATGGTTCGATTATATGGTAAAAGATTATTCAAAAAATTAGCAATCATTCAGAGATAATTGTACTTCAGCTTAAGAGTTTGAAGGTTGTTCTCCAAAGGTGCAATTGGAAGTTGGTATTGACAATTAAAAAGTCGAAAAGTGTATAAGGGATCAGTAATCCATACGTATTTTTGAAGTTTAGAATGAAATCTTTAATTACAAGGATAACAAGATTCTAGATGATTAATTGAAATTATGGAATACTGCTGGTGTACAGGAATTGCCAGGGATCATAATAAATCATTAGGATTACTTGGGAAAAGTCACTGGAGCAAATGTTTTCCTTGATATTTGTTATAGTTTTGAAACTCCACCAGAGTCTTGTGGCACTTATGTTGACGGGTATATATTTTAAACGGATTCATCAACCAATCTTTATTTGACTATAGCAATCATAATAATAGTTATGGTCACCTTTTTTGTGCTTCTATTTTGTGTTTATACAAAATTAATTAGAAAAGAATTCAAGGAAAGTAGTTAGTCATAAGTCAATGAAATGGTTACCCAATATATCTAGTTCTATGAATCAAAAGACAAGAAAAACAAAGATGCCATATGAACATTGATAATTTGTTTCTTTATAATAAAATCATTATTGAGTATACCAACAATTTGATGTTGCACTTTTGTAAAACTGCTTCTTCACAAAGATATTGGCAATCGATAATAAATTGAATACTAGGGAATTTTATTATCATTAAAAATAGAATTAGTTTGTAAATAATTTATAAATAATATTAATGATGAAAGTAATAAGTAGAATGTCTTCATTGATTCTAAAGAAATCAGATGATATGATTCTTTTTGCTCATGAGAATCCAGTTAAATTAGGCGAGGCATTAAAGTTTGGAAATTCGTTAGGAGTAGTCATGTCCATTTTTGAAAGGAATCAATTAGCATTATTATTACAACCATCAGAAGTATTAGAACCTATTCAACATGTCAATTCATTACAGGCTTATCCTCAAAATGATATTTGTACGATTGCAGACATAAAGGAATCAAATGAAAATACAACAGATAGCAAAAAATTACCAAAAAGAGTCCTTCCATAGAATTAAATTTTAACACATAATGTGTATATCGATCTCTTTCATCCAATTACGTATGGGCAAATGCTTATCATTAAAGATAAAGAGCTTCTGAAAAAGTTGAACTCTTTCGATTAGATTATCTATTACGGGAAGTCTCCAATCCAGACAACCACTTGGTTTAAACATGCAGAAAATTAAGGATCTAATTATTTTTTACCAAAATACGCATTACAATATGCCAAATAAGTTGCAAAGTCTAATAAAACGTTATTAGTAATGGATCAAATTTATGATCATTTTGTTGCACACTAAAAATTATAAGAGACAATTCAGTCCTATGTTTATGAGACAACCACCAAAACTGTGTACTTGTCAAATCTTTTAAAAGAACTTTCAGATTCATGTGGTTATAGACCAGGACATAGTAATCTTACTGTCGCTGTTTTACAAAAAAATTCTAGAGAAGATTTATTAAATGATGAATTAGAAAAAGAAGTATGATTTTAAATGTAATTCAACTTTTAGTTAGAATCATTGTAATCACATACTCCTTCAGCAACTTTAGCCAAGCCAAGTCCATTCAGTTTGTAAATTCAAAGTCCTTTGTATTATTATCTCGCACAAGAATTGTATGAGATTCTAGCATAATACAATGAAAAAAAGTCAGAATACTTATAGAAACAATAGTTAAAGATTCATATAGATCCTTGGGAATTTTACTAATATTTTGATTGCAAACCAATTGTGTAAATGATCAACTTATTCAACCAGTAGAATAGTCAAGAACATGAGTTAACAATCTTAGTAGATTTCTCAGTTAAAGCTTTCAAAGATGAATTAATCTGTCAACTCAAAGGTATATATCAAATATCTAAATTCAAGGTTCTCCCAAGGAAATTTTGAATGATCTCCTTGCCTTTTCCTGTACAATAAAAGAGTTTGATGGGAAGACATTCGCAGAATTTTATTATGAAAAAAAGAATGAATTAGATGGAAATTAATTTAAGAGTGCAATAATTGAATGCTTAGGGAGGTTTTATGAATTGTACATGATTCATTTAAGAATGACAGATTAATTGTTATAATACAAAAAGGATTACATTTGATTGAGTATTGGCATGTATTTTATAAAGATGTAAAAATAATTTAAGTTCTATTTGAATATTAAAATTCTTATAAATCAAATAAATAGATAGATTAACCAAAAAAGAAATAGAAAAAGTATCATTATAAATTGAATCTTTATAAAAATATCAATAAGTAGAATATCGAGAATTTTTGAAGATACCAAATAGGTAGTTAGAATAAAGGTAATAATAGAAGTCTAGGATTGAAATTGATATATAATAGTGATACTAAATTATTATTATTATCCTGCATAATTAGCTATTCAAATTTTTCTCAATTCTTAACATGAGTGAAGTGATGAAATGTTTTAACAAAGTCATCAGTTTTATGAAAGGGCCTAACTTCATTGACTGGTTTAGATTGATAGATGATTCCTTAGCTTTGCTTTTCAGAATAAAATGTGATAGGTTTTGCTGTTAGATATGATTCTTGTGGTAAGACTGATGTCAATTATTAATCAGTTGACAGTTGAGGTCTATCATAGGGTAGGTTAGTAGTGATACTTTTAATAAAATCCCATGTCACTCAACAAATCAACATCTTTTTTGTCTCCATCTATTGCAGTTCCATTTTGTGTTCTCATCACTCTTCTTCCAATAGTGTTATTTTCTATTGGTTTCTAATCATGTAAATATTGATTCTTACCTAAGTGAATTCTTATTTGCATGTTGTTTCAAAATATCTCTATTATGTTTAACTGAAACTGTCTGCTTCTCGAGAGTCCAACTCTGACTGAATTTATTACAGGTATTATTATTCAATTAATTAGGCTTTCTTACCAACTTTGGGTACTAAATCGGCTCTGTTTACAGTACCTCCAACACTATAAATATATCAATCTATTACTTTTGTGATGCTGGTTTTGGAATGTCAGGTTATATTTTACCAAATAGTCTAGTTGTTGTATCAAGTTGATTTATGGGTTCCTTGTAGAGAGGAATTTCTTCGGGAGGTTTTAGCATCAGATCTGTATGCTTCTTTTTTATATGTTAAGGAACAGGAGCTCTTCCAAATCCAGTGTCTTCCTTTAATTGAGCCTCTTCATGCCAATTGGACATCAAAGTTCCAGAGACAAAAGAGTTTGCTGCTTTAGCTCCAGAACTTGCAGCTTGTGTTTTATTGTAGCAATCCAATTTTGTTTAATTCATATTCATTATTTGGTAATAATAATTAATTAAATAAATTTCATCATCTTCTTAAACTCAAATATTCTTAATTCAATATTTTAGAAGATTATTATATCCCATCAGTTATTTCATTATTCCTTAGAATTATAGATAAAAAATAAGATGTTACTAGTATTTCCTTTTTTAATTGAAAAATAATAATATAATTTAATATAGATATTAATTGATGATTATCTAAATGAATGTTTGATATAAGATAAGCAAGATCGCTAGAAAGTAAATAATCAATATAACAGTTCAATGTTTAAAAATGCATATTCAAAATGTAATTAATAAAAGTTTTGGATTTGAGAATTTTGTACTATCTTAATATTCAAAATTAGATCTAAAAAGTATTCCAATTCTCAAACTAGACTATTATGTAATTTTCCTCTTTCTCTAATAGAATATCATAACAATTAAATTGCTTAAATTCAAAATTTCTAACCTTGCACCTTAGTAAATGAAGTTAGTCTCATCATCACATAGTTTTTGCCTTAATGTAATTATATTTGATGATTTTATTATTGATTTTTCTTTGATGGTCATTCTTCAATTATACACTAAGTCTAACAAATCAAAATAGATGTCTTTCTCAAAGTAACTCTTTAAAATATAAGACTGATGAGAATAGTTCTAATTGTTTTTCAAGAAGATAACCTCTAATTTCAAATCTGATATAACCAAAATTAAAAAACTTTAATAATCAATTATAATATCAAATTTTACAATAACTATGCCAATAAATAAAAACACATAAACATTATTGATTCTTACTGGACTAGAAATAGAAGCAATACAGATTATAATAGCATAACCAACCGTTTGATTCTTTAAATGAATGTGGAATCATTAAAATCATTTAGGATGTAGGGAAAAGGAGAAACACTCAATTTAATGTAACCCACATTTTTATTGTTCAATTTTGCTTGATTATTTTATGATTAAACTAAAATAGTTTATTTATTTAATGCAAAATCCCTTAATAACAAGCACTTTATATTTTCCTAGACAATCATATTTTAGCAAGTATAAAGGGTTGCTTGAATTACAACAAAAGTAATAGCTGAGCCCAGAGGAAAGGAGAGTTAAGGAGAAGTAAGAAAAAAGCAATAAAACATCTGATTTTGAGGAAACCATATTAATTACTAATTCAGCAAAATTAATAGTGCCATAAAGGAGGATTACTTTTGAAAATTAAATAAATGCTATGGAGGATCCTTATTTTTAAAAAAATGAAAGTTCCATCTCCCAGAGGTACTTAGCAAATTTTAAGATGTTAAAATCACAAAAATAAATTTTGCCTTCCCTGCCTTCCCAAAACAATCTGAATCAAATTAAACTTTAAACACGATAGTTATTTGCCAAACCACTGATTAAAAAATAAAAAAGTCTTGATCACGTTGTTTAAATATGTTATTAAAATAAACAATTTTCTCAACTATAAGAAGGAGCAAGCTTAAAATGTTTGTTCAAATCTTCAGAATTAAAGGAGGAGGATTATGATAAAATTTTAATTATTTAATTTGAAAGTAATTATTAATCTTATGTAAAGATGTTATACTAAAAAGATCATGCTCATTTTGGGAGAATTCCAATGAAGTCACTAGCTGTAGTATTAGTTTAAGTTCAAAAAATTAAGAATAATGTGAAAATGCTTTTTGCGTTTGTAATCTAAGAAGAGAATTTAAAAATACACTGAAAATGTACATCAATTATTTTAACAAAGATTGTCAAAGGCTTATATAATAATCTTCTTAGTTTAAAATGCTAGTTTTATGTTAAAATGGCACAAATATCTTTAGGAATAAAATTATTAATACGATGCAATATATAAAACTAGAATCACAAAAAATGTTCGGATTGGTGGCATTTAAATGAGTAGAGTATTTAATGATTTCTAGAGGTTTAACTTATCTAAAATCATATACTTCGATTCTATTGATATTTCGAACGCATCCAAATTACATCCAGAAGATTTACAGTATAAAATACCAATAGCAAATTGCAATATTGAAACTACAATCTTTCTATTTAAGAAAAATATGTAGACAAAGTAATTTGATTCACAATTGCTGCATAACATATCAATGGCCTTTTATTCAGGAAAGGAACATGTAATAAGCAAAAAACAAATTTATTTTGAGAATATTGATTTGCACTTTGTTTTTTAATATTATTCTTCCTAAAATTAAATTAAGAAACTCAATCAATTAAGGAAACTTAATGAATTAAAATAATCTTTTTAGAAAATAGTAGAAACTTTAAATGAAACTTAAACTGTTTAATAAGAGAAGGATGAGTATTTGATATAGTGGATATCAGCAACAAGAAACGATTTTATAAATGATTTTAAAATGAAAAAGAATGAAAGAGTCCCTCAATTCTATTTCACAATTGGAGATATTATTGTTAGGAACTAAAAATTAAAATGGTAGCATTTTAGCTATAAAAGTGAAAAAATGTAGAGTAGATATGAACATATCTGTAAATTGATATCTAAGATACATTAAGATCATCAATCTTTTGAAAGACACTAACATTCAATTAAAATTAATTGTTTACTTTGCATTGAATGATATTTCTATATACTTTACCTATTTCAATTCAATATATTTTGATTTTATTTGGTAATAGATATATATCTGTAAATAGCAATACGGCTCTATTCTAGTTAATATATTTATTGACATTCCTTTTAAGTTCAGTTATCACTTTATATTTGAAGTATTTATTATTTTTTTGGTTGAATTTAATCTAGTGATATTCTGATATTTTTTATAACTAGTTATTATTATATATAAATATAAAATAATGAATTATTTGGTATAATTCTATTATAGCATTAAAGAAAATAGATTAATTAAAATTTGATAATTTATCATAGATGTTATAAAAAATGATAATTTTAAACAAGGCAAATAGTTTTAAATTAATGTCAATCTTGTGCTCAATTATTTTCTTTATCTATGTAGGTTGCTTTAATGGCCGTGTTTTTTACTTATCTAAGACGATCTAAAAGAGTTAGGTTTGTTTTAGTTCTTTTTGATTCTCTCATATCAAACTCGTGTTTTTTCTCATTTAATTTTTCATAGTAATTAGTAATTCTTTAAATGACAACATCAAGATTGAAATCAGGGAAATAGATTTTTGATGATTTTGCAACATCTATCTCCATTTCATAATGAACTCTGACGATATCTTATATCCTCTTTTATATTCCATCTAACGAATTTCCAACTCGAAGACTATTACTTTCTCCTTAGTTCTCACATTTATTATTGGGTTCAATCAAAGCTAAATTGCTAGGAGCGCCAGCTGTGTAAATACTTGAACTATATATTTCATTATTGAGAAGACTCCTTTCCGCCTTCTTATTCTCAAATTCTGATCCTTATCCCTATAAGAATTATAATAATTGTGTGGTTTTTCTTCTTTTTTTCCGACGAGCTACTTCAACACTTTTTAAATAAAAAATAAATTATACTTGGTGGCCTTTTTGGAATTAAGACTGCTCTCTCTTGCTTCCATTCTTTGTTTGATCTCTAAATCCTATGAATTGGAGGGAGGTGATTATTCGAAATTAGAATCACTTCCCTTGCTTCCCTTACTGATTTGTTTTAATAAATTGATAGGTTTATTATCTAATTTTTAAATATAAAAGTGAACCTAGAAACTGATTTGTGCCACCATCAAACTCTAACCAAGACACTTTTCTAATTCCAACCGAATTTGGATTAGTGTTGAACTTGCTTTTACCTACTTTCAATTTGCTAAGTATAAAATTGTGTGATCCCGCATTCGCATTATGTATTTTGACTTCCTCTTGAACCATTGACTCATCCAATATATCAGCTGTCCCATTTAAATTTGAATGAAGCTTCCCTTTTACAGATTGGAGAGTCTTGCCTCTATCTCTGCCTTACAATTTAATTCGATTAAGACTTTGTTTAAATTGACTCCCTTAATCCCAATCTAACACACTTTCCTAAGAAATAATGTTGGTTATATAATGGTACATTTGTTATACTAGGTCTTTAACTATCCTTAATAAAGATTGCAGTTTGATTTTAAGATTTTTGTTCAGCAGGTAAAACTGTCTAGATTGAAGGTTACGGAACAGGTTATTATAGATTGTTTTCGAATTACGACAAAACTTTTTAATCTTTGAAGACGGAATTCTTTTTAGTTGGAGTTAACTTCTGCTGATCCTCATCTTTCTCACTCATCTCAAAGCCTAAATTAACCAGGTAAGCGTCATTTATTTCTCTTGAATATTCAAATAAATAACTTTTCAGGTACGATACTGTTTAAGACAATGTAACCCAGAGCCGCTTCTTAGACATCAGGTAGAGTGTTTTTCCAATGTTATTTGTTTAAGGTTCTATAGGGAAAGGTCAGTCTTCTATTAGTTTTGATTGAGGTAAAGGAACTCACTATTTTATTTTTGTTTGGTTGCAAAAATACAAATGGACATCTTGGAGTATAGAAGACATTCTTACTGAATGAATCGATGAGTCCATCCACATATTTCACAGATTTGGCTAAAAGCTTTGTAGTTGCTATTAAAAAGGAGGTTATCTTTAACCATGCTATACTTCTGGAATTCCTCACTCTTCTCTTAAATAATCAAATAGAATTATTAAAAACTAGTCGAAAATGAATTCAATAACTTACTCTAAAACCAATAACTAAGTAAATTTGGTTGCCCTGGCATTGTATTCATAAGGTGTTTGTGAAATGAACTCTCGCTCTCCTATAACAGCCCTATAAATAATGTTAGGATTTACCCTTGTGTTAGTTTCTTCAAGAAAGTTTCAGTGTAGAAATGTTCATCTTCAACTATAATATAGTGGTGGATGTTTTACTTTAATGGTCAGCCACGTATTCAACTGCTCCAGATAATACAAACCAGAGTGCCTTAGGAGAATCATTTCTTTGGAATAGTAATTATTCTGGATAGAGCTTTGTTTCTTTAACTATTTGACACAACCTGTGAAGAGTTTCATCACTAAAATTCTCTCTTAAGAAACGCGATTAAGTTAATGTTTTACTGTAAATATCGACGAGAACTTCTTCTCTCAGATGTTTAGTCAATTATTCAATAAACTATTCAGCATGTTAATCTTCCTCCTACTTAACTTTAAAGTAATACTCGAAATATTTTTTAACCTATATTGCATCAACCCAAATACCTTTAATTGTAAATTGTAACTCAAGCCTCTTTTTCTTATGTGCGAATTGATTTCCCTTATTCTCTATTTATAAATCCCTTTTTTATCTGATATTTGTTTAAATATGTTTCCAATATTGGAGAGACAATAACCAAAAACACCACAAATCAATAAAGTAACAACTATTACAAATATTCTCTCAACCGTCGTTATTGGGACTATGTCACCATATCCTACTGTAACTGTCGTGATAACACTCCAATATAAAGAAATTATGTATCTATCAAACCAAAAGTAATCCATTGCATTAGAGTCATATTTAGTCAACCAAGTTAATTACTCACCATAATTTTCATATTCTATCACTGCCACCCAATGCCATGCACAACCACAAAAGTGTCCAGTTAGCAAGAGAAAGAAGATTAATTTTAGCAAATCCAAAAACACTTGCATATTATCCTTATTCATAACCTTGATAATATTACTTCTAAATTCAGAACCTCCTCTATGCTAGTCATCAATGGAGATAATCTGGTTAATCTCAACAATAGTGCATATCTAACAAATGGTACTTCCATGTTTGACAAAAGATAGGGAATTATTACTATCACGTCCCAAAAGAAGTTCCCCTTTACATAATGTTTTATTATCTATTTGCGATCCTCGTGCATCAACCCTTTATCGTAATAAGCAGTGTTGAAGTTTAACAATATCTCTGCCATAAATACCCATGAGGGCAGTAGGTCAAAGAACCACTCAAATACTCCTGATGATCTCACATCAAAACTTATATATATGGGTATGTAAAATATGTTCACCACAATAAATAACAATAATAAAATATCCCAAACTATTTTGAATAAACTATCAGGTTTTATTACCTTCACGTATCTTCCAAAATATGCATAAATTGCTTCTATAGAATTCAACAGTTTTAATGCTTTATTTTAAATTTAATAAAAGATAATTAGACTAATACTGGGCTTCTATTTAATTAATCTATTTATCAACATATATTCAAAATTTGCACTGTTGTCGCAAATTACTTCGAAAATTCTCTTAGTAATTAATCGGAATTTGATTCTCTCTGTCTTGGTTTTTAATTATTAAATAAAACGGGAAACTAGTCTAATTATTATGAATCCCTTTTAAGTCCAAACTTCATTTAAACTTAACTTAAATCAAATCTATACCCAGTCTTTAATTCTTTGCTCCTCCCTCTCTAAATCAAGGACCCCTATTTTACGATATCTCTATTAATTTGGGCTATTTTTGTTCTTTCCTTTTATTCTTATTGTTCTTCTAACTGTTATACGAAACTCTAATATTTAACTATTTTGGCATCTGATTTCAATCCCACGTTGTTAGTTCTATTTTTCTGAACTGGAGATGCAATAACAATGTCATCCTGATCCAATTTTTTTTAAATTTAAATTGATTTGTTAGATTTATTTTATTTAGGGTTTACTGTTAAAGGCTTTTGTATTTTTAAATTATAACTTATTGAACCAATAGAACCTTGTGGTTCACTTCTTTTACCACTTTCATATCATAATTTATTACCTTAAATTACTCATTAGACAGTCCTCCTCATTTACATCAGCCTTATGGCCCTAGTTTATGGCTTACTTATGAGTATTATCAAATATATCTCTCTTCAATTTTAAAGCATCCAGCTATTATAATTATGAAAATTCAATTTTTGGATCTAATTTATAACCGCCAGAAGGACTTGGCTAATCGATATCAAACAACTGCACTGATGAGATGTTATTGCTCTGAATTCCACTTTCTAGATCTTAGAATCCAGAGTCTCTATTAATCATTTTTATATTATTAAAATAAGTAATAATTTAGAATAATACTCTTTTTCATAGGTCCTAATTTTTAATTTCAAGGTAGGATTTCACTAAATTTGTTTAGATTAAGTTATAATCAATTAAATTTTTAATTTTCCCTCTAAATTCAGTATCAATAAAGTATCTTTCCATCAATCCTTCTATATCTTCACCCACAGATAATATTTATTCATCCTTAACAACGTTCGAATTTTCTAGCAAATGCAACTATTAACATTATTATAATATGTACAAGTGATGTAATGATATGTCCCTTCACTCTTCCTTGGTTATCTGAATTTACCAGCATCAAAGCATAAGTTAGACAACCCGCAGATATCAAACTTTGAGTATATTTACTCTGCAGTCCGTAATCAAAACAGCACACTTTCAATGTAAAATATGCTATCTCAATGATATCATCTCCTTTATCTTTAACTTTACTTAAATAGAGTCTCAGCAACAAAGTTAAAAACAAAAAACTATTAGAAAAATTAAGTTGATGATCCAAGCATTCAAAAATTTCTAGTTCTTTCTTAAAAATCTTATTTCGATCGAATCTATCGTGAGAGATGTAGATTGCTTAATCTATTCTTAATGGTATCACATCATTAAATTTTGATGCCAAATACATACAGCTAAGACCAGTAAGGTATAGGTTATCTCTTGTTATTCTATAGGTATTATAAACAATCATACTTTTGAGTTTTTTTTTAAAATTCATCTAAAATGGAACAAATTATGAAGAATGTAGAATAATTCATTTTGTATGAATTTGTGATCTCAATTAACCAATTTAGAAATCTCATTCTCTCTTCACCATCATATCCCTTGTTATCTTTAGTTAAGAATTGTGTTGGCTTTTATTATTTTTCCAAATAATGTTAAAGAACTAAATTATAAAATTCCTCAGTTTTCACAGTCGTCTGAGGAATCATGCTTAAATCTAGTTTGAATTCTAAGGGAGAAAACAATTCTTCTGGATTTTCAATTTCCTTTGAATTCTCTTGCTCTTATGAGATTTATTCTATTGCAGAAGCTAGTTCTTCTAATTTTGTGAGTTAAGGCACCTATCCAGATCTGATTGATGCTCCAGGGGAAAAATCAGATATTGATCCACTAGTATCGACAGAGGATGATTGTTTTGATTTCATTTATTTAATTTTTTAAAGGCATTCAACCGCTTAATAATATAAATTTTATAAACCAATATTAATTTCTAAGTAACTATTTTTACTGCAAAAATAATGAAATTCTATCTTCATTCAAAGTTGATGCTTGATGTGATATCATATCACATGATCTTTCTGAATCCATATAATCGACCTAAGTGGATTTAGAGATTGTGGGCAATTTTGATATTAAATATTGATTACTACAATATTTATATTACAAACAATTAATTTTTACACAGGACTTCATGTTACGAATGATTCTTATTAATTTCAATTATTTAATAATAAGTTGTGATTTAGTTATTTATATTTTTAGATGAATTAAAAAAATAAAATATCTCTTTCAAATAGGATAGAATAAGCAACTAGAGATTATCTTGCATATTTTTAATTTTTAATGTTGAGAGAAAACTTCGATGTCACTTTAAAGAGCATTTTATGGTTTCGATTTCTTTTGATAATTAATACTCTGCAAGCTGTTTAATTAATTAATGGTTAAAATGTGTAAATACTCATATTAACAATAGCTTTATTTAAGAGATGCTAAGCAAATATAGAATAAATTTGTTAATTTATTTTGGGAACAGTAACTATTTGATTTTTGCTTACATCATTATTTTAAGCATTTTTTTTCATATAGCTATTACTTAAATTGTAATCAAAATGAAAATTTCGATTCATTAATTTATTGGTTCCTTTTTTGTTTAAACCATTTATTATGTGTAGTCTATGCCAATTATTTTAAACTCCCTATATGCTATTTTATATTAGGATCAATATGTTCATTTAATCTTGTTCCTCCTAACAGTATTATTGAATATCATGTATATTAAGTTCAGCTGTTAAACAAGTTTTTTGTAGATAGATGGAAGCTTTTCAAGATAGATAGATGAGATTGTCATTTATATATTTCGATTTGTTTTATGCCTTTTAAAGATCAAATTGCCAATTGCTGAATTACAATTTTCAATATTGATCATAGAATCATTTTTATTAACGTTAATTTAGATTAACAATACTCAATTGAATAGCCACTTTATTTTTCAATTAAGAATATTTCTTTTTGTGATTGGAATAGCAGGCATATTGAAATTAGAATGGATTGAAATATTTTTAGTTTATATATTTACTATAGGTGTTATGCAATCTTGGAGAAATAGACTTGAAATAAATAAGTTGACTGATGCTAAAAATTAGTTTTAATTAAAATTTTTGATTTCTTAAATTGTTAAAAATTATTCAAATGATGAAACTATTTAAGTTTTATTAATTTAAAGATGCATAAAATCAAATTTAAAATATTTACAAAAAAATACTAACTCAAATATAATTAAGATATAGGATAGAATAATGATAGAAAGATATTTTGAATAAAATCTATACAAACTTTATTTTCTATTGTTGCAATAAAATTAATCTAAATTGTCATTTTTTGACTTTATTTTCGTAAAAGCAAATATTTATTTAATTTAATAAGAATGTTTTTCAAAATCGAAAAAATAACTATAAGATAACTCATAAATAATTCGAATTTTTGAAGAATAAGAATCTAACTTTTTAATTTTAGAATAAGCCAATATTGCAAAATTAAATTTTTATTAAGCACTGATTAAACTCACTATTAATGAATAATAATATTGTAAGATTATTAGAGAATAGTGTGTGAAATTTTGCAAGACTATGTAGCAATTAAAAAAGGATTTATAAGCTAGCATTAACATAAGAGCACAAACTCTTTAAAATTCGAATATAACTGATCTCAACACAGTATAAACTATTTAAAAATACTATTTCGTCTTTTATGGTGACTATTAGAAAGTATATGAAAAATCTTATTTTAGGCATTTCAAATTGGGTAGAAAGCTAGAGAATTACCAAGATGGGATCGAAATCTCAATCTTAAGCTGCTAAAAAGTAATAAGATATGTATTCTATCTTAGATTAGATCTTTCTGATTAAAGTTAGTTATTTATAAAAGAAATGGACTATTTTGAATTCAAAAATGAAATACTTAGCTGATTTTTTTCAAGATTAATATTTAGATAGCATTTTGGATTTGTTTCCATAATTCTTAAGAGGATATTATCAATAATAATTGAATAGATATGTAGAAAATGAATTTGTAGACAAATATTAATTAAGGACCTATTTATTGAAAAATAATTATATTATTTCGTGTAGAATTACATTTCATCATGAAATCTTAGATAATGATTTAATAATTAATAATATAATAGAGATTGAAGATAAAAATAATGTTCTATTGTTTGATTAATATGGCAAGATTTTGGGAATTTCAGAATTACTCTACAATGAATTATAAAATCTTGATGAATACTATACCTAAGATATATCAATCTAAACATTTTTAGAAAAAGCAATGATATAATTTTATGTTCCTGAGATCGAATATTAAGTTCTTCAACTTACCTCATCTCAGTAATATAATTAACTCGAATTTTAATCGACATTTCCAAAAAATATAAATCATAATGATTGTTTACAATAGAAGATAAATTTTAATATTGAATCTCTTACCTAAATTAAATATAATTCATCTTCTAATTGTCATGAAAATTAAAAGGACAAAACAATAAAACTGTTAAACCCTAAATTTTCGATGCAGTTTGAATAAATTCAACAATAGCTGGGTTAAGAATAAAATATATCATCTCATAAATTTGAATTAGATTATGTTGAATTGGGTACTCCTTGTTGCAATTATTTTATACTACATTTTTCAGATTTAGAATATCATTTGGAAAGTTAGGATAGGAGTTTAAAATTAGAAGCAAAAACAATCAAAATACATAGTACTTTAGATAATAAAATCAATATGTCTCTAATTGAACAAATAGTAGAGAAAAGGGAGATATCAAGAAATTTAAAGTTACAATTAATGCTGATGATTTTTCTCACTATCTATGTAGCTTGTACTATTTTTGTAAACAAATAATCTGGTTTTAATGAAATCAAATCATATTAATCTTCAATTAATTTTTTGATTAATCCTTAGGCTTTAACTTTCTCATACGCAGGGTCTTTTCTTTTATAATGGAATAGATATTGCGTAGAGAGTGGTTTATATAATCTCTCATAATATATTGAATTCTAAAGGCAATAGAAATTAAATTATGCATTTACTTTATGGAAAGGTATCCACGTTAATTACACATTAAATTTGAGTTAGAGGAGCAGGGAATTAGGGATGGAAATGGTAGATGTTATCGAATATGACAAAAACAATAGTAAAATTGTAACTAAAATGGACTTTTATTCATTCTATTCTATAACTAGAGAGAAAATGGTAAGAGTGTAAAAAAATACTAATTATACAAATGTCTCAACTCATGATTATTCTATATTTAAAGCTAATGGATTCATTAGATAGAATATTATGACTATTTTCAAATTCCATGATGTTGTTATAAATGATGAAATTGAATATCTTAAACAAAAAGTGGAGTTCTCCCAAACTAATTTTTACTTGATTGAGATTATTTAGATATGTTGTGCAAATACATTCACAGTAGCACTAATATATTCTATACGTAAATAAGTCAAATTAAAAAATCAAATATTCACCTTATTATCCTTAATAGAGATCAATTCTATTAAAACTCAAATACAGTAAACAAAAATATTTCATTCATTCACAAATTATTCATAAAAATCAATTACAAATTTGATTAATAATGATTCAATATTGAATGAAAATTCTCAATAAAATAAAAATAATCATACAATCTAAAGATTATAAAATATTAAATTTATATCGAAATTTCGCTTATTGATACCAATAATTTTTATAATTTGCTATGGCATGTAGATGATTGGAGCTTACTATTATAGAGCTTTCTATTATGATAATTATAAACATTCCTTATTAATGACTATGAATTATATAAAATTCAAGAAGCTATTTGATAGTTCAATCTTATTGGGAGAATTAATCAAAACAGAACATTTAATTCCATCTAATCCCTATTAATTAATAAATTAAACTGAAACCATAGAATNAGAATAAAATATATCATCTCATAAATTTGAATTAGATTATGTTGAATTGGGTACTCCTTGTTGCAATTATTTTATACTACATTTTTCAGATTTAGAATATCATTTGGAAAGTTAGGATAGGAGTTTAAAATTAGAAGCAAAAACAATCAAAATACATAGTACTTTAGATAATAAAATCAATATGTCTCTAATTGAACAAATAGTAGAGAAAAGGGAGATATCAAGAAATTTAAAGTTACAATTAATGCTGATGATTTTTCTCACTATCTATGTAGCTTGTACTATTTTTGTAAACAAATAATCTGGTTTTAATGAAATCAAATCATATTAATCTTCAATTAATTTTTTGATTAATCCTTAGGCTTTAACTTTCTCATACGCAGGGTCTTTTCTTTTATAATGGAATAGATATTGCGTAGAGAGTGGTTTATATAATCTCTCATAATATATTGAATTCTAAAGGCAATAGAAATTAAATTATGCATTTACTTTATGGAAAGGTATCCACGTTAATTACACATTAAATTTGAGTTAGAGGAGCAGGGAATTAGGGATGGAAATGGTAGATGTTATCGAATATGACAAAAACAATAGTAAAATTGTAACTAAAATGGACTTTTATTCATTCTATTCTATAACTAGAGAGAAAATGGTAAGAGTGTAAAAAAATACTAATTATACAAATGTCTCAACTCATGATTATTCTATATTTAAAGCTAATGGATTCATTAGATAGAATATTATGACTATTTTCAAATTCCATGATGTTGTTATAAATGATGAAATTGAATATCTTAAACAAAAAGTGGAGTTCTCCCAAACTAATTTTTACTTGATTGAGATTATTTAGATATGTTGTGCAAATACATTCACAGTAGCACTAATATATTCTATACGTAAATAAGTCAAATTAAAAAATCAAATATTCACCTTATTATCCTTAATAGAGATCAATTCTATTAAAACTCAAATACAGTAAACAAAAATATTTCATTCATTCACAAATTATTCATAAAAATCAATTACAAATTTGATTAATAATGATTCAATATTGAATGAAAATTCTCAATAAAATAAAAATAATCATACAATCTAAAGATTATAAAATATTAAATTTATATCGAAATTTCGCTTATTGATACCAATAATTTTTATAATTTGCTATGGCATGTAGATGATTGGAGCTTACTATTATAGAGCTTTCTATTATGATAATTATAAACATTCCTTATTAATGACTATGAATTATATAAAATTCAAGAAGCTATTTGATAGTTCAATCTTATTGGGAGAATTAATCAAAACAGAACATTTAATTCCATCTAATCCCTATTAATTAATAAATTAAACTGAAACCATAGAATAATATTTGATGTATGCTGACAATTCAACTAATTTATTTAACACAATTCTTGATGATTTGGTCGTATCAGATTATTTTAACGACACTATGAAGACCCTGATATTAAATGCTTTTAGAAAGGATTTGTGTTTGAGTTTTTAAAGGTTTCTAGTTTTCTGTAATACAACTTAGATAAAGTTGCCATACAAACTTAGTGACTCGTATCTTACTATTACTTAAGATGGAATAGGAGGAGTAGTTTAAAACTACAAAAAAATGGTTTAATAAGAATTTAACACAGAAAGGCAGACTTTGAAATATTCAAAGAATAATGTCCAATTTATTAATTCATAGATTCACCAGAATTTCTTTGTTTAATATGCCCAGGATATTTAATCATGTTTTTTCACTTGTTTTAGTTACTTTATCAACGAAAGCATTTACTTAAGTGATCTTTTTATTGAGGCTATGGCAGAATATTTTAACTTAACTGGAATTATGTAAATACTTATTAAATTTTAGCATTTTACTATTATATTTTATCTTCTCAGTTTTTTGGGTCATTTATCAATATCTATAGATTCATTAAATTAAGTTTGTCTTAATCTTACTAGATCCAAAAATAGTATAGAAAAAAGGGATTCATCAAATTTTAATGAAAATTATGAATTATTTATGATTAAATATTGATATAAATACAATAATGTTTCTACCTTTGATTATTCATATGTTATTTTAATAAATATTAATTTTACTAAATTTATTGTATTTTGAGATATTAAAAATTAAAAAAATTAACAGATTGAAATATTTGAAAATATAAATTGAAATAATCAAGTCAATTATATTTAGAGACTATTAATGTCTATCTTTTCAATCTTCATCATCTTCTATCTAATTATATTAGATGCTAAAAAATTTCATATAATTTAGTTTAATATATTAAAGTCATCTATTAATACATTTTTCAATATTCCTCTTTATAAATCTAATTTTGGATTGAAAATGCAAATATGTTTTATTTCTTAGATTTTCTTTACTTACTTAATTATATTTTTAATGATATTATTGATATGTGTTATACATAAATATGAATAGATATATAATTATAATATAATACAAAAAGTCATTTAAAAAAGTAAGTAGTCAATATCCTTTCTAATTCTTATTTAGGAACTGGTTTGACAATGTAATCATCCATATATTGTAAGCATTCTTTTTTTTCTTTTTCTTCGGCATATCCGCTGCAGCCAACAATTGTAACTGTGGTGTTCATTGCTCTGTAGTAACTCTTGATGTTTTTAGATGTCACAATTCCATTTTAGATTGGCAACTCGACATCCATAAAGATGAGTTTGTATGGATGACAAATGTGTTATTATTTTAAAAATCTTTATTGCACTTTCTATTCAGCCAATTATCCAGTGATTGTGTAATCTATTTTGACTAGGGATTTAAAGGTTCTATGAAATTTGAGTAAAAACGAATCGACATTAAATTGGTTATCTTCGACCAACAAAATTTAAGGACAAGCACAATAGTTTTTTTGAAGTATAAACTTCTTTTCATTTTACGATTATCTTCTAAAATCATTCAATTTTGTCTCTAAATCATAGTCAATATCTTTTCTCGAATCTTCATAATTTTCTATTTCATCTATATACGATGATTTATTGTTTGTAACCAAAAAGCAAAATGTGGTACCTTCTTAATAGGCCGATCTAAATCCTAAACCTCTTTACTCAGAATTCAATTAAGTAGCAATCGAATTGCTTATCAATAACCCTAATCCAACACCTTAAGCATTCATTTGACTAGCCTCCTTATTTTCAATTTTAGCAAATGCTTTGAATAATTTTGGTTAATCCTCTTCCCTCATGCCCACTCCTGTGTCTTTAACTTCTATGCAAATTTCGTTGACACCATCTTGATAGGCTCTCAGAGTAATGGAACCTTCCAAAGTGAATTTCAGTGCATTTCCAATTAAATTGACTGTAATTTGTCTTATTCTATTTAAATCACTCCAGATTTCTGTAGGCAAGGACATATCATAATAGTAATTCAACTAAATATTCTTTTTCATAGCTTGTATCTCGAACATTTTAAGACATTCTTTAAGGAGAGATCTCAAATCAAAGATAGCATTTCGAATTTTAAATTTACCAGCCCTGATTTATGCCAAATCTAATAAATCATTTGAGAGATTGAGTATGTATTTAGAGTTATCTAGGGCTGATTGTATAAGTTATTATTCACTCAAATTTAAGTTGTTTCTATTTTCAATAACTTCTTCAAGCATTTGTATAATGCATGTTAAGGGAGTTCTAAATTCATGACTGACAAATGAAAGAGTCTTAGATTTTTATGAATTGTAGTCCTTTAATACTTTAATATGATCCTTATGATTAACATCTCTGAGAATGATAACCAACAATGGTTTGTTGTAATGAATTGCACTATAGACTTTAAGATCCAAGCACTGTTTTTTCTGGTACTTTGTAATATTGGTTACAAAGGGATTACTTTCATGAATATAATAGAGAGGTTAATTTTAGTAATTCAATACTTTTTCTTTAACTAAAGTATGCAATTAAATCCAAATTTAGGTTAAAAGATAATGGAAAGAATCTATCTCGTCTAAAGATTTTTTATGTTGAGTGGCATAATGAATTGAAGGAGAATTGGGAAGATTGACATTTTCTGTTTTTGTTTGAGCACCCTGAAATATAATTTGAACAGGAGGAAATTGAAATTCCTATTTCTATGAGCTAGATTGATTCTCTAGGATGAATTATTAAGATAATTTGAAGGCTGACCGAATATATGGTTATTATTTTGGAATTATTTTAAAACTATTTCTTTTCACACTTTGCTAAGATTAAATGCTGAATGAATATTTATAGAGATGTTCTTCACTCTTCTACTTTTGTGAAACACTCTTAAGATCCAGAAGCTCAGACAACATTTGATCATGATCATCAGCATCAACTAGATATTGGGCTGCTGCATTTGAATATTTGATGGTGAAATCCTCCTTCCCATTCTTTTCGAGTATTATTATTCCTTCAGGTACGACATCGAAAGTCTTAAAAAGCCTTGAAGAATCTTAGAGTTCACATTCCACGTTGATAATTTTTCGAACTGATGGTTCCAATTCTTAATTGTTTAGTTTTTATATTTCCTTTAATGAATCACATTTTTCATTATGTTCCTATCTGAAGTGATACAGCAATAATTTCAGTAGGATTGATTGGCATAGTGCTTTTATTAAATCAGTAAAATATAAATTATGAAATCCAACTCTAAGGAATACATATGTATTGATAACTATTGCACCGAAAAATAATATATTTTACACTATTTTTTTTTTTTCATTTCTATTGAAAAACACAGTGTCGAATATTGATAATTATTAGAAAATTAAAAAGTAAGTGTCAATTTACAATTCGACCGAAAACAGTGTGAGCATAAAATATTATGAGTATATTATAAGCTATATACTCATTGCTCTAAAATAAAATGATAATGCTTGATAAATTATCATTACCAACACAAAAATCAAACAAGTCATTATAAATGGTCCTCTGCTAATTACTAGATTTTCTATAATTTATGCAAAGATTATCGAACTATTAAAAAAGATCAGCAAATTTTTAACATTAGTGTTGTCCAAACATCTAAATTTTTCTGCCCTTCCCATCAATAAATTATAAATAATTATTTTATTATTATGACTTATATGTACTTATTATTAAATTGTAATTTTGAAATTCATTTTAGTATACAATCAAAAAAGTATTGTCAAATCAATCTAATTCTTGTAACAATCTAATATTAGATGAATTTATATTTCACAGATTACAAAAGGTGAATATTATTATTATTAAAAATCGGAATGAAGAAAATTATTTTAAAATTATAGCTCATTTTGTGTAATACTTAATATTAGTGTCAAATTTTTATATCAAAATTATTGATTTCGGTCATTGGCATCTAGTGCTATAGATAGGGTTTCTTTATTAATTTAAATGATTCTTTATTCGAAATAGGACTATTTTCTCGACTGCATAATGTAGAATACAATTAATTGTCAAATATCGTATTAGTGTTCTAGTTTGAATAGCCATTATGGTTATTACTATTAGTAAATCTCATTACTCCTTTTTTATTCGACTCTTAAGTAGGAGTCTTCTAATTCATTCTTTCCGTTTGGGCGACTCTTTTCATAAAGGCTGCTTCATTAGCAGAGGCACACACACTTCTTAATTACAATTATTATTCATAATATTGGAGTTCTTCCTATCTCTATAATACTGATTCCTTGACATTTTCGATACTTTTCGTTTTCTCTCTAAACAGTTATTCTATTGATTGCATTAATGATTAATGATCATTAGAATTCTTCAGAAATTAATTAATGTGATCCACCCTTTTCATGGTATCTTATTCTTGTTAATTCAAGTCTTATAGATTTGCAAATAATTGCGATTCCTTTTATTCCAAAAACTTAACTGATGATTCTAAATTGCTTTTTAGATTATTTAAATCATCTATTAACGCATTCTAATTCTTGGTTTGTATATTCAAATTATTTTCCTGTTATTGTAATTGAGACTCCCTTTCTGTTAGTTATTTATTCAAGACTTTTAAAGATTAACTTAGAGAATCATTTTATTAATTTTAAGATTACAATTATTATTCCAGTTCTGCTAATTAAGTCTCCTTTTTCTTTAGCTCCTTCTCCTTTTTTGTGATAGCATTCATTATTTCTTCTATTTCCTTATATGTATCTGCTATTTTTTTCCTTTCCTTCACATAAAGTGATTTATATTTATCCAATTCTTTTTGAAGAAGTTAGAGTTAATGTTACATTTGTATTCCATTCCATTTAATCATCATACAATCTTTTCTTTCACATTCTGCATCGTATTGCAAATTCATCCTGTTACTTGCAGGCTAAGTTTGAGAACCATTTAATCTATTAGTATTATTCTTTGGTGATTTGCTTATGGCACTAATTTGGGAAAGTCCATAGAGTTGCTTTACTTTTGGCATACAGAAGTTATTAATAAAAATAATAATAAAATTTAACGTATAAAACCAATCAAATTTTAAAAAGCCCTTTTTTATATGGCTATTGCATCATTCTAAATTTAAGGCATTGAAATAAAAATACAAAATGCGTAACAAAGTAATTTTCAGAAGTAACAATATAATTAAATATTATACCTTGAATGTGATTTATAATTATTTTTTAAAGAAATTTGTAATTAAAGAGAGAGTATATGACAAACTATATTCCACTTTAATCATTGTAAATACTAATATCAAATGGACATTTAGAAGTATAAGACAAAACTGTCATCAAGAAACAATTAAGCTTAAATTTTATAGGGGCATTTTTTGATAGAATAAAGACGGTTGCTTCGTTCTATATGAACTATAAACTAAAGAACTTCAGTTATAAATTTACAAAATTATTAATTGAAGTAAGATATTAACAAGCCATAAATTGTAATAATGGAATGATTAGGTTATAATAGTTAAAATATCTAAAAAAGGGTTTTATAATATTCTTATTTCTTGAGGTATTATTCATTTTCATGGTAAACATTCAAAAATAGGCAATAAAATAAAGTCTATTTATGATACATATAATTTGTTGCAAAATTGTTAATTAAAATAGTAATTTAATCCTAAGTTTTAATTGAATAAAATGAATTAGATGATTGAACTTTAATGAATAAAAGAATAGGTGCCCTAATTTAAGACCCTAAACTACCTAAAAATTAATTTATAATATAGTTATGTGATGCTTATAATTTTTATTTCTTTTAGATTAACCATTAAGTTATCATGTATAATAAAAAATTGGTTAATCCTAAAAATATAAATACAATATTTAAATAAATTCTAAAAGCAATAAAATAAATTATTTTAAATAAATAACAAATAGATTTTTTACAATAAACACGATTCATATTGCTGGTAAACATATCCTCTTTAAATTTAATCAATTATATAAGTCTATATAATAGAAAAGTGTGTAATTATTTCAAAGATTTACAACTTAGGACAAGTTAGACATTTTCTTAATTTCTAGAATAAATTCAGTTATCTTGATATAATATGAATAGTTCCTGCTAAAATCTAAGACTATTATTGCATAGGTTGAATTTTGTGATGATTAAGAACTTAGTTTAATTAGTACAAACATTGTAATATTGTTATTCCAATATATAAATATTTAATTAATTAGTTCTACCATCTGGGTAATTGCATACTTACCAAAAATGATTAGAGTTAAATTTACCTGAATAGTTTCTGCCTTTTTATATATAGAATTCTTCTCAAACAATATATTCAAATTATTGGGATATAAAACAAAAGTATGATTATTTTTAGATTCCCTAATATATACTAAAGTTAATACATTGAGAATCTTATCTAATAAAGTTTAAAAATAAGTCATTTATTACAATTAACCTATTTCTAAATATACATGTTAATTTTAGGAGAATTTTAATAGATAATATAATTGAAAAGACTTACTTTCAAGTTTTAAGCGTTAATAAAATTAAAAAACAAAAGTTTTAGTAAGTTTTTTAAAAGGCGGGAATATGATTTTTCCATGATTATTTGTATATAGTATTTGGATTAAAATCACTATGCATCAGACAATCATGCGATTACTAGTAAACTTGTAATAATTTATAATTGGAAAAGTTCAATGGAATTTTAATTCAACTATTTTTTAATTGATTGAAGTTGAAATAAACAATGAATCTGAAAAAATGAATTTTAATGGAGGAATTGCAAATAATTATTTGATACATTAAGTTTATATAAATAAGGGATGACTTAATTGATTTATTATCCAAATATATAATTAAAATATATTATTGATGCAATCCCCTTCCTTGTAAAAATAATCGGAAAGCTCATAAAAAAGTGATTAATTGATTCAGGGATGGCTTCCAGTTAAGAGTGAGGTTGAATAATCGATAATCACATATTTAGATTCTCTTGGAATTAATCAACTAATTCTTGTTGATAAATTTTAAAATCAACAACGAAATTCATTGCTGTCAATAGAAAATGTTGGAACTCCTCAATCATAAAAGATTCTATCTCTCAATCTTGATTCTGAACTCTGTTAAAGAAGAAGCTTCAGACTATCTTCAGATTAGATTTGAAGAAAAATACTAAAATAAGTTTTTTATTTATATTATTATCAAATATTCATAAGAAATATTATTTATACATCAATTTCATTTATTAAAGATCTTATTGCTAAGATATTCAAATATAAAATATTAAATTTATATATGAACTTATTATAAATATATTGATAAATTAAAAAATAATATGTTCATATAGTAACTTAATAAATTAATAGAACCATCATTGTTTTTTTTGCTTATTTTGAGTTAAAAGGGTTTCAAAGTAACCACCTTAACTTGTTCTCAAAAAGTATGTATCATTTACAATTGATGGCAATCTTTCATGAGGTTTTTATGAATTATCAATGAAAGGTATCCTACTATGACTACATTAATGCTTATTTGAAATCGATTTTAATGAGGGCAAAGAAGGCACTATCGTAAATAATTTTGGAAGGCTGAGTTTTGTCTGCCGAATTTTTATTTTACATTTAGAATTTAAGTAAGAAGGAATTTCATACTATTTTTATTCTGAAGTAATGAGAGATTTATATTTAACCTATGATTATCTAGAAAATTAGATACACATATAATGGATTGGTCTAACTTTGCTTTTAATGATTTTTAAGAGAGCATCTTCAGTTTATAAAATATTATGAAAATAATCAATCAATTACTAAAAGTATTAGGAACAAAAGTTTGAATTAAACTGTTCTTTAATAAAACTAGTTTTGACGTAGACCAGCTAAAATCAAATGAATAATAAATATAACTAGAATATCAAACAAAAAGATAATATGTCTTAATATAAATAATAAATATCATTCATTTTGAGAACTTATTTTATAATTAAATAGCTAATAAATGAAATCCAATTCCTGATAGATTTGTTTCCAATGTACTACTAAATATTTTTTTAACCACATTTATTTTTTCCACTTCCTTTACTGTTCTATCGACAGTAGCTATAAGGGTAAAATTAACTAGGCCAAATAGAATAGATATTCTTAATTTTAAGTATCCTTCCCGAAATATTTGGAATTGCTTAAAGATTTTATATTTATTTTCTCGATTGGGATGCCCTTTCTTGTTATTATTTGTACTAAAGATTTTGATTGTCGTTAATTTAACAATAGTATTCAGTTTAAGCATAATTCAATATTTATAACAAAAATAAATAATAATTAAATAAAAAATAATAATGTATGAGTTGAATGTTCATAAGTGTGCTAAATTCAGAACTTTCGAAAATAAGGTAGATACAAGGCGGGCTCTAGTTTTCTTAAAATTGTTAGATAACGTATCATTAACTTAATATTAGAGTTGTCCAAGGGAGGAAGCATTAAAATTTTGTAAAAAAAGAATCTGTCGGTTTGACACTACCAAAAAATTAGAAGGACCTCCAAAATTTAGATTGATAAGAAATGCAACAACCAGTAGAGGATGGATTTTCCCTGAAGAGATTAAATATGATCTAGGCAAAAATTATGAGAGACCAAAAACTGAAGAGGACAAAGCTTTTTAAAAATTCTTTTAATCTAATAAATTAAAAATAGTGTAGGAGCAATAACAGTAAGTTGAAGTTGTTAATTAATTCATGAAAGAAATTGATGGATAACTTAATATGAAATATAGTAATCTAAATGAATTAAAGAGAAAGATATAAGATGTAAGAATTAAATAGGATGAGTATAGAAATACGCCTGTAAATTATTTGAAATTTGAAGGACAACGATTTGTATAATTATATGAAGTGTAATTTTGTGAATATATTAAAGATTCAAAAAACATTACGACAATGATTTATTGGGTTTTGAAAAACAGTTTCCTGTAACAGTTTAGGAGAAGACAAAAAGAAACGAAGATTTTTTTGTTAAGGCAAATAAAAAGCCTGAAACGATTAATTTATAAAAGAAATTTATCAAATTATAAAACGAAGGAGAAATAATTGCAAAAATGACTTAATCTGAAGGGAATAAGGATTAAGGCATTTCAATAAAATCATTATAACATATAAATGATGTTAAGAACTTGGCCATGGAGTTCAATAAAACCCAATATGTATTTGATGATGAGAAAATGAAGAAAATAAAAAGAAACTCTTTACACTTTCTGAGATTGAATAATAGACATCGAAAAAACAATCAAAGAGATATAAAAGTTGAAGAATTTGAAGAAAAATTAGAAAGAATAATTACAAGTAGAATAGATTCAATTACTCGTAGTGGAGACCCAAACAATGTAGACTATGATCAAATTAATTCCTTAAAATAAGTAATAAAGTTACATATCATAAGAAAACTGAAACTGCTAGGAATAAAGAAATTACAAAAATAAGATCTCATTTCACTCCTAGAATAGGCAAATAAAATGATAGAGTACATACTACTTAATAGTCAACAAGAAAATTTTTGTTAAGAAGCACTCGATCATAGAATTAATTATAAAAAAGAGATTGAATTATTTCAATTTAATTAACACTTGCATATCTTATAAAATTTGTTAATCACATTAAAAGTACTTTTTTTCCTTGATTTTGAAATAGAGATCATAATTATTTATGCATTTAATAAATATGTATTTATCATTATGGAATGCAAAGAAATATCGTTATGTATCACTGCCTATCCTTTTAATAGTGTGAATATCTTAATAATAACATCGTTCCTACTTTCATAAGACATTTTTATTTGTTAATAGCGAAATTTAATATATATAAGTAATTAATTTTTCTATATATTTAACATAATCTAATGATTATTGTTAGGATCATTCTTAAACGACCATATTTAAGGAGATGCTTACAGTAAACATATTTACTTATGAATTGACTGTTTGGTTTAAGGAGTAATAATTGTAAAAGTACTTGAGAGCCATTACATAACTACAAAAAATAGAATTGAATTTTAACTTCAGAATATGTTATCAATTAGCAATGAAGAAACTAATTATGTTGTAAAAAGTTAACTAGAGAAAAAGAGCATTATTTCTGGATAATAATATCATTAGAAAAAAAAGTTGCATAGAGCAATTAAATTTTTCTAATTACTAAATCATTTATGAATATGTCGCTCTTTGCAGAATTGCGTGTTTAGGGATGTAGAGACAATAATAAGTCGAGGTTAATTTGATTAAATCAGAAATATCAAAAATTGCACATGTTACATGATCATGATAATTTTCAAATATAAGTAAGTCGTTCTCTTAGTAGATAATGGAATTTGGGTGAGTCAATGAGCTTGTTATATTTATATTTATTGAACTATTATTAACTTTGATCATTCTTACATAAAATAGAACATTCATTTGATTACAAAATAGAAAAAGGTGTAGAATGTGAAGTCCAAAATAATATATGTAATGAAATTTCTTTTAACTATTACAAATTGTAAAACCTAATTTAATTATATAATAAATATATTGAAAATAATGAAAAATAGACTGATGCTTCCTTTTGCATTTGAAGCAAAATTGCTGTCAGAACAAAATGAATCGAATATTCCAAGTAGTAAAATTCAAAGTAGCAAATTAATGTAGTATCGATCATCTCCATTCTAAGCTGATTATTGGTGTTTGCCAACTAATGACCGAAAATAATTAAATTATGAAAAGAAAAATGTTTTTATAAGAAAGTTTATTGATAACATGCTTATTCACATTAGAAAAGTAAAGAGATTGACAAACTTTCATTTATCATTGATTGGTGATCAGGGGGCTTCTGAAGATGTTCTTACAAAGAGAAAATCTTCTACACTACATCACTTAAATTAATAATAATTAAGGTTTTTTTAGGATATTAAAAAATCCATAATAATTAAATTGGAAAAGTTACCTCTTATTCACCCTGGCTAGTACATGAAAGTAGTATGGGATATTGTAGCTGTAACTGCTCGTCTCTACTTTTTATACATAATACCTATTGATTTGGCATGGGTCGACCAATAATTCATTTTTCATGATATGCAGTACATTTCAATAATGTTCTTACTCATCTTAGTTTTTGATTTGCTACTAAGTCTAAACACAATATACTTTCAAAATGGAGAGGCTGTGTAATTTAGAGTTCAGATCATCAAAAACAGTTTATATAATACATATGGGTTGCAATGGCTGTCAGTTTTATAATTACTTATTTATTTCATAGTTTCTGCATTTACAGAAATATCTTTGGACATTTCCAACAACTTAATTAATATAGGTTTGCTCATATTTTTAGTGCATCACAAGACAATTATCAATTATGTCACCAATTATGAAGAAGGCTTGAATTTATCAAAGCAAACATCATCCATCTTGGCTTTACTAAAGCTGATTGCATTCTTATTCTATGTTATACACCTATTCTCTTGTTTCTGGTTTTGGGTAATCCTATTCAATAACAATTTTAGATTGGTAAATATAGCATAGATAATTATGAAGGCAGGAGTTGGCTAGTCTCTACCAACATGTTGGAATAATCATGGAATACTTAATATCTCCAGGCTTTCTATTATACAGCTGTCACCATATTTACTGTTGGCTATGGAGATGTAACGCCCTAGTCAAATATCGAAAAGATAGTCTCAGTTATCCTAATTATGATATCCAGCATCCAATTGCCCTATAGTGTCAACACAGTAGGTACAATCATTACTGAGATGGCTGCATTTACAGAAGAGAAGAAAAGAAAATTAAGAATTATTAACTCATATATGAATAAGACTTCACTCTCATCTGGTCTATAAGTTTAAGTGAGGAAGTATTTATCTTATTATTGGGAAAATAAAGTGGTCTCCCAATCCGAAGAGGAGAAAGAAATTATCGATTCTTTATCAGAATTCTTAAGACAATCTTTAATCAGTGAAGCCCATCAGAAGATTTTTGACTAGTGTACTTTATTTAGGATACCTTTTACCGAATAATTCAAGAAACAACTAATTAAGGAAGTTTAAGAGGTTCTTCTGTCTCCAGAACAAGATTTGAAATAGCCCAATGATATTTTATTGTATTATATAGAGGATGGATCGATTTAGATCTGTTTATAATAAGGGAGAAAAATCAATCTTGGGATTGTCAACAAAGGAGCTTCGATTGGAGTAAAGAATTTCATATTGGGAACAGAATCTCTCGAAACTTTTAAAAGTGTTGGATTCACTAAAGCTATGATACTCAAAAGAAAGAGTTTTTTAAAAATCTTACAAGAGCACCCTGAAGATTACGAATTGTTTTGTTCCATTAGAGACAAACTAATATTTTAAGGAGACGATCAATATTTTAATGTTAAATGCTTTTCTTGTGGAAAAGATACTCATAAACTTATTGAATGTCCTTTGATTAAGTTTGTTCCTGATAGAGAGTTCTTAATTAAGAAATACTTATATCCTAAACTGTAAGAGAGAGTGGAATTTAAAAGGAACAGACATAAAATTCAAAGTTTAAATTAAAATCGAAAAAAATTAGAATAGTGTGCTCTATTAATCCAGAAGGACGACCCTTAACTATTCTAATTATATAAATTCGATAACATACTGAACATTGATGAAGATCAGTTAAAGCTTTATATAAAGAGATCCAATACCACACAACTTATAAATCATCATATTCCAAAAATTAAGAAAAAGATGATCTCTATTTTTGAATAGAATCAAGATCCTATACGGAAGAGATTTCGATAATTAGTAAATAAATTAATATCTATAAATAAAATATACCCTTATTTCTTAATTTAAACTTATGTTTAATTTGAAAAGATGATTGAGTAAAGGTCTATTTAATAAACTTTGTAAATTTTAGAATAAAGATTAAAAAATATCCATTAATTAGATAACAAACGATTCAATCAATATCTTTGTGATATTAACTTTATCATATAGAAACTATCAAATAAAACATATATTGACGATTAAGAATTTGAGAGTCCTTAGACTTATAAATATTATTTTAGAAAAGATAATTTTTCAATTGTCAAATAGAAGAACTATTTCTAAAATCTAAGCATCTTAAGAAAGTTTATTCAGTATGTCCAATATCCAGGAGATCTAATCTAACAATTCAAGCTAACTTAAATAGGAATGTTTATAGTTGCAAATAAGAGAAGATAAAACTTTTGTGTCTCTGCAGATTTGGTAATTAAATGAAATAATTTTTCATTCATAATTCAAACATCATATTATTTTTCTTCTTCCCAATATTTCAGGTTTCTTTAAATAGGTATTATTTAAGTGGTACGATAATTATTCCTATGTCAAATTAACACTTTGAGATTTTATTTTTTCCCTTTATTTTTAAGTATGAAGTCTTCCCTGAATTTCCAACAGTGGTAACTTATCAAGTGGAAATTCTGAATGATACCTTATGTATTATTTTTATAATCTATAATCAAGGATTTCTCCTTTTTTATTAATTAGTCTACCTCTGTTTAAAGTCTTGATTACTTATTTACTTTGAAAATAACATGATAAATGTTTATCCAATAAAGCATTATATTCTGAAGGTTTTTATATCTAATTAACAGTAAATTATATTTTATTTTTCATTATAAAACTTCAATAAATAAATAATATATTTAAATTTTTAGAGTCTGCTAAAGTAATTTATATAATATTCTAATTAAGCAGAAAATTTAGATTTCTCTTTATTTTTAGGGTATAATCAATTAATATTGGAAAATGAATTGCTTTGTAATTATTTTTCCAAGAAAAAATTTGAAAGTAAAGAGTTTTCGTTAGAAATGATTATTATTCTACTGGCTATTAAAAAGGATGCAAAAGAATTCTTGGAGGAGAGAATATATAATTATTCTTATATAACAATAAAAGTTAAAGTAAAAGCTTGACTAATGTAGGTGAAAATACCTCATAATGAGGGCACAATTAGTTATTACTCTAGAATTTAGGTATCCACACTAGGGATGGATAAAAAAGAACATGTCCTTATTATAGGATGAAAGGTTGGTTCTTTATGTCCCTAGAAATTATAATGAATTAAGTGAATACTTCAATGATACGGGTGAAAGATTTATGGAAAGTAAAAATGATGTGGAAACTAAATCTATACGTAGACAACAAATGCAGAATAAATACTCATACATTAAATAGTAATAAAATTGTTATCATTTATTTGATGCTGAATTCTAAGATTTTAAAAGTAACAAAGTAAGGAAATATTATTCAAAAGCCTTATTAAAAGAAGCCTTAGAGTCTCATGATGCCAAGCTACTTCAATAAGTAAGATAGTGGAAGATTAAATTAAATTTTAGATTACAGTTGATGGATAGATAATGTGGGTGTTGGAGGCAATAGTGAAAAGGTTAATTCTTATATTTTGTGTGCAAACTACTCTTCCTTTGATATTGAAAATTCGATGAAAGAGAGCTTTATTCCTACTGGTTGTAATCACTCTACGACTCAGTCAGAGAATTTAAATGTAATATAATTAATGAGGTAAAACTCTATTGAAAAAATGAAATAAATCTAAAATCAAAATCAAAGTAAAAAATATTTAAAGGAGTAATCCAGCAGTCTTTCAGAAAAAAAAGAGGAACCACCAAGAAAAAACTGAAATTATCATTTTTAAAGAAAATGGAAAAAGCTCTTGTTCCTAAAGATCCACCTTCTGAAACTCCTACAACTCCAGTTGGCCCAACCTTTTTATAACCTTAATAATAAAAATAACAATAGCAATAACAATAACAATAACAATAACAAGAGAAATAACCTTCATCGCTTTCTGTACCTGAAGAAAAAAAGAACTCCTTTTTAAATCCCACTGGGCTGTTTGCTAAGTTGTTTGGAAGATTGAATCTCAGAAGAGTATCAAACATCGAGATAAAAAACGATCAATTTGAAGCATAAGATCAAGGTTTCAGAGAACAGTCTGAAAATTCTAAAAAGGGAGATATGAAAAGAAGTGGACATAGTACTCCTCTTTGGAAATCATCAGCGAGTAGCAAAAACAGAAATATTTAATTATAAATTAATGGCTCTTAAGAAAAGTTCCCTTTAAATCTTAACTCTTCTATTTAAAAAAAAAAAAATAGAGTTTATATATTATTATATTTCTAATAAATACTTTAATTCCCGAACCTTTTAAAGTAGTTTTTATTATTTTAATTTATTGCTCCAAATGATATTATAATGCTATATTTTACATTAACCTTAATTTTCTTATTTATAAAACTCCCAGACTTTATGTCATACATAATTTCTCTCAATTATTTGGGTCGATTAGAAATTTTTGTTTTAAACAAATTTGTAATTCTATAAATCATAGGAGGATGAACATTTGCACCTTAATAATCTCAGATATAAAATGGATTATCCAGGTATACAAAGAGTAAAAAAAGATTTTGTAAAAAACAATTTATTTTCTTTGTTATAAGGTTGATTAATTATTTTAAATGGTAATTGAAATCATTGTTTCCTATCTAAACAGGTAAGATTTGACTCTTAAAATTCCATTTTAACAAATTTCAAAATAAAACGTAGAAAAATGGTTTAATTAAGTACTTTTTTTAACCATAATGTGTGGGGAAAATAATTGATTTAAACAATAATAAAGAATTTAAGAATAACAAATTGAAATATCTTTAAAATTGAATAGGATATGCTTATAAAATAAAGCAAAAATTATGAAATTCGAACATAGTAACATAAAAATTAATTAAAAATTAAGTAATATTCTTAGATAATAATGGTAAAATCTATTCATTAATTTAATATTTAAATTTACACTATTGTGGATTCCGTAAGAGCTTAATTGTAAACGACATTTATGATTTCTAGTGATGATGGATTCATATTTATTTTTAAATGATGATATTATGGAAATGCTTATTAAAAGACAGGGAAAAAACCAACATAATTCATTTAATTAAAGCAATTATAGGAGAAAGAGTGAGTCTTTTTAGTACTACAAGCATTGCATTTATTAAAATTGGCTTAGATTTTCTTTCCATTTTCACATTTAATTGAGATACCCATCTTAAATGGTACATTTGATTTATCAATATAATATACATAGTTTCCATTAGTAGTGTAAATTTAATTAGATTAAACAAATTCTAAATAGAATGTAGGAAGTATTGATAAATCCTTCACTTCTTTTCTACTGGTTCTTATAGTAAAACATTCTAAAGGGTAAAATATCTTAGTAAATTAATATGCTATCCAAATCTAAGAATGACTATTAGGAGTCTCTGTTTCTTACCCTTTTATATTATATTAATTATAAATAATTACAGGTGCCCCAAGTATATGAAATCGTTGTTGCTGTGTTGCTATATGTAGCTTTTATTCTAAGATTTTTAGAATTTGAATAGTTCAAACCTTATAATACTATAGCAAACCATCTATTAGACTCAATTGGTATAGTTCCACTGCTAAATGCACCAGTAGCAGTCTTTAACCCTAAATTTATGAATGCTTCTTCAATTCCAACAACTATAAAATATCCGATCTATTTGAGATTTGCAAACTTTCCTGCAACTTTCGTTATACTCACAGTCACTGAATTAGCTTTTATTTAGCTTATCTATGTAAGTATTTTTAACTATTACCGATAATAGAAAATCTATCTGTCCTGTATAGCGCATACTTGTGATAGCTAAAAATCCAGTTTAGGCATTAGGATTTTTAATTGGAAATGTTTTATCATCTGGATTTTCCATATTGAAGTTACTTATAACTTCAATACGCTAGTCATCTATGGCAAACCATCTTAATTTGACTACATATACTCTTTGCTTATTACAACTAATTTCNGTGTGGGGAAAATAATTGATTTAAACAATAATAAAGAATTTAAGAATAACAAATTGAAATATCTTTAAAATTGAATAGGATATGCTTATAAAATAAAGCAAAAATTATGAAATTCGAACATAGTAACATAAAAATTAATTAAAAATTAAGTAATATTCTTAGATAATAATGGTAAAATCTATTCATTAATTTAATATTTAAATTTACACTATTGTGGATTCCGTAAGAGCTTAATTGTAAACGACATTTATGATTTCTAGTGATGATGGATTCATATTTATTTTTAAATGATGATATTATGGAAATGCTTATTAAAAGACAGGGAAAAAACCAACATAATTCATTTAATTAAAGCAATTATAGGAGAAAGAGTGAGTCTTTTTAGTACTACAAGCATTGCATTTATTAAAATTGGCTTAGATTTTCTTTCCATTTTCACATTTAATTGAGATACCCATCTTAAATGGTACATTTGATTTATCAATATAATATACATAGTTTCCATTAGTAGTGTAAATTTAATTAGATTAAACAAATTCTAAATAGAATGTAGGAAGTATTGATAAATCCTTCACTTCTTTTCTACTGGTTCTTATAGTAAAACATTCTAAAGGGTAAAATATTTTTGTAAATTAATATGCTATCCAAATCTAAGAATGACTATTAGGAGTCTCTATTTCATACCCTTTTATATTATATTAATTATAAATAATTACAGGTGCCCCAAGTATATGAAATTGTTGTTGCTGTGTTGCTATATGTAGCTTTTATTCTAAGATTTTTAGAATTTGAATAGTTCAAACCTTATAATGCTATAGCAAACCATCTATTAGACTCAATTGGTATAGTTCCACTGCTAAATGCACCAGTAGCAGTCTTTAACCCTAAATTTATGAATGCTTCTTCAATTCCAACAACTATAAAATATCCGATCTATTTGAGATTTGCAAACTTTCCTGCAACTTTCGTTATACTCACAGTCACTGAATTAGCTTTTATTTAGCTTATCTATGTAAGTATTTTTAACTATTACCGATAATAGAAAATCTATCTGTCCTGTATAGCGCATACTTGTGATAGCTAAAAATCCAGTTTAGGCATTAGGATTTTTAATTGGAAATGTTTTATCATCTGGATTTTCCATATTGAAGTTACTTATAACTTCAATACGCTAGTCATCTATGGCAAACCATCTTAATTTGATTGCAAATACTCTTTGCTTATTACAACTAATTTCTGTTGTAAACTCTATTAAAATATTTATTGAGTAAATACGTGTTTAAGATATAGCTGTTATTGCTAATTTAAACCCCAATTCAGCCATCTCTTAATCGAGGTATTCATGAGTAAAAAATACTTAAGGAATATTCTAAAATTGCTATGAGAAAGTTGTGGTTGCTGTATTAGAGTAGCCATTTTTGCAAATAAAACTTGGTTATATAGTATAATCGAAGTCAGTCATTAACCCTGTGTCGTAGTATATATATGCCGAGACGATATTTAAAAGGATCACTATCAGCAATTAATTCATTATAATATTAAGCTTCAAATTAAATTAACAATTATTATAAATATAATTTTAATAAATTATACTTTCAGAGTGGATAATCAAAGAGATTTTGGAACTTGTCTAAAATTAAATGTAAAATAAATTTGATTGTTGCGATAAATTTATTCATTTTGTTTGTATTTAATTAGAGATACAGAATCGCATTTGAAAGGATCATTCATACATCAATACATCCAAACTTATTAACCTATGAAGGAAAACAAATAACATGACCATTATGATGCTTAGCTCAGAATTTGAGAATATATATGAAAAACTTGATAAAATTTAATATTACCATCATTGTATTTAATACTCTGGAACAATCGATTAATTTAAAGAATTAATGACTCATCAAACACACTTCAATATTAAATTTTCATTTTTATTTATAAAATATATAATATATTTTTAATAACACTAAAAACCTTAGTGAAACTCTCAATAAAAGATTAGAATGCTTGCTTTTTATGAATTCACTTATAAGCCTTTGCATTTATTTTACATACCTCCTTAAATCTAGAATTTAAGAATGAAAAAATTGATATTAAAAGATTGCGCAATTACAAAAGAAGGTCTATTCGACTCATTAATCAAATTAACAAAGAATTATGGCCTATCATTAAACAAAGGAAGAACAGTTTGGAATGGTTTGGCTTAATCTAAAAATTTTTCTAGAAATGGCAAGTTACAATTAATTTAGACTAATCTTTATAATGAACCCATCATTAAATTTATTTTTGCGAGAAAAACATGCAGAGGGTGTAACTCTTTGAGTATCTTCAAAACTCAACATCAACTCAATTGGGGAATTAGGGAAACTAGCCTACTGAGCTGTGTATTTGAATTTTAATGGAATAATAGAAATGAAATGGCCTTGTTTTAAAGATATTATCCATTAGAATAACAAATTTACACAAAGGTGAAATAGTTTGTGAAATTGCCCATAAAATATCCTTCGTTTGTTATCCATTTACGTGTTTTCCATGGAAAATAATTATTTTAATATTTATTAATTGATCAATTTATAATCACTATTATAATGTAATAATTAAGTAAAGAGCTGAATGCTTTGATAAGTAAGGCCATTCAATTCAACACTAAGTTAGATCCTTTTACAACAAATGAACTCTTTCTAAAGTGGAAAAGCATTAGCAATGGTGAGATTGATAACATAAACTAATTTATAAATATCGGAATTGATATAGTGAAATTGTAAAATAGGTACTCCAGAAACATAAAAAAATCTTATTCTTTGCTAAATGAATACATATAAAAGTATTCAAAAGATCTTCAGAATCCAACTTGTGGGAATTACTTAAGTTTAGCAAGGACAACTCATCTTAATGATCAATTGAGTCTCTAACTCATTTATAATCAAATAAAGGTTGATTCTGGAGTAGAATTCTCTATTTTAAAATATTGTGCTGATTTACAATGTAATGACATGGAACTTGTATCCTAATTAATTGATAATTTGCATTATAAAGTAGATGCTTAGTTATTGAATCAATACCTGTATTGTTTGTTTGTGCTATTCCCTCATGATCAAAGTTCATTATTAATCAATTTGATTAAGGACAAGAATGTGTCAGAAATAACTCCATCTAATTTCTTGTTAATGTCTGAGCTATACCAAAATAAGAATATTCCCATCCCTGAGAGTTGGAAGATAGGAGATTAAGATTCTATATTATAAAAGAATAAGCAATCACATTTGCAGAAGGAAGTATAGTTGTTGTTGAATGTGGTTAATTTGCCTTTTGAACAGGAGAAATTGATTGATGACCTCTATTAAATAGATTTTTTCTTGCCGCAATATAATCAGATCTTAGAAGTAAATGGACCTCAGCACTATGTATTTGATATAGAATAAAATAATTGTACTAAAATTAAATATGCTATTAGCAAAGATATTTACTGGAAAACACTATTATAAATAAATGTGTCTGTCAGCCTTGGGATATGATGTGAGAAATTTGTGTTTCTTAGATTTTTACAAGGCAAGGGGAGTGACAGCCAAATTAATATACTTGAAGTCTATATTAGAGTGAGTTTTATTGATGTTTATATTTATAACTGATGCGATATAAGTTTGAGAGTATAAATAACAATAAATTAGTTTGATAAAAGTATAAAATTTGATCATTGCTTTCTTTTCGCACTTAATAAGGTACCTAGCTAATATTCATTTTGTAGAGAGAGATCAAATTAATTTCTGTAAATTGGTAGTTATTCTTAATCTTAGTGATCTTGACTTTGTAAAGTAGTTTAATGTTTTGTTTATGCAATATATTCTGTTGGATCAATGATTCGTTGACTCAAACTACTGTTCTAATTGTCCTTTTTTTTGACTTTCATTTTATGATTCTTTTTGAAACTGGCATTTCTGACACTATTCTTTTTTTAGCTTTTTGGACTGCTTCTGATGCTTTAACTATATTACATTTGATTGACTGTGTTATTAAACATCTAGGATAACTATTTACTCTATTGATTTTGTGTCTAATTATCAGAATCAGACATGTCATCATCATCATTGTAAATGTTGAAACTAGAATAATAAAAATTTAATTATACTTTTATTTACTGACTTTATCAATTTTAATACTGATATCATCACAATCTGAAAAGTTGCCATCTTTGGCAATCTTAAGAAACACTAACTTGGAGTATGATTCCCAAGTTTTAAATAGAATCAGGACAGTCAAATAGTCATGTAAGATGTTGAAATTAGCTTTTAATTATTTACTAGGACCAATATTGGTTCTCTCCAATAATCTATTTTTTCTATAGTACATCAATCTCAACTACATTTCTTTGTTGAATTGCTTGATTTTTACTATCGAAGATTCAGTGCCTTCTCTGAAAACTTCGTTGATGAAACATCTCCTAAAGAGTTCATACATCAATTGATTATACTGGATATAGCCATAAAGATCACTAATAATGTAGAGAACAACTAATACCATTTCAATTTGAATGACGAAGCCAATTTAGCTACATCCCAAAGATTCTCTTCTTTGCTTCCTCCTAGAGGTTTTCCTATATCTAATAGGAACTTGCATAGAAACTTATAATTCATAGCTTACCCTTAGGTTTCCGACGAGTACTTACACCATACAGTTTTGATCTTATCCACATTTTCAACATATGTTTAGATGAGTGAATTTTGCAATTAAAAGAATTGTTCAAATTGTTCAATAAGTCCAAGCACAAACAGATTAAGCAGCACATAATTCGACAAGAGCATGAACAAAAAGAAAAAATATTAATTGTTAACATTTCCACAATATTTTGGATCTTCTAAACACAAAGGGTTATGTTACATCGTATCTGTCATTATTGTTCTCCAATCATCTCCAGATGCGCATTTAAATAAGGCAAGTAGAGCCTAAGCTACATTTTGAAAATTGATTTGATCATCCATTACAGCTCCACTATCAATTTCACCATACAATTAACATCCTATCAATGCAAAAATAAGCATTGCAATCATTAAAATTGTAAATATCTTGCCTAAAAATGGCAGCGCAAACACCATCACTCTCATTAATCTTTACAAATTGATGAGTCCTTGGAATATCAGAATAACTCTTAAACTCCTCAAACTAAAAAACAATCTCAACAATTGATAACCACTATCATGTGGGGTCGATTTGTAATAAATCATAATCCAATCAACTGAATAGTCCGCAATAAAGTCTATTATCGATACTATAATCAAGAAAAAATAAAATCGCCTCCAATAATTATCGAAAAACCTACCTACTCCCAAAGCCAAAAATAACAGAAATACCCAAATTACATATAATACAGTAAAAGCATTATGGATATTGTTTACAGTTCTGAAATACTCCTCACTCATATCTGATTCAAATAATAGTAAGATGCATAAATCCAATATTAAAAATAAGTACATGCATGTTAACATAAATGTATTATTAGTTATATCTGATGCCAATTTTCTCATACCCTTCGTGGGAGGAGAACTGAAAACAGGAAAGTCCTTTATTATCATTGACGAAATTTTTTAGAATTCTTTCTAAGACTGAGTTTCATCTGTCATTTCTATTTTTTATTGATTTTCTTTCAAATTTGAATACAATACCCCTGTAAACAAACTCAAAAAGAACATTGAACCTAAAAAGACGAAAATAATAAAGAAGAAATATGTGTACACATAATTATTGAATGCTTATGGGCCAACATCAGCAGATTAACTGTTCTCAGCAATTTGATATATTTCTCCCCATCCATCTAATGTTGATGTCACAAACAAAGAAGGTATTGCAACTGTTATATTATCAAAATTGTGTTTGTAATTAATCCAATTTCTATTCTCTTTTATACATTATTCATAATTAACATTGAAATTCATTTTATCTTCACAAAATCCAAATTGTCCTTCATACAATATAATCGCATACACTCCGAACATGATCCACACTGCCAACATCGTAATCAATACATTTGTTATATCTACCAAAGAATATCCTAATGCTATTCTTAATTGAGTCAGCCAACTTATTCTAAATAACAATTTCATCGGTCTTAAATACCCTAAGTACAAACAAAGATCAAATATCTTGGCATCATTATCTGCAGAATTATTAAATGTTATGAAATGTGATATGATGTATATTACGTCTAAAATCTACCATACTGATACAAAGTAAGATCCTTTATCTAAAAATAAGCCCTTCGCTATGATATTAATCAATATGTCTAAAAAAATTTGGATGTTGATAATCAGCTAAATTTAGTCACAAATAGTATTGCTAGTATCTTCATAGTCATAATATGTATTCATTATAAATGTAATTAAGGAGGCATACAAAATTAAATCCATAAAGTATATATAAGATTTTGAGGTGGCTAATCTAGTGCACATTTTTCTGAAGTAGTTTTTCTTTTCAAAAATGTAAAGAGACGTTTGACACTCGATTCCCATATAGAGTTTAGGCGATTTATTCAGTAATTCTTTATTCAAAGCTTCTACAATAATTTAATAACTATATTTACTTATGGATTTAAGAAAGTTCGTAATGAGGCCTACCTTTGATTTTCCTTGTATTTATGTTTGCTCCAACATTATATTAGTTTGAGAGACTTAAGGACTGAAAATTGTTTATTAAATTTGCTACTCCAATTCCTCATTTGAATTTAATGTCAATTGAGCATGATCTTCAGACTAAAATATGTGAGTATTATCAATTGATTAATTTAGATACTTTCCAAAACCATCAAGTAGAATAGCCATAAACAAACCATAAGTTAGATAATTCAATATGATAACCATCGAGTATGAATATATTAAAGCGAAACTCTAATTTAAATCACTACCCATTACATAGACTCCATACCAATCATCATTAGTCATTATGTTGAATATAGTCATAAATGCTTTAAAAATGTTATCATATGAATGTAATTATCCTAATGAATCTGTCTAAGAGAACTCACTAGCATACATTTCCATACCAACCAAAGCATACATAAAAATGACTAAGAACATTAAAAAAGTCAAATAAATATATTGTTTAAAGGTCAAGGATGCTATATGCCCAATTTTGACAGCCATTGCATTATATTTCAGACAACGATAAAATAACAAGCATTTAGTACCTCTAATTAATCTCAAGTTCTATTCTCCCAAACCAATTAATAAATCCTTTACAATTAATTCAATGATATTTAAAATTACAATTGCTGCTTAAACCAAGAAATTAGGATTACTTGTAAACTGTTTGGTTGGAATTGATATCAATCTCAGAATTAATTCAATTGATAGTATTATTGTTGAAACATTCTCAACTGAATGAATAGTACTAGAATTAACAATGTTCCAAAGTGCTAAAAAAGTGAAATTTATAAAAATTATTAAATCAAAAAAGGTTTAACTAGTTGAGCTAGTAATTATTCTATATGTATGTTTTTTAAAATTTAAAAGCATTCCTTTTAGACCTTTCATCCATATGATAATATCTTTTTGGTTAAGTTAAAGGAATATGTGACTAAACATCTATAGTTTCTTAGCATTTATAATTAAGACATCCTTACCAGACCAATTGCTTGAATTAATCAATTTTCCATTTTAAACTTCCTTCTCTCTTATTTTTCTATATTTAAATTGATTGCTAGTTTAGTTATCTTTGATTTTTGGTATTTTGGTATTTATTTTAACACATATTTCTTAATAAGTAAGGTAATAACCTTGAACATAAACAACATTTTAACCATTAACTTATTTTACAAATCTTTTTGATTTTTTTTTAATTGAAACATTTTTATCAAAACAAAAATTAAATTTCTTCTCAGTAGATCTTTCAAAAGCATCAATTGAATTTTTACTTGTTTCATGTTCCTTATCATCTTCAAGCTTTATTATGGTTTTCCATTTATTATGTTTTTTATATTTACAAGGAAACTTATTGCTCTTAATTTCTATAGACCTTTAGGCTTACTTTTTTATCTTTTGCACTTGACTCTACCAATCAGGATATTAATGTTTAAATTTAATTTTTCTTAATTTTTCTGGGTTGAATTTCCTTTCCTCTTATAGTGCTAAATCAATCTCACTAAAATTCATTAAATTATAATATACATTAGCTTTAACAATATATCATGTTAACTTGTAAATTAATATTCGATTTACGTATTCACTTAGGATTATAAACAGGAATATGATATATTCTACAATTTTTATAAAATTTCTAATTCAATTGGATCATCTGAATACTTTTTAATATTTATTTTTTTCTACTATAATTTTAATAAACGAAATTTAGTTAATAACATATTCTTCAATGTAAGTTCCTTTATCCTATTATAAAAACTTTGATTTTCTCCATTCTATGAAATATTATTTATTGTTTACATATTGGTTACTCAACTTTTTCTATGCGGCTGATAAGGTTCGTGCTTCAGTGACAGCTTTATTTAATTAAGCTTCACTTTCTAGATTCCAACTTATTATAGATCTTCTTTGAAAGGATTCTCGATATTTTTGAATGGTTGCAAAAAATCCAATATATCTCAAGAAGGCTACATCAAAGACATTCACTAATTCTCTTTCGGGATATTCTTAATTATCCTTAATCAATTTATCAATCCTTAGTTTTTCTTATTGCTTTTCACTTTCCTCTGCTGTCTCTGCATAATGAGTCTTTAACACAGCAATAACCAAATTGAAACCAAAAAACCCACATAGAAATATAATGCCTAAATAGTAGATCCATACTTAAGGATGGTATATTCTCATAGTGAAGAACATTACCCAGCTCCAATCATCCATAGTAATTGTTCTCAAAATTTAACCATATGAGTAGATCACATTATTAAATGATGTTGGCATTTTAGGAGTTTATTCAGTATACTTACAGGTCATACCATCTTCGTAACATTGATTTTAATTGCATTGAACCCAACCATCTGTTTCATCACCATTATCATACTCGCATCTGAAGTTGAATAATCCTTAAAATAGAAAAACCCCACAAATTGCAAAGAATAACGAAAAGAGTCCAACTATCATCAGAGCTTCCAATAAAAATTTAATTGACTACTTGAGAGCTAAAAGCATGACACCCAGCCCAACAAATATGTCTCCTAAATAGAAAAGCAATGTAATCATTCTTAATGGTGAAATATCAATTATGAAAATTTCTGGATAATATAGATTAATTGTAGTTGCAAATATCAATGTGAAATCATAAATATCCTATATATTTCTAAAGAAGGCATTTTTTGTAAAGAAAAATCCAGAAACAAATATTCTAACCATAATTTCAATTATAAATAATATTGTTATTACCTGCTCTATTTAGAAAGTATCTTCTCGATGTTGTGTCTTAACGATGATAAATAGGACAACATTAAATAATATCAAAATGGTCATCAAAATTTTGTAGAGTCTACTCTTCATCATCTCTTTGGCTAAGATGGGGAACACTAAGGATATAAAAACTAAGGTTTTGCGAATTTACAAAAATTTCACATTATCTTAATATTTCTCAATATTATAATTAGATTTTTACCTTTAATTCATAAATTAACCTACTCAGACCAGTTAATGGTACTAGTTATATGTAGTAAGGATCTTGAAATGGGTTTCGCACATAGAGTTTATCATATCTTTTGACAATTTTCTTGTATGCAATTTCATTTTCTTATGATTCTTCTTAATCCAATTAAAATAGATTAGCGAATTTCAATAGTTGAGATTCGTCTTTAGCTTCCTTTATCGTTTGATCAAATTGTGAATTTAAATTCTAACTTTTTTCATTGAGCGTCTAAATAAACTTTTTCGATGTTCTTCTTGATTCATATGAAACATATTGAATGGTTAATATGGTTTCTTCTGAATAATCTGATGAATTTAGATCGTACTCTTCTATTTCATCTGACTCCTTATCTTTTTATTTTCTACTTTTAAAAGAAAATAAAAAACATTATTTATTTTTCGAAAGATGAAGGAGAAATTAATGATGCATCTCTAGATTCTTTTCTATTCTAATTTTCTTGTTTTATCGATTTGGATGAAGAATCTTACTTTATTATTTGAGTGCCAGCTAATCAAAATTAAGACAAAGAATACATTAAAATTACTAAATTATGCTTTACTTTCTTTATGCCAATTCCTTTGAAATTGTTAATCGTTTTTTTTTATTCCTGAGTTAGTCCTATTAATCCATGAAGAACAATAAATAATAATTTAATAGTAAATACAAGTTTATATTTTCAAAAATAAGAAATCAACAATAGTGAATACAGTATAAACCGATTACACTCTCGTAACTTTTGTTAATCAATTGATCCTATAATATTTTTATAACTTAGATAAAAACTAATAAGATCTTTTGTAATTTACTGACCACATAATTTTAATGAATTCATTTATTTGTATGTGTATTTATGCAGATAATAATGAATTTGTGATAATTTATATTTTAATTTTATATCACTTGTATTCTTAATTAAGTTATTAAAGGGCCTATCTGCTTGCGTTTTCTAATAATCTAATGTTTTCTTTAAACTTCTCGTTAGTCTCTTCTAACATCTATTTTTTCATCTAATTTAAATTTAGACCAATTAAATACCGATATTATTTATTTTTCCTCCTCTCTTTTTTTCAATTGCTATTAAAATTGTTTCTTGATCATGTCCATCTCATTCTTGGACTCATCCAAATATTTCTTCTGGTCCTGCAAATACTTCTTAACATCATCGATCTATTTATCATCCAACACTCTATTGAATCGATTCAAATTAAAGTTTAACTCATCGATTTTCTTGAGATTTTAACTCTTATTGATTATTTGACTAATCATCTTATCCTATGCATCGAAAATATAATTATAATTCTTAAATAGCTCTGTTAAGTTCTTACAAGCCTTAATCTTCCCCCCTTCTCCTTCAATTTCAATATCTTCCTCATTCATCTGCAACTCATACTATTAATCGAATTTCTTCATCAATTCCTTAAAAGTCTATAAATTTTCTGTAAGCATTTGGACAGCCTGTTTACCATTTGTTTCAAGTGGAGCCTTGTACAAATCAGTTTTAAATTGATGCATATTTTATAAAGGGTTGTCCAACTCCTAAGGGATATTTTCATCTCCAAAATCTATTTTCCTTCTCTTTATATAAACCTCCCTTCTGATTTAAAGTATTTCTCCTAATTCATTATGAATTTTAATGAGGTTTTCTCTTAATTATTCATTCTCCCTTAACAATTTGTTATTCACTTCTTCCCATTTTTTCATTACAACCTAACTAAATTCATATTCTCCGTTGGCAGCAAATAAACTAGGTCCTCCTTATTCTATTGGCTATGTAATTTCTAAGCTATTTTTATAGGTTTTGGAGGATTATTGTTTTTTGATGTGCTCCTTAATCTTTTAAATTTCAAGATCACGCTACTTTAATTCATGTTCAAATTAAGTGGAACGACTTTATAATTTTGATAGTTATTTTTAATAGTCTTCCTTTTCTGCCATTAATTTATTGCTACGTTAAGAATGATATATATACACTTATTCCTTCTACACCTTTTCTGCACTCTTGATTTTCGCCTATAAATTAGTATTTTCTTATTCAAGTATTTTTCGACTGTTGCTAACTCTTTCCAAATTCTGTGATAATTGTTATTTCTCTGCCTCAATCTTACTCATTTTCTCATGATATGAGTTCTTGAAATCCATATCCTCTCTTCTTTGTTTGATAAATGAGACCAATCTATTAAATAATAATGATCTCATACAATTTAACAGTGAGATCCACTTCAGCGTTATTATTACTATATAAATCCCCCAAAGGTGGAAAACCCATCATGATGAGTTTTTCTTTCACATTTTTGATTTGGTTTTAGAGAAAATCTCTTTTATACTCATCATCAAAGTTTGATTCAATCTATTGTTCTTCTTGGCTTTCTTAAGCTTAAAAGGAATAGGTGTTGCGAGGTTGAGGTTCCTGAAATTTCTCATCAAAGAGGTATTTCTTATAATTATCCATTTTTGAATTTAAAATAAATAATTCAAACAGTCATTAATCTCAATATTAATTACACACTAAATTCATTTTATCAATTATCTTCTCTTATTCCCTGAGAAGTAATAGAATGAACAATCAGAATTCATCCACATAAAGAAATATTTATAATAATTAATATTTATCATTAGATTTCAAAAGAAAAGCATTCAAATGTACTTAAATTGAGTAAACATATTGTTCCACTTTCTGAAAATGAAGGGATACTAATGATTCTGAGATTATTTGACAATCTCTTTGTTCCAAAACTTTTCATATTTCCAACAAAGTAGATGTTTGGTAATTGTTCAATAATGAAAGGATCATTTGTAAATTATTGTTATTGTCTAAATATTCTACTATTATTACATTAGAGTATCCTACAATGTAGGAGCTAAGTGGCCATAGAACAAATTCATCTCAATTAAATCTATGTCTGGTTAATCTTTTATAGTCTATTATTTTTTAATGTCTTAAATATTTTATCCACTTGTGCCTATAAAATGAATGTTCCCCAAACTGAATTCTGCTGGATTAGTTAAAAACGAAACTTTAGTATTGTTTTCAAAACTCTCTCCAAAATGGGCTTTTTGTAGAGATGTTTGAGGAAGTATTTATGATACTGGTTCATTTTAACCAGGCATTATAGCAACTGGAATGATGCCAGCTAATTCATTAACCAATTCATCTACTCCCTTAATATTCTCTTGCAATTAACCATAAAGTTGTTTGAAATCTTATGGCTATTTTATTGATCCTGTCAAGCATCTTTTTGCATCTCTCTATCTTCCATATATATTACCTGCTATGATTATCTATGACAGTCTTTATGAGACCTGAAATATCAATTTTACTTACTTCATTTCCATAACCACAATACAAATTCCCTTATAAATATTGGATTAAGTGTCTCAATTTCGTTGTGTTATTTTCCACGTCATAATTTAGTCCAGAGATCAAACAAACATATGTCGTCTAATTTAAAGGCTTATAAATAGGAGGATCAATAAAGTCAGGTAAATTGATGCTTTATACATTTACTACATTGTTTCCAACAATTTCTCCTTCTATCAGAACCACTATCCCTGTTATTAAGTCTTCAACTTTTATTGTTTTTGAAGTATTATTTGGTAGAAGAAGCTTACAATTTGTAAATTCTAATTTAATTCTGCCTGATCTATCCTCTAAATAACATATTTCTTCATTTTATACAGATTCTAAATATTACACTTTGTTAAATACCCGCTATTTTTATTTCAGTATATTACTAAAAATAATAAGGTTTCAATTTCATAGCTTTAAAGATAGTTCCCATAACCTTAACTTTTCCAGTTAGGTTTTATATATTGTGAATGGCTTCTACAAAATGTTTAACCTTTAGATGCTCAATTTTAAATCTCTTTGACATACTCAGAAATCTAATACAATAGATGGAGGAATTTTATGCATTGACATTTTGGTTGCTAGAAGGCAAAGAAAAACGATTGCTTTATTTAATATCCAATTCTAATTTTTAGCCTTATAAAACCGGTTTGTAATTCTATTTCAACTATTTTAAAATAAAAGATGTTTATGCCATATTTTCCAATTCCATAATAATATATAAAATGAATTATAATATATTTTAATAACGACTAATCTAATTAATAAAAAAGAACTTTCTGATAAAAGAATATCATTTGCGATAGTTAAGGTTCTTTTGAATTACTATTATATACAAATATTTTTTTATTTTTTTTTACTTTTTAGCTTAAAATCACTAGTTTTGAATTATCTATTTTTAATTATTTTAAGTTATTTAAAGAATGTTCAAAGAATATTATAATAGAATAAAATTAATACATCACTAAATGGTTTCAACATAACTTAAAAATTTATAATAGAATACTTGTAGTGGTTTTCTCCTAATATCTAAATCATTCAATTCATAAATGTTAGCTACATGTCTTTAGGACTTGTATCAACCCTTATTCCAAGTTACTGCTTTTGAAGATAGATTGAAAAATTACGCCATCAACCTATGTTAGATAATTTACTATACCACTTTACTTCATCTGAATCAGAGCTAATTTCAATTACTTTATATCTTTAATTAGATTCTAATTGATTTGTTATCCTTCTTTATCTACCCTACTACCTTCCGATTCTTATTAAAGAACTTTATGCTTCAACGGTGGATCATCATCTCAACCTACTATGGATTGTATTCTTCTAATACTAGAAAGTTCATCTTAATTTTACCTTCCTATCTTGCATTAAATGACCTCTGATCTGTCTTTAAATAACTCTTCAATGGTGTTATGATTGTCCATAATTCTTTGTTAATTTGATGAATGTGACGAATAAACCTTCTTTTGTAATTGTGCCATCTTTTAATATCAGTTTTTTGATTCTTAAATTCTAGATTTAAAGGAAGTAGGTAAGGGAAATACAAAGGCTTATAAGTGAATTATTAAAAAGCCATTCTAATCTTTAATTGAGAGTTTCATTAAGGTTTAATTGATCTTTTTAATAAAAATTAAACAAAGATTATTCCAGCCTTGTTTCGAGTAGTCAAATTCATATAAATCGAAGGGTTTTTGGAGGACCTAGAGATCAGTAGTGTCTTATTTGTTCTTTTAAGGTACTAATTTTGGACTGCATTACATTTTATTATCAATTAATATCGAGATGGGGTATTGAAATTACTGACTATTATTATTATTTATTCTTGATTTAAATTAGAATATAGAATCTTGACAAAATATATTTTAATTGTACATTTTTGATAATTTTTTATGTCAAAGTGGCAAACTACATATTAATAAATGTATTTACAAGTTGCTTATCAACATAATTTTACTGTTATTAAAAAGTTATTATATATTTTATAAAATAAAAATTAAAATTTGATATTGAGTGGTATTTGATGAGTCATTAATTCTTTAAATTAATCGATTGTTCCAGAGTATTAAATACAATGATGGTAATATTAAATTTTATCAAGTTTTTCATATATGTTCTCTAATTCTAAGCTAAACATCATAATGGTCATATTATTTGTTTTCCTTCATAGGTTAATAAGTTTGGATGTATTGATGTATGAATGATCCTTTCAAATGCGATTCTGTATATCTTTAATTAAATACAAACAAAAAGCATACATTCTTATTTTACATTAAATTTAAAATAATTTTATTAAAAATGTAAATCTTGCTAAAAGTGAAAACCTTTTTTGATTATCTCCTCTGAAGTAAAAATCGATTGAATCATATATATAATTTTTTTAATTTAATTTGAAGCTTAATATTAAAAATGAATTAATTACGCTTATTGATGTTTTTAAAAGTCGTCTCGGCATATATATACTACGACACAGGATTAATGACTGACTTCGATTATCATGCTTAACCAAGTTTTATTTGCAAAAATGGCTACTCTAATACAGCAACCACAACTTTCTCATAGCAATTTTAGAATATTCCTTAAGTATTTTTTACTCATGAATACCTCGATTAAGATTTGGCTGAATTGGGGTTTAAATTAGCAATAACAGCTATATCTTAAACACGTATTTACTCAATAAATATTTTAATAGAGTTTACAACAGAAATTAGTTGTAATAAGCAAAGAGTATATGTAGTCAAATTAAGATGGTTTGCCATAGATGACTAGCGTATTGAAGTTATAAGTAACTTCAATATGGAAAATCCAGATGATAAAACATTTCCAATTAAAAATCCTAATGCCTAAACTGGATTTTTAGCTATCACAAGTATGCGCTATACAGGACAGATAGATTTTCTATTATCGGTAATAGTTAAAAATCCTTACATAGATAAGCTAAATAAAAGCTAATTCAGTGACTGTGAGTATAACGAAAGTTGCAGGAAAGTTTACAAATCTGAAATAGATTGGATATTTTATAGTTGTTGGAATTGAAGAAGCATTCATAAATTTAGGGTTAAAGACTGCTACTGGTGCATTTAGCAGTGGAACTATACCAATTGAGTCTAATAGATGGTTTGCTATAGTATTATAAGGTTTGAACTATTCAAATTCTAAAAATCTTAGAATAAAAGCTACATATAGCAACACAGCAACAACGATTTCATATACTTGGGGCACCTGTAATTATTTATAATTAATATAATATAAAAGGGTAAGAAACAGAGACTCCTAATAGTCATTCTTAGATTTGGATAGCATATTAATTTACTAAGATATTTTACCCTTTAGAATGTTTTACTATAAGAACCAGTAGAAAAGAAGTGAAGGATTTATCAATACTTCCTACATTCTATTTAGAATTTGTTTAATCTAATTAAATTTACACTACTAATGGAATTTATGTATATTATATTGATAAATCAAATGTACCATTTAAGATGGGTATCTAAATTAAATGTGAAAATGGAAAGAAAATCTAAGCCAATTTTAATAAATGCAATGCTTGTAGTACTAAAAAGACTCACTCTTTCTCCTATAATTGCTTTAATTAAATGAATTATGTTGGTTTTTTCCCTGTCTTTTAATAAGCATTTCCATAATATCATCATTTAAAAATAAATATGAATCCATCATCACTAGAAATCATAAATGTCGTTTACAATTAAGCTCTTACGGAATCCACAATAGTGTAAATTTAAATATTAAATTAATGAATAGATTTTACCATTATTATCTAAGAATATTACTTAATTTTTAATTAATTTTTATGTTACTATGTTCGAATTTCATAATTTTTGCTTTATTTTATAAGCATATCCTATTCAATTTTAAAGATANATGGCTGAATTGGGGTTTAAATTAGCAATAACAGCTATATCTTAAACACGTATTTACTCAATAAATATTTTAATAGAGTTTACAACAGAAATTAGTTGTAATAAGCAAAGAGTATATGTAGTCAAATTAAGATGGTTTGCCATAGATGACTAGCGTATTGAAGTTATAAGTAACTTCAATATGGAAAATCCAGATGATAAAACATTTCCAATTAAAAATCCTAATGCCTAAACTGGATTTTTAGCTATCACAAGTATGCGCTATACAGGACAGATAGATTTTCTATTATCGGTAATAGTTAAAAATCCTTACATAGATAAGCTAAATAAAAGCTAATTCAGTGACTGTGAGTATAACGAAAGTTGCAGGAAAGTTTACAAATCTGAAATAGATTGGATATTTTATAGTTGTTGGAATTGAAGAAGCATTCATAAATTTAGGGTTAAAGACTGCTACTGGTGCATTTAGCAGTGGAACTATACCAATTGAGTCTAATAGATGGTTTGCTATAGTATTATAAGGTTTGAACTATTCAAATTCTAAAAATCTTAGAATAAAAGCTACATATAGCAACACAGCAACAACGATTTCATATACTTGGGGCACCTGTAATTATTTATAATTAATATAATATAAAAGGGTAAGAAACAGAGACTCCTAATAGTCATTCTTAGATTTGGATAGCATATTAATTTACTAAGATATTTTACCCTTTAGAATGTTTTACTATAAGAACCAGTAGAAAAGAAGTGAAGGATTTATCAATACTTCCTACATTCTATTTAGAATTTGTTTAATCTAATTAAATTTACACTACTAATGGAATTTATGTATATTATATTGATAAATCAAATGTACCATTTAAGATGGGTATCTAAATTAAATGTGAAAATGGAAAGAAAATCTAAGCCAATTTTAATAAATGCAATGCTTGTAGTACTAAAAAGACTCACTCTTTCTCCTATAATTGCTTTAATTAAATGAATTATGTTGGTTTTTTCCCTGTCTTTTAATAAGCATTTCCATAATATCATCATTTAAAAATAAATATGAATCCATCATCACTAGAAATCATAAATGTCGTTTACAATTAAGCTCTTACGGAATCCACAATAGTGTAAATTTAAATATTAAATTAATGAATAGATTTTACCATTATTATCTAAGAATATTACTTAATTTTTAATTAATTTTTATGTTACTATGTTCGAATTTCATAATTTTTGCTTTATTTTATAAGCATATCCTATTCAATTTTAAAGATATTTCAATTTTTTATTCTTAAATTCTTTATTATTGTTTAAATCAATTATTTTCCCCACATTCTCATAATAGTTAAATAAAAATTTCTTATTTAATCCATTTTTCTAAGTTTTATCTTTAAATTTGTTAAAATTGAATGTTAAGAGTCAAATCCTACCTGTTTAGATTGGAAAGGATGATCTCAATTCCCTTTTAAAATAAATTAATCAACCTTATAATAAAGAAAATAAATTGTATACAACAACCTTTTTTACTCTTTGTATACCTGGATAATCCATTTTATATCTGAGATTATTAAGGTGCAAATGTTCATCCACCTAAGATTTATAGAATTCCAAATTTGTTTAAAGCAAAAAATTTCTAAATTGGACACTGAATGAAGTCAATCTAAAAATATTTAACTTTGAATACTTCAATCTGCTAATAGATGGTTTGATTGATTCGTTTGATAAATTATGCCAGATAATGAAGCTCTTTTAGTTAGCCAGGTTCAATATAAATTAATGAATATCATTTTTATATAATAGGATTGCATTACAGCATAATTAACCAAACTGTTAACTTGATATCAAAATAAATTCAACAAAAATTACCCTTATCTTAGATTTTTTAAGAATCTTTGAATTTATGTAAAGAAATATCCAGAATTTACTTTAATTTAATTAATTATCCCCCTTATTCAGCCCTTCAAATTCAATAATGACTAAAAAGATTTAATAAATTAATCTCCAAAATAAATCAGTATTTTTTTGATTATCAGTTATTCTCAATATTACTCTAATTTTATTTAGGATTAATTAATCAATGATATTTCTATACACAATAATAACTTTAGTAATAATAATTGTAATTCCTCCTCATTTATAGGAATTAGAGATAAACCCTCATTTTTTAATAAAATTTCTCCTTATTCATTTAAATTCAAAATTATTTCACATCTATAAACAAATAAATTATCGAGTAGAATGATAACATTATAATATCATTCAAGAATCTTACAAACAATAGATATCATTTAAGTGATTTCAATTTGTCTAATTTGATATTTTAAATTCTCTTTGTTACCATAACTTAAAAAGTTTAATGAAGACAAAAATTATATGGTTTTGTTATCATTAGAGATTATTTATTAAAAACAGAATAAATCCAGTATACAGTTTTGACTGTTAATATTATAAAAATTATAAGTTATCATTGGATTAATCAAAAATAAATATATATATTTACACTTGAAAACGAAATGCATTAAAGTTATTTAAATGTTTTACAATATAATTTATTTAAATCTTCTAAAATATATTTTTAAGTTTAATTATGCAAGAAAATAATACTCATTATCGATTACAAATATATCATGATTCAAGAGGAATAGTTAATTTGAAATCAATTGTCAAAATAATTAAATTAATAAAATGGAAAAGAAATAACAGTGTGGTTAAGATATTTTAAGGTCCTTATTGAGCAAAAGGACTTCTATCGATGTTAGTTCATATGAAACTCCTTCTGTATATTTAGACATGGGTAGATTAATATATTATTTAAGATTAGATTGTTCATAAGACATTAAACAGTACAATTTTGTCAATAGAATTTTGAAACCAGGACAAAAAAGGATAGGCTTGATCGCTATTATTAAGAATAAACTCTCAATCGCAGGAATTTTGGGGATAAAAAAATCTAATATAAGACTGACTGATTAACAAATTTAAAATTGTCCTTCTTCTCATTTTGATGTGGAGAATCAAAGTTCAAAATTAAAGAGAGTTTCATTTCGACTTTTAGAAATCATTATTTATAGATTAATTATATCTGCTATTTAATATAATTAAAATTGTAAAAATATATATAATTAAATCCTTGATTTCAAATTTTGAGGATAGCCTTAATGAGGGAAAGGACAATCTTATCCTAAAACTTAAAAGTAGGCAGAAAAGTAAGAGACAACATAACTCTCCTAACTTTTTACTTCAATAAATTCATTTCCAAAGCTGCCAATAGTATTGTCAAAATCATAATTGGTATACCTATGCCAATAAATAAGTTCTAAATTAATTATTTTTTTGAGTCCTTTTCATCATTCAAGAAAGTTTCCAATAACAATACTAATCGATCAAATGTCTTGAAAATTAATTCCTATCCATACATCACCAAAAACCGATAATCTTAGGAATTGTAATAAGCATTAATTTGAATTGCATTGTTCTATTAGTCTGAATATTGGATTTAATGATACTCATTTAAAAAAGTTGAATAACTGAATTCCATCTTCTATAGAACATCTAATGCTCCCATCAATCCAGTATTAAAGTAGTCAAATTATTATTATTATTGGCAGAGTGTCTCTTCAGAATAATAGCATAGGTTGTCCTTTAGTAAATGATTAATTTCACTCAATACACTTAATTATTAAATATATGGTATTCTTGATTGATAATTCTCAGAAGTAATTAAAATCTTTGAGGAATTAGAATCATACCCATAATCCAAATTTACTTGTTCTAAAAACTTTTGCATGTCAGTAATAAACGATTTGATTTTGTTAGTATCAGAGGATATAGTTTATAGGAAGTATGAAATCTATTAGTTTTGTTAGAAATTCAATAAGGTGAATTGTGAAGGAATACTGGTAGATTCTAAATTTAAATACCTTTGAGGAGTGATGGATAATTTCGAAATTAAGCTAGCAGTATATACGCTTGTACTAACAGTTTCATCAAAATTTTCAATAAAAGGAGTAAATGTATTGATTTAAGTTTGAATAATAACAATAGAAAAAATTAAGTAGCCTATGGAAATCGATGAAATCATTATGTATAATCCCATGTCTTTCCAAATACTCAAAGTAGTATCACTTAATTTAGAATAAAAGTATGAGCTTTCCTTTCCTTTAGCTTTGACATTCCCATTCTTAGCGTATTTCTCATTTAAATCAATTTCTTTGCTTTTATTATAAAAGATGAGCTTAATTTGGTTTTATGTGACCCATGAATCATCCTAAGTTTCAAGTAAATGCTAAGATAGAGTTAACTTTTTAATTTCATCCTCAGCCTCTTCTTGTGTAATCCTGCTTACAATGCATAGTACACGAAAATAGATATTGTTAATTTATCTGATAAAGGGAACAATCAAAAGGATTACAACCAAGTGTAAAGCACCAAAACTGGCCATCAGATATGTTACAATTAGAGCTTTACTAAGTACATCATTATTCTTGCTCGATCTTAATTGCTAACTCATATTATTGATTTGTGATTAAGTGAATATCAGTCTATTCAATAAATAATCTATTGAATTATTATACAATTATCGGAATGTAGCATCACTCCTATTGTAAGTGCTGATTAACTCTATAGAATCAATCTCAATTTTCTATTAGGTTAAAAACTCTTAAAGAGAAACAATATAATAATCATCTGGAATTTGAAGAACATCTAATTATGGCAATGGGAAGGAAACCTCACTTTGTATAGAGTCGATAACATCAAAGTAGGATTGACTAATATTTAAACTAAGATTATAGCAATAAGAGATAATCTCATTCATTAAAGTGATGTTAGGGATTTGATCAAAAGTAATTATTGATTATTGATCAATTTGGTTTGAGGATTAAAGAATTATAGCTGAATATCGATATTAATTATTAATCCTCAAACTAAGATTATCCACACTCAAATTATTAAAGTAATTTTAAGTTGTTAACAACAAACTAATAATGCATGAGATATTTAAGATGATTAAAATAATCTTGAATATTTAGAGTGATTTGGCTTATCTTGGCATATATTTAAGACACCTCAATGATATCTATGTAGCCATAGAAATTGCTGAAATGGATTTAATAGATTAATGATTTGAAGCTTAACTCATGACTTCAAAAATATTGACTAATTCATCATCATTGTTTAATTCTTCATCATCTTCTTTCTGATCTCCCTAGCTTGTGATGTTATTACTAGACATTGAATTAGTACCTGAAGGAGTACTATGTCCACTTCTTTTCATATCTCCCTTCTCAGAATTTTCAGACTGTTCTCTGAAACCTTGATCTTATGCTTCAAATTGATCGTTTTTTATCTCGATGTTTGATACTCTTCTGAGATTCAACCTTCCAAATAATTTAGCAAACAGCCCAGTGGGATTCAATAAGGAGTTCTTTTTTTCTTCTGGTACAGAAAGTGATGAAGGTTATTTCTCTTGTTATTGTTATTGCTATTGTTATTTTTATTATTAAGGTTATAAAAAGGTTGGGCCAACTGGAGTTGTAGGAGTTTCAGAAGGTGGATCTTTAGGAACAAGAGCTTTTTCCATTTTCTTTAAAAATGATAACTTAAGTTTTTTCTTGGGGGGTTCCTCTTTTTTTTCTGAAAGACTGCTGGATTACTCCTTTAAATATTCTTTACTTTGATTTTGATTTTAGATTTATTTCATTTTTTCAATAGAGTTTTACCTCATTAATTATGGGACATTTAAATTCAACGACTGAGTCATTGAGTGATTACCACCAGTGGGAATAAAGCTCTCTTTCATTGAATTTTCAATATCAAAAGAAGAGTCGTTTAACTTTTAATTTTAAGCTTCAAATTTGACCTTCATATTTGGTCCATCATCTCTTTCAAGTGAAGATAAGTAAGTTCTGCTATCTGGAATGGCTAAAGTGACTATAATAGGTTCATCAATCTCTCCTTTATATTTAATTTGCTATTGAGGAGGACCGAAACTCTCCTGTTATTAAAAAGGTAATGATTTCCTGGGTTTCTCTTTATCGAATGAATCGAGGGAGGAGGCCTATTAAATCAAGCTTTTCCTTAACTCTTCACCTCCATCAAACTATTGATTTTTTTCTTTCTTCAAATGGATTTTTAAGACATCCTTCCTTTTGGCTGTTTAGAGATTCAAAGATGATAGTTTGCACACAAAATATAAGAATTGATCTTTGTCACTAATGCCTCCGACACCCACATCAATTGATGAAACACACTTGTATCTTACTTATTGAAGTAGTTTGGCATCATGAGACTCTAAGGCTTCTTTTAACAAGGCTTTTGAATAATATTTTCTTACTTTGTTATCAATAAAATCTTAGAATTCAGCATCAAATAAATGATAACAATTTTATTACTATTTAATGTATGAGTATTTATTCTGCATTTGTTGTCTACGTATAGATTTAGTTTCCATATCATTTTTACTTTCCATAAATCTTTCACCCGCATCATTAAAGTATTCAATTAATTCATTATAATTTCTAGGGACATAAAGAACCAGCCTTTCATCCTATAATAAGGACATGTTCTTTTTCATCAATCCCTTCTCATCAATAAAATTATTCATTATGAAGTTTCTATATTGATCCTTATCCAGCATGGCACTGGACAATCCTCCTTAATTTAAGCTTTGTTATCTGTCAATAAATTGACTTATTTATCTTTAGAATATGTTGCTGGCTTACTTTTCGAATAACTTATTATTATTTTATTATTAAATATCTTAAGCTTTGTCTGTTAATTTATTAAATTATTCTTGAGATTCTCTCTGTAACTTTTTAAAGATGTCTTTAGCCAATAAATCTGTAATAGATTTTCCAACCTATGGCAAAAAGTGTTGAATGCTTCCGAATTACAATAAAATATCAGATGGTTTTTGATATGTTCTTTTTAATTGACTTTTTGTAGTACTTTATTTTTAATGCATGGTAATGGTCTTTTTAAACAATTTGGCATTATCATCTCTGGCAATCTTATGGAGTAAGGCATTTTTAAGATTTCCAAGTTTTTAAAATTTTGCATTGACAGATTTATATTGTACCATACCAAATTCATCTAAAGCTCCTTTTAGTATCAATTTATCAAAGGTATGCATAGACACACCTAAAATGCGACCCCATTCATCAAATATCAGATATTCGTCATCATCTTTAATTTTCAAAATAGATCCCAAGAGTGTAAAATCAGATAGGTTTTAAAAATTAAAAGATAAATTGATGTTGACTGGAAATACAAACCCTTAGGCATCACAAGCATAGGAATTGATTGGTTTATCATAATAATAAGTGTAACCTCTATGGATGAATCTGGTAATGAAATAGTTGTGAGAAGCAGTCAAATATGGAGGCATAATACTAGAAATTTACAATTTATCTGAATTTTAGTTTTAGTGAGATGACTGCAAACCCCTGATTCGTAGATTTTGTATCATGTCTTCATAATTAGAATATCCTAACATATCAACTAATCTATTTGAAACGCCTTTAATGATTTAACCATTCTACACCCCAGCACTCACTTCCAAAGTTACTAGATCTCCAGAAAGCCATTGGAAATTACCAATCTATCCTTACTTTTGAGCTGCTCTACTCAACTGCCATGAATCTTCGACTTTCCTTTAGAATATGACTGCCTATTTATAATCTGAATCAAAAAAAAGAGATCTAAAACATTGATATTTGAGATAATAACTGTAGTTTCTTTGAACTTGATTGTTGAAGTCACTCAAGATCATATCAACCTTGCTTCTACTTTCTTCTATTTAAAGTGAGATCTTTATAATGTCCTCTAAAAATCGATTCATATTTTGAATGTCACCAGAACACAAATTCTCCCATAGTGTTATCTTTTTCCTCAAAACAGAAACAATACTCTTAACAATATTATCTTTAACCATTTCTAACCGCCAAATTTCAGTAACATTCATTTTGACTACATCATCATATGAGTTCTTGTCTTCGAAATGCTTCAATTTAAGAGCATCAATAAACTATGACTCGGTTACTTTGGTAACATTTCTAAAGAAGTATGAGAATGAAACTGTTCTGCTTTAAATTTATTTTAGCTTTGTAAGTGAAGAAAGACTGTTCTGTTTGAAGGAGAACATAAAAGAAATGTACTTCAAAGATAAATATTCAACTTCGTCTAAATGCAAAGAAAATGACAATTATTAAATAGTCTGGTGGAACTATCTTTTGACATATTGTGATATAAGATCTTCATTGATTATATTATTCTGGACAAATTTCATCGGTTAAAATATGATAGCCTTTGGTCTTATGTTTTATTATTCATACTGTGGTTGAATACCTCCAGCAAAGGAATCATTTTTTCGACTTCCATCTTTGATTGTCTTCTGAAATTAACTGACATCCAAATTTTGAGAAATGTTCTAATTGTTACTGTTCTTATCTGCATTACTTAACAAAGCTGTTCGGGATTGGAATGATGATCTATGTGTCATGCTTTCTCCATTTTGAGTATTGGATTTAGATAAATCTTCTTTGCATTCACAATTTGGATCATTACAATTTTCAGTGTGATATTTTAACACAAAAAGGGAAAGCATGAATGTATAGGAATCCATCCTGGCCTACTCTATGTACCATACAAGTGCTTCCAAAGACGAACACAATTTCTTTATGTCCAGCTATTTTGTTGAACCTGTTCGCATGTATAGGATCAAATCCTACCATTTATGACTTTACAACTATCTAAATAAATAAAGGAATATTGGAAATGCTAAGAGGAAGGTCTCAAAGATGTTGTCCCCACTTATGGAAGATGTAATTTGAGATAGAGAACCCAATAGGGACACTATGAATAATCCGGTGCATCCAAACATATATACTTGATTTTCAAATGTCATCCTGTAGGGCAAAAACAATATCGTGTCAATCAATTTGAAAATGCTAAGCAACCAAAAAATATATGGCTGGATCTTCAAATCTGAATTCCAATCTATGGCTACTATAAATATCACAATCAAATAGTAACAATAGGAGGCCAGATTGAATGTTCTGTACAATCCCAATTGATTGAATTGATAACTGCGATAGAAGTAGAAGTAACTTAACACAATGATGGAGTGCAGAAATATGTTTACGATGGGCATTGCACTCCAGGCACTACTTTGCTTATTGAACAACCCCAAGTTGATAGATAACTAGAATTTAATCAAGTGTCTACAATTGGACAACTAAGCCACACTGCACTTTCAATCCCCATCGACAACCCCATGTGCATTCTCTTGAATTTATTCTTCGACATCGTTATCTTGTTCTGACTCCGATATCGCAAGTACGACATCAACAGTAGACAGCCATATAAAACCAAGTACAGTATCAAAATCAAGATGCAGATCGGTATGAACAATAAATCCGGAGGTCGTGTGAATACACTTAAAAACTACAATAACCTCTAACTTTACGTCGGTAAAATAAGCATATCCTTGGTTTTTTTCAAATTTCAAACTAAAGCTCATCAATGACACAAAGTGTATTAGTACGAGAGTCAAAGCTTTTGTTCCAAACATATTCTTGTAATCTCCGATATTCGCAATCTCGACTGACAATACTTGTCCAAAACTTAATTCCTCATGTTGTTACATTATTTCTTAATTAATTTATAATATTCAATGGACCCACATTTTACACATCATAATACCTTACAATATTAAGATTTAACCAAATCTAACTACTCCAGCTCATAACTATATCAAATTGCTCTTCAAATGCTCGATAATCCGCACTCCTTATCTAATGCACTCCTTATTTTCAATGTATTACTTTGCACTTAATAAAAAGCAAATTGCTTAAGAAGAATACAATTTATATCCACTCCTGCAAAATTAATTCATTAATTTATTACTGCATCCAGATACTTAACATTAAGCCTTTACTTTGATTTCACAGCTATTCAACAAGAAATGTGACTTTTCAACTTTAAAGACACAAGTTATTGAATCCCTCCTCAGCCTCATCCGATGGGATTTCACACTCAAACATCCTCAATAGGGATTCGAATAAACCACTACTTTATTAAATGCCCCATTTCCTGATCTTCACAATTTAATAAGGATTGTTGAACCAACTTCTCTCATTAAATATTACTTCATCAACAAAGAAGGTATTAATATAAATGGTCTCTTAAAGACTATGGAATTATTCCTAGGTAATCATAATTTCATATTTGACAATGCTGTTGAATTCATTGAAATAACCCAAAGAGTTGCTCGACATCAAAATGAGTAAGTAAGATCTTATGCTTTGAAGTTTATCCATCACCTAGCTGACTTATAAGATAATTCAACTTTTAGAGAACTAATTCATGCGACGCTCTTAGCAGGTCTTATGGATGAATCATTAGAAATTAGAGTTCAAGCATTGAATGAATTGAAGATTCTCATTCCTAAAGAAAAAGATCAACTTTTAATCCTGTTATACAAGAATTCCCATTGCGATGACTTAAGAAAAGTGTCAGAATCTGTTGTTCAATAATTGTTTCCTCATTTCTCAGGTAATATTTAATCTGAATTGATGAACATAATCAAAGAAAATAGACTGAACGAATGTGTGATTCTGTGCTGCTATTCAACAATTAGCAGAAATTGGAGGATAAGAAGATCCGCCTTAAAGACACTGTAATCAATTGTGTAATACAATGATAACCAAGATTTACCAATAGAAGTAATATTAAAAGTTTCTTAAAATTGTTCTTTGTTTGAGACCAATTTTGATGTGCGATATAATGGATTTCTGTTGATGTATCATATAGTTAGCATGCATGAAAATAAAATATCATAATTTAGTGATTAAATAATTCAAAATTGTTTGTTTCATTTTAGTGATGATCACATAGAATGCTAAGAGTTGTGTACTAGTGTACTAATAATTTTAATTGATCACTAACATTTGATTTAAGAGTTATATAAATAATCAAGGTTAATTGAAAATAAAGAGATGGCTTTGGAAGATATAAAGGACAAAATTATGAAAATGGAATAGGTCTAAAAATAGATCGAATGTTAGATACAACAGGAAGACATGAACGAAGAATAAATAAGGAAACATCAATCGAGAATAATGTTAGGAATTATTTCATGTTTTGTGTAGATGATTAAAATGAGATTTGATTAGAGCAGTGTTGAATAAGTCAGTTTAATGATATGTTAAGGAATTTAGGTCGTCAGTTCATATAGGGATGTGATGTCTAAATATTTAATAAGCGGGTTGAAATAGATATATATGTAATAAAAGGAATTAATTAAGTAAATGATCATTTAGTTAAATCTCACAGAGATGTTGAGATCAGATGGGGACGCAGAATTGATGGGTGTTATTAATAATATAGTGGGTACAACAATTTTGTAAGAGTGACAAATAAATATATTATTATATTATGTTTTAATAATTTTTAAACTGTTTCAAAAATAAATCAGCGAAGGATGGTTCAAAAGAGTATGAGAAGGACATACTCTCATCGGTGCTTGACATTTTGCCGAATTACCAAAGTAAATTAGAATTTAAGTTTTAGACAAAAAAGGAGAAGCAAAGGCTGCTGAGATTCGGAAATAGGCAAATTAGACAGATAATCCTAAAGAATCGAATGACAATCTGATAAAATATGATGATGATGATAATCTATATTGCAGGTTTTCTTTGGATTATTTTGCTTTAAACAACAGGTTTCGGGTTTTTTGTATTTAAATCAGTTAATCCAAACTATTCTAATGGGTTCATTCTCTTTTAGTAATTATTCGAATAACTTTAGTCGATTATAGTAGTGTGTGTATTGATTGTTAAGCCTTATAATAATGAGAGTAGTGGGTTAAATATCTCGATATCAAATGCAGTGATCAATGGGATAATAATTTTATGCGATGTAATTTTTAGCATCCAAGTTGTGATATCAATAATTTCATATGGGTAATGAGTTAGGATTAAATTTAGAATTTGGAATTGCACCTATGGATATTACAAGGACCCTTATGCGTTCATAAATAGTATATGTTTGTTATTCGCCCTGATCTTACGACAATCCTACTTATACATATTCAGAGCATTGTTTTTGGTGGACTTCATAGTGTAGACCAAATATTTCTAAATTGTAAAGAAATTGAGTAATACAGTTAAACATGCATTGATGATGACAGCCTATGTGATTATAATAATTACATTATTGACCTACATTTATGCTACCATGGGAGTCCAAATCTGGAGTGATTAATTGCATCATTATTGTGTAAAAGATGGGGAGATTGATGCCTATCCAGCGAGATTATGTGGAATGGGGAGAAAGTGTCCAGATGGGTATGTATGTTAAAGAGGGTATTTTCATCAACCATTCACATAATACGATTATATTTCCTTTGATGAAATTCCAAATGGTTTGCTTACTTTATTTATTTGTCATTTTATTGAGGGTTGGGTTGAAGTGGAATAGAACTTGGCTGACACTTTTAATAAATACATAAGTTCGATCTTTTTATGGTCTTACATTATTATTGGGACATTCTTTTTGTAAAACCTATTGGTGGCTATTCTCTTGAATTAATATCAAATGGATCAGCAAGTTGAGGAAATACCAAAAATCAAAGTCAAGAGTCAAACAAAAATTCAAATTAGTAATGAGAGACGCAGAACGTATTTCTTAACTCCAGGGCATTTGAGTAAGAGCAAACAGCGAGCTCTTTAATTGATACAAAATTAACATAACAAATCAAGATAGAGATCATAATTACAAATCAAACTCAAGGCAATAGTATCATCGAATTATATCAAATACTTTTATTCGCTTTTATTTATTACCAATTTGATTTTGTTTTCATTGAATGACGAATCAGCATACCACAATGATTTCGAGGATAAAATCACAATAATCAATATAGTATTTCTATTTATATACATTTTGGAAGATTTGGCAAGAATGTATGTCTGGAAATAGAAGGAAAATAAATATATTCTGCTCTTAGAATTTGTAATAGACTTCATTAGTATAATTGTTCAGCTGAATGACATGTCGAATCCATTTGTTCTAAATGCATTTAAAGGTTTGAGACTTTTATGGTTCTTCAACACTCAAACAAGTTGGTCAAACTACAAAGTGTTACTATAAGCATTGTAAAAGTCCTTTGTGAATATTCCTAAATTAATTTTGGTGTTCTTAACCTACATGATTGTAATCGGAATATTGGGAAGAGAGTATTTTGCTGGAGAATTGATTTTTAATGAATAAGGTAATTATGATAAGCAAGGTTCATATATACCAAGAGCAAATTTTGATAGTATTAGAAATACAGTTTCATCCTTATTTATAATAATCTGTTCTGATCAATGGGAGAATATATTTTACACAACTCTTGAAACAAAATCCTGGATTCCTTATCCATTTTTTATTTTTGTGTTGATTTTGTGTAGATTTTTCATCTTGTCCTCATTCTTGACTATCATGCTTGATAATTATGAGGAAGCCAAGAACGAGGCTGACAAATCTAAGGCTCGTGCTTAGAGGGTCATTTCATCTATGCAAAGTAAGGATTATTAGTGATTATTTCTATAGAAACTAAGGTGGTTCCCGCAGCTTAATTATAGTAAATCCAAAACACTTCTTAGATCGAAAAGAAAAGATACTTCGGAAGATTATCGAAGATGTCAGATGATAGTGATGATGAAGAGAAGGAATCCAAACATCAAGTTCTGCAAAGACAAGCATCGAAATACCCATAAATTACAATTGGCAAGAACAATAATATATAAAAATAAACATCCATACAACAAGTGACAATAATCAAAAGCAACGATGAGGTTAGAATATCCTATAGCTCAAGTCAATCATACAAGCAATATTTTATGAATTCAGCATTATTCATTTTAAATAACAAAAGCATTCTAAGAAAAAGAATACAATAATTGACATAGAGTAAGTACTTTGAATGGTTGATGAGTTCAATAATAATCTTGAATATCATTCTATTGGGTACGGATCTACCAATATATGAACAGAAAGACTTAATTGAGAAATTTAATGTTATCTTTACAATCATTTTTATATTTGAAATTGTATTGAGAATACTGGCCCATGGATTTATTTGGAATCAAATTGAACCCAATAGAGCATTCGTTTACAACAATCAGAATAACTTCGATTTGGCTATATTGATTGTAAGTTCCATTAGTGATCTCAATCTGTATAGTAGTGGATATTTGAAAGCATTTCGAGCATTGCGTACACTTAGAGTGTTCTCATCTGCGAGAGTAATAATATTCAATTGATATCTAGAGAGGATCTCAAAGTGAAGAATTGAATTTGATATCGAAATCATTGTTTCAAACTATATCCTTGTTATCCTCCATGATTTTCGTGACTGGTATCTGCATTTGGATTCTGAGCATCTTTTGTATGACTATCTGGAAAGGCAAATTGTACTTTTGTACAAATGTGTAATCATATGATGACATATACACAAAGCAGGATTGTTTGGATTAGAAAGGTGAATGGATCAATAATATCACTAATTTTGATACTATTTAGGATTCATTGCTGTGCTTGTTCAGAATAATAATTGGAGAAGGATGGACAAGTCAAATGTATTACGTTTCAGATATCACTGAGAGAGGGATGCATCCCAAAGTTGACTCATCTGCCAACTATTAGATCTTATATTACATACTGTTGTTCCTCCTGAATATCATGTTGTTGAATCTCTTCACTGGGCTGATTATCAACAATTACAGAACCATCAAAGAGAATATCAGTAATTACAAGTCGCTGAATGAACATCAGAGGGAATGGCTGTAAATGATGTACATAATGCAGAAGAAGAATCTAATAAGATTGATTGAGAAACCGAAGAATCAATTCAGGTAGATCTGTTACTCCATCGCAACCTATTCCTATTTTGAATTGATTATACTTATTCTCCTCCTATTGAATCTAATATTGTAAGATCCTATAATATATTTTAGTTGTTCTGCCAATGGTAACTCAATTAATTAGACCACCAAATCAGCATTCTATGTTCTGGACATCATATTTATTACCCTCTTTCACATCGAAGTATTCATCAAATTTTCCGCCTTCTGGTATTACTACCTCAAAGACTCTTGGAATAAGTTCGATATCCTGCTTCTGATTTCCACTGATGCCTTACTGATACTCAATAGCGAGATTGAGATGCCCAAGATGTTTATGATTCCTTTGATCATTCGTTGTTTGAGGGTTCTCAACACGTACAAAATACTGAAGTTAAATCGCCAACTCAAAGTCCTCATTGACGTCATCTAGGAAATACTGCCAACCTTATTGAGTGTAGTGGCTTTTATCATTATAATCATTATTGTGTATGCATTGATTGGGATTCAAACTTTGTCCGTAGTTAAGTCAACCTCTCAAGATGCCCAATACCCTTTTTATTAGGAAATCGGGTAGAGGAATAAGAACTTCTAGAACTTTTGGGATGCTGTCTTAATTTTAATAGAAATCACAACTGGACAATATTGGCCACTCTATATGTCAGATTACACCATTAATAAGGCTGGTTGTCATTCCTAGACTCCAGAGGACATATTGAGGGAAGGAGTTTAGGGATGCAGCACCTTCTTTGGATACTTCTATTTTATTAGTTTTTTAGTATTGATCAGGATTATAATGATCTCATTGTTTTTGGCTATGATTATAGAATCATATCAGGATTGTTTGCTTGAGAACACTGCAGTCATTAATCCTTACTAAATAGAGGACTTCTTTTTAAAATGGTCTGATTATGATCCCAAAGGAACTGGATGGATAACTCCTGAGGATTTCGCATTTTTGATGTTTGAGATGAATCCTCCTCTTGGATTTAAGGATGAGAATGCTTGTTTGTAGTTGTTTGATTTCAATTAAAGTAATGAGTGGATTATATTTGATAGATCACAAGAAGCAGTCAGCATACATCTATAATCCTAGAACCAAGATGCACCTTAAGAAAATCGATATCTTCAAGAAACTCAGTGATTTCCAAGTGTTAATATATTAGAATGAGATGATCCACATTAAGGATGTTTGTTTGTAGATAGCTTACAATGCAGTGAAAAAGAAGAATGCTCTGCATGGGATTGAATAGATTGAAGACAAGGTAGTATTGAGGAACATACGGAAATCATGGGAGGCTAAGTTCCCTGATTTGGGGGATCAGAAGTTCCTTCATTTCGCAGTGGACATCTTTGCGTATAGTTCAATACGGAACATATTGAGGGGAGCAATAGAGAGAAGAAAGGTGAAGAAGAGAATCAAGGAAATGCAGAAGCAAAACAATCTGAGGTAGTTGGAAATAAATGAGAATGCTTATTTGACAACACGAATTGCTGACAGCAATCATCGTCATCGTAGAAAGAGTCAGATCAATAAAAGAGTGTTCCCATTTGCATAGTCATCATATCGGATAAAGGAGCAAAATCGTGATGGGAATGTTTATAATCGCAGAGTTGCTCTTAGGACTGATCTGAAGTAGTCGCAATAACAGTAGGCTTCCCATGCAGAATCGGTTTCACTCTCGACACACAACTTTTACATTGATCCTTAGGAAACCAATAATGGATTCCCTATGAAAATAGTACTGGAAACGCAGAAGATAGATTTCCCAAGTGACAATTCTTAGCGTTCTTTCTTCGGGCAGATGAAATTGAGAGGGGACATTTCATAACGAATGTCCGATGAAGAGGGGAATAGTTGAAAATTAAAAATTGAAATTAAAATATGTCTTAATAATAAAAATCCATGAATGATACTCTTTTCGACACCAAGGTCTTAGACAACTTTGAATAAGAGTTTCAGTAAGTTCATGATGACATCAATCCGAAGATCCATTCACGTATTGCACCATTGATCTTTGCCATCAAAGGATTGAAATAAGAAATTAATCAAGTTTTCGCTGATTTCATTCGAGAAACCAACAAAGCCACTGATGTGATGCGCATTAAGGATATGTTCGAAGCAGTCTTGATGGAGTATAATCTTAGAGAAAGGGAAAGCAATAAATTGATGGAAGCCATCCTGCAAAATGATTCCAAATAAATCAGGCAAATCTCACAATTGCTCAAAGAAATACGTGAACTCCAACATGAAGTCAATCAGTTTCAAAGACAAAGTGAAGTTAAACGACAAAGACAATGCGGCATCTTCAAAAGCAATCCAACCGATTTCAAGAAACAAAATACACAAATCATAGATGAAACCAGCATCTATGATTGGGTAGTCGACATTGACTTCATCACTTCCATCAACAGTTCAGGTTGGAAGGTCTGGCTGTCCCCAAAGATGATCAATTAAGAAATAATCAATATCAAAGCCTTGGAAGGAGCAACTGTTGCAGTAACTGGACTCTATGACAAAGGAAAGACCTTCGTTTTGAACAGTCTTACCATGAGTAATTTGCCCTCTGGAAAGAAGGTTACCACCAGAGGCATTTCATTTAAGCATGTCAATGTAGACAATGGTACTAAGTTGATCTTGGTGGACACTGCTGGAACATACAGTCCTGTCAAAATTGAGAATGAATTATCTATTGTAGACAAGGAAGCCACTGAGACATTTATATCTGACTTGGTATTTGATCTAGCAGATTACTTCTTATGCGTAGTCAACGATTTTACCAGTCTTGATCAGAGGTATCTCGACCGACTAAGTCGTAATCTCTAGCAAAGTCCCAATAAGACTTTCCGAGAGATCATAGTGATACACAATTTAAAAGATGTTGAATCTCCTGAAATTTTAGAGCATGTTTGGAGTACTTAAGTAACTCAGATCTATGCAAATGGAACTCTTTAAAAAACCAAAGTAGCTGCACTCAATCCTATCAACAAATAACTGTAGGAGAAACATGTACTTTGGTTCAAGACTCCTTACACTAGACACGTGTGTATTGTGAATGATGATTGCAATCTAGGAAAGGGACTCAATCCATGGGTATTTTCACTTCTTAGGTATTGGTTAAAAGCCGTTTTCATTCCGGTCAATCGAAGTTTTTCCGTTTTGGATTGTTTGTTAATTTAATCGAGATAAAAACTAGTTAATTTTTTTAGGAAGAACATCAAAATTGACTTGCAAGACACTGATGATCCGCTGATCAAGGTTATTAAAACAGAAAATGAGTTCCATGATAAAATTCAAATTCCTTAAGGATAGGTAGACATGAGTGGCTTAATTACGGGGCAATAGGATTCCTTTTAACCTGCAACAGACATCATCGCTGGGGATCAGTATATCATTTTGATGGATGCCCCAGGATTGACTAATGATGACGTCGATATTCAGAGACAGAATGTTGTCACTCTGGTCAAGGGAAACAAGTAGAGACCCTACATCAATCAAGGGCAATTGGAGAAGAGCGAAAGAAAGTATGGGGAATTCACACTCACATTCAAAGTAAATACAATAGGATGATTAATTAGATTCCCGATATTTATGAGAGACAATGGTCTTACTTCGGTGTTGAGAAGGGAGTGATCACAATAAAATACGATAAAGATAAAGATGATATTTGATTATATAAATTATTTTATGAGTGAAAGTCCGCATTCATTGAAAGCCAAAATTCACTTCTTGCATCAGGAGAACCAATAGTTGAGAAACACTATAGAGGATTTACAGACTGTCATTAAATTGAATAAGTAGTCAATGCGTTCTATGATTGATCAAGATGTTGCTATTCCTATACCAAATTAAAAAGCGGTTCTTCGAGAGAATGAAAACACAGTGAAGGCGCTTAAATTAGTACTTGATGAACAACAAAAAGAAATTGATCACTTGATGTAATCCCTTGAAAAAGTGCAAAAGGAAAGAGATTTTGCATAAGGCAAAGCCCTTATTTCAGAGGAGATTACCTATGCTGCCGAAAAGAGTGAGAAGAAACTCATTGCTGAACTCGAGTCTACTATTTATGAACTCAAACATACCATCAGTTAATAAGCCTAAAAAATTGATTAACTTGAAAAGAAGGCTGATTAACTTGATGATACCACTGGAGTCATGATAAGATATAGGGATGTCATAAACCCCAATACAGCCACTATTTTACTTCATGAAGAAATGGAAACTTTGCATTAATTGATAGTGAGATTATAATTATAAGTTAATTATTTAAAAGGCATACAACTAAAATTAGTGACCCTTATAAACAGAGTAATTACCAATCTATAGATGAAAAATTAAGGGGAAGTGATAGATTTGGATGAGGATTACGAAAAGGCTTAACATGAATTTTTAGAAATCCTGTCTTAAATTTAATGTAAATAGAATATTCCAATAAACTTATTTTAGAGTCTCGATTACCCACTGTTGAATTGCCAGCTAGAATAAATTCGATCTAATCTCCTATGAACACAGATATGATGCATTCTCCGGCGCTCTCTCCTTTCCCTGTCAAAGCACCTCAAGTTTAAAAAAAAAACTATTAAAATTTGAATTAAACCTTTGATGTAGGCATCAATGATTCATATCAACAATGTGCAAAACCAGAAGACTTGAAAAAGAATGTTTCTCGAGTGCCTAAGTTGAATCTAGCCAAAGCCTTTCAAATTCAACAAATCAATGCCAAAAGATCAACACAATAAATCAAATTAACTGAGGATTAATTATAACATCGAGTTCGTAAACTAGAACAGGAACTAGAGGAATCCAAAAAGAATCTACAAAGAGAAATGATTTTATGCAAACATTATGAAATAGAAAATGAATCATTAAAAAGATACATAAAACAAGTAGAAGCAAATAACGATATTTTGGTCAAGTCCAATCTAAATCTCAATCAAAAATGGGAGAAAATATAAAAAAGTTTTATGTACTACAAAACATTTTTTGTTGAGCATAAGGATTAATTTGCTCAATTGTAAATATTGGTTTAATCAGAAAAGGAGGTATTCAGTTTTATTCTAATTCATAGAAAGCAATATCATAGGAGGATTAAAATGAATTTGGCTTTAATTCTGTCCGTGTAAGTCATGCCAGAGTAGATTAGGCTTAAAGAAAGAAGACTTTATTAGATTAGACGATCACTTCCTATGTCCCTTTGTATTAAGGTAATGTATTTATAATAATCATGCTTAGAATCTCTAATGGATATTGAAATTCACTTAGGAAGAGTCAATTAATCGCTAACCTATAATCAGAACAATATTATTAATTCAAGTTATGCCAATGAGAATGATGGTGAATTGGCAACCGTTTACTTGGATAAAAATGAGATTTTCATGGAAAATCCTGATTGGAGAAACAATCTCAAAAAAGAATGGACTAAACTAGCCACTCAAATTCATGCTGCATAACCTAAAAATCTAATACAACAAATTAAGTAATCCTTGCCAATTCAAAAATTATAAAATATAAAATCATGAAATTCATTATTGTAATTACAAAAAATACTTGTCTATTATTATATAAGGAGACTTTCTTATTTAATGTTATGTTACATAAATCTCTATTATAATTGAACCAAAATAATAAACATCAAGACTTTGCTCTTAAGATTTTTCCAATTGTATATATTAATTTGTATTAGTATTATGAATAGGCTATTTAAAGTCTTTCCTTTAAACTCACCTTTTCATAGGATTAAGTTTAGGATCTACTTGTTTCTCTAATACCATTAGACAATTTCTGGTTTCCAACTAGATCTAAATTGTAATCTCAATAGGATATGAAATCTCTTTGATTCTTGTATGCAATATAAATCTACATCAATAATTTAAAAGCCACTTACATAAGAAAGGATTAGGATTGCAAAAGGAATATATAAGTTCTATTCTTATTTTTCCTACTGCTATGAAAATGATTAAATAGCAGATTCCAAACTCTGGTCATTGTTACATTAAAGACAAGGATGTCATCTGGAACTTATTAAGGAATTTACTACTCTTTGATTCATTCATCGTTTTTAAATTTTCTGTGTTCGTTAACTAATTTTATGAAATAATATAAACTTGATCAATTAGCACAAATAATAAAGAGACTAGAACATATTCTAGATAATGCTTAACCAAGAAATTCTCAACATTCTCTCTTCCGTCTCTTTCCTACGTTCAAACCTGATGAGCAGACATCATCGGAATAGAGTACCAACTAAATCATTTTTGATGAGTAAGCAACCCAGGATTATACAAAAAATGAATTAAAGAGATTTTCAACAGAATCTGTCTTTATTAAATTAGATTACACTGAGATATCAACGCAATTGCGAAGCATCCTATAAAACAGTTTTAAGAGCCTTAATATAGACTCAGTGAATCACATTTCTGAGATGTTCATAAAACATACTCAAAAGGATAACCCTTATAGTGCTTTGATTATTAATCAATTAAATCTAGTTCAAAGTGTTATTGAAGCTCACTCAATTTGTCAAAAATATGATACTTCATTATAGAATTTGTGTGATCAATTCAAAAATGGGGATTAGTAAGACCTTATGGCATAAATAATTTCAATAAGATCGAAGTTTTTATCAGAGATTAATAAGCATAAAATTGATAAGACTTTGGTTCCTTAATTTGAGTAATTTTAGTTAATAAAAGAATAATAAATAAAAATATAACAAACATAACAAGCCATAGAACAGCTAATTCAAAAGTTTTGTTGATTACCATCATATTTGTTTATTTTTTCATTAATTGGAGTATAACCATATATTATCAAAATATTTTGAGAACAAATAAATTGTCTAATCAAAAGTACATACCATGTAAATTATTATACAAATCATCAAAATCTGAATAATCTAAGAACTATTTTAATTTTAATTATTTTTAATTTAAATCTCTAACATCTTTCACATGTCTGAAATTTAATAAATAATTTTCCAAATGTAATAATTCCTATAAATCAACCAATAAAGTACCTAGTCCTCTTTATTATCATAATAAGCAATAATTGGAACTCCATTCTCAATTTATTTACTAAACGAATATGAAGCATTGTCTACTAACAACACATTCGATAGTTTTCGATTGCCTAATACTCTAAAAATAAATAAGCATTACCTTAAATCTTTGATGTAAGCTCCTTCCGTTGTTTATAGACAATTTTCCCTAAATAACCGGTGCGAAATCCACTGTCTCTTTGGATCCAAATAATCAATCACGATATTAGCATAGCTCGAATGCGAAGCTGTAAATACTATGATTTCAAAATGCTTTGAAAGTGTTTAAAGGATTTATTTAGCATAAGGCCGGATATTGATAGAAGCCTAGACAGTTTCATCATTTGGAAACGTGATTGGTAATATGATGTCTCCTGGAATGGAAACATTTGGGTTGCAATGTATTAATGTCTCATCCAAATCAAAAACTATGGTTTTTAGATTATTGGATCTTGGCAAGTTTATGACCTTCTCCGGATCAAATTGTATTGTTAATCTGCTTGCATAGATTAATCCCTAAATTAATCAAAACTAAATTCACTTGATATGTTTATGAAAAATGATCTTTGATGAGTTCATCAAGGTCTGTAGGCCTCTTATTTTTTATAGCTGAAAGCACAGTCGAAATATAGTACAAGAACTAGATAAATTACAATTATTTACAGGTTCATTCGGTTATGTTTCAATAAGTTTATTGAAGTAATAATACTTGGCATCCATTGATTATTATCGCTCTGATTTATTTAAAATAGTGTTTGGTTGATGAACATAAGAACCTTTCAACAATTAAGAATTCTTATTATTAAAGTCCCTCTTTATTTATGTTACAAAGTCTTGTAATTATGCACTCTTTTTTTCTTATGTTTATTTCAATAATTAGGAATTCGAAGAATGACTTTTAAATTCTTTGATTTATGAATAAATATTGAATATTGATTTGATATCTTTGGTCACCTTCCTTTCTTCTTAAGTCGTATTCTTTTATTGTTCCATAAACTTCTTAGGAAAGTATTTAGATATTAATGAATACTGCTTTTATTGCATTCTATCTGATTTTTTGTCGTATTAATTTTCACTTATATTCACAAACGAGTCCTTTAATTAATTAAATTTTTTTTCCAAATATTCCAATTTCTCATTCAATCTCTTATAAGCCTAATTTTCAACTGGTTTCTGCTTTAAATACTCATTTGATAAAAAATCACTTCCTTTGCTATTTTATTCCTTTGTTGATTTTGTCTAATTGTGACGTAATTTATATCCACTTTATTAGAGCAAATAGAGATATGAAATATTCTTCATTTCTTTTATTTGTTATTGATTTCCTTTTTGATTTTAGTATGAATTTTTCTCAACAGCTGATTGAGCTCGATAGAATTGTTAAAGTGATGCTGATTTCTGTAATCCACTATTCGAACGATTTTCATTTTTTTATTGACTTGAACTGCTGCCTTCTCTATTCTAAAGTTATTTCTTTTTTTGCAAGAGAGCATATGAATTTTCTTTATCAATTGTTATTATGGATCTGCCATTATCTGAGATGCCTTATTTAGATAGCAAGTCTAATTTGAATTTCAATTGATTACCTGCATATGAATAGTTTTGTGTTGTTCTGTACATATTATTTGATATTTAGAATAAAAAGTCTGTTTATTTTAATATAACAAAATATGCTCATTTTTTAACAGGAGCCTTAAAATTTCCTGCTTTTTCTTGATTTTGGAAGAACTCTAAGTTTTTTTTAAAATTGTCATTCTATTGCCTTAGTTATTACTTTTATTTAAAGCGGTCAACTTAAGGTTCCTTAGCTTTTGGAGGGTCAACCTAATACTTTTATCGAGCAGGTGAAGTGAAAACCTTATTATTTTATTATTATTGATTTTATTTTTGCTCAGCTTTATCCACTTTATCTTATTGATTATTCTATTTATTTTGATTTGCCTAAGCTACCTTTTATTATTCACTAATTTCAATTTAAATGTCAGATTGTTGTTATTTCTTGTTTGGTTCATTATTCTAAGATTATTTTTCATTATTCCTAGATTAAATAATTGGAGTTTCTATAATTACTTCCTCAAGCTTTTTACTCTCAATATACACTACTATCTTTTTTCCCAAAGATTTCTGCTTTAGAACATCAGGAGATGTGTTAGATTCATTATTAATTTTGGTTGCCTCCTCATTTTTACCTTTTTGATTGAGATCATTATTGTTCTATTGATCCTGTTATTGATACTCTACCTTAGCATCATTCTTATCTCTATTGATAAGAGGTTGATTCTCTTGACTATTCTATATTATAGAGTCAACTAAAGCAGTGTCCTTCTTTTCTTTGAGATCAGTTTAAATTTCTTATTATTATTTTTGATTCTCTACCAAAGTGTTGTTATTTCCGTAGGTTTAGTTGTGTGTTGTATATATCTCTTAAAATGATTACAAGCCTTCAAATAGAATGGAATCTAATTTCAACTCACCATCCTAATTTGCCTTTACTAATTCAAAAGGTTCATAAACAGCTGCTGGTTACTCTGTCCCAGAATTGAGTGCATACTTCTTTTTCAAGTCCTAAGAGACCCCAATGTTAAAAAAGCTTATCAATTTGACTGACTTTTTATCCATTTCATTTTTAAATGGATCAAGTAGGATCTCATCATAAAAATTACCACTCCAAAATAGATTCAATTCATTTCTTCTAAATGCAATTAGTGTGCAAGCTGAAATCATTAAGACTTCTGTAAATATTGATCTATTAATTATATCTAATTAGATTACGTAGGCAGAGGAAATGATATCAGATACTAAACAATAACCCAAAGAACTAAACCTATCAATAATCCAAAAAAACTGACTATTTCATATACAAATGTTTTTTTTAATCTATCAAATCTATGCACATATGCAAGGAAGAAACCTAATATGAATGAGATTTTAACCTGGAAATAGGATATTGAATATCGAAACCCATGCGCATTTCTTTTTGTAAATGTATCTAAAGTATGGAATCTATGCAGATAAGGGAGTGTTGAAATATCTTAGAATCAAACTATCCCATTCATATCTTATGGTCATTGCCATATAGATTGAACAAAATAAATCCATAGCCATTATAGGCAGGAAAAACAATAAGCAATCTTTGAGAGAGGTAATCTTGAATAATTTGATAAGTGAGCCAAGAATACAAATTGAAATTAAATTGCTTAACTACATAACATAATTTATTTACAATCCAAATTTATTCCGTAGCCAAGTATACTGCAAACAAAGCAACACCCACTAATAAAGCAAAAATATCACAATATCTAAAATAATAAATGGTCTGAACAAAAAACGGAACTCTTTTTCTAAAAGCACAAAACAACTCATCTATAAAGTGAATTGCACAGAACACACATAGAATGTACACTATGATTTATATTGGTTACTCAGCCTTCTCCTACAAATACAATGAGATGAACAAGGCTCCAATTAAAAGACTCATATAGAATAATGCCTGTGGCCATCCCAACAAAAACCCTTAAAATGGAGAACTCTCTTAAGCGATCTTATCTAATTTCTCTTGAGGTAATTCATTTCTCAACTGCTTCGTTATGAAAACAACCTTAAATGCGTAAATCTTTCCGAACATTGAAAGAACTAAAATCATCAAACTTTCAAATATAATCAGGATAATATTGCTCCAATCAAATCTAACTAAATAAACTAAGTACCTTACAGGATAATAATCTTTGCCGCATAAAAATTGGTAATTAAATACCACGGGATCAAATCCTTCAAACTACAGCGTAACTCGTTTTATGCTCCAATATCTGTCATTATTTAGTGTTTTCCAACACAAATGTGTTATGTTCAATCCCAGATAGTTATCAAAGCCTTAGGCAATTTTAAAATCTTTTTGATAATTGACTTGAACTTAAATATCCTAATCTGAAAGTTCCTCTGTAATATTTAGCCACTCAATTGACAAAGGTTCCTCCCCAAGATTCTCAATATAAAAGGGGAGATTAAATCGTTATATATTTGATCCTTGTTTGTTTAAATTCATCACTCGAAATTTCGTAACGTTATTTGGACAACAAGATAAGGATGGGAATGATGCATAATCAAAATTCTAAAGTACTTTTTCATGAACATAAACGATTTGATCTAAATCTTCATCATCGGCATATGACTGCAGTAATGGACCAATAGATAAGTTTGCATTTGGCAATGCTGCTAGAGTTATTGTTAATAAATAATAAATAAACATAATATATAATAATTCTGTTGATGGGCTTATTTAATGTATCGGCATACGTTGTTATATCTTTGGATTTGTCCCTCATTAGATAACGAAATAATCAATTTAAAGTATAAGTGTATGATTTCATCAGTATAATTCACTTTACGCTTGGAGCCACTCCTCCACTCCTGTCAAAATTGCAATCAACTTGTTAAGATTCTTCGACATCTTTTATATGTCACCGACATCAAACAAAGGTTCAATATCCTCCGCATTCTTGTATGATTGAGGGGCTTTATTCAATTCGATGTGCTAATAATTGACTAAGCATCTATTTGGGCTAAGATGATTTAGCAAGACAGGATTCTTGAGTTCTCCAAGTTGTATATGAGCATGAGAGAGTCCTTTTATTTTACTGAGATCCAAAGTTCCTCTTTCAGTCAATAATGACTAAGTTTACTAGGTTTTTGGAATCCTGTAATAAATAGCATTTGTACCTTATGAATGAATTAGCGTTTTTTGATTCTTGTAAGGCTCGCTTTAAGTTAGTTTTATCAAATTATGGTTACTTTCTTATTTAATATTGTAGAAGGGAGGGTTTTTTCTTTTGATCGTTTCTCATAAGTTCAAAATTGTGTTTTGCTTTTTACAATCCCTCATCATGATCTTGAGCAAAGATTACTTCAAATGGTTCATCATCTGAAGATATATTAAAATCTGCTTCTTCAGTACTGACAGATTGTTTCTCTTTCTTGCTTTTTCCGACTGAACCCTATTCAAATTTAGCCACTGCCAATCTCTTTAATGATGAGTTAGGTTTCTAATATAGATTTAACAATATTACCAAGGTATCTCCATTGATCATTTTATTATGGAAGAATTAAGCCATTTCAATATTTCCTTCATAATAATAGTACTTTCCCATTTGATCATATCCTTTAAGTTCTTCGTTTGGTTTATCTAATTTCCAACTACACATTAAATATTTGGTTATATAGGTCTTAGCTTGTTTGAGTCTCAATTTAAGGAAACACAAGGACAAGATTTCATAAGCCTTAATTTTATACTTGAGCATAGGTTCTGAGTCCGAGAATCTTTTGGCATTTTTGGCAAGCAGAATGGAATAATGCAAAAGATTGTAATATTTGGCAATTTTAGAGAGAGTCAAACTCACTAAGATCTTGACATCTATTGAATAGAGTGTGTAAAAATACCAAGATTGCGAATTTTGGAGATTTGATTATTGATTTCCTAAATAATCTCAATGCAAAAGGATCGTTTAGATTTATTCAGAAGAATCCTTCGTAATCTATCAATTAATACGGCTATGTCATCTCTGTTTCGAAGTAGCATGTCTTAACTTTAAATATAGATTGAAAACGTAGTACATATGAATCTATGGATTGGTTTGTCGGATTCTGGATTCCTCTTTAATCTTTTCGATTTCAGATTTGTAAGTATTTTTGATGTTGTTAATAAGAATATTGATTTTGGATTTTTTTTGTTTTGAGAAGGGATTGGATTTTTTGATTAAATAGCCTTCATTAGTTGAATGTTCAGTGTTAAATTTTTCATGTATATACTTGCTAGATTTATTTGTATGAGCCGTGGTTTATAGAACATCACAAGTCCGTTCTGTGGTTTTTAATGCACTCAGACGAGAAAGGGAAGGATTATTCTTTATTAGAAAGTATTGATAAAACATAAAATTAAATAATCATTTATCTTACACAGATTAATTGGTTCTGAATCTCTTAGATTATTATCTAAAGTGCATTAATTATTATGATTAGAGTATATTATTAGTCTTAGTCTTAGGTTATTAATAATTGTAAAAATTGAAGCTATTTTCCTGAAATCCAACTTGGGGTTTATAATTTTAGGTAGATTCCTTTTATAATTCTTAATGTAAATAATTGCGATATAGTATTTAATTGGCTTGCAATTTCATGTAGACTTTGGCTAATTATTTTTTATGTTCTTTAATCTTTAAATCACAAGATTGGATAATTTCTTGGTTTTTCTTTAAGATTGGTTCTTCAATGGTAGTTGATCTGACAAATCTGCTTAGATATCTATTGGATGACAGTTTTTATAGATGCGAATGAGATGATTTCGTTTTTGATTCTTCTGAGGATGTTTGATTATATGAGTTGCTCAATTTAGGTAGTCGATAATTCAATTTGATATCTTAGAATGGTTCTAACATAGATGGCAAGGCAGAGTGTTTAGGTCTTAAAAAGTAATGGGAATCCTGATTGATAGAAGAAGGTTGTTGATAAATATTTTTGATTTTTTGCATAATTATAATCAATCTGATAATTGCATTAGTAAAGCAGTACCTCTTTTAATCCAGAAATCTTCTTCATTTGAAGCTTGGCCTGGATTAGGTTTGCAGGGCAACATCACATCAAACTGATAAGATGGTCTTTCCATGACACCACAACGTACTTGATAATAATATGTGGGACATAAATAAAAGTTTTAACCTAAAATATATGATCGTTGTATACCTTTCTTTGATTTGCTTTTACCTTCTTGGCTGACTGGTTTGAAGAGGATGATTGGCATTTAATCGTGTAATTTCATAGGTTCAGCATCTACTATGTAATTCTTTTCATCCCATTTTGCTCCTTCAAGGAATAAACCATGAATATATGCACCATCTTTGGCAGCCTGAGGTTCAGATCCATGTGGGAGGAATGAGAATTCCCATCCGAATTGATCAATTGGAGTATTGACCTTTCTGGCACTCTATTGCAATAAAGCTGTAGTGAATCCAGTAGGGAATGAGAATCCAGAAATCCAAAAGACACTGGGTTATTATTTGATCCAACTTCTCAATTGTGCTACTCTCTTTTCAAGATCAATGATCCAACTTGACAAGGGTTTTAAGGAGTGATAACAGAATTTCCATTATTGAGGAACTTTGTTATCAAATAGACTGTGCATGATGGTTTCAAGATCTTCCGAAATAAGCACTAGACCACTGAGACCTTTGTCTAAATTAATGAGTGAAGTTCTGACTGTATTTAATAATTTGTTGTATCTAGAAATTTCTTACATCAACACTATTTTCAATGGATTTTGATCTCCAGGTCTGACTTTCTCAATGGCTTCTTGCATATCAATTTCTTCTGGAACTTTGCCTAAGGTTTCTTGGATGAGTTTCTAAACTTTGGTTTCCATTGATTCTTCACCAGCCTTCACAGATTATGGTGATAATGAGATGATAGAATCAATGAGAGCATTTGTATCAGCAATCTATGAGGATATTTCAGCATTAATATGTTAGCCGAACACTTCAGCTCTCTCCACTGGTGGGAAATCTTCAACCTTACTTCTGTAGAACAATACATGATTGCTAATTTTATCATTCTTGCTTTCTTTTGGTTTGAATTCCTCTGGAATATAATAGTATTAAGAATTCTCAACCAATTTATATTTCTCTTCGAAAATAATCTTATCTTAGAAGAAACTATTAGCATACACCTTCAACAACCTCTAATCATACTTGTCTGTCACTCTACCTCCATAGATAACATCAGCTATTAGATATCTGATTGCATCCCAAGGAGGACTCTTCTACACTGGTTAATCTTATTATTGTTATCCAAGTTATTATTATTATTATTGTTAATTGTGTTTACTATCATGTTATGTCTAATCAACATACATCAAAAGAATATTATCAGCAGTCTCCCAATCTGAATCATTGAAATCATAGATAACATTCCATCCCATAGATTTGAATCTCTTACGTTCAATAATTAAACTATGGAACCAACAAAGTGAATACACTAATTTCATATAGTGTAATTGATTGGTCAATTTCTATTGTGAAAGAATTGAAGGATCAAATTTTGATTATGACATATTGGTGTACAATCTATTCATATTAGCCTTTACTCCTTTAGGTGGCTCTGTTGTCACCTTTAGACACTTCTAAAGTATGCTAATAGGGAATTTAGGATGAGGAGCTGAACTCAACCATAATCTGAACTTTTCACTTGTGGCATCTGATTATCTCAGAGTTTCCATGCATTTCTCCAATTCTTTCAAGAAACTCAAACTCAAATGACAATTTGCCAAATACACCCATAGACCAGCCTTGCTACCTTCATATAATTTATCTATGGCCTTTTAAGCTTAACCTTAACCCAAGGATACTGGTAGCAATTAGCAATCCTTCATCTTGGCGAATTGCTCCAATTAATGATAGGGATCAACACCTGGAGACAAAATGAATATCACAGGCTTATTTTTGGTGGTGTCATTGTAAATTGAATCATAAGTAGTTGCAGGTGGCTAGGTATAGAATTGCCCCATGGTTGCATTAACAAATGCTTAGGCTGCCAAAAGAACTCTGTCAGGTCTGATTATTTTAAGTAAGATCATTTTCTTAAGACTATCACATTTTTGATCCCATTCACCTGGCAATGAATCTGATTCTGGAGTGGGACTCAAATACCACTTCTTCCATTCTTTACCATTGTGAGTGAATGCATTGATGATGCCAGTAAAGTTTGGTAATTTATCCAAATCACAAATGGCTTACCATTATTGTTCAGTTACCCAATCTGAAATTGGATTGTGAGGTTAATTCTTTCTATCTGCATTTGGATCTCCACCTCTCAAAAAGAAGTTGTATTCCTCTAAATCAATTGTAATCTAACTCCTCAATTCACTTGTGATGTTCACAGCCATTTAAATGGCTAACAATAGTTTATCTTTCTCGAATAATCCTCTGCATGCAGTTTTGAATATCTCTTCAGAATGTCTAGCTGCAATATCTGATAACTTCTCTTACAAAGAGTCATTTATGGATGCTCCTCTACTTTAATATGTATTGATATTTTCACCAAATTACTCAATATAATTGGACAAAGCGAATTGATACATGTGATCAATAAGTGAAAAATCATTTAAGACAAAGAATAATTTGGATGCAATTCTGGCTAATGATCGATAGTTTTCTCTTGCTGCGAAGGTTTTCTTCATTGAAACAGCTGAGGTTTCAATTTGCTTCTTGACCTCTTCTTCTGTTTCCTTAGATTTGTCTAAGGTGACTATAAGATTTTCATCATCAATCAAACTTCCTTTGATTTCCTAGAGCATCTTCAGAATATCATCGTCCAACTTACGTAAAGTTATCTCATTTTAAGATTTCTTATTGACCAAATCATTCTTACTCTTTTCTAATTAGGCTTCCATAATTTGAATGACAACTGAAATCAACTATTCTTCCAAACCTTTTTATTTCACAGTGAAATTGACTAAAGTGACTCTTGTTTAGGTTTCAGCCTTATACTTAGGATTAGCCAATTTAGTAGTCATGTAGAATCTGAAATTAGGATTGTACAAGATTTCTTTTTCTCCCATGTACATCATTAGTTTATTATTGACTGTTCTCAATTATTTATTCAAGACTGGTTCCAAAGAAGGATCCAAATCTTCTCCCATGTTTTCTAAGATCACAATTTATCCACTAGCAATTGCTGATTCAATTATGCTCATCATCTTTTCGTTCTAAGGATCTAGCTCTTTAAGATTGTTCTTGTTGATGGCTCTTTCCATATTTTTAATCCAATTGTTGGCTTAGACTTATGGATCAATCATCAATGGCCATCTTCTTCCTTAAGTGACTAAAACACCATTTTCTTTAGAAAATTGGTCATCTGGCAATCCTTATTGATTCCATTATAAGAATTGAACAGGCTTAACTAGGAAATCAGGGAAATTCCAATCTTTGGAGTATGGGATCTTTAAGTATCTGACTTATCCAATTAACTATTCGGCAACAAATTGTTGTCTATATTCAGATGGGAATGGACCTGCATAACTCAAGAATGCAGCTGTCATCAAGGCATCTCCTACCAAGACTTCAAGCTTTCCTTGCAATTCCTTTCTTCTAATAGCCCAACCTTCTTTGGTGCTTGCCAATCCTGATATCAACTTTTCTGCTCTTTCCAATTTGTTAACCAATACTGAGGTTTCCCTGGTATACATTTCCATATCGTCTTTTGCTCTCTACAAATCTGTCTTCAATTTTTCAATACTCTACTTCAAAATCTAGAAGTTCTCCTGTAATTATTGGAATTCATCTTCGCTCTTCTTCAACTTATCTCTCAAATGCTTGACTTTGGCTCTCTTTGGTTCAATATCTTTAAATGCTTTGGCATACATTTCCAATGATAAGACCCATCTCCAAAGAGTACCAGAAGCAACAGAAATGGCATCAATCTTGGAGGGAAGCATTTCAGGATCACTTGTAATTTTTTCAATTCTAACTAGAGTCTTATTCATGATATGATCCTTGTCGACTTTCTTCAATTGTTACAAGAAATCAGGAGCAGTCATTTCCTTCTTGGCACTCGCCCAAGTTGCCTCTTTACCCATGATAATCATGACAGCCTATAAGACATTATCGACACCATTGGGAGGTTTACTGTAAGCTCTAACTTCAGCCAATTGTTATTTATCTAACTATTCCAATCCTTGTTCAGCTGCTCTCAAAGCTGGTTCTGCTTTTTCTAAATCCTTTTGTGCTTCTTCTGCCAGAGTCTCCACTTCAGCCTTTTCCTTTTCCACTTGAGCAGATCTGGTTTCTACTTCCACTTATTTCTCATTTGCATCTCTTGATTCGCTCTCTATTTTGATCATCAACTCTTCACAATCCTTACTCTTCTTTGCCAATTCAATTTGATAGATAGATAATTGTTTTTGCAATTCTTCACTGTTAGCTGCTGCATCATCTAATTTCTACAATCCCAAAGTGAGTTTGCGAACTTCACCACCAATTTCATTTTGTTTTTTCTCCAACAGGTCATTATAACCTTTGACCAATTCAATATAATTGGTGGGTGTGACATAGTAGATTCTTTTTAATTCTTAGTACATTCTATTACTCAAAGAGAGTACTTTGGTATGAGCAGTTCCAAAGAACTTGGCGATGTTAGCAGTTAGTTCATCGTCCAATTTTAATTGTAGCAAGTATCTGTTGGCTACTTCAACCAAAGCCTATTCTGGCCATGGCATAAACCATATCATAGTGGTATTATTAACCAAACCTGGATACATACGACAATAATTTCTTAGATTCTCTCCAGTCTTACTCATCAAAATCATGAGATGGAAATTGTTTTGAATTCTGGTGAAGAAATATTCGATAAGGTCTTCGTCTTGGATTTTAGCATCCTTGTCCAATTTATTTTCTTCTCTATAATGCTTTCTGACTCTGTCTTTGATCTAAGGATAATCTTCCTTTTGACTGAATAGATTGGGTACCTCACCAACAGAGAGAATGTTGTTGATGTCTTCAATGAATCCCTCATTGGCAATTTGATTGTCACTAAATATGAAGGTTCCAGACACTCCCTTGAATCCTGCCTCTTCGCACCATTTTTTGATGTCTTCTCTGAATTCCTTCATTCTGTAATTCTTACTGACTTCTATCTACCAACTCTTGTATTCAGCAATGTGAGTGGCCAATTTGGTGAGTGAGTGTCTACCAGCACCACCTTCTCCAACAAGCATTCCGTGTCCTTTACCCAAATTAATGATACGATTGATCTTACAAATATAATGGACGGCTTCTTAAAAGAGAACTATGTTCATGGCCTTGGATTTATTTTCAGTGTTGAATTAGACTAACTTCTCCTCCAAGAATTTCTTCAGATTCTCTCTGTCATTGTATGTCACTTCGATGTATTTGCCTCCACTCTCTTCCATGAAATTAGCAAAGACTGTGTCATCTTCATTTTCATTAGTACAATCTTTGATTGTGGTTTGAAGACATGAGACTAGTTGATCATTGATCAATTATTTGCATAATTATCTATCCTCAACACTAATAAGTCTATCATGGAATACTCTTAGACATTCATGTGCCCACAATCTAAGTACAGTCATTTTGTTATCACAATACAATCTGTCTAATTAGTAGACTCCTTAAATGACTTTGGAGATGTCTCTCATGTTGAAGACATAATGAGATTTGGCAGGAGTAGGCAAAAAGTTATTTGTGACCATCTAGAATAAGTTGTAAGTGGCTTAGGCAATGGGTTCAATGAGTAATTTGATTTCATCTTCGAATTCTTAAAATTTATAAGCCAAAATTGATTAATAGATTCTCTTGACTTATTGATCTGAAAGCACAACAAAATTGATGACATGGAATTTGTTTTGAATTCTTGTTGAAATTTCAGCTCTACCACCACCTGGAGGTCCCATAGCTGATACGAATTGAATATCTAAAATAAATTTGAACAACTCTCTGTTTGTACGATCAAACCATCCTTCGTAATCCATCCATTAACGAATAAGTTCAAGAGGTGGTTGACTTCCATAAATATCTTTTCTGGGCATATTGAGATCATCAATAAATATGATCATTTTCTTGCCATCAGGAATCATCTTATTTTTAGATCTCTTAACCAATTTACTTTCAATCATTTCTTGAGTCTTCTATGAGGAAGTTTGAGCTGAAAACACAATATTCATGGTAGTGTATTCAAACATCTATAGGAGTACTCCATTCAATAAAACTGTCTTTCCAGTGCCTGTCAATCCTACAGCCAACACAGCNGTCTTTGATCTAAGGATAATCTTCCTTTTGACTGAATAGATTGGGTACCTCACCCACGGAGAGAATGTTGTTGATGTCTTCAATGAATCCCTCATTGGCAATTTGATTGTCGCTAAAAATGAAGGTTCCAGATACTCCCTTAAATCCTGCCTCTTCACACCATTTTTTGATGTCTTCTCTGAACTCTTTCATTCTGTAATTCTTACTGACTTCTATCTACCAACTCTTGTATTCAGCAATATGAGTGGCTAATTTGGTGAGTGAGTGTCTACCAGCACCACCTTCTCCAACAAGCATTCCGTGTCCTTTACCCAAATTAATAATACGATTGATCTTACAAATATAATGGACGGCTTCTTAAAAGAGAACTATGTTCATGGCCTTAGATTTGTTTTCAGTGTTGAATTAAACTAATTTCTCCTCCAAGAATTTCTTCAGATTCTCTCTGTCATTGTATGTCACTTCGATGTATTTGCCTCCACTCTCTTCCATGAAATTAGCAAAGACTGTGTCATCTTCATTTTCATTAGTACATTCTTTGATTGTGGTTTGAAGACATGAGACTAGTTGATCATTGATCAATTATTTGCATAATTATCTATCCTCAACACTAATAAGTCTATCATGGAATACTCTTAGACATTCATGTGCCCACAATCTAAGTACAGTCATTTTGTTATCACAATACAATCTGTCTAATTAGTAGACTCCTTAAATGACTTTGGAGATGTCTCTCATGTTGAAGACATAATGAGATTTGGCAGGAGTAGGCAAAAAGTTATTTGTGACCATCTAGAATAAGTTGTAAGTGGCTTAGGCAATGGGTTCAATGAGTAATTTGATTTCATCTTCGAATTCTTAAAATTTATAAGCCAAAATTGATTAATAGATTCTCTTGACTTATTGATCTGAAAGCACAACAAAATTGATGACATGGAATTTGTTTTGAATTCTTGTTGAAATTTCTGCTCTACCACCACCTGGAGGTCCCATAGCTGATACGAATTGAATATCTAAAATAAATTTGAACAACTCTCTGTTTGTACGATCAAACCATCCTTCGTAATCCATCCATTAACGAATAAGTTCAAGAGGTGGTTGACTTCCATAAATATCTTTTCTGGGCATATTGAGATCATCAATAAATATGATCATTTTCTTGCCATCAGGAATCATCTTATTTTTAGATCTCTTAACCAATTTACTTTCAATCATTTCTTGAGTCTTCTATGAGGAAGTTTGAGCTGAAAACACAATATTCATGGTAGTGTATTCAAACATCTATAGGAGTACTCCATTCAATAAAACTGTCTTTCCAGTGCCTGTCAATCCTACAGCCAACACAGCGTTTTTATTACTGATTAATCTGGTGATGATGTTCTTGTTTCTGACTTAATCAGTTGTTGGTACAAGCATTTTGTGATATGGACTATTATTTTCAGGTTTCCATTGACCAGTACCCAATTTTTCATCCCATGAAGCCCATTCATTTTTATCACTGTTTACAAAGAAATCATAGACTGTATTTTGACTGGGGAAGATCAAATCAATATCACGCATCTATTAGTCGATAATACGACGACCATCTTCATCTACTGTGGCACCTATGCTCCACACCAATCCAAATGTAAACCACTTTTCAAGGAGTGTCCAATAGACATCACTCTTGTTCTGGATGTCCATAGACAATTGCTTTTCACTCTTAAAGAAACAATCCATCAAATTACAGAATGAGATAATGACATTGGTTTCACTGCATGGGATGATTTCTTTGCACCACTTTCTTTGTTTGAAGAGTTTAGGAATCCATCTCTCTATGAATTCAAGGATGGTTTCTTAAACCAAAGGATCTGTCAGTTTCTCAACCCAACTCTCAATGTAGGGTCTCCATCCAAGATCATTTATGTCCAAATAAACCATGCCTGCTCTTGATACTGTGGCTGGTGAGGCGACTGCAAGATTCTCCACTTCAAAAATCAATCCCATTTATGGAGGTAATGAGATTCTATCACCATTCAGTAGGGTCAATACTTTATTGTCGTCTAGCACTGTATTCATAGATTCAATCCAAAGTGTATCGACTGGTCCATCCAGGATCATCCATTTTTGATCTGGAGTTTCATCTTTGCACAAACGCGCCATCATGGATGATAACACACCATCATTCCACTCCATAGTAGAATTTACATAACCAAATAGTTCATTGATGGTAACAGCCTTAGGATTCAACACTTCAATCTTCACCTTAGGATACTTGTTGGGTTCTCTTTCATTTAATGAATTTAAACAATTCTTCAACACTTTCCAACATGTAGTCTTGCCTGCCAATGATTGACCTACAAGCATATTACCATGACGTGTATTCTTTGAATCATACAATTAGATGATTTTGTTGATGTGTTCTACTCTTGTTTGTAATTTGAGATTTCTCATCTGAGTTTCAATTTCATTGAATAATGTTTCATTTATTTACTCTTACAAGTCAACATTTGGAAATAGATCGTTGAAAAGAGCATTAAATAATGGGACATCTTCAGAAACGAATTTTGGAATGTTCATATCTCTAATGGCCCTCATTAGAATTTATGTCTCTTGATTGGCTTCGTCCATCTCACTTTCCTTCTAATTCTCTCTAGCATTTTCATCTTGCTTGACTTTCTGGATTTCATTTGATTTATCTCTTCTGATTTAACCAGCACAGGTGAGAACGGATTTGATAGCTCTTAGACCGAAATCATAATGATCTTGTTTAGACAATTGCTGGATCATCAATCTATAGAGTGTAACCATCTTGGTGGAGAGAGCATGTCCAGTCTTGAATCCTTCTGATGTAAGCATGATTTCACAAATGATTTCATTCTCAGGAACCATCATAGAAATTGGTCTGAACAACGACTTCAAGTTGTCTGGAAGTTCAGATCTACCAGCATAACCAGGATTCATTGTGATGAAAATAGCAAATTGATCATTTATTGGTATAACATCTGAATCCAATTAGAAAGATGACTTCTCCTTATTCTTTTCGTATTCTTTCAATGCATTCATTATTTGACTGACTTGTTATGCAACAACTGATAACACTTCCACTTCTATACGATTGAATTCATCGAAACAACCCCAACCACCTACTTGTACTAATCCACTAAACATTCTACCAATACTCTTATAATCCAATCCTTCGGAACAATTGAAAACCAACACAAATTTAGCCATATTCTTACCCAAATCCTTTACAGTTTCTGTTTTACCAGTACCAGCAGGTCCTTAAGGAGCACCTCCTTTTTTCAAATGCATAGCTGTTGTCAAAGTCATGTAACATCTATCTGTCAAGGCTGTTACAACTAATCTACCATTGTTTCCTTAATATTCATAACCATAAGCAAAACTGCTATTAGCTTATTCAACTTTACACTCAAATATATCATTGACTGCTGTGCCTGTAAATCTTAATTACTTCAACCATTCAAAGGAATGTGGAGATTGACAATTCTTTGTAAGATGATCAATAATTTCCTTCTGGTGCACCTCAATTGTAATTAAAGCAACCAATTTCAATCTATCGACCTCGTTACTGGGCTTACGTATCAATTTAGTCAATTCCAAAATGAACGATTATTTCTCATCCTTGATAGCCTTCCAGCCTTTATTCTTCTCTGGTCTTTCAGAATTGTAGATCTAATTCAACACATTAGCACAATCACCAGACCATGTCAATTGACTGGCAGTAATTAACAATTATCCAGGATGTTCCTTTACCCATTTATCAACCCAACGCATTCCTTCCTTCTTCTTTATGCTCTACATTGTGGAGAACAGTTCCTTCTTGAGTACATCTCTCATGGTCTTCTCAGCCTAACCCAGCCATTTCTCTAATTGAGAATCACAAAGGACTTTGGTGGTGAATTTAACAACTTCTCCATCTGGAGCAACCATGGCTTAGACTTCATAGACATCTTGTTTGGCTCTTCCAGTCTAGTATTATTGGGTGAGGATATCGAATTTCTTGATACCTTCGAAACATTTCTTGATGTGTTTATTGACTTTGAACACATCTTTGGAGTTTCCCAATAATTCAAACAAGTCATCATTGGACAAGAAATAGAATCTGGGGAAATCCTTACGTTATTTCTCCAATAATTAATACAAGATCTTTTGACTCTCATCCAATTTCTAATTCATTGTACATAATTCTTAATAGAAACCCTCATAAGACAATGATCTCTTGACATTCTTATCTTCATAGATACGATTCATGTGTCCGGATAATTGAGAATTGATTGCAGCAAACTTATTGATATCTCCCATCAATTGTTTTTCAGACTCCTTCTCTTGAGTGGCAAAAATGGCTTCCAAATATATCCATTGTCTCTAAACTATGGACAACATTTCCAAGGTCTCTGAGATTTATTACAAGCAATTCTCCCATCTTTCAATGGTGGGTTTGAATGATTCATAGAAAGCAGTTGTTTTTTGAGCACTCAAAACAGCCATATGATCTTCCAAAATAGTGAAGATCTCTTCTGTCTTTTTGATTTTGTAGGTCTTCTTGAAATTATCCATTTCCAATTCTAGTTTAGCCCATCTCTAATCAATCTTATCTAAAGCATTTTCAATTTTGAATTCCTCCTTAGCAACTTCACACACATCCTTAACAGCATCGCCATAGGATAATAGATTCAATTTGAATATTTCAGCCATGTTGAAATCTTTGCTATCTGGTTCTATGTTGGTTCCTAGATGTTATCTCATTTTATCCCAATGTCTGTCTCTCATGTATTGTTCTCTCAACATGATGATCAGAGGAAGTGTTTATTTGAATTGATCAATAATTTGTTTCATATGATTAACAATTTCCCATTTCTACTGTTCTCTTGGCAAGGCCTTCAACTTCCTCAAATAATCATCACCAATCTCATCCAAATTGTCGCAATTAACATCTCTAAAGGCTGTGCTTCCAATATCCTTAATGAATTAATCCCATTCCTCCTTAGTGTGCCAAATGTATGATAATTGTGCAATCTCCTTCTCCATGAATTCCAAATCGGGTGATGGAACATAGTTGAATTTAAACAAGTCAAAACCAAATTTCATTGATTCCTCTTTCTTACGATATTGCTTAACTTGTTCAGAATATTCATTCAAATTCAATAATGCCTTTTCATGAGGCATATTGGTTGCCTGATATGGAGCATTACTCTAAAACACAATCTTGTAATCTCCAGTTTCCTTGATGAATTCATCCAAATTCTTCTGGGTCTCCAAGTACAAATTGTTGTGCACTTTACGATTTCTCTCTTAGATTCTATCCAACATCACATTGAAATTAGCCCATGTGTTTCTTAAATTGTTCTTTCTAGAAATATCATCATCTTTCAATTGTATTGAATAATCCTCCAACAACTTAAACTTATCTTCCAATGGGCCTAATTTAGCCTCAATGGATGGTCTATCCTCATTCAATTTATTCCAAAGATCACTACTCTTCTTCAATTATTGCAAATCTTAAGGAACAATGTCCAAATTGGTTTCTGAAGTCTGGAATAGTGAATATAATTAATTCAAATCTTGTAATGCTTTATCTTAAGTGGCATTCAAAAAAGCATTCTACCAAGAGATCATAATATCAATCAAAGTAGATTTAATTGAAGTGTTATCCAAGATGATGCAATCTTGGGTTTTAGTGGTTTCCAATTGCTGGATTTCTCCTTAATGTAAATCAAAGGTTTCCAATTGAGTTTTGATATTAGTGATTGGATCATTCCTATTGATCATGTCCTTAATAAACTTCTCCTTCTAATTTGCCTATTACCAATACCAATCGTAACGTTTCCATTAACCGTGAGCATCGACTGAATTCAAAGCATCGCAAGTCTTGCTCAATTTACTATTGATCTTCTGAATCAAACCATCACTATCGTTCTTGATCTTGATATTCTGTTCGTTATCTAAACTCCTTACTGATATCTGAGTCTCCTACTCCTATTACTACACTTAAGATATTTCACTCATTCTTCTAATGTTCTAAGCCTACGGATTCTTGGAGTCCTTAGAATTTAATAAGATTGCTTCATCCAATTTCTTCTTTCTCTCCTCCTTCATGACTTCATCCATACTCTTAAAATCTTTCATGATCTCCCTCATATATTCACAGGTTTAAGAGACCATCTATTTCAAATAGTTTGTTGATGGTCGATACTCTTATTATTGATTCTCCAATTCCACTGACAATTTGAAGATGGGCACTGGAGTGATCTTACCATCCTCTGAACCAATTACTTTTTATAAATCAATCAATGAATTCTTTACTGCCTTCTCATAACTCTCCTTAATCTTGTAATCTATGAACTTCACCTACTTCAACCAAACTGTTTAGACCTCAACTCTATCAAATAAAAATGGATCATAAGTCTCTGACAATATCTTCCTTATTTCATCAAATATTTATTTCAACTTCTAATACATATCTCTTCTGTGTTTCTCTTATTCCTCCTCGAAGGACTTGTGATCATATTGCTTCTTACGATCTATCTTTATTAACAATTTATTGGCAATCTCATTGCATTTGCCATCAATCTTGTCCATATTGGTCTTAAACATCTTCAATTTCAAGAACATCTCTTAACAAGCTCTACGACAATCCCTAACTTAACTATCAATGATTGTCTTTGCACTCCATCTCAAACGAGATGCCAATGGTTATATTACCTTATTTACAGTCTCCAAATGTTGAGCAAACAATTTCTTCTCAGTTTCAGTCATATAGTCAATAATGTTGTTGTATTCTCTGACCACCAACATCACCAACTCTCTGAGCACTCTCAAACTCTCCTTGTGATTCTAAGTAAAATCATTGGCATAACTTGGAATCACAGCACCAACAGCTATCAATTTCTACCAAGCTGAAGTCTCATGCAACAATTTTAATAGTTGTCTATCGAAATTGCTTTCTAAATGGCCAATCTTAGGTCTCAAAGACTCCTTTTTATATTAGAAATCTGGATGTTTCTCATCTGTTCTCAATAATACCTGCTTATCCAATCTAGTAGTCAAAACTATGTCTTCCAGATCTTTGCAATCTTCCTTCCATTCCTTCAATCTGGATTCTATGATGAATTGTTTCAAATTCGATGATAATTACTCAAATTTCTCAATTGCGGTTCTCTTAATAGAGTCATCAATGAAGTACATCTAATCAATCCAATATCTCATTCTCATGATTCTATGACTCAATGAATTAACCCAAATTGCCTATCCAGAAAATGAGCCATGTTGTAAAGGGTAATACTATAGTTTCTTAATATTATCAAATTCGTGCTTTGTTGCATCAATTTCTTAGATGAACAATTCTAAGACTACTATAGCCTTGTTTTGAACAACTCTCTTGATCGATTGTCTTTTAGCCAATTAATCAAATGCTTCCAATAATTCAACTCCTTATTGAACTGTTGTCATACTCTCAAAGGCATTATTAATAATATTGGTGTACATAACATCCAAATCCTTTACTCCATTACGAAAAGCATTGAAGACATCATGCCACTTGGAAGCTTTCACATCTAATATCTTGTCCTTGTCAGTTTTACGAATGTCTCTAATGGGTTTCAAATGCTTTGAAAAGCTATCCTTTATTTATTCAAGATTATCCTCAATCTCTTGACCTTTGCTGCCTCCAAATTATGGAATGTGACTACCTTCTCCTTTTCTGGCAAATTGCAATTATCCTTCACATATTTCCAATAACTCCTTGCAACGAGAGATGAAGGCATCCACTTAAGCAAATATAGAATTATTAAAATCCCATTTAGGTCCTTTAGTCAATTATGACATCTTCTCAATTGCAACTGACATTCTTTAGTAAATCTTCTTCCATTGTTCTCCGCATTCAATTGAATCATTCAAATCTTAAATGCACTATTCCACATCACCGTCCAACATGTCATTGATATTGATACTAGACTTGCATCTCTTAATAATCTCATTTGAAATTTTATGGATCAATCCTTGAATCCTCTCTGGAGTATTAAAGTATCTAGACTTCTCCCATATGTATCTCACTCTGAATAACAAATTAGGGAGTAATTCTGGGATCTCCTTGGGTGTAGCTGTCTCTAACTATTTGCAAGGTTCATATAGAATCTTTAGATTTTCTAAGTTGTCCTCTGCCTAACTGGATCCCAATTTGATATTCTCAGTAACATCCTTGAAACTCTAGACATATTGACTATCACTCAATATTTGGATGATTCTTTTCAACTCAGGCTTCTCCAGTTATTCATGAATGTGTGACAAATTGTTTTTTCTTTATCTCCAATAAGCGATCTCATCAAGTGGACCTGCATTTTCATTTTCAATAGCCAATTCTTAATTATTCACAATGTCTTTGATTTGTCTCTACCAATGCAATAAGATTGCCTCCAATCTTTACAACAAGTCTTTGTCATGAGATGCTTACTCAATATTATTCAAGTCTTCATTTGGGATATACAACTCAGTGATGCCTTCTTGACTGAAGGAATACTCAGTGAGTGTAGCCATGAATTTGTGTAATTAAGCCAAGAACTCTTTTTTTACATTTTCAGGCCAAGAGGAATCCTAAATAAATTATGGTATGAATTAAGCATTCATTTATTTCAACAATGTCTTCAAGTAATTAACATTGATAACACCATCACTGACATACTCAGCAACATTTTCTTCGCTTATTATCACGTCTTAAGGATGTGGCAGTTTCAAAAAGTAAACAAAGTCTAAGTCAAATGCATCAGATTCTAATCTAGGGGGATCTGTCTCACTCATTTGAATTCCACATTCAGTCATCCAAGCAAACAAATTTGCATATCCATGCTTACACATAAAATTAATCGATAAAATATCATGAGGATCATATTCCCACTTCAATTGATCAAAATCATATAAGTCCAAGTGCTCCAAAAATTATTTTCTCACATAAATAGAGCCGTATTCTAAATATTCTTTATAATTTACTATTAGCATCAGCTGGTTTGAGTTTTATTTGCAGGTGTTAATAGTCGCTATTTGGATCATTTGAATCTTTTGGATCGTTTGGATCTTTTGGATCATTTGGATCGTTTGGATCTTTTGGATCGTTTAGATCTCCCAATTAATCTTGCCCATTTTGACTAGTATGATCAGGAGATGCCCTATTCACATTTGGGGAATCTGGCGGACGATCTAATTAATCAGGCAAAATAATATTTGAATTCTCTAATTGAGGAGGTTGTATTGGGGGATCTTGTTCACCATCATTCTGTAACATTTTATTAATTTAAATAATGTTATTTCTGTAGTAAAAATTATTTGTAAAGGAGGGGGTTTGATAAATACTTATCAATTTTATTTTTTTAATAATCTTTCCAAAAATTAATTTTCATCACCATTGACCGTAGCTCTCTCACATAATTAAATATTTCTATTGAACTTACGTAGATTTTAGAAATATTATTAGCAACTTCATATTGTTAGAAATCTAATAAATTTTCAAAGTTCATAAACTCAGTAACAAACTTCGCCAATATATGAATTATTAGGCTTATATATTATATGTTCCTCTTTACTAGGAATAACTTAAAAAGGATTTTAAACCCTTTCTATTAATTTAATGTGAAAATTAAAATTTATATTCTGTTTAATTAATAGATTAAACAAAATATTAATTATAATTCAGAAGCTGCGGTAGTTAGAACAATTAGATGAAAATTAATTTTGCTTATTAGTTATTAATAAATTATAGAGTCTATTTTTTTGATGCTGTAGAAATAAGTGTAATTTTCCAAAAGTTTCTTTACAATGGGTAGAATTTCATTACTAAAGAATGATAATATAAACATTATTTGAAAAATTTCAATTTTATTTCTTCACAAAAATAAGATTAAAAAGCTTTAAATAGAAATGCATTTAGAAATCTGTAAATATAAGAAGAGAAATAAGGCGAAAAATAGTTCCAAATTATTGAAATTTTAAATCTTCTTTAAGATCCTTACTCAGCAAATCACAAATAAAAGTACAATTTCAAACAGAAATATTAAATAAAATTAATTAATTAATATTAACTATTCCCTAAAGAAGATAGATGAGGTATTTTTGTATTTTAAGTTTATAGAATATAAAATTAAATTGAAAACAACTTATATCTTCAGTTTCAATCTTTGATGTAGAATATATCTAAATGTGATTAGAAATATGATTAGATAAATTTGTAATTGTATTGTATGATGAATAAAATTTAGATAATAAAGATAATGATTTTATGGATAAATAAAATATATATATACACTTTTCATTAATGTTTTAAAAAATATTGTATATTTTATCTTCTTGCAGATAATTATTAGATAATTCGTAGTATTTGATATGATAATTAAAGCCCTTCAATTAAGCAATTCCCTAAATTTTTACAAATACTGAAAAATTCATATTGTGAAATATTAATATTTTAAGTAGATAAAATCTGATAACGCACTGACCTGTTTATATATATAATTAATACTATTGAGGATAACTCAGCGGTACTATGATACCAATCTCTATCTATTAGTCATCCTTAGCTAATACCATTTTGTAGCAATCATGAAGATGTTCAGCTTGGCCTTCAAATCTATAATTTAATTAAATATATGATTATAAGGTTTTATCTTCAACCAATAAGGTAGTGTCATTATTTTATTTGTAAATCAAACTTTACCCTAAACAAAACTTATACCAAAAAGGAGTATCATCGTTTATTTGAGAATTGCCAAAATATTTTAATTAAAATCTCTGTTCAAAATTCAATCCAGGGAAATTTGTAGGCAGTTCATTTTTTTACAATTTCTGCAATTGAATTTTGATTAATTATATGTTGTATATTCTTTTCTATAATTATTGATAGAATTCTTAAGGACTCAATTCAAATCCAGTCAATAGTTTAGCCCATCGAAAAGTCATATATTTGGTATTAATATTGATTTCCTCATCGCTCTTAGCATTTATGAATATGGGTTCTCCAGGATCCCCTTAAAATAACCCACAAAAGAGTTCCTCTGATGAGATTTGATTCTTTCGATCCACCTAAAATACAATCTTATCCAATGTGGTAAAGTATCTGATACTGAAAGAGAAGGGGTAGATATTTTCATAAAAGTATTCCTACGTAACTCCCAAATAATTTAATGCAATTTCATCAAATATGCCTTGTTCGATCGTAACTTTCAATTCAAATTGGGATTATTTATAGAAGCTGTCTGTTATAGGATGTGAAATGATTTCTAATTGTATGAATTTGGTTTGTAATTTTTAATAAATTTAATGTAATGGTTAAGGTAATTATTAAAAGAATTCCTATTGAGATGGAAGTGCAAGATGAGGGATTTCAAACATATTCAAAGTAGGTATAAGATGCGATTATGTTTATTTCAGTAATTCTGGTAAAACTTAGAAATATTGTGATTTTTTTTGTTCATACTGTGATTGTAGATGTTCAAATTCGCATGTAATTTCTTCATGCTTTTTCTTCTTATCTCTTCTTACTTCCAATTCTGTCTCCAATTTATGTAGTATTTCTTTATTGTGATCCAATGGGTTCTTACCCTCCAAATCAAGTTATTTTCTAATTTAATTGTAATGATTTGTTTGTAAGGCTTTGAATTGTCCTATTTATTATTGCAATTAGGTTTGAGAATACTTCAAGCATTCAGAATTGATTGTCTATTTGTCTAATTGATCTTTTTCCAATTAATTTACTCTCCTATTTCCTTCTATACTTCGATATAATTCTCTATGTGTTTTCCTTAAATCAGTAAGCAATTAATAATCAATGCTATCATTTCTTTTACCTGTAGCCTTGCTTACATTCTCTCTCATCTGATCTATGAATTTTTGGATTTTTTATTGTAATTCCATTTTTATTTTAATTAATAATGGCAAGATTAATAGGGAATAGTAATATTAAGTTGAGGAATCCTCTATTGAAACTATCTTAGCCAAGCTCTTCATCATCGAAATTGATTGCATTCAAAGTAGTGTTTATTGATGATGTTTAAAATCATTACACTGTCAACTGCAAGAAGGTGAATTGTTTTTACACTTAAGGAAAATAAATTAAGATAGAGAAATTGATGGAGAAAGAGTTAAATCAATATTCTGATTTGAATCAACTAAAAACTCCAAAATTTTATTTTTATGATTTAAATGGTAATTAGATTACCATGTATGATAAAACAATTGAAACCTATCTCGTCAGCACAAAAGATAACAACCATTGGTTATACGATAAGAAATACGAGAAATTATTATTTTAAATAATCTAAATGGATACTAGTTTTATCAGCAACAACATTTCAGATGATAAATCAAGGAAACAATCATTATTGAATTCAAATCAACATATTATCCATAACAATCCTTTTGATTATTTGATTCCCTAAAGTAGTTTCCGATCTCGAATACTCTAAAAGGGAATCTAAGATTTAGAAAATGTTTACGATAATTTCAAAATGACCAGTCGCCAAAATTCTGATCCCTTTATTATTACCAATTGTAAATTCAAAACTACTCATCAATCATTCAGCTCATAAAATAGACCATCAAATTTATCCTATAATAATAAAACCAATATTGCTAATTCAACTCCCAGACATTATTTAACAGAACAAGAGTAGTATTTCATAGACAACATGCAAAAATGTTAGGATGAATTAGATAATTTCATTGCTAAACTCAAATCAAATCTTTCAAAGGAAAATGAAGAAGTTGAAAAAATAATCCGCTTTTATGAAAATGTATTATATCCAACCCCCAAAAGCAGGGCTCTCGAGATGAAATAAATATCTACTTCCAGTTTAATAAGCACAAAATTAACCAAGATCTTGGGGAAACAGTTCCCAGCTGATTCTAAGACTCCCAAAGCCTACGTTCCTTAAGAAAAGAAAATGTTACACAAAATACCACCTTTGTTGCATTTGAACATTCCTTCATTGCAAGCTAAATATAGGTTGAACAGAAGTTAATTATATGCTTTTTTCTCACTTTATAAGGTATTGCATCTCATATCAGGATACATGAAAATAAAGAGCAAGTAATTGTAGGTTCAAGGTATTACTTATGAAGTATACAGAAATGGGATTGAGACCATCTAGGATTAAGCAGAGAATATGGCAAGGGGAATATTCGATATCATAGATAGTCGTTGTTCTGGTTTCTTGGATTGGGGACAGTTCTTATATTTAATGAGTTCAGTATAAGCTAAAACAAGGGATCAGAGAATTGATTTGTTTATCAAGATTGCCGATTCTAATAAGGATGGCTAACTTTCATATTAAGAGGTTGTAAAATTAAGTTAATAAACATTGCAGAAATTCATAAAGAATGGAAATAGGGAATTTTTGGATGAGATGTCATAATTTTTCTCTAAAATCATTTTTGATTCAGTAGGAATAGATTATCAATAAGAAATTCAATTTAATCAGCTAAAGGAAGTAATAAATTAAGGACATCCAAATTCAGATTTATTGTGTATGTTTTGTGGTGCAGACTCTTGATTCTTTTTGCTTCATTTATATTTTTATTCACCAAATTAAAATGAAAGCCTATCAAAGAGATTATATCGATATATATACTATTTTATTATATATATACAAATCACATGAATTCCATTTTACTTAATTCTGCCTAAGACATGACTCTTCTCTTTTTTCTCTCTCTATCCCATCTGGTTTCATTTGCTTAATCCTCCCTTTGTCTGAACTTCTCTCTGTTGATGAACTTCAAGTCTTTCTGATATCTTTCATCCTTAGTGTCTTCAGAGAATGCTTTTTCTAGAGCAAAGGATTTGGATAAGTTATGCAAATTCAAAGTCTTGATCTTAAAACTCTTCAATCTCCCATATGCTCTTAGGAAACTTACGTAAGCTCTAGAAATTGATCATAAAATAAACCTTCGTGATTGCAATTAATAATCCTTATCCTATTTGATTAGTTGTTTGATCATTAAGGCCAGGAATTTGTCAGGCATCTTGTCGTGAATCTTCTTTGTTTCAAATAGGTAATATTGGAAGGCTTTAAAGTATTCTGCAGATTCAATAAGATTTAGAGGTGCAGCTAGATGAGATTGGATTTCCTCAATGAATTGTTGTGATTCAAGACTTGGATTAAAAATGAAATAAATACTTTTCAAAGAGCACCATAAGACTGATACCATTTTTATTAATTCTTGCCGTTCTTCCTACTTTATTGACGTAATCATCATATGAGTCGGGAGGATCAAAAACTAAGATATTTGTCACATCAGGGAAATCCAGACCTCTTGAAGCCACTGAAGTTGAAATTAGAACACATCCTTCTTAATGTTTGCTTTTCTTAAAATTGAAGTAGGTCTTAGATCTCTGTTATTATTCAATGTTGCCATGTAATTTATAGACCTCTTGTGTTATGAATGCTTATTTTTTTTCTTCTTCTTCTTCTTCAACATGTTGTTGTTCTTCTTTTTTGAATGGATTGCTAAACTAGACCTATTAGAAAAGAAAGGAATAAAATTCGACTTCATCACAGGTGGATACGAAGATGATGGTTTTCTTACCAATTTAAGTGCGAATGTAGGCAAAAAGAAATGCCAATTTTTGATGTTCTTAAATGAGAGTATAATATTACTTGAGAGTGGATGGGATTTACCATGTTGGATCACCTTCTCCAAGCCAATCACATTATTAATTCTCATCATTTATTTGAATATCCTTATTTTTGGTTCCTTTAATGAATTCTTTGGAGAATCCAACAAATTTATAATTCTTGGGTGTAATTTCTAATCCTTTGATTTGACAGATATTTTGATTGACATGAGCTGAAACCATGATTTTCTAACAAGATGGAATATCGATTTTGTCACTCAGTAATTAAATCAATTATTCAATATCCTTTTAAAATCCCATATCTAAAATTCGATCACACTCTTCAAAGACTAAAGTGTTAATGTTTAGGAATTTGAAACTTTGAGTGTTTTGAATGTGATATAATATTCTGCCAGGAGTGCCAACCACTATGGTGACTCCCTTTCTAAGTCTAGCTTTTTCATGATTAGCATTTTCTCCACCAACCAATGCCCCCACAACTATGTTAGGACATTTTTTTCCTACCTTGAGTGCAGCATCCACACATTGCAAAGAGAGTTCTCTAGTTGGACAAACAATCAAAATGTAAGTTCCTTGTTCTCTAGTAATTCTGACTTCAGCATTCATCAAATGAGAGATGAGTGGTACCATATAAGCAAGTGTCTTACCTGACCCTGTTTCAGATTTGATGAATGTATTGGCTTCTAATGAAATAGTGATAAGTAATTACTTGTGTCTACAATGGGAATGGCTAGTTATTAGATTTTGGTCATTTTGACGTATTCACTTGATTTCAACCCCAATTTGACATTAGGGTGAATTTGAAGATCTTCAAAATATTATTCAGTAAAGACTTCACCCTCCTGTTCAACATTAATTGATGGTAAAGTAACACTTTGTGGTTTCTAATGGATAACCAGTTATTTCATAGGCACTCTTGGTTTTCTTTGTTATGATTTGTTGTCATTTGTTTAGTTGATTTATTGGGCATCTTTATTTTCGATTTAATGTTGTGGCTATTAATCGGTTTGTCTGTTTGCATGGATTTTGTCAAAATATTTTTATTTCTTTTGTTCTTGTTTGAGTTTCCTTTGTTGATGTTCCAATTTGCGATCTCTTTTTGGGACTACTGCTTTAGATTTCTCTGGGATAAAAACTTTCACTTATATATCATCCATTAAATTAATTAATGGACTTTGAATTGAATGATTCTCTATAAGCGGATAAGAAAAGACACATCCTGCTAACACTGAATGGATAGGCTGATGCTGAAATCATCAAATTCAGGTTCTTTCAAGTATTTGTCTGATGTCATTCATGAAGGGTCAAATAACAATGCATGATATTAAGAAGAAAATGGAGAAGCATTTTAAGATGAAGATATCATGGTTGAGACTCTACACCTAATAAGGAGTCGAGATATTCTAGGAGGATCTGCATTTTATAAAAGAAGGAACATTACTGTATGTTTCGGATAGTACAATTATAATACAATCTAAATAGGCAGTGAATTCGATGCTTACTCTTAAATCAGCGTGTATTAGATAATGAAAGTGCTTGGAGAGGGCGGGTTCGGGAAGGTTATGTTGGGTAAGCACAAAGTTACAGGCGAACAAGTGGCAATCAAATTAATTGATTCCGGCAAATTGTGGAATGCCGAAGATATTGATCTGGTATTCAGAGAGGCAGAAGTGATGAAGAACCTGCGACATAACAACATAGTCAAGATATTGAATTGTTACACTCTTCCCAACATGCAGGTGGTCTTGATCATGGAGTTCCTCTAAGGAGGAGATTTGGTCGAGTATCTATAAGGTAATCCCATTACTCAGTATTAGAAAAGGGAGGATTGTCAGAACAAGATGCTAGAATAATCTTTAGACAAATTGCAGAAGCCATCCGATATTGTCATGACAAACGATTGATACATCGAGATTTGAAATTAGAAAACATACTCTTGACATCAAAGGTCGAGAAAATCATTAAAATCATTGATTTCGGTATAGCCACTGTGTCAACAAATTTCACTATTGATAAAGTTGACAGAGGCTCATTGAGTTATATGCCACCTGAATTGATGAGTGGTTAAGCCGTTGAAATCAAACCATCTATCGACATCTGGGCTCTGGGAGTCATCTTATATGCTTTGGTTTGTGGCAACTTACCCTTTACTACCAAGAGTGATGAGTAAACTATTGACAATATCTTGAAGTGCAATTACTCATTCCCTCCCTCTCTCCTTCTAACTAAGGAATATAAGGATCTACTGGCAAATATGCTTAATCCTGATCAGAATCAGAGATACTCCGCATATCAAGTGATCAGACATCCTTGGATGCAAAAAGTGATAACCTAATCTCCATCCAATTTGCTAAGTCCCAAGACCGTTACTGCCAAGAAGATGATCAAGAAAGAAGTTACAATGGCTGGAGGACCAAACAGAAATTAGCAACTCTAACTCAGAGGGGGTATCACTATGATGAGACCAGCTGTCCAATCAAATTCAAATTCGGCAGTCATACCTATTATTTATGAATTCTAAACTCGTAATTAATAAGTAAGCTTATTACTTATAAGAGGATCCCTCATCTCCAAGATCCTCATTTTTAGAAAATTGCACTAACCGTTCAATATAGGAACCTTCAGAAAATTTAAGTCCGGATAAGGCTGTCCCCAAAACCCAAGCTATTCGAAAATATTCAGACTTTAACCAAAAACTTATAGATCGTATATTTCGAGAAGATTCTAAAAGAGAAAAAGCTAGGAAATGGAAGAGCAACTCACCCAAAATGAAGGGATCTCCAATAAAATAATAAAATTAAGGTTCTCTTATCCAATGCACAAGTTGTCGTTTCAACTCAGCTCGAACTACAAATACTTCTCCTTACACTATTTCCAGATCTACTCTACACACTCCCAGTTTGTTTAGTCCAAGATAGTCATCTGAAAACAAAAAGAGATCTAATGATAAATTGGAAATTCAAACCATAATTAATTTGAGTCAGAGAGTAGAATGGAAATAACTGTACTCTAACTAAGTTACTCCTCAAAACAATATTTAAAATAGAAGAAGCACAATGTCAGCCTCAAAAGCAGACATGCTTTATAAATTACAAATACAATTCAAAGAAAGACAAAAAAATTAAGATACTTAATTGTAAAAGAAACTATATGAAAATAATAAGGAAATGACAATCTAAAAATTGTGCAATATCATATTTTCATCCAGACTTAGAGTTCATCATAAATGATCAATTTTTGAATAATTTTATAAGAAATAAGAAAGTTTCACATTTTTATTATCAAATTATATCAACTAGTATCAGTGTTGTGTTTGATATGCTTATGACATTTGTAATTTTCGATGCAGTGACTACATACTGGCAAATCGTTTTAAACTGTGTTCTGTTTTACAAGTTCTCTTACTAGGTTAAGCTGATTTGTGTTCTGATAATGAAGAAAGATTCTTGTTTTTTATAAATTGTTATATGGGTCGTTTTAAGAAGTTGTCGAAGTTCATTTGAGATAGGGTTTTCTATTTTTACCTGTCAAATTAAGATTAGGGACTATGGATTTCAGATCTGGATTCATTATGCAACTGATGCAACATTTACAAAGCGTCAGTTTAATAAAATTGAGGAAGTGAAATTAATGTGGATTATCCTGATTGTTTCCTTGGTTTTGCAATTGAGACTCTTGGCTTGGAGATTCTCTTACTATTCTTTTGATGCTGTGATCTTATCTTCTTATATTTAAAGTAAGCTAAAACGAGTTAAACTGCTCTCACATATATCTTAAATCGATATATAATTTATTTATGTCGCAGTTGCTTCACATAGAACAAACCTTAAGAAATTAATCTACGCCATTTGCTTCCATATGAACCATAAATCTTTTCATCACAACTTTGGGATCTATGGCTCTTGTGACCATGTAAACATTTATATTTCGGTGTTTGAATTTGGCTCTTCCCCATTAAATCAGGTATCAGCAATGGTCTCATTTGTATTCTCCAAGTCTTTTCTGTACACTTGTTGTACGTTTCGTTTGTTATAAGAAACTCAGTTGATTTTTTATGAAGCCTTTTATAATATAAAGGTCCTTTTAATCTGGGACTCGAATCTTAAAACATTAAAAGAGGACATTGAGATCGTATGTGTACATTTATTACATTATCCATTCAATTGTTTATACTTAGAAATAATTATATATATATATATTGAAAAATGAATGATATGTTTTAGGGTAACAAAAGTGGAGTCTCTTACGGAAGCCAATTCGATGCGTAATATCATTGAGCAAATATTGAATTTTAGTTTAGGTGCTAGTTTCGGTAGAATTGCTCCACAAGACAAACAAAGTATAGGATCAAATAATGGAGGAGGCAGTTTTGCATAGGTTAATNCAAAACAATATTTAAAATAGAAGAAGCACAATGTCAGCCTCAAAAGCAGACATGCTTTATAAATTACAAATACAATTCAAAGAAAGACAAAAAAATTAAGATACTTAATTGTAAAAGAAACTATATGAAAATAATAAGGAAATGACAATCTAAAAATTGTGCAATATCATATTTTCATCCAGACTTAGAGTTCATCATAAATGATCAATTTTTGAATAATTTTATAAGAAATAAGAAAGTTTCACATTTTTATTATCAAATTATATCAACTAGTATCAGTGTTGTGTTTGATATGCTTATGACATTTGTAATTTTCGATGCAGTGACTACATACTGGCAAATCGTTTTAAACTGTGTTCTGTTTTACAAGTTCTCTTACTAGGTTAAGCTGATTTGTGTTCTGATAATGAAGAAAGATTCTTGTTTTTTATAAATTGTTATATGGGTCGTTTTAAGAAGTTGTCGAAGTTCATTTGAGATAGGGTTTTCTATTTTTACCTGTCAAATTAAGATTAGGGACTATGGATTTCAGATCTGGATTCATTATGCAACTGATGCAACATTTACAAAGCGTCAGTTTAATAAAATTGAGGAAGTGAAATTAATGTGGATTATCCTGATTGTTTCCTTGGTTTTGCAATTGAGACTCTTGGCTTGGAGATTCTCTTACTATTCTTTTGATGCTGTGATCTTATCTTCTTATATTTAAAGTAAGCTAAAACGAGTTAAACTGCTCTCACATATATCTTAAATCGATATATAATTTATTTATGTCGCAGTTGCTTCACATAGAACAAACCTTAAGAAATTAATCTACGCCATTTGCTTCCATATGAACCATAAATCTTTTCATCACAACTTTGGGATCTATGGCTCTTGTGACCATGTAAACATTTATATTTCGGTGTTTGAATTTGGCTCTTCCCCATTAAATCAGGTATCAGCAATGGTCTCATTTGTATTCTCCAAGTCTTTTCTGTACACTTGTTGTACGTTTCGTTTGTTATAAGAAACTCAGTTGATTTTTTATGAAGCCTTTTATAATATAAAGGTCCTTTTAATCTGGGACTCGAATCTTAAAACATTAAAAGAGGACATTGAGATCGTATGTGTACATTTATTACATTATCCATTCAATTGTTTATACTTAGAAATAATTATATATATATATATTGAAAAATGAATGATATGTTTTAGGGTAACAAAAGTGGAGTCTCTTACGGAAGCCAATTCGATGCGTAATATCATTGAGCAAATATTGAATTTTAGTTTAGGTGCTAGTTTCGGTAGAATTGCTCCACAAGACAAACAAAGTATAGGATCAAATAATGGAGGAGGCAGTTTTGCATAGGTTAATGTTTCGTTTTTGGTACAACCAGATCAATACAGATCATCTGTTGGTCTGGAAGAAGGCGTAGTCCCTATTCAAATATATGAATATTAAGAACCTTCAAATTAAAAAGGGGTATTTTTCAGAAGTAGTGGGGACTTTGAAATGCAATTTGAGGAGATACGAATGGATCGATTAAATATTGATTAGCAATAGAAAGTGGAAGAGGATGCCTCATAATTGCAAAAAAACAGTTAGAGATCATCAAGTGAATTCGAAATGAAAATATGTAATAATCTAAATCTAAACCAAATGTAGAATCTGCATAACAAATCAGCAATAATTTTAAACCAGAGATCAACCAGAACATTATTGAAGAAAACAAGAATCTCTTTAATGTCAATATCTCAAAGAGCATTTACACAAACAAAATAACATAGCTTGTTGAATAGACCTAATAGAAAATGACCTTATAAACCAGAAATCAATCACACACTCATCTATCGTAATCATTTAAATTTTATTATTTTAGAAAAAGTCAATAAAAACTCTAAAGGAAATCACCCAATTTATAAAGAGATCAATCAGATTTTTCGTCAGATTTTAATCAATAAAATAGCAACGATCCTAATCAAGATCCAATTCAATAAAAATTGGCTAAAAATAGGGAATCAGCTAGAAATTCAAGGGCGAGAAAGAAGATTTATTATGAATTATTGGAAGTGAAAGCTTCAGAATTGCAGATAGAAGTGGATTCACTTAAATAATAGATTTAAAATTAATAAAAGTATACAGAAATCTGTAATAAATCTTAAGAAAAAGTATTTTACTCTAAGATTATTAGTTTTAAATGTTCTTAGAATAATAATAATTATTATTTGATAAATTGGAAACCTATCTAATTAAAAATAAAGACAATATTGAAATAGGAATGATTTTAGATGCCTTAAGATATAGGACTAATTCAAATAGTTAGGAAAGAAATGATGCTGCCAGAAATCACTTTGATTAAATGGTAGAAGTCTGTCTTCCCATTCAAACTAGATACTTGATATATGCATTAGAAAAGAACAAAGACTTTTTTGCTTAACAACCAAAGTATTTTATTTAATTTCAATACCAGTGATTATTCTGATTGGATGGTCGATTCATTCTAAAAGACTGATATCAAGCCAGAACAAATTGTAAAGGTCAAGAGGATGAAAACTAAGCTGCAAAGTGTTAGGAATAATATATCAGAGTATCATTAATAACAAATTTAGTTCGATACATAAAATCAAAGAGTAATTGAAGTTAATATAGAGTGAAGCCTTGAAGGTCGATTAGATGTGGGAATAATTGAAGGAATGTCTAACACCTATCTAATTGGGATCATGCATATTGGCTATGAGATAAGTATAATCTTAATTAAATAATAAGAATCAATACAGACAAGAGTTATAAACTTCTTCATTATTTTTGCAACTCAAAAACTCTCAAATGGTACTAATCTTTCATATAATCATAATAGTCAGATGAAGAAGAAGTGTATGATACTCCTGACTAATTTACTGTTCCAAACAATAGAAAACTAATAAAGAAATCATAGAACTGAAATATACATATTGATTATTTACTAATTAAATAAACTTGTTTAATAAATCAAAATTATAATAATTTTAAAGATGTCATCAAACTATATTTATTGCATTCAAATTCATTTATTATCCTTGTGAATAATAAAACTATGATATTTGTTCAATGAAATAAATGGTTATATACTATAACAATAAAAAATACAGTTCTGTAAACATTTTAAACTAAGTTTATATAGAACAAAATTGTTTCAAAATCATCTCTTTGCCTATCCGAATATGGAGCAACTTTTAGGTTTGAGAATAGATTAGAGTGAGTTGTGAGAATATTTTGGAGAGAGAGCAGGAGATTGATTTGGAGAGGATCTTCCATTTTGAGAGAAATAATAGATTTGATTTTAATTGCTGAATCTAAGTTGCTTCATCTTTAATCTTAATCGTGATTCGATATCTCCATTTTCGTTGTTTGTATTTGGAGTTGGACATTAATCCTCTTAATCAGAGTCTGGCAATATCATATCTTCTTGATCCCCCTTTGTTTTAATAATTTTGTGAATCAGAATCATCTGCAAAAATGGTACATTGTTCATAGGTCACTCAAATTTGATATCTTAAATTAATTATTTATTATAGTCAGCTGCAAATATAGCGTTTAATCTTATTGAAAGAATTGAAGTACCACTGACTTAAGAGTAAACCACTTGTTTGGGGAAAGGATCCAGAGACAGATATATCGTCATTAAAATTAATTTATTTTAATTATATTCGATGGATGTTTCTCTACAAAATTAAGTCTAGCTTAATTAGATACTTGAAAGAATACGAAACTACTTAAGCAAAGCATCTAAGCAAGGTTAAAATCCTTGTTATGAGCATATGAATTCAGAGTAGTTAATGCAAGCCTTCTTTGAAATATATTTTTAGAAATAGTAGGAACATTAGTAACTAAGGAGCAATTTAAAGGTGAATTAAGTGGGCAATCACATAAATTAATTAGAGTATAAGATAAATCACTTGTAAGACAATATAAGTAGCATACATAAATAGAGGGATAAACTTAATGAAGACATCATATCGAAAGAAAATGAATTGAATTTAATTGATAAGCAAATGAAGTCTATAAAGATTTCAAGTCCTGTGAATCAACAATTTTAGGAATTGATAGAAGGTATAACGATGTGTAAAGAGAAGTGTGATTATTTGGAAGAGGAAAATTAGGATTTCAAAAAAATCTTAATATATGAGAAGAAGAAAAATAGTGAATTAAAACAACACTATTAAAACGTAATAAAATAATAATTATAATTAGGTGAGAGAGAGATATGATTAGAATCTGATCAAATTGCAGACTCTAGAGTAGAAAGGATTAGAAATCAATTAGAAGATGATGAAGTAATTGAAAATCATAAACGACTTGCGGTTTTTCATAAAAAGTCAAAGGAATGATGCTTTTTAGTAGATCACTCCAAGAAAGAGAACATTCAATGAGTAATTTATGAGTGCCTAATATTCACTGGAAGACACACGTATTAAATAATTATTTTAATGAGTTCATTGAGGAATCATTCAATAATTTCGATTCATTGAAGTTGTGTTTGTAATCAAGTTAATTGGTATAAAAAGAAAACTAATTGATTGAGAGTTTGTCATAAGTGATTTCATTAAAGAATAATCTTGCATAAACAAACAATAAAGATTTGAGTGAAAGTGAGAAATCATTTAACCCTGAATAAAAGAGCAGTAATAATTCAAATGACAAATTGTTGGTCTCTAGTACACTGAGATATAGGACTCATCATAACTTGGGATCATCCACATTGAAATAGAGATTAATTTCAAATCCCTCTGAAAACAACAAGGCATTTTCTGAATTGGATGAGGTAGAGGAGGATTTAGATAGTGATCATAAGGCTGTTTTAATTACTGACGGGATGTATGTCGAAGAAGAAAGTAAGAATACAATAAGATTATGTAGTGACACCAAGACAACCATGGTATTACAGATCAGCATTGCCTTAATAATTGAGTAATAAGACTGAATCTAAGAATTGGGAGTTTGGAAGCGAGAGAAAAAGATTTAAAAGCAAACCGTCTCTTGCTTCTTTCACATCGAATTCAAGTTGTATGAAGGGATGCACTATGACTCTGAAAGAGGAATTCTAGAATATTCAACAATCTCAACAAAGTGAACGTGTTGTTGAAGACGATGAATTCAAAGAAAAGGATACTGAAGTCAATAATAGTTATGAAATCGCTTAATTAGTTCAATAAGAGCAGATCATCTCAGATTCTACTATTCTAATAAATAGAAAACACAGCTCTGTTAGACTTGTAGATTCTAATTAGAAAGATAAGTATATTTGAGTATTAATAATTATAGGAAGAGTAGTGTTATTACATACATTGGAGTAACTATTTGTTCCATCGGTGTTCTATGCTGGGGGGCTAAGAAATTATATGAAAAGTACTGTTGATTACATTGTTTTATTATTTCGATTAATGAAATTAAGTTATTAATATAATTCTAAAAATGTAAGATGAATATGAGGATGGAGAAGGTAACTTCTAGGATGATTAGAATGACGAAGAATATGATCAATTTAATTAGATCGATTAGATGGATCAGAATTAGTTTGATAGTTGTAATATTAAGCATTTAATTGTGTAGCATCTAGAGAAAAGAATCAGTAAGACAAGAATTATGGAAATTACGCTGCTGATCAATAAAAACAAATCGAGGATAAAATTTCAGAAGATCTAGAAGAAAAACTCAAAATGCTTGATGAGTATTCCAAAGACAAAAGTGAAGAACAAATTTTGAATATAAGAATGCATTAATTGGCATTGGCAAAAGTATATTGATTTCTTAAATAGATACTTGTATTCACTCATGGTAAAGGACAATTCAAATTAGTTAAAGCACATACCAACATAGGTGAAGCATATCTTAATTATAAGTGTTATGAATAAGCTATTGATCATCTAACATTGGCATTAAAAAAGAATGCCAAACTATTTAATGAAGAATAAGAAAGTAAGAGTTATAATTCAATCATCCTCACCTTACTTGGAAAATGTTATTTAGAAATCAATAGTTATGAAGAATCTCTAGACTTATTAAAAAAGGCTTACGAAACTCAATGTCAAATCTATGGAGATGAAACTGAACACTCCATCCAAACCTTAACTTTGATGTCTAATTGCCACACGTAAACCATCATTTCACTAACATTTCTAGAAAAATGAAAGATTTTGATGCAAGTGAAGATTGTATTACCAAAGTCTTTGCTATCACTGAAGCCAAATATGGATACAAATCAGAACAAAGTGCAATATCATATATTGAAAAGTCAAAAATCTATGCATGCCAAGAAAATTGGAAAGATGCCATTCAATGTTTGTCTAGTGCTATTGATATGCTCATAGAAATTAGCTATCAGAAGACTGAATATGTAGCTGAATTATACCAATAATTATCCACCTATTACGAAAAGATCCAACAAATAGATGAATAAATTGCTTGCCTATCAAAAGTTAAATAGATATACATTGAATTGTACACCACTCAAGACAAAAAAGTTATCAAAATCAAAAGACAAATAGCAATTATCTAGTTAAAATAAGAAAAACATCAGGATGCCTTGGCTGAACTCTATGAAACTGAAGATTTAGAAGTCAAAGTTTATGGTGAAGGAAGTGTATAAGTTGCTAAAACTCAAAAGATTATTGGTAATTAAAATATTAATTATCTAAAGGAACCATCCTATTATTAGTTTAAGAATTTAGAGATGCCTTGAATTACTTCTAGAAAAGCTTAAAGACATTTGAGGAGAATGGTATGAAGAAAGCAGTGGCTGAAGTAAAGCAGAAGATCAAATGCGCGAAGGAAATGAAGGAGAAAGGCAAAACACAATTTAATCTTAAAGACAGGTAGAATATTATGCAAGAATATTGATTAAAATATAATCATTATAACACATTTCTATTGAATTCTATAATGTTTAAAATTATTATATAATTTCATCTCATTTTTGTTTAATTTCTACTTATAAATATATGAAACATAGAAAACTAAATGAAACCGCCAATTAATTTCTTAGATAAAATAATCAATAACTAAATGAAAAAATTCAAAATTCTTTCATAATTATTATTTAAATGTAAACATATAACAACTTCCATTATTAATTAAATGAGAACATCAACAACAACAACAACAAAACGAACATCAACAACAAGAGCACAAATCAAGAAATTTGTTAATATAGATATGATTCTAAAATAAATTTATTAGAGAGCTGAGTATTTTACTTAGAGATATATTTATTGTTTTCCAAACCAAAAGATAAATGCTCCATTAATTAAATCTATTTATAGACTTCTCTTAATCCCAGATAATTTTGTTTAAAGCATTAGACTATCAAATAAAGCATTACTCTATTTAATTGTTCATTTGAAATTTGCTGAAAAGGGAATTCATCCATTATAAGAATAAGCATATGAAAAGCTATAAGCCATTTTGTAATATTAATAATGAATACTATAGTATATATTGTGATTTAAACTTTTATAAATAAGTCATAAAGTTTAATGATTTTATTATATTACCTATTATTTTTAAATCGTTATTGGTAGTTTGTATGTGATTTTAATTAACATAGGAAGTTGAATCTGGAGAAAAATAAAGTTGATTATTTAAGTTTCATGAAGCTGCAAATAATGTTAGCAATTTAGAATAACAAGAATTCTATATTATTAATTAAAATTGTCACTTTCTATATCTATAATTTAAACCTAAACACTTTTTGATCGAATATTATAAAATAAAGAAATCATAAAATTGAATATTGATTAGTTGCAAAGAATACACTATTAATCACAGCTAAATAAATAGTTATTTCTAATAAGGATTATTTGAAATTTATATATGCAAATATATCGATACTAAGTCATCAAAATATTTGAATTTCAGAATTTAAATGGAATAATAAGAAAGTATGAATATTCGACATTTAATTATCAAATCAAAATTGCAAAATTCAATTAACTACTAAAGTGCTACTTGTACTTTTTGTATTTTTTAATTAGGTTTAGGTGTTTTAATCATAACTATATCCATAAAATAAATCTAGGTTATTTAATAGCCTTACTTTACACAGAATTCTTTTTTAACAACAATCTATTTTCTACAATTTATTCATCTTGAGTATCATTATCCTCACTAATATTATTTATATAATCTAAATTCTCTTAAATTGGCTAAGTATATAAAAATATAGATGTACTGGTGGTATGAAAGGAGATTGTATCTCTTTATTAAGTAATTTGGTCCAAGGAAAAGTTTATAGCCATGGATGCTGTTTCACTTCATGAGGCCCATTAAATCCGAGTCTATTATTAGGTTTGCGTTATATTAATTTATTAATGAAGTCAGCAGCATCAATAGACCAATCATCAGGTATTTCGTTTCTTTTCACTTGCACTTATCTTGTGAGAATTTGATCCCTGATCTCTTATCTAGTTCTTCCATTATATGGTCTTCTTCCAAGCATAAATTCATACGTCATTACTCCTAAAGCAAAGTAATCAACAGCAATAGTATGATTTTACCTACACATCACTTCCGGAGCTAGAGGTATAATTGTGAATTGATAATACCCATATATCCAGGTGTACCACTTGTGTCTTAAGAATTCTCAGGCTTCCAAATCCTGGCTATTCCTAAATCAGTTAATCTAGCATATCCATTGCAATCAAGTACAATGTTTTCTGGCTTGACATCTCTATGAATAACATTTGAATTGTGTAGGTATTCTAATGCTAAAATAACACAAGCTACAAAGTATTTGGTTTAATGTTCCTTAAATCTTCTCAAGCGTCCAATATGATATCTAAGATCGCCTCCAGTTAAAAGATCCATTACAAGATATAAGTTATCTCTATCTTGAAAGCAGTAGTTCATATTAATCAAAAAGGTGTGTTTAAATTATGCTAATAAGTTTCTTTCATTCATAACAGAATTTACACTTCTTTTCGATATTATCTTAGCCTTAGACATCTCTTTCATTGCATATTAAGTTCTATTCTTTTTTAATTCAACCTTCCATACTCTTCCGAATCCTCCCTTCCCTATCACAAAGTGAAAAGTGAAACTAGACTTAGCGACACAAATCTACGTATCAATCTATAACTCTTCATCTTCTGGCTCTTCCTTATATACCTTTTTGATGGGTGGACGTTACTACGCCTATTATTGAATGGAATCATATTTCACAAGCAAAGAATTAAAGATGCTCTCAAAGTTTTAAACATTTGGTTTTATTTTTGTAGTAGAACTCACCTGAGGTATTTTTATATGTGGAACTTCATTGATATTGATTTTTAGGTTAGCACTCGCAAATTTATTATGATTAGATAGCTTTTGAGAAACTTATCGATTGAGATTCATGGAGTCATCATTTTCATAAATCTTTTTTGAATCTATTGTGGATTGTTTTGGTGATTTTTGTATTGATAATTACATAGGACTTTTTGATCTTGATCTATTACTATCTTTACTAAAAAAACTTTGCTAAGGGTTTTTATATGGCAATGCATATTCATTCACATTCACTTATCCAATTCTTATTTTGTTTGGAGTATGTACAGGAGTATGATTTCTTTGTTATTTTTCTTCAGCATTCTTTTTTTATGCATATTGTATAAAGTTGCCAACAGCTATTGGAGACTTCCCAATTCGTAATCTATCAGAAGGGAGGTTGGAAAAAGGTTTAGAGAATTTTGAAGAAAAGAGTTCTCTTAGATTACGATGGTGGTTAGACATAATTAATTATTTTAATACATCTCCTTAAATTCATATTATTCAACGAAATGCAAATATCTTGATGAATAATTCAATCGTTCAACTTAATATTCTTATCTATTTGACCATCGATCACTAATCTAGACTTATCTTCTATGCATTCCTGGTGATTCTTGAGAGTAAAACTTACTATCAATTCATCTTAAGTATATCCTATGGTTTATAATTCATGGGTAATTTTAATTAATTTCTCCATGCTTGGAATATTTGTAATATTGCCTTCATTGGCTTTCATTTTAATTGCTAACTTTTTATCCTTCAATGATGAATTGATTTAAATATCAAGAATATTCAAACACTTATATCGAATAGTCTATTTTCTCTATTACTTGATCTAAACTTTATTATTTCTCTCTAACAAATGCTATTCTATAATTGGATTTTCTTGTATTTAACATAAAGCAAACTGCAGAGCCTTCTATTAAAGAAATTCTTAATCATATCTTTCTCCTGTTGTAATAAAAAAATTATAATCCTCGACTAATTCGGGGTAATTTACTTCAATGTAGTTTTTATCTTCCAAAACTTAATTATTACCATATGAAACAAGGTAAGTATTTGTATTATCATCATTCTCTTTTATTATTCTGTTCGGAGTTCGAGCATCAACTATAAATGGATTACTTTTTTATCCTTTATGAGCCATTTGAGTATTCAATAATAACTTATTTATTGTATTCATTAAATTAGTGTCTTTGCTAAAGTATTTGCTATTTCCAAAATTCATTCCAAAAATTTTACCAATTACATTTATCAAAATTAACAATTTTCACTATTTTAAAATTCTTACGAGCAGTTTAAGAATGTTATCAAACCTTACTCCTTCATTAATTTGCGAGGTATTAGCTATAATGATCAAAAGCCTTTCTATTTGCTAATTAATAATAATTTATATTAGAAATAGAAATTAATATATCACAGCAAATTTGAATAATTTCATTCGAACATTTATATTTAGACTAAGATACTATTACGATGAACATTTGCTTAAAGTTCTTCTATTTATTGGGGGATTACGCAACGCTAGATAAATAATATTATTATATCTATAAATTGTTTGGTTGATTGAGAATTGCTATTACTATAATAAGTTAACTAAGATTGCTAATAATTATCTCTAAGATTCACATGGGTAAAATAGATATGCTCTCTTCTTTTAATATTCAATTCTATAAGCATAAATTATTAATGGTAACATAAATTATTGATCATTCAATAAGATTGATATGATAGGCTTGCTAATAAAAGAAGAACATATTGTTTCAATTAGTTATGCCACTATATCTTAAAAATAAATCTTATTTGATAATCTTAGATTGAATCCTTTAGAGGATACGATTAAGGTAATCATAAACTTTAATATTTCTAAAGAGTAAAAATTAAGTTTACAATTATTAATATCAGAATATTTTCTAACTTATTGATTGGAAAAAGAATCAGAATCTTCTTGAATCTGTAAATATAATCAGATAGATCCTTCAAAGAATATGTTAACCATTATTTTAATATTTATAACTCATCTCCTATCGGGGAAAGGCTTTCCAGTTTACCAATTATAATCTTGTTATGGCTTGTTCTATAGGATTGCTTCAACTTTTTACTCTAATTCTTTATCCCACTTTTTATATAATTCAAGGGCTTTCAAAGAATCCTTCACTTGTTAAACATTCTTGGCACCAATTATAGCTGAAGATACATCTTTGTTATATAAAACCCAAGCTATTGACAACTATGTTTGAGTGTAACCAAGAGACTAAGCGAATTCTCCTAACTTTTTGAGTTTTGTAATAGCATCTTCATTTCCCACTTAAATATAACAACATCAAATTACAAAATTTTGCAAAAAATACTGCATGAGCGCTGTCTTTAGTTAACCATCCATTATCTTTACCTGCTCTGCTGTCTTCTGGAATTTGGTTGTTGTTGTATTTACCTGTCAACAACCCTCCTTACAATGGACTGTATATAGTTGATCCATATCCTTGTGTAAAAACATCAGCATAATCCTTTTCCACTAAGTTTCGAATGACCATGTTATATATGCACTGTTCAACTACAGGTCTGATTAGGCCATGCTTATCACAATAGTTAAAAGCTTCTTAAACTTTAGATGGCTTCCAATTAGAAGTTCCCCAATAGAAGGCTTTTCCATCCTCAATCACTTGATTGAATCCTCTACATATCTCATCCACCTATATATCTTGATCTAGAAAATGGGCATAGGCAATGTCGGCATAGTCTAATTAAAGTCTTTTAAGAGATGCATTGACTCCTTCAATAACGTGTTTACGATTCAATGTAAAAGAACGATTAATTGGATTTCCACCTTATTCAAGATTAGCAAGGATCTTAACGGATACAATAATCCTTTCTCTTGGAATGTTAAGTTTTTTTATAGATCTACCAAGTTATTCTTCTGCCTTTCCATTTTCATATCTAAAAATTTTAGGAATTTAGAATACAATTCTGCAGTGTCAAAGAAATTAACACCAGCTTCATAGCAAGTTTTGATAATTTCTGTATTGACTTCTTCGTCTTCAGGTGCAAAATTCACCATATTTCCAAAAGATATTCTTGAAATCAATAAACCTGTGTTTCCCAATCTAGTATATTCCATTTTAATTAATATAAATTATTTTATTATAATTAGTTTTAAAATTAATTCTAAATTTTAAATATAAATTTATTCCATATAATTATCATCTTCTATCGGGGAAAGGTTTTCCAGTTTACCAATTATAATCTTGTTATGGTTTGCTCTATAGGATTGCCTCAACTTTTTATTCTAATTCTTTATCCCATTTCTTATATAACTCAAAGGCTTTCAAGGAATCTTTCAATTGTTACACATTTTTGGCCCCTATGATTGCAGTTGATACATTTTTATTATATAGAGTCCAAGCGATAGCCAATTGAGTTTGAGTGTATCCTATGGACTGTGCTAAATCTCCTAATTTTTTGAGTTTCACTATTGACTCAGGATCTTCCACTAAAATTGTAAGACATATAATAATACAAAATTTTTTAAAGATTAATGAATAAGATAATTCTTTTGTTAACCATCCATTATCAGTGCCTGCTCTACTGCCTTGAGGGATAAGACCATCATTATATTTTCCAGTCAATAGTCCTCCTTATAAGGGACTGTAGATTGTTGTACCATACCCTGCTTCAAATATATCAACAAAATCTTTTTCTAAGATATTTCTTGTTAACATGTTATATGGACATTACTCAACAACAGGTCTGATTAAGCCATGTTTATCACAGTAGTTGAATGCGTCTTAGACTTGCTAAGGTTTCCAATTAGATGTTCCCCAATAAAAGGCTTTTCCATCTTCAATGACTTGATTGAATCCTCTACAAATTTCTTCGATTGGTGTATCTGGATCATAAATGTGAGCAAAAGCAATATCAGCATAGTCTAGTTACATTCTAGCAAGCGACGCATTAACACCTTCTATCACATGTTTGCGATTAAGGGTGAATAGCCTATTAACTTTGTTTCCTCCATCAAAGTTATTCCCCTGAATCTTCACAGAAACTATTATCTTTTCACGAGGAATGTTTAATTTCTTAATGGATCTTCCTAATTAAGCCTCAGCTTAGCCATTTTCATAACTAAAATTTTCGGATTTAAGAATACAATTCTGCGGAATCAAAGAAATTAACACCGGCTTCATAGCAGGTTTTGATAATTTCTGTATTGACTTCTTCGTCCTCAGGGGCAAAATTCACCATATTTCCAAAAGATATTCTTGAAATCAATAAACCTGTATTTCCTAATCTAGTATATTCCATTATATGTAAATAAATTAAATTTATTAATTAATTAGAATTAAATTATTTTATAAATTACAGATGATTTGAAGCCATTTCTCAAATGAATATTTCATGAACTAGCCGCAATAATTGAACAATTATTAGTTTTAAATAGATAAAAAAAATATTAATAATTTCAAAATTTTTATTAAAGATTGCTATTTACTTCTTTCATATCTGCAGTCATAGGTCTTGTTAATAAGGTACCAATATTTGGCTATTTAATATTTTTCGAGACTAATAATTTTAGATTTAATATATGAGATTACTATCTGATTTTTTATTTTGCATTTCTTTCATGAACTGTATTATTTCATTATTAGGATCCATCCCATTTTTACTTTATTAAATTAATTTAAATACTTTTCAGATCTTCTTCCTAAATCAGATCGATGAGATTCTTCTGATTTGAGTAAATCTGATTATTTTCTTGAATTTTGTTGATTCATAAAACCGAAAAGCCTAGTTTAGGTATCACTTGATTACTGTTTAGATTTTTTTTTCTCTCTTTTGGGAGATGTTTGTCTGAAACAATTATTTGCTTCTTTTTGTTTCTGTTCCCCCAATGAGAATAGTAAACTACCATAGGACTTTGAACTATCTTGTTAAAGATTATTTAATTTTTCATTTAAAGCCTGTTTGAATTTTTAAGTAGCTCTACCATCTGGGGATGATATTGAATATGATTCCTTTCGTAGGATTCTATTAATAATACTAGAATAATTAATGGCATCAGACTTAATAGACATTAACTCTCCTACTGATGTTGAATTTTTAGTGCTAAAAATATAGAAATAAATCTTACTGTATCTTTTAAGATTAGATGTCTTCTTAAAATTAGTGGGTATTTTTTTAAATCTTCTGATTTAACTGTTTTTATTAAATAATCTATGCACATTTAGACAATGGAGATATCATAGCCGATCTATTATATATTTAAATTCTTACAAGTTCACTATCTTTTTACCTTCAGCTGGATAGTTAATGGTGATGTTTAGTGGTTATTTCTATTATGTCAATAAACTTGTTCTGCTATCCTTACTCAATGATTATGCTCTATTCTATGATTATGGTTAAGGAGAATGATTTTGGTTATTAGTTTTACCTGGATCTAGTGGGAAGATATTATTATTTGCCAATTACAAAATCTTTGAGGTTTCTAACAATTCAATCTAAAATCTAAATAATGAAAATGTACATTATTTTATAACAATATAATCTCATATTGAAGTCTAGCATTTTCTTGACATTTCTAGTTTAATTTTTCAATCAAATATTAAATCTTCTCCTTATTTGTCAATTTACTTGGTACAGATTCTGGTAAATTGCAATTTTCAATTATTGTATTTGTATCTAGAGCTTATCTTTTTTATAAGATGATAATTTTTTATTATAAAATTTGTTTATCCTAATTCAACATTTAAGATTGTTATTTTTATTAAATTAATTATTATTCCAACAATTAATTCTACTCCAATAACTTTTTCATTTATGATTAATATTGTAATTACATCTAAGTTTTTTCTTTGCAAAGTTAAGCAATTTATTTTCTTAAATCCTCTTCGATATTATTTTTATTTTCTGACTAAGACTGGTTTTTTAAGACAGTTTATTCTGAATTGCTTTGATTTCTATTGTTATTCTAAATATCTTAATTGACACAAAGTTATTTCTTTACTATATTAAATCAATAGATTCATTACAATTATTCAATCCACTTCCTTTAGATGGAAAACAGAATTTAGTTGTATTTTTATTTTAAGGAGCAGGCGGTTCTGCGATTGTATCTTTCTAACTCTATTATGTATCTGTCCTCTAATTAATTGATTCTGATATTATGCTATGAGGATTGAATTCTACGAATTGCATATATGTTATTTATTCATTTTCTTGATTCTGCACACTTTTTATTTTTGATTTGCTCATTTAATCCCGTGAATCAATTGATTGTTACAATTCTGATGATTTTGATTCATGTGTTTATTAGCAATCGATGCGAATTAATTATGAGTTGTGTGTATGTGATTGTTTGGAGAAGTTTATGTCTTGATTATCCTAATCAGGAATATTGCTACAAAATTCTTCAAATGTGTCTAATTCTGGGATCTGTTGTAAATACAGAAAAAATACTTCGTTTTCTACAATGATTTCCTATTGGAAATATTATAAATTGCATGGAGCTCGAAATTTGAATGAAGTTTACATCTATTTGCCAATTTAAATTGCTATAATTGTTTGATTAATAAAAACTAATATATTACAGTATATTAAAAATACAAATAAACATTGAATCATTAACAATTCCTGCAATTGAATTCATTTTTATCATAGGTGCCATTTTTAATACCAACACATTCAAAATGATACCAATTTTTACATGAATCACACTTAATATGAAATTATGATATACTTGAATATATTGTCTATCGGGATTCACCGGTTGAAAGCAAAAACAATATTACTATATTGCATCCATATTACCAAATTATTTCTTCTAAAGATCCCATTCTAATCTGTTAAAATAAATAGTGGAATCTATTTCGTCCAACTCCTGATATTCACTGCAACTCAATATTTTGCAGCTGGTTATTATACTCTAGGCCAAAATATACTCTTAATGATTAGTTATAAATAATTCTTGTTCAGAAATCCATTCTGAACATTTAGGCTATGATTTAATGATCTCACTTTTTCTCATATACCATTAAATTCTACACAAACATATTAACTTTGCCGTTGTTGGCTCTTTTATTGATATAATTTATTTTATGGTTCCAACATAATCCTCATCATGTTGATCTCCACTATTAATTTAAACTGAATCTCCAACACATATAACCTATCCCTATACCTTGATTGTATCATATTCCTCATACAAACCTTTTGTTTATGAGGCAATCTTGACTAATGTTTTCCATGACTTTTATTTGTAAAGTTCTCTAATCGTCTATCGTTTCTCTAATCTCTTTTGAATTTACTTTTTTATTGTTGTAGAACTTTCTGGGGACCATCTTTTCATTAACTTACTATAATCTGCTACCTAGCTACAATACTAAGATTTTAACATAATTTTATTTAAATATCTACAAATGTTTGAATTTCTCAAATTGCTTAATAATAATTTAATTAAAATTTCTGATTCGGTGTTAAATTTTTACTCATTCTCAATCTTAGAGCATAAGCAAAATATAAATTAACATAAGTATTAATTTCCAAAAAGAAAATTTGATAAAAAAGGTATTAATACTATTGAAATGTATAAAATATAGAATTTAACTCATTCCATATATAAATATTAAAATACACAGAAGAATTATATTGGGTTTGGTTTTACAACAGGAATAATGGGAAATTCCATCAAAATTAAGAAATGTGAAAATAAGTAGATTTACAATTATTATTAAATTATAGAATTTCCATTAGTATTTAAAATAGTGGTTTTAATATTTGAAGAACTATAGTTTCATAATAAGCTGATCAAAATATTTATGATATATCAAGATTTGTTGTTAGGCCTCACTTAATAAAATATCTCTAATTTACAATATTCTAAATTTTCAATATAATTTTCGCTAATAGTTTTAACTACTTATTAGTTCTTCAAGTATGATCTTAATTTAACAGTGTTTACAGTCTTTACAAAGTTATATATAACTTAAATTTATTTCTCAATTTAAGTTTCATCTTCAATCAGTTCCTATTTTAAGACAACCGTTCTTTTGCATTTTAGAAAGGATTCATATTTATATATTATTTAATTAGCTTCTATCAAATTACTTAATTATTCTCTAAATACTGTATTGGTTTATTTCTTTTTTTTTTATTTTTCTTAGAACTCTTATAGTCTAATAACGTATTTTTTAAGTTCAAAGGCTTTGATCAGAATGATAAGAAAACTAAGGGTCAGAAATGACTAATCATTATTGTGAAACCTTTCTTGAAATTCCTTTATTTAATCATTTGTAGGAATTTATTTAGTTAGGATGCAAACTTAATCTTTGAGTTCTTTAAATTCTGTTTGTAAAGTACCCATTTCTTCTATAAGAGATTTTTGCATCCCTTAAATCTAACCACGAAATCCAATAAACTTTTTATTCATTTCACGTATTGACTCTTATTTTACTATCCAATTTTGGTATTTTTGATTTTCATCTTCTAAATTCAAAAATTTTACTTTTTAATAGAATGACTCAATCTCCTTAATCTATTTTTCCATATCTTGAGATTATTCATCATTTTTCTTTTCAATTTCAATTAAGATTATTTTAAAATTGTCAACTTGTTTATGAGAATTTTTATCCTTTGGTTTCTTCTTATTTTTAATTAACTCCATATTTTGTTTTAATTTTTCATAAGTATTTTTCATTTTATTAATTAAATTTTGAAACTCTTCTTACTTTAATTAATTTTACTCTATTATATGCTAATAATTGTAATGTTAAATATCCAAATTCATAAATTCGATTTACTTTTGATTAAAGTCTTAATATATTTATTACAATTCATCTTTGATATTCTAAAAATGCTTATTTGTTTCAGATTGACATTATTTTAGAATCTGTTAAGATAAATCCTGTAACTGTGTAATTTGATTGCTTTATTCATTCTTCTTATTTTCTAATTATATCTAAATACTATTTGATTCTTCTTATAGAGATTCAAACGTTTGGTAAAAAATCATGTCTTTTTAAGTTTCTTTTATTATTTAATCATACATTTATTTTGCTAATTTTTTTAAATTATTTAACTCAGTTTGTTTTTCCTCTAGATCATGTTTGATTTAAGGGTTTTCTATTTATTTACAATTTTATTCTATTACACTCAATTAATCTTTGAGATCTTATATGGATTCCTAAAATTGATTTGATTTCTATTGAATATGGATAATAAAGTTTAATTATTTCTTTTCTATTATCTTGATTTAGTTTTCTCTTTATTGTTATTCTTATAACTTATTTGATAAATCTGTAGAATTTTATTCTTCTTCTAAATATTTTTATTTAATTTCCACATATTCTTTTACATTTAAATAAAGAGTATCAGTTTAAATAATTGTGTTTAATTAATTATATAGTTATCTAATATTTAATAACCTCTTTTATAGTAAATTTAAAATATTTTCTTTTTATTTATCATTTACTTTTTAGTAAATTTGAATTTTGAATTCTATATTCTCGGCCTAATCATTAATTTTTTACAGATCTCTTTGCATCTCATATTTTAATTCCTCTTTTTAAATTGAAAGAGTATTTTTCATTTATTAAATTTCGTCTTTCAACTTTTCTATTGATTTGTCAATTTGTAATTTTTAAATTTGTAAATAGTTGATTAAATCTCGAGAAACTTTGCTTTCTTATGAGTAATAAAATATTCTAAGTTAGTTTACCGATGCAGATATCGCGTCGGCATGAAACTTTAATTCTTTAAATTGACCAGTTACATTGTAATTATAAATTGATAATTTTTCACAATTTATTTGAATGGTTTGAATTTCGCTTTACTATTCATTGAATTCATTTTGGAGTTTTTGGTATTATGCAAATTATTCATTCATTTCTTATTGAATTTCTTTTTCTTCTTTTTCCTATTTTTCCAATAAAATTTTTTTTTACTACTCTTTTACAAAAGAAATCATAAACGATTAAATCTGTTATTGAATCATTTGATTTTCTTATATGTGTATTTAAAATTCATTTTTATATTTGGATTCAAGTTCTATTAGAAATTACAATTATTAATACTCATTCTTTATATCTAAATTATTGATATGTTCACTTATTTACTATAATTGATTCTACTTTTAGCTAATAAAATTCTATATTTAATTGAATATCTATTATTAATCTGAATTATTAAATTCGTAACTATCTATTTCTAACTTTTATTAATTCAAAGATGATAAATGATTTTAAATCGTATTCTATAATAAATTAAGAAGATAGTTTAATTATTTTTTCTTACTGTTAAGCTCTTCCTTGATATATTAATTTTAAAATTGTATTTGATACTCTTACTATTTCTTAAATAATTCTAATTTATATTACTTCTAGAATTCTTCGTTTAATAATTTCTTATTTTCTTCATCCTCCTTTTATTTAATTCTAAGTAAGCCTTCTTTTGACTTATTTTCAAGTAATTACAATTCTTATTTCATTTTTTATTAATATTGTTGTTCAATTTCAAGTTTATATGAGTTCAGTTAAGATTAAAATTGTAGTGTTTATTCTAATCTTTAGACTTCATTATTTTTCTGATTTTAATTAGAAGCTTATTGTTGTTATTATATTATTTTTCGTAATTCATTTTCCTTATTAATTATGTTCTTTTCGTATTCATTCTTAAGTTATTCCTTAAGTTGTTTACGTTAATTTTCCTCATCTAGTTTCATTTATCGCTCAAGGTTTTCATATTTCATTTAATTCTGATAAGTGATTTACTATTCCTTCTCTTAAAATTCTTTTTCAAACTATTGTTTTATTTTTGCTTCAATTTTTTATAATTTTACTTTTTAAAGAGTTTGTGTTATTTTTTCAATTGCATCGTCCAACTAAATTCTTTTCTGGTGATCTAAGCAAATCATTTCTTTCATAATTTCCCGAAATTCTAACTAGCATTTATCAAGTTTATCAATTTTTTAATCTATTTAATCAGTCTAAATTGTGGAGATTTAGTAATAGATATTTCTTTCATTGATACCTAGAGTAAATCAATTTGTTACCTTGAAAAAAAGTTTACAATGTGATCATTTCATACCAGATAGCTCCCATTGCCCAAATGTCAATCTCTTTTGTATAGTTTGTAGAATTAATAACATCTCTTGCCATATAGTAAGGAGTTCCAACCTATAATGTTTGTTTCCCACCATCTGATTATTCTTTGGAGCAGCCAAAATCAATTAATTTAATCGTCAAATTCTAGCTTTTATCGCGACAGCAAACAAAGTTTTCTGGTTTTAAATCTCTATGGAAGTAGCCTATTTAATGAAATTCTTAAACTCCCTTAACCATCTAATATAATGTTTGTATATACTTATAAAAAGAATTCGCTTTTTTCATCTACATCATATGTGCTAAATTGATTTGTATTCATAAACTTAAAAAAATCCATTTCAGCCAATTCCATCACTATATAAACTTGTTTCCATAGTTTTTCAACTGCATATATTCTTATAATATGTTTTGGTTTATGCTGCTTTATTGATTATAATATTTTTTCTTCTCTTGGATTTAATTCGTTCATTACTTTTATAGCTACTTGTTGATTAAGATTTTTTATAAAACCTTAATATACACTACCTTGAGTGCCAGATCCTATTTTAACTTAGACTACAATCTCCATTTGATGTTGAGGTAACTAAATCAATATCTATTAAGGAAACATTGGGTTTATCATAAAAATATGATTAATCTATTATGTAAAATGATTATTGCTGTATTATTTTCATAAAAGATTTTTAAATACCCTATTGTATTTTAATTTTATGGTATTGAGCTTAATCAAACTCCAAAAATATGAAAATTTGTTCGAAATTAAAATGAGTAAACATTAGAGAGAATTTTCAAAAAGAATAAATATGAATGAATCCTAGTAAACCATATAATACTAATTTAGATTGAGTATTTAAATTGGAATGCTTTTGGATTTATGTTTAATATTATACCAATACTAGTAAATGATCTGAGGACGATTAAATTAAATAGCATTCTATGCCATATTTATAATAAAATCCCTCATTATAATTTTCACAGATTTTAGATTTTAGTTATTGTAATAGATTCAAAAAGAAAGGCTAGTATTCTTACAATTATAAAATAAAGATTGTGCTCTATCGAAATTATAGAAACCACTTTAATAATTCATTAAAATCCTTATGTAATTTTTACATTAGATTAGAAACTTTTAATTATTTTAGTTTATTAAATAAGTGTATTTATTTATTAATTTTTTAATCCTTCTAAAGATACTCTTTGAGGGTTTTTCAAATTAATATTACGAATATTTACATATAAATTATAGAATTGTTTCCATCAACATTTTCAACCAGAATTCTAATTGCATTCCATCTATTATTTTTTTAATTCTCGTTCAAGGTTATTTATAAATACACCCATATTACGAAATGTATAATAAGTAAGAATAATTATAGAAATGGTTAGTTCATATATATATGATGAATATTCGATATGTATTTTTTTTTAATATTTTAATGAAAATCAAACTCATTATTTGATTTCTTCATTAATTCTTCTCTTTCCATCTGGTGTAACTCTGAGGGATACAATAATTTTGACCTTTTATCCTCTTTCTAATGGCTATGTTAAGGTTTCAATTTTTTGGATTGTAGCAAGACCTAAAAAGATAAGAAATGTGATTACCCTATCTCTAAAGAGTTTCAGCACATCTGACAGCTCCTGATATGGCATCTCCAAGAGCATGAATTTCAACTTCATCAAATTTCTTTAAAAAGATCTTGGAAACGAAGAATGATGTTCTTGGTTTTGCAGAACCTCTTAATTAAAATACTTTGTCTTTAGGGTCGATTGGATTTTTCTTCACTTGATCCATTGTTGTTGATGGTTATTAAGAGTAATATTAAAAAAAATTTGCTTTCTTAATTAATTAATGATTTACCACATAATTAAATAAATTAATATGCCTGATCTCATTTTATATAATTTGAATAAGAAATTTTCAAGAGTTCAAAAATGAAATGGCAGGTAGATATATCTTCTGAAATCTGTACTTCGTATATGTTTATTGACTATAATCCTTTAAGGGAATACTTTAACCAATTCTAAAGAACAATTGGATATCTTTATTATTATAGTCTTGTACTCAATAATTAATACACATTTTCTTAATCTATCATTCTAATATTAAATATGTAATAAAATCTTAATGTTAGGGTTAGATTATTGTTATTCTAGTCTTTAATTGTTAATTTGTAAATACTGGAAATTAGATTTTTCATTAATACAGCGAAATTATAGCTAATGATGATAATATTTTCAAAATAAATGTTGCTTCTGCTATTCTTTCTTATTTGATAATTATTGATATTTTTAGTTCCTATAAAATCTTAGAGAAATTATTTCTCTTTAAATGGATTAGAATTGCTATTATTATTAAAATGGTTTGTTTTGCTATAGTCATTCCTACTTATAGCCTTAGATCTCCAATTAAAGTTACATGAATAGAGAATAACAGTATATATCTATTATATTTATTTCATCTTGAATCGCAAGATTCTCATTATCTGTTAATTGATTCTTTGGCAAATAAAAGGAAGAAAGAATAGGAAAAGATTAAGATCAAGAAGAGCACTAGAATTACCATATTTAGGAACTTTTTTTAAATTATAGATTTCATGATTTATATATAAATGAAAATGCTTTCAATTCTTAACTAATAATTTATCCTAAATTGGATTTTTATAATTATTTTATTTCATCATGTACATTTTTCATTATTCCTTCTAAAACTCGATCTTATTTTTGTTATTGTAATTATTGCCAACCTTTGCATAAGATCAACAAGATCTATGAAATATTAAGATAATTTTATTTCCACTCCTTAAACAATTCCATTAATATTTTGCAAGTACTAGTTTAAATGTCTCTTAATTATCTATTTCTTTATAATTTTAATTATTCTTGGATTTCAATCTACCTTTCAATTTGCAAGACTATAATGTCATCATTTTCTTAACAAATATGAATTAGTTGTTTTGATAAATTGGTTAATTCTTGCATGATGCATTAAGAATAATCTTTCTAAGATTCTGACTTGATGTTTGAGTCAACAATATAAGATTATGATAATTTCATATCATGAATATCAGATGCCAATCTATGTAACAACTAACACAATAAAATAGAATTAGATTCCAATTTACTTACAGTGTGCTATAACCCATCCTCAATGATAAATTCAAATTAGTTAATTGGCAATTTCAGATCAGTTATAAATTTGTTTAATGATGTAAAAATTTCATCTTATTAATTATAAGAATAGTAGGCTATCACTAAGAAATCTTTCAACTTTTGCCATAGCATCTGAATTTTGAAATTACCACTTGAACATTGAAACTATATTTATACTTAATTATTTACATTGTTAATGAAATCGAGCGCGTTATTTGAATAACCTTGATTTAACAATTAATCCAATAAATAGTAAATGTCATCAAGCTCATAATTAGATTGTGATTTTTTAAAGTCCGAACTGAAATTGGTTTATCTTTAATCAATTCTATAAGAATTTTTGCAACTAAAACTTTCTCTAGGAATGTATGTAGAATATCTATTAGCTATAAAGTGATTCTTTAAACTCACACTCCCTTCCTATGTTCTTGTTGTAATATTATTGCTAAAGTTAGTGTTGCAATTATAAGATTTTCTTAGTGTTTCATTCTCTCCTTGAATTCTTTCTAAATCTTATAAGGCTTTAGCAAATAATTAGGTGAGAGATACTATTTGCTGATTCATTTCTTCAATCTAATTAGACTACTGTATGATTTTACTATTCATCTATTAACTCAATTCTAATAATTCTTATCTTTGTTCTTTGACATCATTATATTCTTTCTTCTATTATTCTAATTCTAAAATGTGGGTTTGCAAATTCTAAATCTTGATATTTTAATTGTTTTGAAGACTCATATTAAATTTCTGGCTTGTCTAATTAAATTCCATAAGGAGATCAATTAATTTATCCAAATCATTAACATTATTAAATTCTGAATTTAAAGTTTTAGCTAATTGAATAATATTATTAAGTTCAATTTAAGTGAGATTATTTTAAAGTATCTATTGAAAGGCAATCTAGTATTTTGATACTCTCATTTCCAATTATTAGAGTACATCGGTATAGATTTTAATATCCGAATTATATTGTTATTTATAGGCATCCATCTAAGAACATGCAAGATCAATCGTTTATTGTAATAATTAACATTTCTCTAAACTCTAATTTTACATTTTCTACCATAAACTAAATAATTCTTATTCTCTTTCTATTTATTTATCTAAGAAATCTTTCATACATTGTTCCTTAAAAAAAATCAGAAATTCTTATTCATCAAGAAAATAATCATTCTATCTTATTTTTTTTATGCTACTGTAACAATTACCATGATTATCATTTTCTTTTTCTGTCATTAAGAGTTTTCTTTTAACTTGTTTATTAATGGCTAATCAATAAAATAGATTATATTACATTATGTCCTAGTAATTTAAGGAGAGAGAGAAGGCGCTTTGATTGGTGAAAACAAATCTATTTGTTCAACATAGACATTTTTCATTGATTTATTTAAAAATGAAATTTGAGTATTTTGTTGCTACAATTATTCATTCAGCTAATTTATTTATTTTTGATATTCAAAGTTGCTAATATATAATTTTGAATAAAGTATACTTGGCCAATTCTTAATCTAATTTATTTTGTGTTTGTAATTACAAATTATTTATCTAATCTAACAACTTTTCTTATTCATAAACATGTTGATTTAATTATGATTCAATTTCATCAATTAGGAGAAAGAATTCTTCTTTTAAACTATCTTCAAGCTTATCTTTGAATTGATCAAAATGCTCGTTTTCTTTAAATTTCAATTTGTAGTTGTTAAACATATATTTATTTTATTCAGTTATTAATTAGTATGATTACTATGAATTTATATAATAAAGTGATATGAGCTCACTGAGTGTTACTATTCTTTATGTAATAGTTATTCGTTTATATCATTTGATTATAGTTTTATAAATAACTAATATTTAATACTATCAAAATAAGTGATCCATTAATGAATATAATATGATAAATTCAATAGATTAGATTTGAATTCAAATAAATTTTACACATTATTCTTATATTAATAAAAAGTAATAAAAATATAAATGTAAGTGATCTATCAAATGAGTTGTTTAAGAAAGCATATATTAAAAAGCAAAACATATTATTTAGAAGTGCATGATGATGAGATGATTTTGAGTGAAGTATAAGAAAATATACATATATTTAGCATAAAAATATGTTAAATGCAAAGTATGTTATACCATACAAATGGGAGACAAGAGTAATGTGGAAAGCATCTGAAAACGAAGAATTGTGTGCATTTGGAATTTATTATAACAATCGGATAAAATGGTTTGATTCTGATCATAATTCATTAAACTTACTTAAAATACACTTGTCAGCAAGAGTCTTTTTTGGGAACATTTCAATATTCTATGATTCAAATTAAATTTTAGGTTAAGGAGCATCTTCAAAGGTTTGTCTAGTAAAATGTAAAAAGAGTATATCAAATTATGCAGCCAAGTGCATTTCTAAGAAATACTTGTTATAAAAGAAATCAAGTGATAGAATTGTATTGTTTTATTCTTAATTTTAAGAATAGATTAAAATAGGAGATTGAAATCCTATAGAAAATAGATCATCCAAGTTTTATTAAGTTATATGAGATCTATTAAGGAGAGAATTCATATTATATCGTGACTGATTATTTGGAAGGTCATACTCTCTACAACTACATTAAAACATATCCAGATGATCAGTTGCCCTCCTTTCAGATAAGGGAAGCAATTAAAGTAAACAACATTTGTATATTAATTAGGTAATTATAACAGCTTTGAATTACTTAGACTCAAAGAAAATTATTCATAGGGATATCAAACTCGAAAATATACTTTTATAAAAGCCAAATGATATAACATCTCTTAAAATAATTGATTTTGGATTGGCCACATATTAAGAACCTCTCTAAAAATTATGTGTCTGTGGAACACCTGGATATATAGCACCGGAAATTCTCTAAAATTATAATAATGAAGAGTATTTTACTTAAAAATGTGATATCTTTAGCGCAGGTGTTATCTTCTATAAATTGTAAGTAATTTTATATATACCTAAGATTAACAAAGAGGACCTTATTTAGAGCAGAAAACACTCTCGAAATAATGGAAAAGAATAAATAATGCTAAATAAATTTTCAAGAATTCGAATTCAAATTATAAAAGGAAGCTTTTAGTTTATTGAAAGCTATGTTAGATCCAAATCCAAAAACCAGATATTCAGCATAGTAATGTTTAAACCATCCATATTTTAATTGCAAACTGGAAAATATCAACATTCTGTAAGAAATACTGGATAAAGCAACAGGGTTCTCAGGGATAACTTAAATTTGTATTTAATTTAATTGAATTTAGTTGATTAAAAGGAAACACATTCTATTGGATAAGAATGTCAGGCTGCTTAAATTAAAAGGTGCAATCCAACATCTTATAAGATAAGGATTGAATAACAAAAAAGATCTAAAAGTCCTAGAAAATACGCAGATTTCTAATTCTATTATCCTTCCTTTTGTTAAATGAATTCTTTAGAAAGTCTTAGTAGTAAAGGATCATCTTATAATATTTCCCATATCGAAAATATTGTTAATGACAAACTTGATTCTGTAATAGAAGATGACGAGAAGCAATAAATTTATCATATATGAAATACTTACTATTTATATAATTGTGATCATAAATTGTTAATCATTTTATACAATTATTAATTTGTATTAAATTCATAGATTGAATAAAAGTAATATATTAATTCTGATAATATTAAATTATCCAAAATTCTTTAATAAGTCTCGTTTATAATATTATTCGTTAATAAAGAGTAGAAGCTGAGGGATATTAAAGCGTATAAGTGTAATAGACGTAATTCAAAGGATTTTTTTTAAAAATATAAAATCTTGCCTTCAAATGAGTACTAACCAAGACGTGAGATAAGGATGCATGGAATAGATATAAGAAATCGATAACCAACATAAACTCTTAGATGAACCACATTACAGAGGTGATGAAGAAGAAGTATAAATTTTCATAATCTTAGTAAATTGATCAATTCTAAGAAGATGACTAAGTGCCTGTCTATTCTCCTTACTAAATCTCTTTATTTAAGAAACCAATTCTTTAAACTCTAGATGAATTTCATCTAGAAGAGGATCCAAAAAAGAAGGTTTTTATTGAAGAATGTTCAACCAATGAGCAATCACTAGATCATCATGCTATGGGGGACTTAGAAATACTAGCTGTGATGTTATAAAGAGAAAATTTAAAAAAGTTCTCGTATCCAAAAAATCTTCCAATTCCAACTAATGTAGATGAGCGCTTTTCTAATTTGAGAATGAGGTTCCAGCCATCCCAGAAATAAGAAGAATTTATATCTAATTATATTAAATCAGATGATATCTTGAGAATCAAAATTGGATTATGTGATGAGATTCTTAATGATGAAGAGACACTATAATTTGAAGATTGGGTAGAATAACTGTGCACATCCACTAATCATGAATCATTAAAAGAAATGGCTAGAAAATAGAAAGTAGCTAGATACCTTGAAAAAAAGCATAGTCGAACTTACGAAAAGAAAGTTCACTATCATATTAGATAAAAAGTAGCTGAAGAGCGATTAAGAGTTAAAGGAAGATTTGTTACATGGACTTAAGTAATTCATTCTATATATAATTAGGCATTAAAAATGTTGAATCAACAAGACACAATTAAATCATGGACACATAATGATTACATTAAGATTAAAAATTTGTTAACTGAAAAGTTTGGAGCTATTAGAAGTGAAAGATCCCTAAATATATGAGTTTTAACATTTAAAAGTTATGAATTCTTACTTTTTTTTTTCTTTACTTCATTACCTCTTCTGAAAAGCAGATATTTTCAAATAACCTAAATCTGAATTATGTTGCTTTATCAACTAATTTAATGTATTATATTACCACTAAACATTTTACTCTAATAGAAATAATTCTTTAAAGATTTTTATTTAATTTTAATTTATTAGTTCTTAAAAGATTTAATTCAGATATTAACCTCTTTAGTATAAATCAAAATTTCTTGGATAAATTATTATAATAGATGTTTTTTAAAAGAGAATTATTACTTTTTTTATTGAATAATCGGTTTAATCATTTATATTTATTTTAACCTTTTCTTTAAATAGATTTTGAAATATCTGTTGAATTCTACTTCTGAGTTCATCTACGTTGATTACCAAGAATAACATTAGTTCTTCTAGATATATGATATTATTAATTAAAATTATGAAATATTATTACATTTATCATTAACATATAATTCCTACTCTTCATAGAATATATTTAATAACATAAATAATTATTTATACAAATTCAAATGATTTAATAGTAATTGGATAATCAACCATTCAAATTCTCAACAATCAATTTTTCTAACCCCAACTCTTCCTTTCATAAATATGTTAAAGATGAAGCACAAACATAATAAATGCCAGAATCCAGAATAGAAGTATGGCATAGACCTTCTATTTCAACTGAAGGATCGTAGGAGGATTCAGAATCGTAAAAAATTATTAAGAAAGGAAAGATCAGCAAAATTAAAGATAAAGATTAACCGCAGCCTTAGAAATCTGAGACTAAAAACATTCCCAAAAATTTTGGAGTCCTCTTAAAGAAATATTTATGTATTCATAACACAAACATTATTAGGTAGTAAAAATACAGAAAATTAAGCTATCAAAGCATTCTTAAAGAATGGAGAACACAAGAAAAACTTCTCAAGACAAGATTTTACTAGGTTGTTTAATGATCCCGTTGCAGCAGAATTATCTAGGCAATATTTTTCTGGATTTTAAATTATACACGACCTAATGATAAGTGAAAAAATTCAAGATGTTAAGAACCATATGAAATATATAAGTAAATTTTATAATTCTACTTACAATAAATAAGAGCTAGACGAACTTAAATTATAATGAATATATTAATTAAAATTAATATTGAAAATTCTATTTTTCATATAAATAATAGCAAATAAATTAATTTTTTCATTTCACTTCATACTTCTCAAATTGCGGCCATTTATCAACACTGCAAGATTCCAAGAGCTTAGTACTCAAAACATAAATATTAAACTTTCTATCTATTATTAAAATAGTATACTTGTTATCTACTTGAATAGGCTTATCAGAAATTATGATAGTAGTCTTGTTAGTAACCTATTTAACTACTGTCCCTCCAAAATTAATCACTTTCAATTCTAATCTTTTATATTCATAATCAGTCAATGTATCTTTAACAATATAGACATGCTAATATTGTAATGGTTTAAATTATTAATTCATGTGTTCGAAAAGACTAGTACCTTTGAAAAAAGATTCTTCTAAAGCTTTATGATATTGCACAAAATCTTTGTTAACCATGTTTGAATGATATTAAATCATTTCCTCATACTCTTGTTCACTCATATAATTCTCATTCATAATTTATACTTTAATCACACCATTATTCTCTTCATTGATGGGTGAAAATAATTATTACTTAACTATCTATTTAGGTTATGAAAATCTCTATTGTTTAAGCAATGCGTCATCTAATTGTTTATTTATAGAGTCATATGAACTTTATAAATTATTTCTTTTATTATTGTTGTCTTTTTCTTCCTCGCAATACATGTCATCAATTTATTTTTCAATCTCAAGTTCTTATTATTCTTATTTTTACAATTCTCTTTTATGAGTCTTAAGACTCTCTTCAAATGCTCTTTATAATAAGGAATCTTCACTTTATTTATCAGTATTTTATTGTTTTTTTTATTATTAAGTTTTATTGAACAAAGAAAATTATTAAGATTTTTGCACCATTTATGCGCTTCTTTAACTAATCTAATTTGTTGGATTTATTTTTAAATCAGATACTATTATTAAGGATTCTTTCTCTGATGATTTAATCAATGGAAATTATGATGCCCTGGGTTGCTATTTCATGTGGTTGGTCTCAGATTATAATGCATATTATGATAGAGTTTGACTCTAGCCTGATTATCCAAGAACTTGTAGAGATTTTATTGACAATTCATTATTCTAACAATAAAATGTAATTTCTGCGTATTAATAAGTGTTCTCTTCAAAGTCAGGGTTTAGTATTTTTTTCTATAAGTTCTATGTTATAAAATTGACTGTTTCCAATTGTTTCAATTAAATTTTAACATCATCATCTGTAATATTGTATAAAGAGATTTTTACCTAAGAACATGATTTTGTGTCTAAACTCAATGACAATTTTATACTTATGATGAATTCCTTGATCTTACATGGGATATCAAATTTAATTACAATTGTTTCATATTTTTAAGGATTCTGCACTATCCAAACATGCTCATTGGTAGGAAATTAAATATGAGCAATACCATTTGCAAGAGTCTCTCTATCTTTCGTAGTGGTCTGATGAATGGTGTATTTTAATGAAGCCATTAAACCGCGAATTAATATTTATTGTATTATATTAATAAAATGAATAAGGATCAATCTATCAAAGAAATGAGATGACTTTATCTCTTTTTTGGCGAATTAAAATGCATAGATATATTGATATTTCAACTTTTTCTGATCAAAAGAGTTCATCGATATCTTATTAATTTCTTGATTTTAATTTGATTTGCTAGTCATAATCGTTTTTTTGTATTTGATAAACGTGATGGTTAATATAAATTCTTGCATTAATTAATATCCAATATGAATTTATTTATTTATTATGAGATTTAACATTGTATCTGCTTTATGAATTCAGTATTGATGGAGAACCTCATCACTTTTTATTTTAGGATGTGTCAATTGCTGTCTTTTCCCGATCTTGAACTTGTATTTATAAGTTATTATTATTAGTTAATTGCACTTTAAATTAGGTATTAATTTAATGATAATTCTAATGTATAATCTCTTCTCATTCTTTATAAATAATGTTTTATCCTATCGCTCTAATTTATAGATGAGTATTTTTTAATGGTATCAAATCTTAATATTTATACATTGAAAAAAATGCATAATCCAAAAGAAGTATTTAATAAATGGATAAACTTCATAAAGACACAAATTTATAAGAAGCAAAAAGTGTGCAGCACAGGATTTTAGAGTTGAAAAACCGAAATCTAAACTATTAGTTGAATACTAAAATGAAGAAGAAAGATAATAAATTGAAAAGTATCTTAAATAACTCTCAAAATAGGTCTTCTATAGTCAATACAAAGACATAGCTAATATAATCAAATATCAAGATTATTAGTTTTAGAACAAACCTATAATAGATACGATTTTCCTATAAAGATATCTTAATAATTATATTTTCTGAATATTTCTAATATCGTAAAACTTTGAAGTAATTACTTAAAATTTCCTTCCAATATTAAAATAATTAGGAAAATTGTTAGAATATTAAATCTGATCTCTCATTTTTTAATTTAATTAAATTATAAAGATCATGCCATTCTAATTTTGATATTGGAGCTCAAATTGTTATAAAACTATTTTTCAATTATTTTTTCATAATTTGATTTAATATTAATTATTGATAATTTAACTCATAATTGTCAACCCACTAAACCCTATTAGATATTAGAAAATAAGAATATATATAAGGATGTTATTTTTATAAATAATTTGATTAAAGTACCTTTATTATTAAAATAATAATTAAAGATTTTTGATTATATAATTCTAATTTCAAGACAATCCATTGAAAAAGGAGGGCTAAATGAATATTTGGTTTCTAAATTATCAAAATCATCACTAATGTTTAGTGTCAATTAAACAAAAGGATGAAGCAAATATTTCATATAAATTAAGATTATGGTTTGAGAGTTTTATGAAATGAGCAAACTAGTAATGTGAAGCATATATTAAAATAATCAATCTGTTGAAAAATCTGAAATGATAAATTTTATTTGGAGTTTTTTTTGTGATATTTATAAATTAATCTTTGAGTTTATCAGATTATTAAATACTGATTTTATGAAATAGAAGAGAGTAATTAAAGTTGATAATGAAAGACTCAATAAGCTGAAAACAAATGAATCAACTGCTTGCTTAGATTGGGCACTTAAATAACCAAACATAAATGAACTATAATCAACAATATAATAGATGTCTTTTATTGACTTGCATTTTGAAATAGAAAATATCGAGATGTAAGGCGTTTGTCATGTTTTGTCTAATAACTAAATGCAATTAAAATTCATTTCAATTGCTAATGGGTTATTAATATTTTAAGAAACTAATTGTGTTGTTTTGAGTGACTGTGTAATCTAAAAAAAGAAATTCCATTGCCATCATAATTAACTATTTTTGATTATAGTATAAAACAATGGAGGAAGACTTATCTTAATATTCTAACATCCTATGTCCTAAAAAGAATGGTTTAAGATTTTAAAATTATCAGCAAAATAAATTGATTTTCTAAAAAAATACAGAATCTAAAATAACATATGCTTAAATTTTTACTCAGTATCTCATAAGAAAAAAAAGAAAAAATTTGCAGCCTAAATTATCAATCGTAAAACTTTCAAATTCTATGATTTGTAAGAAATTGTTAATAATTATATTAAAATATTGAGAAATACTAACATCTAAAACGTATTTCCTATCATTAGTATTTTTGACGATAATGATATTTTGTATCTCCTAACTGATTAATTTATTGGTAATTCTTTTGAATAATTATTATCTAATCAGAAAACCATTGTTACTCAGGCGGATTTAGCATTTATAATTTTTTCTGTTCTTTAGAATTTAAGAAGTTTATAAGAAGAAGATCTTTTTCATGGAAATTTAAATCTAGACAATATCATTATTGTTAATTAATCAGGATAGCTCGGAGTCTATGTTATCAATCCAATTTATAAAGTAAGATTTACTGTCTATCTTAGCTATATAAATAAAAGTAGGTCGATTATTATGTTAATGCTGTTCCTGACTACCTTCTTGCACCTGAAATTAATGAGAATTAAACTCCTTCAGTTTGTAGCGATATTTACTAGTTAGGAATCATTTTGATGTTAGTTAGCTTTTATAGTGTCTCATAAAAAATAAATAACTCATTTATTGAAAGAGTAATAAATAATAAAGAAATCTTGATAACTTAATAATAGATTAAGTTTTAAAAATGCCAAGATTCAGATTTTCCATTTTTGTTTAGTGCTTGCTAACTAGATTTGATTAAGTAAATGACTGAAAGCGATCCAAATCGAAGAATCTAGGTTCAAGATGCATTAAAACATGCATGGTTTATCAATACTAAGGATAAAATCAAAACTCAAAAATAAAATTTCAACAGGCATCTGCCAAGTTTAAAAACAATTATAGAAATGGTAGAACAAAGTGATTATGATATAAAAAGAAAATCGCTTTAGAGCACAGCAATAAATCTTAAATTACCCCTATCAAAATATGAATTCAGCCCTTTCACCTAATAATAACCAGAATTAAGCCCTCTTAGAAAGACTTCAGAAAGTCTAAATGAGGTTCTAGATGAAGAGCATTAAATAAGTAATCTAATTGATTAATTGAACAACAAATAATATATAATGTTGCCTTCGTAATATAACCATTTCAATTAAGCCAAGAGTTAATTGAGACTTGTTTAAACTGAAAATAATTTAGACCAATTACATATTTGAGATTATTAAATCATATCTTAATGATTATAATTTTATAATCTTAATCGCCAATTACTTTTTTATAAAATATACTACAAAATAATTCTGAGCACATCTCATCTTAGAATCAAGCAAAGTCAGATGAAAATATTATTTTCAATCATATGATCTAAAATTGATATCAATAAATATAAATGGAACATTATGATGAGAAAAGTTCATTTTATCTATGGAAAAATTGGGTAAATTAAGCAAATTTCTTATAATCCTTAACATATGTTTACTTTGTTATTGCTAGTTATCTGTTGCTTTGTAAATTTATAAATATCTTCTCCATTATTCAAGGCTGATAATAAATCAAAATTAATTCTTTTCACTATTCAAATTGAGCATAGAATTAATATATTTAATATATCATTAAATTTTCATTTGATAAAATGTTATTAGAATTTTCTCAAAATAATATTTAAAACATACAAAATTTGGCTACATTCATAAAAATGTGTTTTGAATATTCACAAATAAAGTATAATATTAATAATTTATATATA